AACATGGCTCTCTGCCTCTTTCCACAGCAGCAAAACACAGATTTAGTTATTGAGAATCTAATCCGAACCAAATATGTGCACTGAGCCTCAAACATGTAATTATATTGGCATAAGGAAACAGATTTTGACTTTTGATAGCCAGCAGGGAAAGATCAGACAAACCGGAGGACCGGAGTAAACGCAGAGTCAGGAAGAGATTGAAATCTCTGGACCATGCGGGCTTGTATTCAGCATTTATTAATGTTTGTACTTAAACCTGGCTCAGACACTAAAGGGAAGATAAATTCAGCGTGACTGCACACAAACACACTTTCCTTTGCCAAGTTTAAAAGTTAGACTTCTTTGGACACTTCCACAGCTGCAAAAATATGAGGAAACAAACACAGAGATTAAACTCAAGGTAGAAGTCAAGTGAAGCAAATTAATCTGTAAACTTTCTCTCCTGGTTTGTATCCAAGCAAAACATCTGCAAAGCAGCTAAGCAAGTAAAGTTCAAACAAGTTTAAGGTCTGCTTTTCAAACAGAATCCAGTATTTCGACCATGCATACTCTTCTGTTTGCAGGTTTGAGTTGTTTACACCGATGCTGCAGGGAAACAACGCCGGCTTGGACAATCGCAGGTTTATTAGGAGCACCATGCATTGGTTTGTATGACTGTCAGTGCTGCAGAGGTAGATTACAGTCCGGCGGCTCTTATCTTTCTCAGCCAGATTCCACTGGCAGGTGGCTCAGGACTGTAGATTTCATCCTTGTTTACCTCAGCCATCATTAAACAACCTGAGCTGCAGCCCTCTGTGTAACACCTCAGCAGCACAAATCCACCGTAGCCTCAGGTTTGACTAAAATAAAACTTATTTATAAGAAGTTAATTATGGTTTTGTTTTTAACGCTCTACTAAAAAGAAGAGAAAAAATGTCTGCAGCAGAGTGTGATTTAAAAAACCTGCAGATGTTCAGGAAGGAAATGGATGATGTGTGACCAAGCTGCTACTTCCCACATTGAAAAATAAGTCGATGAAACTGTGCCAAATAGCTGCAGTTTTATACTGCAGACATTTTTATCACCTGTCATCTGTTCTGGCTAAAGAATAAGATTAATGTATGCCCTTTAATGGTTTTTTTGTGTTGGCAGTGCCCATGACCTGAAGCTCTAGAAATTTTACCTCACAAAATTCCTCCACAGTACAACCTCCTTATAAAGTTATTGAAAAGATGTTATCAGGAGTTGTGTGATTTATGAAACTTTTTTCCAACCAAGCTCCCTGCTATAGAGCCATAAAAGTTATTTCTCTTTTTAGTAAATAGCCTATTGTTTTCACCTTGGCCTTTTACTTTGAAAAGAAATTCAGGACTGCCTCTACACTGTATGTTTACATGCCTACATGAACATAGCTGATATACAGCCAATTATAAACCCTTTGTGATCTATCATAAACCCAGAACAAAGCATTTTGATGTGCAGTGCGATTGTCACTTGTCACTGCTGATCTCAGACTTCTAGAAGATACTGACAACCTCTTTACTATCTGCTCACACAGCAGCTTCACCTCAGCGCTACAGGAACCAGACACGCCAGATGAGACCATCTCCAAGCTCTCCATCATGCCCACTCTGGAGTATGTGAAGAGAGCGACACTTTTAGACGGAAACGGTCTCCATAGAAAACGGAAAAGTGCGTTTCGTTTTCAGTTTTTAAGCTGTGTTTACACAAAAACGCAATGTGGTTGAAAACGCTGTAATGTGCATGCCAGGTCGCTAGGTGGCGCGTGTTCCGTTCTACTTCCTAGAAGCACGCGACGCGAATATCTAGCACGGTTGTTGTTATTTTCAAGGAAGCTGCGCATGGCTATGATGTCATAAGCGTGAGCCGACGTGAGCCGGGACGTCACAGGTTTGACTGTTTTCAGCGGTTTTGTACTTTAGCCGAAAGCGGGACTAGCAGAGCGTTTACGACATTTCCACTCCGGAGGGGGTTTTCACTTTGTTACATTTTCATCTCCTGAAAACGCAGTTGCCATCTAAACGGACCCCCCTAAACAAAACTAAATTTTTCTGTTTTCTATGGAGACCGTTTCCATCTAAAAGTGGCCTTAAAGATGTGCTCACTGTCGATCGGCCACGACCACATATATAAACAGATACTAAACAGTATCCATTATGCACAGCTGTTTGACAGTCAGCATGTCCTGAGTTTTGAATAATTTATCCAGTTAATGTGTCTATAAATAAACACGTCAGTTTGGAAAGTCACTGATCAGAGAGATTGTTCAGTAGATTTACCATCCATGGACTGGTACAAGTCAAACAGTTGGTTTGGATTTTCTATGTTTTCAAAGACACAGCACAAGGAGAAGAGTCAGATTTGCCAGCTTCACCCCGGTGTATTTAGAAGTGTTGAAATCAGCTTTGTGTTCAATCCAACATCACTAGACCGTGCACACCAAAACAGTAACTGCAGCCAACACACTTTTCATGAGAAGTGGCAGAGTACAGTTGGCTGTGAAAACTAAAGCGAAATCAGGGTTTACTACACCAAACTAGACTGTACTTAACCAAACCGGGCCTCTTGGTGGATCTAGATCTCTTTGTGTTTTCTCAAATATGGATCATTGTGGGGTGCAGACATGACATCAGGAAATTACCCTTTAAAGATGCTGTCCTTCGATGGACTTTTTGCATTCTGCTTGAAAAAAACACAGACAACATTCAGCTCTTATTTTCCAGTCCATCCTGCTCAAATTTCTTTCTCTACTGTTTTTGACAAGCAGCAAAAGGAGTATCTGTATATCTTTGGTCACACTTCTTCTCTTGACAAACCCCCCTCTCTCTGTAATTATGAGGGATTGATGCCAAAACAGTCACGATGTTTGCAGGAGGAATGTCAGTCCATGCATTGGAAACATTCCTCAGAGGCCATGACGCACAGCTCCCAAAGAAACATTTGTAAACGTCCCTCTTTCTAAAACGCGTTCAATACAGTTCTGCTTAGTGTGTTTTTCGTGTCCTCAGATGACCGTAAGGGTAAATGAGAGTTCACTGTTCCTGTTTCCCCTCTAAAAATGTCTCAAACTGCTGTACACACAGGCTCCGCTTGGCATCCGTCTCACTCTGGTTTTCCAGTCTGGCAGATCCCTCGTAGACGTGGCTGCTTAAAACCATGACACAGGCACATTTGTAAACTCTTGACACAAAAACCCTTCCAGGACTCCCATCTGATGACTTTACAGTGTACTCAGAAGGCTTTCAAGGCTCATTCCCAATGACGTTGCTTTTGGCATTTGAGGTAATGTGAATGACAGATGGATTTGATTTGGTCTATTGATGTTCCATTGATTTAAAAGACCCACTTTAAGTTGCATTACAGCACTATAAGCCGTTCTCATGGTGATTTAAGTCATGTAAAATGATGTGACTATCACTAATGCAGCTTTAAGGATCATTCAGGATGGTAAACATTTAAAGTGTCTCACATGGCAGGACTCATTAAGCATATGGATTAATCACTCAACTTAAAGCACCCAGAATCCATCGCCTTAACTGTTATGTTACTTTGCAATGTAAGGGCCAAGTGCGCCAGCTGGGCATACACCTGGGTGTTAGCTTGAATTACTCTCTGAGCTACTTAGTTTTAAACCTTATGTGTTTAACTCCAGGGTGTAACTTTTACAACTCAGACAAGAAGGTGCAATACGATAGGAGACACTATCTGATCACCTGAGCAGAAAGATTTGGGAGAAACTTCTTCATGCTTTGTGAATTAGCCTTGCATTTTATTCAGTTTGGTAACTCGTAATAAAAAAGACGTAATTCAGCCAAGAATGGACCCCCTCTGACTGGAGGATTTTTAAAAAATAAATCCATGTATAATTTCTTTGGCTACATACGTATGAGAAACACATGCTAGAGATTATCAGGCTTGTTTGGCTCCCAGTTTTAGGGGAACAAATTCATACCCATCCTGGGGGCCACAAAACAAAGTGGAAATAAAAGTTTCGGCCACATTTTACTGGAAAACCTCTCCTGTCAGTAGAGCATTCAGTCTGTTCATCAGCATGACTGGAATTTGGCTCCCCGGAGACAACCTAAGGGACTGATTTTATCATGTGCCACAGACTGCTTGCCCTGTCCTTTATCTATTTTCAGTAATTTCCCCCCAAAATAAGAGGCTGTTTTCTCTTTTAGTCAACCAGGCTCTGTTTTTCCATCAGTGGATTCTATCTTTGACTCCACACACCATTTAACATCAATTATCTGTAGTTTCAGTCCAAATGAATGCCTTCACAGCTGCAAACCCACAGCTGGTCAGTACTGAGGTCATGTGACCTCGCAACCAACCAGCAGTGTGTCATGGCACTGACTGCAGCTTTTCATTTTGTTCCCAGAAACTCTTGCATTTATCCCCCCTGCCTCAAATAGCAGGAATGATTAAAACCTACAATCACTCATTAATTTGTAAAAACAGAATAAAAATTACAATAAAACAAGACAAAATCATGAGCCTAACAGAAAACATACAAAGCTTCTCAGACTGACTGAAGCGACCTAAGCTTCTTCCACTCACTATATAGTCTGACCGTTAAGTGTTGTAGCTAATATCACCACCAGGAGGAGACACAGAGCAGCCTACATATCCAAACACGCTAACATTTGAAAATAAATATTGCATCAGTTTGTGAAATAAACTGTCTTTTCAGTCTTAATGGTAGAGTTTCTTTAAAATACGTGCGTCATATGAAAATTACACCCAAAATATTCTGAACGCTCTGTAAAATGTTGATAAAAACAGTGGGTCCAAAAATCTAATCGAACCTATATTTGGTTGTTAACAGTGCAAATACAACACATCAATCAATCAATAAATAAGTCTTTATTTATGTAGCACTTGTAATACACAACCATGTAGCACAAAGTGCTTTACACAGCAAATGAAAAAAAAGAAACAAAAAACACCCACATCCACCTCAACCCAATCCTTCATTCCCACCCCACGATCTAAACACAATAGAAACATGTATTAAAATGCATGAACTTGAAAAGGGGTCAATTTCATAAAAACTGGAATGAGCGCACTGAAGAAGCGCCATTTTAAAATTCAAGATAAGGAAACACTGGAGGTTTAGGTAAAAATCTAAAAACTGAGTAACCTAAAATAAAATTTCAGAAATATCTAACAGCCTTTCCACTTTTAAAACACTTCTGTAGACGCACCTGTTCACTTTAGCTTTTGGGGAAGTAAAGCTACTTTTATCGGGTATTTCATTTATTTGCTATGTTTATCTATATTGTTGTTTTATGTTTTTATGCTCTTATTTTTTTATTGTCTCTAGCTATTTTACTGTAAAGCACTTTGGTAGGCCACTGGCTGTTTTTAAACGTGCTATATAAATAAAGCTGACATTACCATCGACATTGACAAGTAATAAATAAAATAAAATAAAACAACAGGAAAAGATACTAATATAAGAGCACCAAATTCCCAAGTTCCCATATGATCAGGGGTACCGGCGTTGAACTGTGTGCTGATAACAAACTGGACGGTCCCTCTCCTCTTCAATGTCTTTTCCTTCAACAAAATTGAGACAAAATGTAAGAATCAGGTTAAACTCGACAGTAAAAGTTCATTTAAGGACTTGTTTAATACACCTCCTGTAAGAGTAATCATATTTTCTTCAAACAAAAACATCGGGTTGTAAATTTTTACACACTCAGTTGTGGTCTAAACCTGAAAACAGCCTCTTAAATTTGACCCTGCTGTGATTTTCTTTTACAGGATGATTCATGTATTCAGTGACCGTGACAACTGCAGGCTTTCCAATTTGTTTGTGGAGCAGTTTCCATGGAGATGACACACTTGTGTTTTCAGCTCCATGATACTGGGTAAATAGGCATTGGCAGGCGTGTTCAGCATTGGTAAAAATAACAAAAAAAGGGAATTTAATTTCACAAGTCTTGCTTGATTTCCGTCACAGCAAATATCAAACCGAATAAACAAAATCCCCCTTTTCGGAGCCTTTTATAGTTTCTCTTTGTCACTCAGGGATCGGTTTCTTTCAGATGCATTAAAAACATGCTGTGGTGTTCTCAATGCGGCCTTGCTGATCTCTTGAAGCTGTAAGATATGATTTGGTCGGTAGATTAACTGAGGGAGCAGAGCTGTACAGCATCAGAAAGGCTGTTAATTTGCCCTGCTCAGACCACAAACAGATCCGAGGCAGCAGGGCTCAGCAGGATGGACTCGCAGAAACACACTTTACAGTCCACAGGTGTAGCAGGCTGGCGGAGCAGCAGGAGCAACCGCACCGCCATGAAAAGTTCAGAGGTTCGAGTCCAGCTGTGGCCAAATGCTCGGTGACCTTGAGCGGGATAATGATCTCCTGCTTATGATCTCAAACTGCGGCATTTCATAAACACAACCAAATACAGGAGCAGGGCCCAGCTGCAGACACAGCAGAGTCTGTCAGCGCGTGCACAGAGTTGGACTTCTGCTTGAATCTCAGCAGTTCAAAGGAAATAAGGCGATCCAACTCAAAACTGTTGAATATTCAAACTGCAAAGTTTACTATCAATATTAATTCATTACTATCAAAACATGTTTTGTGCACCGGTCAATTAAAGGGACATTCTGGCGTAAAATTAATTTAGGGTCGAACACACTATAACACTGAGTTAGACACCCTGTCGTGAGATCAATGTTGCCGACCGCTTACTTCTCTAGTTATACAAACTTTAGTAACGACCGCATGATAGCAATACACAGCGGTCTGAGGAGCCATAAACAAACCTCAACCAAAACGCCACTCTATAGCCACCTAACTTCATCAACAGGGCATATAGGGTCCCAGCCATAGTACTAGCCACCAAACATCTTTTTAGCTTTGCCTGATTTCTTTGGCAAAGAGACTAAACACAACTCACCCACTCTCTTCCAGCGGTCGCTTGTTTGTAGTGAGACCTCGGGCCAGTCCATTATGGACTACAGCAGGGTGACGCAGCTCAAGGAAGAACATATATTATCATTTGTTTATCATTTCCTTGAAGTAAAAATCACCATATTAATCATTTTGCACTGCAGACACGTTAGTTCTTCTGCCTTAGTGTCTCGGTCTGATAGCATTCTTATTAAAAAAAGATCATAAATGTTCTTCCTTGAGCGGCGTCACCCCGCTGTAGTACGTAATGGACTGTCCAAAGGTCTTACTACAAACAAGCGGCTGCTGGAAGAGAGTGGGTGAGTAGTGTTTAGTCTCTTTGCTAAAGAAATTTGGTGGCTAGTACTATGGCTAGGACCCTATATGTACTGTTGATGAAGTTAGGCGCTGTTCTGAGCATTATTTGTGGCGTTTTGGTTGAGGTTTGTTTATGGCTCCTCAGACTGCTGTGTATTGCTATCGTGTGGTCATTACTGAAGTTGGTATAACTAGAGAAGCAAGTGGTCGGCAACATTAATCTCTCGACGGGGTGTCTACCTCAGTGTTACGGTTTGTTTGACCCTATATTAGTTTTACGCTGGAATATCCCTTTAAAGGGAACATCAGATCTCTGCAGTAGTCAACATAATTTCACACTCAAAGCAGTGACGAAAGATTTGGTATAGAAACTTGATATTAGCTATCTTGTACCATCTGTAATCACACAGGTCTTGATCAAATATCCAAACTGGAACCCATATTCAACTTTAAAAGTCTACTAACTTGAAAGGTTTGTGAAAATGGCATGAAGGAGATTAAATTTCGCGGGTGAGGTCACGACAACATGAAATTAAAGCAGAGATAAACTCTCAACTCCCCACTGTCTCTGCTGCCAGGTACTCTTAAAACACAAAGTTATTTAAGGTTAATGTCATCTATTGAAAATTAATGTCAAATACAGAAACTGTGAAAACAAACTCCCAGTTTTAGACCATTAGGAGAAGGTACTGTTTGTGGTATCACTCTGCTTTTTCAATAACAACTGAGTTAAACTCTCCCTGAACTCCTAGGATCTCCTCAAAGACCCCTGATGCCCCCGCGGCCCAAATGACGATGCTCGCTGTAATAGAGTTAAGTTGTATTTGTGTCAGTACTGTGAGTCTGTGTTCTATCAGATCTGCTCTTTGTTTCACATCAGATCTGCTCTTTGTCTGCAGATGAGGGGAAAGGTTTGGGAGCTGGGTACGGGGTGAGATCTCACGCACTGTCCTCAGCCTCAACCGGCCCCCTCAGGGCTTCTCCCACCACCCTCTGACTGATCCAGATCTGGAATGTGGGCCAGACCTTCAGGACACTCCTCACCACAATGGGAGCATTTCACTTTTAATGGAAGTCTCAAGATTCCTTAAATTATTACTGCGTAAAGAGCATGATTTTTAGGGCCTGATAATGATTTTTATGGTTTGTGTAATGACTCTTCTCAGCAGGAAGTCTTTTTTCTCGCTGCCAAAAGGAACCTCCTGACTTGTTTGGGGGTGAATCTCAGGCTGACCGGGGGGACTGTGGCCCATTTTTAATACAAGCAGGGTTATTCAGAGTAAACAGTGGAAAAACAAACAATTCCCTTGCAGCGTTTCTTCCTCTTTCACAATCAAAACCTCAGCTTCCTTTTAATTCTCTGAAAATAAACACAGATTTTGGTATTGCTGGTTTTCAGCCCACAAACTTAAGTTATCGCAACAAGGTGAGCAGGACCCTGACTCAAAGCCCGACTCAAACATTTCCCGTTACTTGGATGATACTCCTCGACTGTCTATCTTTTGAGATATGCTGTTTGTTTAGTTTCACCTCTTTTGGTTTGCAGGGAAATCAAATTTCAAACTGCTCCAGAGCGACAGCAGAGCCGAGTCTCACAGCAGGTTTGTTTTTTCACACTCTCTAACCAGCAGCACATTAACACTCAGCGTGGTCTCACTCTGACAGTCAAGACATCTGTCAGATTTTACTTGTTGATTCAAAAACATGGCGGCTCTCCAGGAGTAATCCACCATCTTTACTATATCAGCAGCAGATTAACCTTTTGAATTTGAAGGTTAGGGTCAAGGACGTTGGTGTAATGTCAGAGTGGGAATAGAAATAGTTATTCTGAGTAACAGGTCTGTATGTTTGATGTGTATTGAAGAGAAAAATCACAAAAAAATTATTTGTTTTTTCACCGAATCAGAGTTGTCCGCATATACATGCAGCTGAGAAAATTTAATTATTGATGTGAACGTGTACTCCTCCCCAAAACTAGGGGGCGATATGGGTCTTTTTCAGCGGCGCTGTTTCCGACAACAACACTAGGCCAAAAGTGGCTACAACTGCTGCTGGGCATTTTCGGGCAAGAAGATGTACATGCTACTTTTTTGCAGATGAGATGCACGCTACTCCTCTTCTCTGGTGTTTTTGTTCCAGAGTTACAGGGGCGTGGCACACACGTACATGCATTATCTGATCATACTCCGACTACGCTGGTTACATGGTAGAGAAAATCAAATTCCAATCGCATTATCTGGGTGTCCTAATCAGAGTTCTCCGACTCCAATTGGAGTTTGAGAACTCCGATTGAGTGAGGTGTTTACATGCTGAGGTGTTGACATGCACTTCAGTTGTCCGGTCTTAATCGGAATAAGGTAATAATCCGGTTTTCTCAAGTGTCATGTAAACGTACTGATTGGTCTATAAGAAAGTTTATGTTAATTGGATGAAAACGATTCAGCAACACCAACTAGAATTCTTACTGTGATCCCAGAAATACTTAAAGTAAAACTTTTACTCATGACATTTTGCTGCATTTTCAGCATTTCATCTTAATCCTTGACATTTAAATTTCATTCTCATTCCCATATGAGAAAATAAAATCATCTTTTTATTTATTTATTTATTTAGATTGAAGTTTGACTCTTTTTAAATCCAAAATAAAGTAATATCCCCTCCTCTCTTTTTTCCTCTGCCATGATAATAAACTGCAGTCACAGTCATACGACATGCTGACCCCATACAGCAGAGCAACCTTTAATAGACTTTAATGACACAGAAACATGACAAGTCCATAGACCCCCACCACTCCCACCTCTCTCTCTCTCTCTCGCTCTCTCTCTCAGGAGGTCAGTGTGTCAGAGCGGGGAGTCAGCAGCTCTGTGGGTTTTTGCAGTGTAAGCTCTGGCTGTCAGTGCAGCACAGACATCAGAGCCAACAGCAGCAGCAGCAGCAGCAGCAGCAGCATCCACCTCTCACTCTTTTAAAGCCCCCACTCCATCAAGACACGCCTCACTCTCAACACTTTGATTAACTCCCGGACTGTGTTCTCATACTCATCTCCAATGCATGTGCTAACATCCGTTTACAAATGCATGTGGCCAAATCAAGCTTCATATAGTGTAATAGAGCTGTGTAAAAAGTAACACCCTCAGGCTGTAGGTAATATAATAGCAGCAGCTAATGTAAGAACAGCTTACATGTAAAGTGGAGTTAATTTGGCATCAACTGCTGGTCTAAAACATTTTTTGTGAAAGCATGATTTTTCTGGTCATTTCATGCTTCAAGACTGTGTAAAAAGTAACACCAATAAACTGTGAGTATATACAGTCTGCTAACCTAACAATAGTTTATATGTAATGCAGAGTAACCTGGGATTTCCACCACATCCAGAACGGGTCGGATTTTCGCCGTGTGCCAATTTCTACCGGATCCGTTTGTGAGGACAGCAGGAATTGCGAGGACTCACAAGAACCCGCGATAACAAGTTGTCTTTAGCCACATAGGCAAACCATATAAGCAGGAGATCGTTTCTTTCCAGAGGAGGAAATCTACTTCTAGATCCGCAGCGAAATGGAAAGAAGCCGGTGGAAATTGACATATTACGATCAGCAGATACAACCTTTTCATAGCTGTTCCGGATGCGGTGGAAATTGCCTGTAAGGTGGATGCTAAGGGCCTCAGGTGTTTTTTTTTTTTTTTATGTGACTACAAAGCTGTGTACAAAGTAGCTCCCCAAGCTGTGTCTAACTTTCTATTAGTGTGAAATCAGCCAAAATGAAGCATTTCAGGCCTTGTCCAAAAAGTGCTGACATTAGGGTTTTTACAGACGCTAATACGGTTTTAAAACTACAAGTCATGCTAAGAAACTCTATAGATGTCCAAGACTAAAATATTAAAAGGTAAACTTAATTATAAGTCTTCTTTAATACTGTTGTCATTTGTTGACATGTTTGGACTCGCTCACAATCAATAACTCAATCTAAAAGAGGATTTTTTTGGTGGCAGTAGCTCAGGAGGTAGAGTGGTCATCCAATAACTGGAAGGTTGGCAGTTCGATTCCACCCTATCATTTGTCTGTCTGTTGTGTTCGTGGGCAAGACACTTATCCTACCTTGCTCCCAGTGTGTGTCCTCCACTGGTGTATGCTTCGTATGTACATCACTTTGGATAAAAGCGTCTGCTAAATGACATTGTAATTGTAATAAAACATCACAATATCAATGACTCTATGATTTGATGCCACATTATGCCTGATAAAATTCTTAGAAAGCTCCTCTCTCTCTCTTCCTCACTGGTTGTATTTCTGCACATGTGATAAGGTGAAAACACACCGAAACCATCTTATCTAAATTCACATCCAAGCACAAAGTGAGGCGGTATGTGGATGTTTTCTCATTTGTATTCAAGAGCCACTTTTCTTCTGATGCACCTGTTCGCACTCAAAGTTGCAATCATCTCTACGAGCAGAAATCTGCAAATTCTGAGGAGATTTGGGGGGGATTTACAGCGTCTGTTTTCCTGTTTGCTGTGCGGCTAATATTGACTAATAATGTTTGAGCTGGCATCTGATTTTGCGCAGAAAATAGTCCTTTTGGAAAATGAAAAAAAAGTATGAAAAATGCCAAAAGAAAGCAGCCAAAATTGTGATCTGGAAGCTATTAGTTATCATCCATAAACTTCAGCTTTTCATTCAGCTCTTTTTTGCAAAATCAGTGTCTCTGCCAATCCAGCTGCACGCACTCATTTCTGGCGTGGACTGCAAACAATCACACGGCAAGATAAAGGTAGTCCTGGCCTGAATACTAATGATCCAATATCCAGATATAAGCTGACTCCACTGGAATCCTGTAAGTATTGGCCGTCACTGCAAGAGGCCAAACGATCAGACAAAAGCCGATCAGTTCTGACATTTTGTGTAGAGACACTAAAAAAAATTAGTTTCTTCTTCTTCTCTCAGCAGTCTAAAATCTTCCTTTATTTACTATTAAAAATGAAATTCCTTCTAATAATGAGAAAAAATGTCCAGTTTTTAATTTTATTTTTGAGTTAGTAAAAGACTGAAATAAAACCAACAGAGCATCCAAACTATAATAAACTCCCAAATGGAGAAGTAGATTAATCACGGTCAAGGACTTTCAAGATGGTTGCCCTGTCCCTCCCCTCGAGTCCCCCTTTTATTCCCTATTTTGGGAGCAATAATCTGCAGAAAGAAGAGAGTTGGAGACCCTGAATTATGGCGGACCAGAACAAATTTGAGGTCAAACATGGAGTGGGAAAAAAAAGGGACAGAAGATCTGTCCCTCAGCCCCCTCTTAGCCTGACCAGCATGTGGCACATTAGCATGGGCCAAACAGACGTGTGTGTGCGCTAATGTGTTTGTGTGTGTGTCAGGGGTTTGAAGGGTTACAGATAATGAGCTTGTACACAAGCAGCAATTAGCATTGTAGCAAAGAAAAGAAGAAGCGTGGCATCGGTTCAGGCAGGCCACGAGGTCAAGCTCCACCTACTGAGTAGCAGATGATCCTGACTATCACATTTCTGCTTGTTCTATTTAAACCGTTTCAGCCCACCTGCTTCCTCCAAAAACCTGCCTCCATCCCGGCTCCTCATTTGCCAGTGTCACATTGATTGTCACCAACGCTGTTCTATCTTTGCTGATGCTCCCCCTGCTTTCACTACTCACATGAAACATAGAGATAGTGTACTTTCTTTGCCTTACCCCCAATTTCCCCCGCATCCAGTACGGATATGAAATGGCTGTATCGGCCAACCGCGGCTGATGGTAACCTTTCAAGTTAATGTGTCAATTTCCATCAGCTTCTTTCCATTCCACTGTGGATCGCCGGACTCCACAGCTGATCGCAACAGTTCTATTTTTTGCAGACGCCAGAGCATGAATGATAAATTCAGCACAGATGAGCCCGTGCTGAAAGTGGATTTCTTCCTCTAGAAGGACACAATCTACTGCTTATATGGTTATGTATAATATATGGTTATCTTATTAAAGACAACCCGTTATTGCGCGATTCGCGGGTTCTTGTGAGTTCTCGCGATTTCCTCTGTCCGTAATCCGCCACAAAATTCACCTCATAAATAGATCTGGTAGGAATTGGCGGACGGCAAAAATCGCTGCTGTTCCGGATACGGTGGAAATTGGGCGTTAGGCTTTGGCATGCCATACACACACAGAATAGCAGGAAGCTCTCGAAACAGAGCGTTGGAGTCTTTGCTGCTGCTCTCCCTGCCATGGCTTTTCATATATGCTCATGAACCGGAGTTGTGCGCTCCCTGCCTTAGGCTATGGCATTCCACATACGAATGCAATAACCATTGCTTGCTTGACCTGCATGTGAATGCCTTTAGTGTGGTCACTGTAGGTTCAGAGGATCTAAAGGTATTAGTCATTAACAGACAACCTGCTTTACCCCAGAGTCCAGCCATCATGTCCCAAAGCAGAAGCGGACAGAAATAAACAGGATTCATTTAGATGATATGAGGTATTTCCAGCTTAAGCTGTCAGATGTGAATTGCCTAAAGTTTTTCCATTAAGTCTCCTTGTGGAAAACAAATAGTCATTACTGAATATAAAACCACTCTGTGTCACTTTTCTGATAGAGTGACTTATTGTTTAAGTCCAGGGGTTTAATACGTCCAAAACAAAACACAAAGCTGCCATTCATTTTCCTCTCTTTGTGTCCCGTGTCCCCAAAGGGAAACCTTGTTCTCTCTTCCCTGTGAACATTATTTATTTCCCATTATTGTGTGAGATGGCTGTTTGTTCGCCAAGTCTAAGTCAGGTGTCCTTGGAGACAGGAGCACAAAGGATCCCCCTGGGTGGCTGCAAGTTAATTCATTGCTCTATAGCTTCCTCCCACCACAGCCCATCAAGCCTCCACATAGCTCACACAGGTCTCAGGGAAATTACACAGAGGAGCAGAATTGCACCGGCAGTGCTTACTGAGAAAACCCAGTGGGACGCTTTAAATTGGATGGAAAAGATTGGCTCAGCTAAATACACTGCTCTGTCTCTTTTTGTCACAGCGGTCAGGTTGGTATGGCAACAACACAAGGTGAAGCACACTCCCTAATCAAGTGTTATCTCTCACAGAACCAAAACAAGCTGTTAGTGAGATTAAACTTAGCTTTGCATGCTTAATGTCTTCTTCCACTTGTCTTTCACAACTCTCTTTTAGCTGGAACTGAGACCTGTTGCAGCAACAACAACAAAAAAAAGTTTCAAAAAAGTTCAAAACAGGTGAAACAGTTGTGCAATAGTTAAGAACTTCTGAAGGAACATCTCCCTGAGGTTTATTTGTAACAGGTTAGCAACATGACTGGGTTTCTCAGAGGAAAAGAAGAAAGTTCAGCAATCCTGAATAATGTTCCTGAATATAAAAGGTCAAAGAGTTTGCATCATGACACAAAATCACAACAAAGGAGACCCTAAACTGTTGAGCAGACCCCAGAAATTCTAGCCTGGCTGGGCCATCCAGTTGTGTGAATCACTTGCCATTCCTTCCCACAACAGTCTGGACTTCGGCCAATTGGGAGCAAGTATTAGAAATCAGAAAATAATCGGGCCAATCAGAGACTGTGTTTCCACTGTTCTCCGGACAACAGGGAAAGGCAGCCCCTGATTGGTCCATGTGTAGATGGAGATGTCTAACACATGCTGCGGGACTTTTCAAAGCGCTGTTCATTCAGAGCGCTGTTCATTCAGAACGCCGTTAATTCTGCAGTTGACTTTGCAAAGTCGGCAGAAATCATTTATATCCGCAGAAGAAGACGTAAAAGACATTGTTTGCTCGCACACGTTGAAATATTATCAAACCTTTACTTGATGCTTGAGAGCCCAGCAGGGAACACAGTTGCGCACTGTGATGACGTCAGATGCTTGGTTACGGTGATTGGTTACAGTAGTCTGTCTATCAAGGAAAGTACTCCCGCCCACTTTTAGGGCTCCCAAAAGTCCAGACTGTTGTGGGAAGGAACGGCAAGTGATTCACACAACTGGTTGGCCCAGCCAGGCTACAGAAACTGGTCTCCTCGGTTCACAAACATTTACAGAGCTAATGACACGCTAAAGAAAACATGATCCTGTTATAAGTGTTATAAAAATGTTGCTGGTATCAAACTCAAAAGGAATATTGTAAAACCCGTGCAACAAAATATGTTGTCTTTGCTTTTTTTTATCAATTATAAATGCTGTAAATGCTGTGCAAACCTTCGAAATCTCTTTTATCATCATTTTACACAGTGTCACAACTTGAGTGGTCGTGAATGAAGCAATTATAGCATTAAATGTTACACATGATGAGGCAATTAAGACGTGTCAGACAGTCTTTAGCACTTTGACTCTGCAGAGAGATGTGCTAATGGTATTGTTTTCACCCCGAGGTAGAGGTGGTGGGCGATGGTGTCATCTAGAGCTGAGGGAACATTATAAAAGCATGAATGAAATGTAAAAAGAGGAAAAATCAAAACAAAAAAAATAGATGTAATGAAGCCAAACAGCAGAATGCAACAAGAAATAAACAGGCCGTGCGTGCAAAATTTAGACTTCCTGACTGGACTTTCTGCAAGAGGTCAGACCTCTGTCTTTTAAACAAGATATCTGTCATCAAATCTCAAACAAGATGTGAATTCTCAAAAATGAGGAGAACATTTATTAAGCCACATCAAAATAAGACAAAAAATGTCAAATCAGTTATATACTTTGCAAAAATATCCCCTGCAGAGGAAGAAAAAATGAAACATTAGTCCAACAAAAGTCCAACAAACTGGCTCTCTTCACAGCCTCACATCTCATATGCCACACATCTGCTGATTTCACTCAGCTCATATGCTCTGCTACCTGCAGCTTTAATCACAGCCTCACAGAATTCAGGTTTGGCCACTCTCACCTGCAGACAATCCAAGTGAGAGAAGCTGCAACAATAACAAAAGGGAAAACAGAATTCCCCAAAGGGAAAAAAAAGACTACATATTTAGAGTGAAATGTAAACATCATATGCATTTAATATATACTTCAAACCAACATTGCTTAGGTGCTCGAGGAATGTGCACCTTCCTTTAGTCTTAACAATAGTTGGTGAGTGAGGACTCTACGGCCTCACAACAATATCATTGGAAGGAAAAGAGTAAATTTTGTCTGATATCAAACAAAACACCAATATTTTAGGGTAGAATCATGAAGTGATGACATGTTTCATCTGAAATGACAACAACAGTTCCCTCAAAAAAAGTCCTTTCTGCTCATTTCTCCCATCTCAGTCTCGTAAACACAATAACACAACAATACCTGCAGGGAATACCCACAAATTTGACATAATGTCCTTCCGAATCCAAAGATAAAGTCATTCAATTTAGGTGTTAAAGTTTAGGTGATCCGTGTCCATCCTATCTTCATTCTCGCTTCTCGCTTCAGTAATGCCTGGAAGCAACATTTCATATTTACTGGATTTTAGGACAATCCTGCAAACTCTCTCACTCTAACCGTAGCAAACCTGTTCATTCTGCTTTTGCTATACTGACAGTCTCATACTTTTTCTCTGAGAAAAACACAGACAGATCATGATATAACCGCTCATGGATAATGTGGGTTTACGTACAGAGATGGCATTTCTCAAATATTTCCAATATGCAAATACTCAATATCCCCAATCCCCGCTAGTTATGCTGTCAGTCAGAGGGAAACACATGGTGGGATATAAACTGAAACGTGACTGCTTGGAGGCACACAACTGCGGGGCTGTAATTCTGGTTAAACCGGTCTGATGTTCCCCACTCAGAGCATAAATAAATCTTTCTTCAACATTAATGCAAAGACATAAACAATGTACCTCACTCCTATGTCATGTCCAACCATTCTGAGAATGAAAATATCTATGCCTGCAAAAATCCTTGTCTGTTTTTGTCATTGCTCTGCAGGCGGAGGATGCAGCATACATGTAGTGCACGCATGTTAGAAAAAAAAGTCTAAATATGGTGCACACTTACAGCAGCATGTTTGGGTAATATAAATAAAACCACATCCTCACCAGCCCACATTCACCATATCCAGATGGGTATTTCCTGCTTATTTTAGACCAAGTATCTGTTTACACTTCTCTAATTAATTAAGTTCAGGAAATGTCAATGATTGAGTGCTGAAGCTCTCACAGGTCTAGCTTTGAGCTGCATATTGGAGTTGTTGACTCCCTGTGAGCCAGCCGGCAGCCTGAAATCCTCAGGTGGGAACCTACCAGTTGATCCAAAGTCAAGTCCAGGCAAAGATATCGCTGCAGCCGTGTAGATGTTAAGTGGGTCTCTAAAAGAAGTAAACAAGTGAGGATGTTAGCCTCAGGAAGCAGCAGAGGAAGTCACAGAGAGTATCTAGATTTTCACTTTTGAAAATTTTGCTAAACCACTTATACTGGTGAACATATGCAATCAAGCAGAATGACTCTGGGTAAGACAGTCACTATTGACCCGCACCTCATGCAGCTTCAATTAAAACAGTCAACGTCTTCATTAGCTGAGCAGCTTCTGTTGACTTTACCCTCATTTATTTCATTAGCATCACTGCAGGAAGTCACGAAGTGGTGATCCAATGTGTCAAATTAGCAGGAAAATCCGCTCAGTGTCCTTTCTCTTTATTAATCCCAAAATCTATTTTTCCCTTTTACTGTCTCAGCAGTAGCATCACAAAAGTCCAGGTCTCTACATCAATTCTTCATCCCGCCCTTTTAGTTCCAAGATTTAAAATTCAGTGCTGACAAATGCGTTGGATTTTACTCCTCCAGTTATTTGCAACAGAGAAATCAAACTGACAGTGACACTTGTGTTGTTTCTTTACTTATATCTGTGCGTTGCAAGGAACTCACAATGTCAGGGATGCATGAAGGATGTCAAACGATCGCATCCTGTGTTTAAAAGCACTGACAGACTTGATGGTACGGTGGCCCTGAAGGTCAAATGCACAAAATATTTTTACGGCTAATGAATGTATTTTTTTTCTTTTTTTGCATTTAGGAAACGTTTCTCTGAATTTAATTCAAATTAATTTTGTACTTTTTTAGAGGCTTAGAGGTGGTTGTGAGACATTTTCGCCTTTTGGGGTTTTTTTCAAGATTTTTTTTTGCCCTTTTTAAGATTTTTATTTATTCATTTTTTTTGCACTTTTTAAGATTTTTTGTATTTAAATATTGCTTTTAGTAAAACGTTTATGGGTGATTTAAAAATTCTTGCATGAAATCTTTGACCTTCTTGAAAAAAATGTTGGGTTCTGTGAAAATTTGGGGTTTCTTTATTTTATGTTGGCATTTTATGAAATGTTTTTGGAGTTTTATTGGGTATTTTTATGTTTTTGGTTTTTAGTGAAATGTTTCTTGTGGTCCTGAAACAATCAAGGGTTGACCTTTGGAGTCATGTTATGATAGTTACTGTCAAAGACGGACAGATGCTGCAATAATAACAGATTTTATCAACACCATGCCACAATTGAGTCCGTCACACAATTGATTTCAGGATGATGAAATTGTGCTTCTTTTCTGCTTAGATTGAAGATAGAATAGCACTACCTGAATCCCACAGAGCATTTCAACACTTTCGGATAGAGACTCAGATGAGCGGTGTGTGACTGTCGGAGGCCTGAGGGTGTTTAGGCAGAAAGCCGAGCACATGTTCAGGTCAGGAATGCCGTCCTCTGCTCCGTAAAGACGTCATAGTTTTGAAGGTTGTGGAATGTGAGGTCTGAAGGAGAAATCCTAAACATGTGTAGATCATTATACTCGGAGGAGGAGGAGGAGGAGGAGGAGGAGGAGGAAGGCGCCAGAGAGATGACCTGTACGACAGAGAATCTACCCGGAAGGATGTAATGATACACCTCAGCATCTCAGAGGAGAGGGCTTTAAAATGAGTGTAGGTGAGTGTGTTATTTGTGTTGTGTACACAATCCGTTCCCTGAGGCTGGCTGAGTGAGCGCATATTTCAGGACAAAAATGTACAGAACTTTTTAGCATTATGGTGACACGTTTAAGACTTTTCATGTTTATGTTTGCTTCTGCCTTCAGTGTAATGTAAATTTGTCCTAAAAGGAGGCTGAATATTTAGAGTGAACATGCTTAAAGCTGTTGTGAGAAACGTTTTGGTTTTGTGTTGATAGTGGCACCTCTTGTGGACAAATTGAAACCGCTTATCTTTGGGCCTGTACCTGTGAAAGTAGTGTTTTCCCTCCATGAATATAACATCTCATCTTGTTGTCCTATTTTGTTTTTTAAAAGGCCATTTTTCATTTATTATTTTTGCTGTCAGTCGTCTAGTCTGATACCTACCCCAGGTCTGTTTCCCATCCTGTTAAAAACTTGTTACAGTGCCTTTAATTTTGTGTAAATTACTCACTTCATATGTGCGTCAATTCACACAATGCAAGTGCCCACTTACATGAATTTACACAAGAAAGGTTGAGTTTCCTTTACTCCATTTCAGGCTGTTTACATCAAACATAGTTAAGGTTGGGGACATTGTGAGGATTTGTTTTGTTCTCACAATTTACCAGAAAAATTAACCTCCTCACTTACTTTTCTCACAATGAGCTCTTTTTTATCCCTGTTTCCACAAAAAGAAGTCATATCTAATAGTTCAGAGTAGCTCCATTACCAGAGGATCTCCATGCTGATTGGCTAACATGAGTTAAAGGGATATTCCTACCTACTTCAGTGATCATTACTGTATCATTTTCTTTAAGTAATAATCACCATATTAATCATTTCGCACTGCAGACACGGTACTTTTTCTGCCTTAGCGTCTTGTTCTGATTGCATTTCCATGAAGAAATTACCATAAATGTTCTTCCTTGAGCTGCGTCACCCCGCCGCAGTCGGTAATGGACTGGCCTGAGGCCTCACTACAAACAAGTGGCTGCTTGAAGAGAGTAGGTGAGTTGTGTTTAGTCTCTTTGCTTAAGAAATTAGGCAAAGTTAAAAAGATACTTTGTGGCTAGTACTATGGCTGGGACCCTATATGTACTGTTGATGAAGTAAGTTGCTGTTCTGAGCATCATTTGTGGCTATAGAGTGGAGTTTTGGTTGAGGTGTGCACTTGGCTTCTCAGACCGCTGTGTATTGCTATCGTGCGGTCGTTACTAAATTTGGAATAACTAGAGAAGCAAGCAGTCAGCAACATTCATCTTTTGACGGGGTGTCTAACTCGGTGTTATAATGGGTTTGACCCTAAATTATCCCTTTAAAGTGTAAATAATAAAGGCAGTAGGGTGTTGAATGTGTTGTGAATTTGTGTCATTTGCCATCTAACATCCTCATTTCTCACAGTGTGTACCACACATTTATGTCATCTTTACAAATGATTTTATCCACATCCAGTGAGATCACATCATAACAGCTGCCTTAACATCTTTTCAGTCTAAACTCAGAGTTGATCAGAGCATTAAAATAATGTCCCCATCCTAAGTTTCCTGTTTTAATTAATATATGCGGTAAAGTTAAAACCAAAAGTTCAGTCCTGCAACATAAACTGAACAAAGTAGAGTCAGAAAGGAAGAGATCAGATTTTGGCTTATATCAGACTGACGCTGTTCTTCATCACAAGTGCACTCTTCCTAAATGGTAAAGGCAGCATGAAGTGCTTTTCCACATTACTGATTCTTTCAGTACCACAACAGTTATGTCAGCCTGGCACTCTGCTGCTGAGATTCTATTTTTAAACAGAAATACTGTTAAATTAATGAAAACCAAGTCAAGATGAATAATTCACAGAGCACATTTGAAAACAAGTGTTGACTGAAGTGCTCTACAGCCACATTTAAAATGCAATTAATTAATGAGAGTAAATGTGGAGATATATCAGTGCAAAAGTGGAAACTTGGAATCAGATGGAGACAAACACGGTCACCACTGCACTCATCCTCCTGGACATCTGAGCCAAATCAGCATGGAAACCGCAGCATCCAGTAGTTAAGATATTCAAGTCTGGACATCTGGACTTGACATTGTGATCCCTGGAGCCAAGGCCAAGTCCCTGACTGACAGTCAGACCCTCAGGTCGCTGCATCTGTCAGTCTGTGAGCCGGCTCACGGCCGAGCAGAGCTGTAATCACCATGAGGCTGAAATCACTGTCATTTTAACCAGCAACATGAGGAAACTCCACATTCCTGAAGCAGCCGTGCAAGACCAAGCAGGTCGGAGACAAACAGAGCATGTCGCTGATGCCCGGCTCCTAGAATTATCCCTCGGTCAGATTCTAAGAAGTGTGATCCGATCTCAGCGGTCCTGTCTGATGCCTCGTTGATTCGTATCAGCTGTGTTCAGATCCCTGGACTCCTGCATGAGGCCCCAGGTTACATTACCCTGGGATAGCCTCAAACACACCATAAAACTATCCAACCACCGACTGTCTGCGAATCCTGACCGGGGCTGCCGAGATCACTCAGTCTTCCCCTCAAAGAAACCATAAAATCATTTTCAAGCCTTGGTGCATACGTTTGTTTTTCCAGGATTTTCAAGAGGGGGGGTACGGTGTATTCAGATCATTTACTAAATTACCTGAAAGTGTTTGACCAAGCACAGACGTAATATGAGACCATCAGTCACATGTTTCAGAATGAAAACCCCAACAGCTTCTTCTGTGTGAAATTTAGGATGTAGAGATGATCAGCTTTCATGATTCAAGATGTCCAAATTAATCATAAAGGGTGTTACACCTGGAGATTGACTTAAAATATCTGCATTTTTTGTGTTTGGTACCAGCAATTTATGTCTAAAAATATGTTACATGAGCATGTTTATGCTCACAGACGCCAGAATGAGAGCGTTCAACACCAACACAGTCATACGCCAATAAAGAACAAAGTTCAGTTCACACATTTAAAAATTAACTAGAAAAAACTACATAAAATTAACCCCGAGCCCAATAGGGGGCCCCCAAGAGCAATCAAAAAATAATATTTCTTATTTTTTGCATGTATGAGTGATGATTTCTGTATGATCAAATATATATTATTGAAAAAAATTATAATAAAGTAAATCATTTTTGTGATGTATGCCTACTACCGATATGTCAAAGCTCCGCTACCGTTATGTGCCTCCTGCGGTGCAATGTGCACTCAGCATCCAGAGCGCAGGTAGTTGTGGGGCAAAACAATGTCGCAAAAAAGGACATATCCCTCAGGAGCAGAGAAAAGAAAGAGGAAGAAGAGAAAAAACGCCAAGATAAAGGTATGTTTGCGTGTAATTGAATGATAATCAAAGAGATTTGTGAAGGTGTGTGAATGATCAACAATCAATATTATTGGCAGAAATAGAGGACCCCAAAATCAAATTTTGCTTGGAGCCCCATCTAGGCTTGGGTCGGCTCTGCGTTCACACCCAGCAATACAGACACACCTAAAGCTCTGCTGTCAGGCTCAGTTTGAGTTTCACAATCTTGAGAAAAGGTTCTTCAGCATGTGGCGATCACTCCGCCGACCCTCACCTATTTAAACACTGTGATTCATAGATGTGGACAGCTCCCATTTTTATAATAGTGTTGGTATAAACAGTCAAATTGGTGTCCTCCCGCTGAATCTAACCCCCTTAGGGTATCAGTTTCGGTGTGAGGATAGCTGCAGACAAAGTGTTTGGCCTCTCGTACTGTGAAGGAATTTACTGCTCTGCTCCAGCCTGCAGGTTGTCACCAGGTCAGTACATCCCTCGCTGTTCGCAATAATGAGTCAGGGTAACATTTTGCAGGCGTGTCAGTCTGTATTTGTGCCTGCCCGGTAAAATGCCAGCTCTCTGACCAGCGGACCATGGGAGGGAATGTGCTCTGGGTCAAAGACAGGCCATGTGGTCGTTTCAGGCCATGCACTGCAGACTGCAGCCAGGAAGCACTCGACTGTGTCCAGCATGCATATTGATCAAATGAGCCCAATCAGCCTCTGAGTGTCAGACATTGTAGTTTTTAATGAGTTTTCTGCAGCCTGCATTCATCACACTCTTTTATCAGCGGCTGTGAATGAAGCATTTGGGGGGTTCGGTTACAACATGAAAGGCTGTTTGTTCAGCTGTTCTCAGTCGTCTCCGTCCATCCTCCTGGTATTCAGTGAGAGTAAGAGCTGTTAGCAGCCCCACCCAGACTGTGTCAGACTATTCACAAGACGGTTTAGAGATGATGATATTCAAATGTCAATATTTGGTGCTGTGAATGTCGGTTTAAAAGAGGACGCTGATGGTTTTAAACCTCAAATAAACTTTTAGTGTATTTCTTTTCTGACTTTCTTTGCTTCGGTTCAGCTAAAAAAAAGGTGATGATAGATGCAATGTAGAGAGCACCTTTGACAATACTCAGGCTGTTATTCTACCTGTTTCTTAAGATTTTAGACAGATTTGGCTGGATTTCTTGAGACACATGTATCTAACGTATAAACAATGCCAGAAAGCCATTACTTTGAACGGCCTTGAAAGATTGCAAAAGCAAGTACTAACATACTCTTTGCCAATTTTAGGTCGTAAACAGTGTTTAATACTGAGGGCTGCTCATGCTGTTGCTTACTTATGCTGGCATCATAGCACAGGTTATATCAAGGTGTTTTATCCAGTAAAAGTAGTCCTGCAGTTAAGTTTTTATAAACTCTGTTCTATAAAGCATGAAGAGGGGGAAACTTTTGGAAAGTTTCCTGTCCTTCAAATCGAGTCTACATGATTATACTGTATGTAAGAGGCTGTTGTATTTACATGACCGACTACAGACATAAGACAGCAAAATGTGCTAAATTACTTATAAAAGTAGGGTGACCATATTCTGAATCCCCAAAAAGAGGACATGACTATGCGGGGCACATGGAGTGACGCATGGTAAATTTTGAGGTTTTGGATCGGGTTGAGTGTTTTTTACGCGCTGCTAACTCAGTAAGTTCACACAAACTCAACACATCCATACAAAATCCTGGACATTTGAAGGGTTTTATAAACTCCCTCAGACAAGGCCGGACAAGGTTGGACACCCCCTCAAAAAAGGGGACATGTCTGGGTAAAAGAGGACGTATGGTTACCCTAATAAAATCCACTCATTATGTGAGGCCAACAGCTTTAAGTGTAGTTCTGCAACATCCAGGAGCTTTTCTATCCCACAGAGGAGATCAGTTTATCAACAGACACTCTTCAGACCCAATACCCCAAAGACAAATGTAATCTGTTATTATTTATGGATTCATGTTTGTGCCATCTTTGCTTTGGTCTGTCAACCAATCCACAGCTAGCTGATTTGTAAACAGCCATTATCAGTGAGAAAAACAAATTGTTATAAATTTTAGTATGTCTGTGTCTGTAGTTAGTATTTTGGCATGATAGACTTCACTGAGTAGCAGCTGTGTCACAGCACTCAGCTCATGAAATGAACTGCGCCCTGATGAAAACTGCTATTCAGACGCTGGTGTGTACTCTGGTTTAGGCCCATGATCAGGATGTTTTTCAGTGTTTTACTATTCTGTGTTTGGTGTCATTTTAAAGAGACCCTCTTGACTTTGGCCAAGTCCAATTTTTAATCAAAGGTATTTTTGGCTCTAAGGCAGTCAGTAACATACATTTTTCCACAATATCAATTGTGGATCGGGTTGAACTTAAGCATGGAAATGGGTCTCATGTAGATATGAGTTTATTTTGACAAAAAGGAGAACTCATCTGGACTCTCACAGTTCTAAGCCTGTCTGGGTACTCCAAAACAACAACCAAACATTTAGATGCTGCTCATAGTTTTAATCCAGAGTTTAAAGCTCACCTTCTTGTGTCAAATATCTCATTTATATATTAAAAGAAATCAGCTACACATTGGTCCACAAGAGTCTTAAAAACTTAAGTGAGTGTTGCTCCAGTGTCCTCAAACGCACCAAGCTCGGGAGAGTTTTACCTTATGTAACATTGAAAATCCTCATTCACAGCTGCCTTGACTGCTGGTTTGTTTGTGAAATTCTATAATATTGTATTGTTTGGCATGAGCAAACCCTCTGTGTTCAAGGCTGCACAAGAGTGGTTATTTATCCTGTAAGGTAAAATGACTACTTTTGACGGTGTAATCTGGTGACTATCGACCAAAGTTTACATTGTGCTCAAATGCCCTTTAAGATTATGTTTCATTCTTACTGCCATTTAGAACCTAAAATATATAATATTATTTCCTCTGCTTGAAGCCACTAAAATACCCTTATTATGCTTTTTAAGAAGCTGCCCAACAAGCAGCAGCCTTGTGGTTTGAGAAGAGCAGTTTCCTAGAAGAAAGCTGATATATTGTAATTTGGAAAACACAGTCTCATGATGTTTTATAAGCACTGTAAGTCTCCAAATAAACTCTCTCCCACACAGATTATTGTTCTGCAAAGCCAGAACAACAATCCCAGGCCGCTCTGGAAGACAAATATATTTGTGTTTCCCTCGGTACCCCAAAAAATAATCCATCAAGGAGCCAGGATCCACAATGGGCTCAGGATCAGCTCAGTGTTTGCAAATACAGCCCTAAAATGTTTGATATTCACATGTAAAGATTTGCATTTCGATGTCATACAGTTAGACGATTGTTGAAAACTGCATAAACACACACCAGAGTTGTATTGTGAAGTATACAATGTAAAACGTACATTTGAGTGTTTGGGAGTTGAAGTTATATGAGGTGAGATTTGACCATGGTGACAGTGCAGACTACTTTTTGAGAGTAAGAAATAGACACAAGCTTTAGCTCTAAAATGATGCTGAATATATCTTCAGCTTGAATTTCCTTTGATGGCCAGTAGGGGGTGATTCAAGATAAAGTCAGTATGCATCCAAGTAGATCAGATAAAGGCCAAACTTTTCATCTGATTTATGAGCCCAGCGAACTTTCTTTTTTATGGCCTCAACCTTGGAGTCCTCTTTGAATCAGGATGATACCTCAAGTCTTTTTATTTCACCATCTCTCATCACATCCTCTGGCAGTCTAACCTCTCACATTACGACTAACAAAACCTTGAATTGATTTAAATCCCATCTCCTTTAGTCAACTCGAAACTTTTCCACTCACTGTCGGTATTCCTCAGGGTTCCATCCTGGGGCCTTTTCAGTTAATTGTAAATCTAGTTCGTTGAGGTTATATCTTTTATAAATTTAATAATTAGTGCCATTGCTATGAAGATATATGTCCGACAAACTTAGCTCCTCCCTCCTGGTCACTTACCTCCCAATTGCCCCGAGGAAATCAAATCTAAGTTTTCAAATGAAAAAGCAAACAGAAGGATCGTCGAAGTTAAAGTCATCGTTAAATTTTGATTTAATCACCTCTATAACTAATTCGTGACTTAAATTTTCTTTGGTTTGTCATTTAAGTTCCACTATCAAATAAAAAGACTGGGCCGACTGCATCGGAGGACAAGACGGGCAAGTCGTGATGCAATTAAACTTAATGTTCATTTAGGCTTTTGATGCTTTAGCAGCTGTGGAAGATTGTAAATCTGCATACCACCAGCTCAGAAATACTAAAATTATTACATCATTTTTCAAAGTAAATGTCCATAAGTTAAATCAGAGTATTTAATGGAACTCTTAACACTTTTATTTGACTAACCTGAAATATTACAGCCATCACCAGAGGCTTTGGTATAACTTATCTCGACGGGTCTCAAAGTTTTTGCCTCTCTTACTCCAGAGTTGTAGCGTCTTGAGCTTTTCTTTTATTCTACCTACGAGCAGCTAAAGCGCAGCAAAAGTAAAAGCAACGTGTGGATCCAGCCATCAGCTGAGACGGACACACACCCTCCCTCTCCTGAGGCGCTCCTCATTAAAGTTGCATTAGTGAGGATTCAGCTCTGTCGTACCTCCTGAGTGAAGGGATTTTTCTTCAGACTTTCTCTACCCCTGATGTTCAGCAAATGCACACACAATGGATGCTGAAAGACCAATATGCTTGGCTGGGATCAGTCTGACATTTGAATGGCCATGGAGCGTGAAGCAGGAGAGGAAGTGTGAGTCATTCTCTAGACTGGATCTGCAGGATCTAGGAGGTTTAAAGGCAGAGCTTTAGAAACAGTATATCAATCACAGATGATTTACGGTTGAATTTCCAGTAAGATTGATATTTTGAATTTAGTTTCATTGTGAAAACTTGGGTAACAACATGGCATTTCCACTCACCCTTGACCTGAATCATGACCTCTTGGTCCCTTATTCTTGTCAGGTCATGATCATGGACAGACCATGGCGCACCCACCATAAGCTCCTCTTGCAGACATAGGTTTATATAACTCAGTTAAACGTGGGGTTTACAATTCCACATTAACCTTCAGTTAAAACAGCAAGTATCTCCCCCTGGTCTGTCAGATATACGGCCTTTTGAGCCTCCCTTTACTTTCTGAACCAAAGAATGACCAGGAACCAGCCACAGAAGGCGATTCCAACCAATCAGATGTCAAGATGCCAATGTCTCTTTTGGGGTTGGAATGGCTTTTTGCTGCAGAATGACTGGGACATTTTGGAACTATTTAATAGGCTCATTTCGTTTTATACTTATGAGTCCCATTATATTGAGACATTATGTTTTAAAAAATAGCTTTGATAAAATAAAATTACACAGAGAATGTCCTTTTTTGTATCTTTGATGCATAGACACACCCTGGAGGGGCACAGGGAGTTAGATAGGCTATTTCAAAAGAGCCTGTTTGAGGTCTACGAAAGCTTTACGATACCAAGACAAATTTATGTTCATCTGCTAACTATTAATAATGGTATAACCCACATGGAAAGCATGCTGTTATGTCTTCAATTACTGTCCTTTTCATATTTTGCTGTAGGACACAGTTATTCTTATTCTTACACTGATGTTGGGGCAAGCTGAGGGTCTCTGATGGGCGGTCCACACTGACTTCATTAGAGAGACAGCAGCGTTCTCCAAGGACCTACCTCATTGTCAAGTTGTCTGACTTTAACCTGTTAGTAGAGTCCTTGTCTTTGACCTTGGTCCCTCCAATCCATCAGGAGAGCCCTCTGTTCAGCATGTATCCACCTGTTAGCACTCAGGGTAAGGTGTACAATAATGAGCAGGGGTGTGTCAAGACCTTTATGACTGAAGTGGCCTAACCTCAGCACTGACACTTCTGGGGTGGCATGAAGCATGTGATAAATAGTAATTACATTAACATTAACATTAGTTAAAGGGATATTCCGGTGTAAAATAAGTTAGGGTCAAACACACCATAACACCGAGTTAGACACCCCATCGAAAGATGAATGTTGCCAAACACTCCCTTCTCTAGTCATACCAACTTTAGAAATGACTGCAGGATAGCAATCAGAGAGCCATGCGCTCAACCAAAACACCACTCTATAGCCACAAATAATGCTCAGAACAGATACCTAACTGGTTATCAACAGTACATATAGGGTCCCAGCCATAGTACTAGACACCAAACATCTTTTTAGCTTTGCCTAATTTCTTTAGCAAAGAGACTTAACACAACTCACCCACTCTCCTCCAGCAGCCGCTTGTTTGTATAGAGACCTCGGGCCAGTCCCATACCAACTGCGACAGGGTGACACAGCTCAAGGAAGAACATTGATGTGTTTAATTTTAAGACAAGTCTTGTCTCTAACAAGGGAAATAGCTAAATTTAAGGTTGTTTTTTCTTTTCCACTTCAGGTTCAAATTTGACTCCCTACGACTTCCTACAATGGCTTTATACAGTTTAACTTCCAGGTAAAACTCAACATGTGAACTGCTCAGACCACTTATGCCAGTTTGAGTCCGATGAAGGTGTAAGCTTGCAAGAGAAAATCAACCCCAACCACACTGTCTGAATGTGTTTGTCCAACCATGGATTTTAAATGTCCAATTTCAGCAGGACTGACACCTAAACTACAACCCTTCCACGTACTGATGGTCATTGGTCACAATTTGACAACAATGTGATGCAAATATTGGTTAACGAGACTGCTCATGATCGACTTCCTTTGGCTAATTCCAACAGATAAGGTACTGTAATAACATCCTTATATCTACCAGTATGGTGTCCTCAGCAGCACACGCTCACACGGTGATCTGTAAATAGCATAAACAAACACTATCTCTGAGCTAAAAGTGTAAGCAACCATTCAGAGGATTTCTCAGATTCCTGGATGAGAGCAAAACAAACCAGACGATATAATCACAGTGTAGAAATGTTTGAAACAACAAAACAATATTCTGAGGTCACAACTCCAACCTGAGCAGTGAAGCCGCCCTGTCTGTTTACACTCGGAAGAGGAGAGATTGCAAGTGTGACCACACTGAAGGAATGTGTGTGTTGATTGCTATCTCACATGTCCCATATACATTCTGAGGGAGGAATGCTGGCGGTTTTTCCAGCTAAATGGTAACAGCTGTTTCTGAGTGATGTGTTTGATGGAGGTCGAGGGAGCGCTCTGCTTTTATTTACTTTGGACACAGCCTTGGAAGGGCCGTACTTCAAACGGATGCAGACTGCCATCAGACGCCAGGCCCAGCAGTCAAACATTCTTTGGTTTCCTGCAGCAAAACATGGCGTGTTACCCTGGGCGTTCAGTTTCAGCGGGAAAGACCCAGTTTGTGTTGGGCACCGCAGGGCCCACAGCTGGGATTTTACAGGTCAGCACATTTCAGCTGGAGGCTTCACGTCCCATTATGGGAGGGAAAAGGAAACAGAGAAGGTTTACCTCAGCCTGGGAATGTGTTTACAGGCGGCTGCTTACTCTCACACACTGTATGGATGGTTTAGTGGTTTTTACTTCTACTTAGAGTGTTTACATGCACTTAAATAACAAAGAAACTTTTATTTTCCGCATTGATCATGTGATATAAGTCTTAAATAGTGCATTCACTGTTGCCTTTATCCTACTTGTTTATGCTTGTGTTTGGTCTTACATATCAAGAATATACCTGCAGTAGCCCTGCAGGTATATTGACTTATTTATAATTGATAGATAATAGTTTTGATGATAAATGGTGATAAATTGATCACCATAGCAACATGCTTGCCTGTAGATGCACCTGACGCCTTAAAGGGATATTCCGGCGTAAAATTAATTTAGGGTCAAACACACAGAGTTAGACACTCCCTCGAGAGATTAATGTTGCTGACCACTTGCTTCTCTAGTCATACCAAATTAAGTAACAAACGCACGATAGCAATACACAGCTGCCTGAGGAGCCATAAACAAACCTCAACCAAAGCGCCACTCTATAGTCACAAATAATGATCAGAACAGCACCTAACTTCATCAACAGTACATATAGCATCCCAGCCACCAAACATCTTCTTAACTTTGCTTAATTTCTTTAGTAAAGAGACTAAACACAACTCACCCACTCTCTTCCAGCAGCCACTTGTTTGTAGTAAGACATCAGACGTGGTAGTTCTTCTGCCTTAGCGTCTCGGTCTGATAGCATTCCTATGAAGAAATGATCATAAATGTTCTTCCTTGAGCTGCGTCACCCCATTGTAGTCCGTAATAGACTGGCCTGAGGTCTCGCTGCAAACTAGCGGCTGCTGGAAGAGAGTAGGTGAGTTGTGTTTGGTCTCTTTGCTAAAGAAATCAGGCAAAGCTAAAAAGATGTTTGGTGTCTAGTGCTCTTGCTGGGACCCTATATGTACTGTTGATGAAGTTAGGTGCTGTTCTGAGCATTATTTGTGGCGTTTTGGTTGAGGTTTGTATATGGCTCCTCAGACCGCTGTGTATTGCTATCGTGCGGTCGTTACCAAAGTTGGTATAACTAGAGAAGCAAGCAGTCGGCAACATTCATCAAGGGGGTGTCTAACTCAGTGTTGCGGTGTATTTGACCCAAAATTAATATAACGCTGGAATATCTCTTTAAGGGAATAGGACCAGGCACATATTGGTTTATTTCATGTATTTCAATTCAGAGGATTGTTCCTCATTTAGTGCCCAGATTGTGGCAAAATGCAGTCTCAGACACAAACTCAATCACTCTCCATCACACACTTTAGACTGTGATTTTAGATTGTCAAAATAGAGCCCTGTAAGTACAGTTAAGTGTACACGTCACACATGCAGGGAGAGATAGTTTTGAAACTGCCATGGTCCAAGCTATCTCCTCATGCCTTTAATGAGACAGAGAGAATGATGGGTAATTTCAGTGTAATCTCATTCCAGTTATCACAGAGGACAGACTGCAGCATGTAATTTGCTCTGCGATGGTGCTGAGAATGATTAGCTGCAATCTGCCACTGCTCCATGACCTCTGAGCTTTCAAGACCCTGAGGCGTGCAGGTGATGCTGCTGACCCCTCTCAGACCACCCCACTCCCCAGCCTCTAGCAGCTGATAGCGACCCATAAGGATGTGACTCAATAAGAAGAGTTTCTCTAGACCTGCTGCCAATAACAGCATCCGTTATATAAAGGTGAAACACAGTTCATCTGGATTATTATCTCTGCGTATTACACATTCTCTCTGTACCTCAAACCCTGAACTTTTGAAGCGTCTTCGGGCACACATTGCATTTTTAAACTCCTTCATGACACTTTGATAATAAAAAATATAATTCATTTATTCACCACATTTTCCCTCATGTGGATACTTTATTTTATTTCTGTTTATGTTAATGCCAAAATATAATCCTTGTTCATTTGAATCTTTCCAGTAATAAACCTAATTCAGATTTACTTTGCCTGTAATGTTTCAGTAGAGATTACAACAGGTCTTACACATCTGACAACTGCTGAACTGTTGTTTTAGGGGTAAAGAGCTTATGTGGCGCAAGAACATATAAGTATGAAATAGTATTGTGTTTGTTTTGATTGGCCAGAACTCCATAACTACACCAACAAAAGCAACAGCAACATCGGCAACAACCTGATCACATATGTCGTGCAATCATCTAAAAAGAATCTGGCTTCTGCCGGTTGACAATGTGGTAAAATAAATACATAAATAAATAAGTTTTGTGTCCATTTAAGGCTGTTTTTTCTTTTTAAGTGGGGGAATAATGATATTTAACAGGCAAATTTGTAAGCTACTGGACCCAAACCATCTCTAACAGGAAAAATGGAGCAACATCCTGTCCTGCAATCTGTGCACCGGCGGCAGCAGAGCTGGTGAGAGCATCTCCAAACTGCTGATCTCTACAAAGTAACTTCAACTACGAGCTGTGGTGAAAATATCAACAGCATTTAAAATCTATTTGCCTTATTTTTGTTAAAGAGAACTTGGATTCTTATATGCGAACATTACATTTTGGCCTCCATGTGCCTTAATAGTAAATTCTGCTAAACTCTATGACCTCTATGACCAAAACATGTGAGGACATTGGGACTCTTTATCTGGTAAAAAACCAATACAGCTAAACCATGCCTCAGTCATCATTGGGCATTAAAATGAAACCATTTACAGTTAAATTTGTAATAGCATGGCAATGATTAGATATTGAGATTAAGTCCGTTACACAACAGAGTCATCATTGTGTAACATGGTGACAAAACACAATTGGCCCCATTTTGTAAAAAACTGCTCACTGTTCAAAGACAATATTCAGGTTTTAAATCTTGTTCAACTGATCCAAAGTAGGTAGGGGAAATCAAAAATGCTCGACAAACAAAAGCTCAGGTCTCAGGAGGTTAAAGAGTGCGTCAAAGCTTTGAGAGGGAGAGTTGAAAGAGGACAGAAATATCAGCATAAATATTCCTCGGGGCCAATGTTTCACAATTGCGTGTAAAGCAGCGTGAAGCACAAGAAAGCGACAATATTTCCAAGTCTGAGCAAGCAGCATAGAGAACCACTTGACTGTCACAGCGGGGACACTTAAATTCAGCAATCAATAGTTAGTGCATGCCCTTACACTTCAAGATGGGAAACCATCTGAATGCACACACATACCATCTAGAATGACAAACAAAGCTCCCTCAGAGTAACACTCAGAGCAGAGAACCACCGGAATCACAGATATGTTAAAAATCTGCGGCAGTTGGTCGTCACAGTGTGGAGGCTGAGGCAGGACATACCATACAACATAACAGAGAGGCAGCTGGACATGACAACAATACATGGAGCAAGCAGTTCACGAGAGCACGTTAAGAGGCCTGAAACAACTCCTTAAATAACACACAGCCTCTAATAACATCACATTAATAACGACACACTTACCTCTGGTAAGATCATTAACGTTTTTACGCCGAGACACGTCCCCTGAGCATGATAGCAGCTATAACAGAGTGGTTGCTGAGGGTTTTAGTGCAAAGTTTTACAGCTTTCATGATTAAAAGCACCGTCTTAATTGGTCTCCTTCCCCACAGCTACCAATTGTTCAGAATCATACGAGAGAGAGCGATGGATCGTAAAGTTGTATTCAAAGCGAGGGTATAATACTCTGAACCACAACAGAATAAACACCTAAAGACGTGTTTGTTGACAGAAACTACAGGACAACTAAACAAAGGTCATTTTAACTAACAGCATGTAAGAACAGTAGGCTTATCACATATTTATTTTCATGACGGCATGGCTGCTACAGCATCCTACGCACATGCAGACCCCCTGCAGAGAAGCTGAGTCTGCAGACAGGGGTTCTCCAAACAGCCTGACGCAGACCATGAATCCACAGTCAAATTCTCAGTTATGGACCACTCATACATGGATCCAAGCTTTAAAGATTTATAAAACCACTTCTAAGTTGTAAAGCATGTCCAGTACTTTGGTTTTGAAGGTAGTAATTAACCTCAGAGTGTAAATCTGTTACTCAGGTCCATATTTTCCCAGTTAATCTGAGGGGTTTGCAGTGTTCATCATGGATTGGTGTTGCAGAGTTGAGCAGTTTCTTGTCAGGGCCCCATGCTCATTTCCAGGATCAATCAGACGTACAATGGGACTAATGTAATCTTTTTATGCATGGAAAGGTGAGGTTGAACTTAGTCAACTTTGGCAGTAATCTCTTCTTCCTACACTGTCTTCACCTCCCTCCCCCCTCTGAGGCACGAAGAAGACAAGTGGGAGCTGAGGAATGCACTTTAGAGCCGACACAATAGAAGTCTTTTGTGAAAGATGAAAAGAATATTAGTCACCGCTAATGAGATTTGATGTAGGACTGCCATTGTCAGTTCAGACCAGATGGGTAGGGTGCATGCCGGAGCAGCCGGTCTACACACATCAAAGAAAGGGGATCCCTGTCTTGCGTGGCGCAGACTTTTGGTGTTTCATGCAAGGACAAAAATGAAGAGATTAATTAAAGGGATGTTTTTTTTTGTCAGCATCCGTCTTAATGAGGGGGCTGCTCTGTGCGCAGCCTGAAACAGGAGCCACCTACAACCCATGACTGAGACTTTGAACTTCACAACAAAACATCCTCTCAGGCTGCTTCTTTTCATCTCAGAGACTCTTCATTTGGCCTCCCTCTGATGATATCTCTTGTTGATTCACCCCCCTCCCCCTTTTGCGTCCTCCTTCAGATACAGTATGATGACACAGTCCTGAAAGTCCTGTAAATCATCCTCATAATTAAATAATTATAATACGTACCAGTGGATACAAACCTTAATCGACCTCATTTTCAAGGTAACCAAACTGAACTAGCTTTGTTAGATTTACTTTTTCATTATGTTTGCCACCCTGGGAAGGCGATCTAGCAATATATTCTGTTTTTATGCAGAAGACAGCCTGTTTTATGTGCCACTAAATCTGAATGTAATCCCGACTAAATTTGACGCCAGCAACATGATTCTAAAATGTTGTTAGAGGACCAACCAAACAGGTAAGAAGTTGTGTAATGCTAAAAACAGCTGGAGGAATATCTCCAAATTATTGATGTTAATCTACAACAGATCAATAGCATGACCAGAGAGACATGAATGGGCTCAAAATCACATCCAATTCAGATCTGCATCCACAAACGTATAAGTTCAAACTAAGAAAGGAATGATTTCAGAACACCAGAAACCTCTTTGGACCCAAAAGTTTAGTATTTCTTTTGGAAGTCATGGATGCCACATCCTACGCTCTAACCCTGAATTTCCATGGCATCTGGAACAGCTCTGATCCGGAACAGCAGGGATTTTCGCCATCAGCCAATTCCTACCAGACCCATTTGTGAGGCAAATTTCATGGCGGATTACGAACAGCCGGAATCACGAGAACTCACAAGAACCCGCGGATTCACCTGCAATCGCGCAATAACAAGTTGTCTCTATAAAGACAGCCACATAACCATATAAGCAGTAGATTCCAGAGGAGGAAATCCACTTCTAGAATCTTTCTGGAATCAGCATCTCCTCATCAATGGTGTCATTGGGATGAAATGCTTTCACTTGTTCATCCCCGCCCGTTTGCATGGTGTGAAATACAATCTGCCTGAGACACGTAGTGTTTTATTTTGAAAGGAAGCTGGATGTTTTATTTTGTGGCTGTGCCCGAATTTATCTGGCATGCTCCAGTGTCTAGAAAAAATAGAACTCTTGCGATCAGCTGTGGAGTCCAGCGATACGCAGTGGAACGCAAAGAAGCTGGTAGAAATTGACACATTAACTTCAATAAGTTACGATCAGCTATGTCCAGCGGATACGGCCTTTTCGTAGTGGTTCCGGATGCGGTGGAAATTGGTGGTAAAGAGTAGAGGAACCACTCAGCCAGCATCCCTAATGGCATGGTCCAACAGTATAACCAAACTACTGAAGTAACAGCAAAGTTTCAATTAACCCAAAATGATGCTGTCTGATGGTGAGGTAATCCTAACAAAGTTTGATCGGTTACTGAAACCTGGAGCTGTTCATCTACAAAGACCTTCATGAAGGCTCAGAGACCTAAGCTTAAAGCAACATTAACACAGCTGATAATGGATCAATAAATTATATATAACAGGGAGCTAGCATGGATGTGAACAACTAGCCTAAGACAGTTTCAGTAAAGGTATAACTTTCAGGTTGTTTGTAAGTAACATTAAAACAACAGCTAATGTAGCAAATGTGGAGTAAAGTGTGTGCTAATGACGAGCCTAATACATTAGATTGTTCATGGCTGTTTCTCTGTAAAAGCAGCCATAATGAAGGGTTTCAGGCAGAGGACAAATAGAGCCAAATTTAGGGTTTTCACAGATGTCATTGTGAGACAAATACGTGTTTTGTTTTTTTTTCTGCTGGTAATCTTGATAAGCTGCTCTAAAGCTGTCCCAGACTGACAGAATAAAAGGTGAAGATAAGTGTAATGAGTGTCCTTTAACACTGAGCGATTACTCTCATTTAGAGAGTGATATATATGTGAGAACATACCTGTAGAATTGGTGTGTTTTAGCTGTTACAGCAGCATTGTTCCCTTGCATAAATCTTGACTAAGTGTCCTACATCTAAATAAGGACCATATGTGGAATGTCTCTTTGGGCGTCTTTATGCTTTATTAATGTACAGATCGAGCCTGTGAGCCAAACTAGCTCCTCTCAGTGATGATTACAGATTGGAAACAGTTGCTGTTTATTAAATGTTTTACTGAAAAGGCCGTACATATTGCACTTGTTCTTCTCTTATCAGGACTGAGATTAGATTTATTTTACTCTGCTGAGGTTTGCCAGCGCCTATCATGAGATTAAGGGAAGATGTGTAATATACAGTGTAACGATAATTCAATAAAATGTTGCATTATGCTTCATGTAATCCATAATTTGATTAAGATAAAGAGATTCCCTCCGTGTTGGATGCAGTCCAGGGTTCGTCCTCCAGTTTTACTGTAAGAGCTGAGACATGCTTAAAGAGTAAATCTGCTCCATGACATTCATTGTAACTCATGACGTTAAATCCTTCATACAACGCGGCTCTTTACCACTAAGTATAAGAGATGGATGTGCTGCAGGATATTCATCACTCACTGATATCATTTAATTTGCTATTCCACTGAGGCCACAATGTTCCTCCCTGCAGCTGCTCCAGTATTGTTTCGAACAGGCAGTGAGTGCATATGCTTTTATCATAATCCAGTATCTATATGCTTAACGTAATATCTTACTGTCTATGTAACCGGGTCCTGACACACAAACGACTAAAAGTTTGCTGTAAGAGTGACCTTGAGACTTTATTCTGTTTGTTTTAAATGTCTTCACGCACATATTTGAGTAAATAGTTTTGCATTTATTTCCTCTGTTCTTTGCTGTCTCTTTAAAGCTACAGGTTTGTATCGATTTTGGCGCCCCCTGTGGACAAAGTGATACCTCTTACCTCTCGTTCTGTTCTTAAACCTCAATAAACCTCTTCCTGTTGTCTTTTAACATCTTGCACTCACCCTCCATACTTGTTAAGTACAAAAAAGGCCATTTCCACAGTCTGTTGTCAATTATCTAGCCTGACACCACTCCCTCATGTGGGTTTGAAACTAACCCGGGATTTCCAATGCATCCGGAACGGCTCTGAATCCAGAACGTAGGAATCGTGAGAACTCACAAGAACCCAAGGATTCACGCGCAATTGCGGGTTAATCTGTGCTGAATTTATCTGGCATGCTCTGGCGTCATCAGCGAAAAATAGAACTCTTGCGATCAGCTGCGGAATCTGGCGATCCGCAGCAGAACGGAAAGAAGCCGGTGGAAATTGACACATTAACTTGAATGGTTACGATCAGCTACGATCAATGGATACGGCCTTTTTGTAGCCGTTCCAGATGTGGTGGAAATTGCTACTAAGCCACCTGACCCCCAGTTGATGCCATGCAACTAAACTACACTTAGGAGACAAAAAATGCTATTTAGAGTTGAGTAGGTTCATTCCTGTCATAGACATTCATTATAAAAACATGACTTTTGTTAAGTAATGGAGGAAGCTTTACGCCTATCACTCCCACCATGACCCAAACCCTTGGTCTGCCTTTTAAAGACGTCTCATATATATGGTATATTTAGACAAAATGAGATGAGTTCCTGTCAGCAGTATCTCTCCTCCACAGGGAGGGATGCCTCAGCTCTGTATTTGTTCAGCTTCTTATTTCCCAGTGGGTCACTGGTCTCAGACGGGGTAAGCTGGAGCTGGCCGGAGGGATGTTTACTTGACCCTGCGGAGAGATAACCCAAGCTCTGTTGTAGTTCACACAATGCAGCCACTTCCTGTCAGAGCCCCACCCGCCCTGATTAAGAGGAGCGGGTTCAGAGGTTTAATTCGTGAAACTTAACACCGGCACAATATTTATGTCTCTGCAGCAGCCCTAGTCTGTATTTAATGCTAAAACTAAGAATGACTGTGTGAAGACTGCGACAGCTTTTGGGTTGTAATTAGATTTTCAGACAGTCTTATCTGCAGAAAGAGAACATTTTCTTTCTCCTTAAAAAGCCTGAGTTCGTTTGACGATGACAATAACAATTCAATCTGAATCACTGTCATAGTTTCATGTCTGAGAGGAGCAGACAGGAATTTCCTGGACTGATTTCTTCACTGGTGACCAGAAATGGGTTTGGCAGGATTTGGCTGCTCAAATTGGTCTCTAAAAGAAGAAAATGAGGGGCAGCTTTGAGACTGCACCAAAGCTTCTGTTGTTGTCTTGTTCAGAGGGGAATTATAAGCCTCTGTTGGTTTTGTATTTATAATTTAAACCTTTTAAAAAGTGTGGTTATTCATGTAAACCCACTGACTCCTCCACAGCCCTTCTGCTGTTTACTGCTCTATTACTCTATTGTTTCATTTCTTTAACTTTAACACATAAACTTAAATTTCTATAACGCTTTTGATGTTATTGAGTTATATTTAAAGCCAGTCGGGCGGTGACAGTGCTCAAAAAGGTAAAGTGAACTCCATGACTTCAAACTCTTTTTAAAATTCTGTTTGTTTTTTCTCTAAGGGTCTGTTTTGACCAAGTGGCTGCAGAGGCTCTCTGAAGGATAATGAATGCAGGAATTTCAAGTACATCCAGAGACTTAAGGTGGCCGAGTTCACCTCTAAACCAGCATTTCAAGTTTATTATCGGTCACTGTAAGATAACCACTTGTTGCTTTATAAAAATAATCATAAAAGGATGTCACACTTTTGAGAAATGCTTTCAGTCATCATATATTAAGGTTAAAAATGAGAAATGAAAGTCAGACTGACACATGAACAGTCAGCAAAGACTATATCATGACTTGTAGTTGGGGTCAAAGACTTGAGACAAAGATGTAACTCTTGACTTGGACTTGCCTCTGTAAGAATTGACATATTACTTGGATTTGCCTCTCGGAGATTTGAGACTTGTTCCTGCTCCTCTGACATTTAAGACTTGTGACCACAGTCTTGAGACCCCACACTCGTGATCAAAGACTTGGGACTTGACTTCAAGTTGTCACTATAGAGACTTTTGACTTGACTTGAGAAGTTGACTTTAAACTGACTTGAGACTCGACTTGGACTTGCAATAAAGTGAAATGTACCAATCTGTGCTCAGATTTCTTTCCCTGCTCTTGTTTTGAAACTAATTTTTCTTTTTCAGCCTCAGGTGTTCTTATTCATCCTGTCACCTGTCAGTCTTGCACTATTTGCATGATATAAAAGTCATCATCTTCGCCAAGAAAGCTCCAAGCAGCCAGTTTCAACACAGCCCTGCTACAGTAGTTCAATCTGACACTAGAGAGACTTTTGCCCATCATATTAAAGACCCACTCCAATGAAAATCACGTTTTTTTCTGTTTGTCTACATGTTTGTATGGCATAATTCTGATACTAGAGGACATATCATGAGAAAAAGAAGTGTGAAATTGCATTTCTGAGTATTTCTGCGTTTAAATCGCTGTGAATCTCTGGGAGACCCAAATGGCAGGTTCAGACACAGTGACATTTCATATGTAACCAATCCAAGCTCCGCCCCCAGAGACAAGAAATGCAGGCCAGGCTCTGAGAAATAGAGAGGACGATCGAGGACTGAAATGCTCATCATGTCCCCAAAGACAATAGTGTCTGAGAGCTGAATAGCTCCTATGTTACCTGTTTTTTCTACTACACCGGCAATGTTAGGAGCAGCGCTGTCTCTGCCCACGACTCAGAGGCGAATTGCTAATAAGCTACTGGAGCTCTGCCGAAGAAAAGCCCTTGAAACTGAAACAAGTTACGCAATTTTGGCTAAAAACATCATAATCACAGTTTAAAGACTACTGATAAAACTTAAAAAAGAAAAAAATAGAGTGTGACTTAAAAATCATTTGGGATGGCGTATGGGGTGGCTAATCAGAGTCGAAGCTTTACTGCCTATCTGGACACGCCCCTGCTCTCACACCTGAAAATCTTGTATTTCTTTGCTTTTTCTGGGCCAGTTTTACCAATAACACACTCATGTTGTAAATTACAGTTTCAAATGAACCATTGTTGAGCAAAAATAACTACTTATGCAAACTTAAGGTGTCAGAAGTCCAGAGAGGGTCAGCCTCAGTTTCTGTTTGAGCTGTTAAGATGTATACACCCCCACTTCCCCCTCGGCACATCCTCCACCCATCAAAAAAAGTCAATCTCCTCAGCTTCCAGGAACAGAAGCTGCTTAATCACTTTCCAGATTGCACGCAGAGAAACCAAACTGCTGTAACAGAATGTCACTGTGGCGACAGGAAACGTGTTTATGCAAAATTACAGCTGACGCAAATCAGAGAATTCTGTGGTGACGGGGAGAAAAGCAAGGCTGTAATTTAACTCGTCTTTGTGCCTGGAAATGAAAGCTGGTTTGGAATTCACGCTGGAAATGAAAGTATACTGGAGAGTTCAACACGCTGACACTGTGTCTAACAAGAGAGGAAGTTTTAGAGGATATTTTTAGAGACATCACACTCTCAGAGCACAACGTTTCCTGTTGATTTTCCACTATCTGTAATCAGCCTCTCTATCCAACCAGCTTCCTGAAAATCCATGACCCGTAATGTCCCAGAAGGACTGTTGGGAAGTCTCAAATTTCTTCACCAAACTTAGAATTACCTGACGCAGACTTTAGCTATAATGAGTTGAGCTTAATTAGCTTCATGAGCTTAATTAATAAACATATGCCTGCTTTGCTCAACTCTTACTGAGTGGTTAATGTAGAAGCTTAGACTGTCTGAACCACCTGCAGTGCTTCATAATGGGATCGGACACATATATAAACAGTGTAAATTCAAAGACAGGTCTCTCTTGAACATATGAGACAACCTGTGAAAATAAAGATTTGATAAAATGCACAATCCTAAATCCAAAAAAGTTTAGGGAAAAAAAGGATGTTTCAAAACTGAAGGCAGCAACATGTTTCTACCACATTCTATTACAACAACGTGGTTCCGTAGTAGAAGAGTCCTACTGCAAAACTGGCCCATCTGTAGTTCTAACTTGTCAACCCTTGGAAACATTTGAAGCATCATCAACAAATAAATAAGATAAAGGAGACCCTGACCTGTTAAAGGTGGGGTACGCAAGATCTGAGGAAGGGCCAGTTTTGGGGAGAAATCTTGAATGTAAACTCTACCCCTCCCAACCAGTTTTCTCCTCAGCTCCTCCTCTCCCCTCCCTCTTTGCTCCAGCAAGCCCCGCCCACAAACAGACGCTCCTGCTCACTCGTATCGTTTCAATTAAATTCAGATATAATGCAGATAAATACTTCAGATAATTACAAATGGGGCCCAGTCAACGTGAAAGTAAAAAGCACTACAACACACTACAGCAGGTCCCGTTTGACAAGAAACACTTCTGTTACAGACACTTGGCTTACTTTGTTAAAGCAGTTTACATGTCCAGCAGAAAGGTTACAGGGTCTGTAAGATCACAAAGCTTCCCCTATCATTGTTGACCCGGCTTTTTTTATCTCTTTTTCAGGTGGTCTACATCCTTTCTAAGTGCCCATTATTCCGCCAGAGTCTCCGGTATTTACTTCATTTTCTTGCTTGTGTTGGCAGTCGTGGCTAAAGGAGGATTCAGACAATTTTCTGTACTTTCTGGTTGGTTTCTACTGTCCGATATTGTAGCATACTAACTTGGCTTGGGCTCCTGAACGACACGGGGGAGCAGCATCTGCCTCACAACCAATCAGGATGGGGGAGGCGGGGAATGGCTTTGATTACAGTCAGAAAGAGCGGGCCGCTCAAAAAATTTAAGAATGTTGACTTCACAGACATAACATTGCCATCAATGACTAACAGCTGTTGACTGATATTAAAAGCTTTTTTGTATATTTACCACAAAAAAAGATGCTTCTTTAACGGATTCCTGCCTACCCCACCTGGTGTGTTGTCAAAAAGAGAGCTGATTGAACATGATGGGAAACATGACCCTACAACAACTTTTTTAAAACATGTTGCCTGTATCAGATTTAAAATGAGTATATCAACATTGACGTATTGTTTTTGCACTGTTTTTAGTTAAATAAAGGGTTAACATAACTTGTACGCGTCACTTTCTGTTTTTCTCAACATTTCTTGCAAAGAGTTCCAACTTTTCTGGATTTGGTGTCCATTTATTTTGAGGGAAACCACAGTCTGTTTTCTAAACATAACTACAGTGGTACCGTTGCTTTTTTTATTCAGGCCCCAAACTACCCGGGAAGTTTAGGAAATAAATAATGACTTTAGCAAAAATATGTCGAAATTGGTTTCTGGTTTCAAACTGGACAAACTTGCAGTCTGTTGAAGCTTTCAGGCAGAAAGACTGCAGAGCGTGTAATTCATCACGCTGACTGACAGGAAAATAATTCATTTTTTGCAGCCACAAAATATAGTTTGCAAACTGACACAAATGAAAACAAATGTGACTGTGCGCATGTTGATATCTATTGTGTTAGCGTGTCTGTTTAACATATTACTGTGAGGTTGGTATGTTTCCACCAAATGAGTATTGTTCCATTTAAATCCAGTTTCTTCTTTTCAGCACAATGCTACACTAACACAGTGTTCCTCATTTTCAGACTACCTGAATCCAGCATTTTATCTTGTGTGCGCTCTCTGTCAGTTCGGCGGTGACACAGACGGCAGGTTTTCAGAGAGGACAAAGCCTGCGCAAGTCCGAGGATTAGAGAGAAAGGGGAGATTTTGTTTAGACCCTTAAAGGGCCCCAGTGTCCGTCTGTCCCTCTCTATCTCCCTTCTGTCCTGGAGGGGAGGAGGGGGAAGGGCGCACAATGACTTTTGACACCGGGCATCTGTTGCTTAACCAAGGAGCTCTTTCTAGAGTCCATGTGCAAACTAATACTGTACCGACGCCCCCTTATCCTCCCCCCCGGTGGCTCCTGACCCGTGACACATGCTCCACACTTCTCAGGTTCATGTCGGACAAAACATCAATAGATTGAGTTTCACAGGAGTGCAAGAAAAGTTTAAAGTTTTGCAAGATTTGTAGGCTTTTAACGTGCTGCATGGTCTACATTTACGACTTGTTTTACTGCAGGCAATTACTTAATGACTTCATGTTGCCCTCAGAGGATACAAACAGCTACAATGTGCTAATGTGAGGCAGAGATAGTTTTGTCAAGAATGCACAATCTGTTCTCCATTCGAAACATGAACAATGTCACATTTCCCTCTGCTTCTCTGTGTACGTCCTGTAGAGCCACAAATGAATAGCACAATCTGCTCCCATTAGGATAAGCAGAGTGCCTCAGTCATTGTCAATCTGTGCTTTTTCTTTTAATTAAATAAGAGGTGTTCCTACTTTTTCTCCTTGTCTTGCTCGGCTGAGTAGGTCCCATTCATTAATGGCACTGCTGTGATTAATGGCTGCACTTCAAGCCAACAGTGTGCTGCATCTGTTGTCCTCTCAGTCGGGGGGTGGGGGGGGGACGCAGGGTCCTTTTCAACTTGTAGGGGCGCAAATCTGACCGGGTGGACAGCGGAGAAGATGGTGGAATAATAGCCAGGACTTGAAAAATGAGCAAGCAGTTCACTGAGCAGTCACAATGAACAGGAGTCTGTCTTTATGGGAGGAGATTTATGATTTAACCAGCCTGTTTCTTTTTGTTCAACAACTTACATATGTTAGAGAGAAGTCACTCGTTTAAGCTAGGGTCCAACCTATTTAGCTGTATTAAACACAGTCAGCCGATACGGTCACCATATATTTGCATAATGCTGTTAAACTGATTTGATGCTTTAGGCAGACTAAATCTGGATTTTTAGAAACCAATCAACTGAAATAACTCTCTTGAAGTTGAACTTACATACCTAGATAATGCAGATCAGGATCTTCTTTCTGACCTATGAATTCTGCACGTTTGACTTTATTCTACGTCAAAATGCAAAGATAAGTTGAACCTCAATTAAAGGGATATTTCAGCGTAAAATTAAGTTAAAGTCAAACACATCGTAACACCAAGTTAGACACCCTGTCGAGAGATGAATGTTGCCGACCGCTTGCTTCTCTCTACTTTCCCACTCTCTTCCAGCAGCCGCTTGTTTGACCTCTGGTGAGTCTATCAACTGCAGTGGGGTGATGCAGCTCAAGGAAGAACATTTATGATCATTTCTTTATCATTTCCTTGAAGTAATAATCACCGTATTAATCATTTTGCACTGCAGATGTGGTAGTTCTTCTGCCTTAGTGTCTCAGTCTGATTGCATTTCCATGAGGAAACTATCATAAATGTTCTTCCTTGAGCTGCGAAACTCCGCTGCAGTCTATGGACTCACCCAAGGTCAAACAAGCGGCTGCTGGAAGAGAGTGGGTGAGTTGTGTTTAGTCTCTTTGCTAAAGGAATCAGTCAAAGCTAAAAAGATGTTTGGTGGCTAGTACTATGGCTGGGACCCTATATGTACTGTTGATGAAGTTAGGTGCTGTTCTGAGCATTAGAACCTGGAAATTAATCAAATTTATTCCACACCTTTCCATACTTTACATACTTGCATAGGAACCCTGGGATTTGATGCTTTAGGCAGACTAAATCTGGACTTTCAGAAAAATATCAACTGAAATATCTCTATTGAAGTCAAACTAACATATCCAGATAATGCAGATCGGGATCTTCTTTCTCTTGCTTGTTTACACCTCAATCAGACTTGAACTCACCTATGCATTCTGTGCATATTTGACTTTATTCTATGTTTAAATGCACAGATAAGTTTAACCTCAATTAAACAATTTAACTGGACGACTGTCCTTGTCCCAGTTGACAAGCACCAACATGAATTAACTTATTTGCCAAAGTATGTCTGCCGCAGAAGGTGGCGACATGCCTCTTTCTCCTTCTTGTCGGGAAGAGACTACGAGGTTAAGTAATGATTGATGGAAACGCTGAATAATTTACAGGCCTGTGCCTTTCGTATGTACGATACAACAGCTTTGTGTTTTTTTCATCCCCTCCTACTCTTGCCTACTATCCGAGTTTCATTCGATTTTCAGCTTCCTGCAACACATTTACGCAGTTTAACGTCCAGGTCGAAGCCTGACGTCCCAACTCTGGAGCATGCTCAGATTGAGTCTGATGGAGGCAAGAGAAAATCAGCCCTGACTGGCAGTATACAGGTACGCTACGCCGTCTATGAGAAGCCGCTAGCAGCTGCTGCATTGGTTGTCTCTTCCCTGTTTCATGGTGCATGAAAACTGGCACAAAAGACCACTACTATGAGCTCACAGAATTACTGTGTACTTATTTTTAGCACAACATGAATATTTCATTTTCAAAAAAAGATGGTTAACATCTCTTACTGGTATATTGCCACATCTAAAAGGTTTTACAAAGTCAGTCAAAGTTCATGCTGTCAGTACTTTAGAGTCAAACAACCCTCCCCCCTTATTATGAGTGATAAAAATAATAACAGGGGTTCAATTCAGACTCATACTCCAGTAATAGAGACTTCACTTTGATTCCTCCTTTGTTGAATTGGACTTGGGGGTTTTTGTGACCTGACCGTAACACCGCTTGCCGATCATGTGATGGCAGCTGAGACTGTTCCATGCTCTGACAACATGATTTAAAGCTTCAAATGGTAGCATGCGAGAACAGAAATTGTTTCCAAAGCTGCAGAATGAGCTGCCAATCTGGAAGAGAAAAATCCACTCAGAGAGGCTCAGAGGGTCTGAAAACCTTCACTGTAAAGAACCGTCCATCTTGCACAATAATCTTGATATATCCAGGTCTACAAGAGGCCAGACACCCAGTCCATTACACTCCTCTTTTCCTCCTCTGAACACACCAGCATATAAGTGTAATTATCAGTGAAGCCCTGCAGGGATCCACACGGGCCCATCCAGCCTGACAGGGTAATACAGTAAGTCACTCTGAAGGATCCAAAGAGGTTTCTCAGGAGCTGGTCTGCTCACTGAGCCAGGGAAAGCTGTCGAGTGCACCATTAAGCCGAGCGAAACAACCAATAAATCTGCCAGCGGAGATGTGTTACAGATGTCCACTTCTAGACGCAGACGGACAGACGGAGAGGACAAGAGAGGGGCAGGTACGGAGGGGTTCGAATGCTGTCAGACATAAATTTGAGCGCAAATATAGCACGCTTCATTCCTCTCAGTGAATGTGACTCTGAAATCAAGGCGGCATCACCTTACAGCACTTCTTACCTTGTTAATTAAAGATGAATCAAGTCACGCAGATTGCACGTTCTGTTGGCGTGTGTTTTGTGGGTGATCAACGAAGACGACAAAGACTGTGAAGGTGAAACTAAAGGTCTGCATGTCCAACTGTGGAGTTTGGGCAGAAAGCAGACTGAGATGAAATTGAGTCCCATTCGAGTAAAGAGGAAAAAAAGGGATCTGAAGAGTCTCTCAGGAAAACTCTGTCAGGAAAACTGAAGAAAACTCAAGTCAATAGACGCTCTACCGGACCACAGATTGTCATCTACTGGTCAGGTGGTGCAGGATGTGTCTCCTGGGGTGACACTTAGGCTACTGTCACATTCACTCGACAGTTGGTCAGCACTGAATTTAGTCTGAAAATGGCAATACCAGCAAGAGGCAGAGGTGAGGTACAAGCAAAGGTGAGGTGTCTTCATCTTAGTGGTCCCAGTGTGGAGTGGAAAAGGACTGTGAAAGGAGGGGACGAGCCGATGGAGGAGACAAGGACACGGGAGGACCAACAAAAGAGGAAAGTATGAAGATATCAATTTTACTAATATCAGTTTGGCAGTAAGTTTTTTTTGCCCATAAAATATTATTGAATGGTGATTTAACCCTTGAACACTAGGCCAAACACCAGGCCGACTAAACATGTTGACGTGATCTTCATGATGTTGCGTTTGTCTGAGTTGTCCCCGGGTAGCTGAAGCATCACCTTTGACATCTTTGAAGGCATTTTTGTTTCCTTGATCCAAAACCTGCTTTTTCCTACAGCAATAGTGATAGAGGGTAAAGTAGGTTTGAGTTTGATTTCACCCAGCAATAGTGTTAAGTGTATAAATGCAGGTGATCTTGCTGCATTTCAAGGCTGACAACATTCAGGACCGCCATATTTACCCTCCCTTCTTCGACTACAGCTGTGACCCTGTTGAAGGGTTGATGTCTCTGGCATCCCAGCTAGTGAGTAACACAAAGCTAAAGTTTGTTTAACTTAGTAATTGTACATTGAGTTGATTGTTTTTAAGCTGCATGTAGGGATAAGGTCAGTAAGAGCAGGCCTGGAATTTGCATGCTATCTTTATTTAGTGCAGTGATTATGGATAACTATCATGAAGTAGTGATTTTCAAGGGAATTCATATGGTGATAAGAAATATTTTAGTCAGCTGGTCATTTTTATTCACTCAAAAAAAAAAAAAAAAAGCCATATTTTGGTTCTCTCTCCTGTAGCTGTTATTGTGCCGAGGACCCTGAGTCTTCACCAAGGAAGACTCACATACCCCAGGAATGGATGGAAAAGAAACTCAGTTTACAGTTTTCTTATTTCATTCTATTTTATGAATTTTTTTGTTCATAAATGCCTAATTTCAGTTAATTTTTTGCATTTTTATATGGTCCCCTTATGGCACTTTTTTCCTCCCTTTGGACATTACACAGTTAAAAATAAAACTACTTTAATTTGTCATGTATTGTCCTATTTTGATATATTTTGATGATAAGTACTTTTTCTTGGGTATATTATTTCGGGTAAAAATCATCAGGCGATAGTGATGGTGTTAATAATTTTTAGCGATAGTGTTCTAGGGTTAAAAGATGAACAATTCTTGCACATTTGAGAGATGCAGGATGAGATTAGATTAGGTTGCATATTTCTTTGCAAATGCTACGAAGTTTATACACGTTGTTTCTCCATAATACAGTTTTATTCTCTGTGTTTTGGTTGTAAAACCTCATTCAGAGTTTTAGATCACTGAAAATTGAGGTTCAGGGAAATACTTTCCATGAGTGATCAGTTGTCACATAACAGGGTATCTGATAGACTGTATTCCCACAGTGGCCATCATCTTGTGCCGCCACACTTTGGTTTCGGAAACTCATACACTGTTATAGTGAATTATTACGGTATTCCAGGTCATAAGTCGTAAAAACCTCGGTATTTGACTAATTGTGGTTAGATCACAGCTCTCTGATGGATATTAGAGCTGTTTAATGTTTAGAAAACCCAGACTGAGCTGGCTTTAGCTTGAATTTATTGTGTCTGCAGAAAGAGGAGGTGAAGAGTTTAGTCTCGGGGAAAAGGTGTGGTGTCTTCAGAAAGGTCACTTCCTCCTTCAGGGGGCAGAGGAAAGAGAAATAAGTCAGATGAAATATGAGGAGTAAAAGACCTCACTGTGCCAGTCAAAGCCTCATCAGGGGGGAATAAGGATAAATCTGCACTAAGAGGAGGACAGTCTGAAGATTTTGGGTGTGACAGAACTAAACAGGAATTTCAAATGTCTTATATTTTAATCTAAGTGAGGATTATCCCTGAAGTCACGGCTGTAAAGCAGTTTGAGCCCCTGTGAGGTTTCCATTTTCATATCAGATAATCAGGTTATGATCCCTTTGCTCAGACTGTCCAGACCATGAGGTCATACTCAGAGACTATCCTCCTCATTATGTTGCACATAGACGGCGCAACTACTTACCATAACACCAGGTTCCTGCAAATCCAATCAAGCTCCTTTGCCTTGTGAGGCTTCATGCACCCGGAGAGTTAATGTGTTTGCAGGGAAAACTGGCTGCATGTCTGCCCTCCTGAGCGCTTCACCATCTGCTGCTCTCTGGACGACAGAGGAGGACTACATTTGTCTCAGTGCATGCTTTAGAAAGACTGAAGAGATAAAGAAAGAAGCATGTTCATGAAGAGGTGGTTTAAAAATCATTAAGAAATGTCCTCCTATTGGATTAAATCCTCGTCCCTCAGCTTTGATGGGTGAACGAACGAGGAGAAGTCTCCCATCACAGTGAAGGAGTGGGAAATAGAGAGGAGGGGAGGTCACCTGCTTACTAGAGGGCGAAATGAAGTAAAATATTCAGTGCGGTTACTAAAAATAACCCTGTTCCCAGAAGCTCTTTAAAATTACATTCTTATGTCTTGTATATTTCATGATAAATATTTCATCAGCTGCTCTCTCCGCTGCTCCTCTGCTTTGAAGCTCCATTTTATTTCACTCGCTGTGTTTTCCCTTGACTTTGAGGCGCTCTGCTGCCAGAGTGTTTTTGCAGCTCGAAGTGGGGACACGCTGAAAGGTTAGAGGGCTGGATTATACAGGAAATTACCGACAGTGTTTGAGCTGTGGTCAGTAGATGTGACTGAATATATTTCACACTGTGATAAGGTGATAATGACAGCACTTTGAGGCACATTGGAGTGACATGTTTAGTCAGGCGTGCGCAGTTGCACGGATGAACATCCAGGTTTCAGTCCCCTGAGCTGCTCAGCATCAAATCTGATCATATTTTAACTTTAAAGAAAAAATAAGATGTTCATTTGAGCGTCTCTTAATTTAAAAAACTAACTCTATAATAAAAAATCTGTGAATGCATAAACACACATTTGCACCGAGTACTTACACCATTATTTATCTGGACCAAGTGATGAACCCGATTTAGATGCTTAATGGTTGCAGAACTGCTCAGTTTTCTTTTCAACATGCATGTCATCTGTGCATCTGTGAATGCATAAACACACATTTGCACCGAGTACTTACACCATTATTTATCTGGACCAAGTGATGAACCCGATTTAGATGCTTAATGGTTGCAGAACTGCTCAGTTTTCTTTTCAACATGCATGTCAACAGATCAGACCCTTCACACTGCCAACATGAGCAGCATGACTTACAAGTGTGCATGGCTTATGTTTGTTTCACGCATCAAAAATTTAGAGAAAAGAAGGCTTTGCAATTTTTCCTTTTCTGCAAGCCACACAGATTGCTGCAAAAATAGAAGCATGGAATGCATTTCAAAGTAAAAGCCTAATGTGTTCTTTCTGTGGAGAGACTCCACTTGTTTGCACACCATGCTTTTATTCTGAAGAAGAGGGGTTGAAATGGTAAAACATTGATGAAAAATGTCCTCACAGCCTTAGTTTGTTACGACAAAGTATTGGGGCCACATTAAGGAACAAGAATTTAAAACTTCGAGATTAAAGGCATTAACACACGAGAATAAAGTCATTACTAATGAAAATAAAGTAATTACTAACAAGAATAAAATTATAATAAAGTAATTACTTATGAGAGTAAAGTCAGAATAAAGAAAGTTGGAAATAAAATAAAAAAAAATATTTTTAATTTTTTTTAAAAATACTAACTTCGGTAACAACCGCACGATAGCAATACACAACGGTCCAAGTAGCCACACACAAACCTCAACCAAAATGCCACTCTATAGCCACAAATAATGCTCAGAACAGCACCTAACTTCATCAACAGTACATATAGGGTCCTAATAATAGAAATGACCAATACATTATCGACTGAAGTGGGGGGGCAGTTAAAGGAAGAACATTTATGATCATTTCTTCATGGAAATACAATCAGACCGAGATGCTAATGCAGAAAAAATACTGCATCTGCAGTGCAAAATGATTAATATGGTGATTATTACACACGTGGACAAAATTGTTGGTACCCCTCAGTTAAAGAAGGAAAAACCCACAATTCTCACTGAAATCACTTGAAACCTACAAAAGTAACAATAAATAAAAATTTATTGAAAATTAAATAATCAAAATCAGCCATTACGTTTGAAATGTTGATTAACATAATTATTTAAAAAAAACAAACTAATGAAATAGGGCTGGACAAAAATGATGGTACCTCTATAAAAGATTGAAAACTATTTGACCAGAGTGACATGATTAACTCAGGTGTGTCCTTTAATTGACATCACAGGTGTTTCCAAACTCATAATCAGTCAGTCTGCCTATTTAAAGGGAGACAAGTAGTCACTCTGCTGTTTGGTGAAAAGGTGTGTACCACACTGAACACATGGACAACAGAAAGCGAAGGAGAGAATTGTCCCAGGACATCCGAAAAAAAATTATAGACAAACATCTTAAAGGTGCAGACTATAAGACCATCTCTAAACAGCTTGAAGTTCCTGTGACAACAGTGGCTCATATTATTCAGAAGTTCAAGACCCACGGGACAGTAGCCAACCTCCCTGGACGTGGCCGCAAGAGGAAAATTGATGACAGATTGAAGAGACAGATCGTTCGAATTGTATCCAAAGAGCCCAGGACAACCTCCAAAGAAATTAAAGGTGAACTCCAAGGCCAAGGTACATCAGTGTCAGATCGCACCATTCGTCGTTGTTTGAGCCAAAGTGGACTTCATGGGAGACGACCAAGGAGGACACCACTGCTGAAAAAAAATCATAAAAAAGCGAGACTGGAATTTGCAAAAATGCATGTTGACAAGCCACAAAGCTTCTGGGAGAATGTCCTTTGGACAGATGAGACCAAACTGGAGCTTTTTGGTAAGGCACATCAACTCTATGTTCATAGACTCAAAAACCAAGCATACGAAGAAAAGAACACTGTCCCTACGGTGAAACATGGAGGAGGCTCAGCAATGTTTTGGGGCTGCTTTGCTGCATCTGGCACAGGGTGTCTTGAATGTGTGCAAGGTAAAATGAAATCTGACGACTATCAAGGCATTCTGGAGAGAAATGTGCTGCCTAGTGTCAGAAAGCTTGGTCTCAGTCGCAGGTCATGGGTCTTCCAACAGGACAACGATCCAAAACACACAGCCAAAAACACCCAAGAATGGCTGAGAGAAAAGCGCTGGACTATTCTAAAGTGGCCTTCCATGAGCCCAGATCTGAATCCCATTGAACATCTGTGGAAGGAGCTGAAACATGCCATTTGGAGAAGACACCCATCAAACCTGAGACAACTGGAGCAGTTTGCTCATGAGGAGTGGGCCAAAATACCTGCTGACAGCTGCAGAACGCTCATTGACAAATACAGAAATCGTTTAATTGCAGTGATTGCCTCAAAAGGTTGTGCAACAAAATATTAAGTTATGGGTACCATCATTTTTGTCCAGCCCTATTTCATTAGTTTGTTTTTTTTAAATAATTATGTTAATCAACAATTCAAAAGTAATGGCTGATTTTGATTATTTAATTTTCAATAAATTTACTTTTGTAGGTTTCAAGTGATTTCAGTGAGAATTGTGGGTTTTTCCTTCTTTAACTGAGGGGTACCAACAATTTTGTCCACGTGTGTACTTCAAGGAAATGATAAAGTAATGAGCAATAGTTGGTACACCTAGAGAAGCAAGCGGTCAGCAACATTCATCTCTCGGGGGGGTGTCCAACTCGGTGTCACGGTGTGTTTGACCCTAAATTAATTTTACGCCGGAATATCCCTTTAATCTCCAAAGGAAATAATGTTATTCAAAATCAAACAAACAAACACATTAGACTGAATGGCGAGATGTTCGAAAGAGGGGGGTGTCAACACCCCCTACACTTGAGGGTTTGACGCCTTGTTCAAGATGCCTATTAGGAGAGCTGACACCTCTCCAGTAATCAGTCCAACCTCCTCACTGTGGTCAATACTGAGTTCTGAACGGGCCACCATTTTAGTTCCAAAGCCAGGTCCCTACAGACGTGCAAAAATCCAGACACAGCTTGCTTCATCACTCTCTACCATCTGACCTTGCTTTTGTATTCCAAGAGCTCACTTCTCCCTGCGGTGGCACTGAAAACTTGTTTTTCATGCCAGTTTAAATGCTGCAGAAAACCAATAACTCAGACACCAGCTCATATTTTGACAAGACTGAACAAAATAATAAACCAGGGATGTGGAAATGCAAAAAAACAAAGCTTCAAAACAAAAAAATCAAACAATCCATGAGGGTAATTTGGTGTGTTGAGAGTTCCCTTTACTGAAAACTCTGAAATTAGGACCAGTGCTGAACTGAACCAGGCTTACTGACTGATATGACAGGTTAGAGGGCCTGTTTGATCCCATCTTACACTGCAGGTCTATAACATGGCACTGGGTACATTTTCCCTCCTCAGTCTTTGAAAGGGAAGGAAACACTCCTAGTGCTGTATCTGCTCATGAAATATTGATGTTAAGAGTGTATTCTGTATGCAACAACACCCTCTAGGTTTGCACAGTCTTTCTGGGCATGAGCTTTGAAGCCCTGTGAGTCTCTGCTCGCTGCCAGCCATCTGTATAGGAAAAGGAACCGGCTATATTTAGAACTGCTTGCATTCATGTGTAGTCACCCACCAGGGGAGTCATAGTCGCTCTCAATACACATCCTGCCTGTGTCATTCACAGGCGTGTGCAGACTGCATCTGAAGGAAGTCATCCTATACAAAACAAAGAGGTTGGGTTAAAATAAGCTTTGAAATACACAACCATCAGCTGTAACGTCAGGACCTCTGACAGGTGAAGTGAGCATCATTGATTTTCTCTTTACAGTGTCACCTGTCAGTAGGTGGGATATGTCAGGCAGCAGGCGAGCGTTTAGTCCTTGAGGCGGAAAAAGCGAGTGAGTGTACGGATGTGAGCAACTTTCACATGGACAAAACTGTGAAGAAACTTTTAGGAACTACTGAGTCTGAGCATCTTTAAAAACGGCAGCTCGGTCCACAGGGATCAGTACCTACCAAAAGTGGTTGAAAGTAGGAAAACCTGTGACAGGGTCATGTGCAGACAAGGCTCACTCATGCATGTGAGGAGTGAAGGCTGGGCCATGTGGTCCATTAAAAACAGAGGAGCTCCTAGTGTTCAGACTGCTGAAAGGTGAGTGCTGCTGAGTAATGTGTAATGTGTAATGACGCTCAGTAAGGTGTGGTCAAACTATGTAATTTATTTTATGTACACTGTACGATTTTTGCACGTACACTCATAATTCGATTTTGTGATTTTGAGCAGTTTCTTATTTGGAGTTTAGTCCCAATTTGTGCCACAAGGGGGCTCAGTCACACTTCATGTTACCTGTCTCATGAAATCGCCAGTTACCAACTAGTTCGCCATCTTTATAACAGAGAATGTTTACTGTAGAGTTTGAAACACAATGACGCCCCAATGCTAAATTGCATTAGCTTAGTTTGTCTGGTATCCAGTAGGCAATATTTTTTTGTTGTAGGACGGAAGGGTAAAGTCTTGCCTCCTTAACCTCTGACTGGCTAGAAAAGCTGGAGTCAGTAAGAGTCAGTAACTGTTTGTTTTCATACTTTTTACAAAGTTTAAGGTAAAAAAATGTAATTATGACTCAGCGAGCGTAGCCAGTTTCTATGGGATTTTCCATTTCAACTAGTCGAGCTGGTAACCTGTTTACAACAGAACTTCGGCAAAAAAAACGATCTTAAAGGTAGAATAAAGCTGAATAATATGGATACTTTGCTTACTTATGCGTTCAAAAGCAAAAGTCCTTAACCCTTTAATGCCCGAAACCACAAATTATGGCCAGAAAATTTACATTTTTTTGGAGCTGAAAGGTTTATTTTACTTACTACTGAAAACCACAAAAATCAAATTGTCTTTAAAATTTAACAAATATATTTATTTATCTCGTTTGATACGTTAGGCATTTTTGGAAACTGATAAACCACAAAAGGACATTTTTATCTTTTATCGGACTGTATTCAGGTGTTTTTTTTAGTAATTTTTTGATCATATTGATTTGATAGAAGTATCATAAAAGTATGGATTAAATACAAAAGGCATTAGCGGGACAAGACAGCTCTGTATGTATTTGTGTTCTATCCGTATTAAACTGTCAGACTATGACTATGAATGGAGTCTTGGTGACAGGAGAAACAGGAAGGACCCTGATGGTTGAGCACACTGTAGCGATGGAAATAAAGAGAAAAAATACATTAGTTTTCATTGTTGTTTCAGTCACCTGCAGGATGTTGCAGCCTTTAAACTAAGCTTTCTAACAGCTGAAGAAACTGGACCATTTCAAGGTGATGACTTGGTTTCAAAAGTTCCCAGATTTCAGTCCAACTGAGCATCTTTGGATGTGAAGACTTAAGTGTGATCCACGGAGGCCCCTGCTCACCTAACCCCAGACACCACAGCACTCCTCCACAGGCCCAGAGGAGCCCATGTCCCATCAAGTTAGAGTTGTTTTGACCCTGACTGGATAAGAAAGGGAGCAGCACAACATCCAACAGGTGGTTATTATGTCACAGCTGATCAGTGTATAACTTTTTCACTTTATATCACTGTGTAAAACAACAACACGTTCAAGGTTCAAACAAATATGTCCAGAGTGCTTGTTATTCATATCAACATACTGCTGAATTATCTAATAATCCAAATCTCTTCTCAGCAGGCCACAGGGTCGTTCAGTCAGTGAGAACCTCAGCGGCTCCCCGGGAAGCTAATTAAAATCCATCCCAATAACAGGCAGAGAAAAGAAGTGCCGACTTATTGAAGAGAGAATAATCAAAGTGTGGGATGTGAGGTGAAGGCGTGGAGGGAAGGCTGTTTAATGAGGCAGAGACGGCCAGAGTCCAAGTTCAAAGAGGACAAAGCTGTTTGTTCAGAGTTGCACCAAAGCTCTTTCTGTTTTTCATTACGTTTGTTTACTGTCTTGTATTTTATGTCAGGGATTTTTCACACAACAGTAGTTCCCCTAATAACCACCATTTATTTATAACTCTATAACTGCCAGTAGGCAATGTAGCCGTCACAGTAAAATTGAATTCTTCTTACCAAAGAAGACAGAAACACATGTCGCTCTGGGGCAAAGATGGTCACTTAATCTACAGATCAGTTATTCAAACATCTGTGGACGCTTTCATTGAAGTAGATTCAACTTTGTCACAGAAAATGTCCAGATGGAAAGATTTAAAGGCGGCTGAATTAAGGATTTTAACCATGTCGATGGAAAACACGCCACTGTTTTCTGTAAATAGTCGAGGGCTGCAGGATGTTTTAGAAATTAGTGCTGCCATTTTTTTTGTTTCTCTGCATCATTAAAAACTTTATTGAAGTTAATTTTACCAGATAAGTGAGACTTGGCTTTAATGACAAAAACTGGCACTGAATCATTATCGTAAGAGAAAAGGTCACAATAACAAGCCAGTAAGTCATTATAATAAGATGAAAAATTAAAATTATGGAATAAAAAGTCACAATATTGAAAAAGTTGTTCATTATAATAAAAACAGAATAAAAATGTAAGATAAAAAAGACAAAATTATTGGGAAGTAACACAAAGGTATAGGATAAAAAGTCAAAACATCAAAGTCAAAGTCAAAAATATAAGATAAGAAATAGGAAACTGATGGATTTATTAGATTAAACACTTTGACCATCTCCCAACCAAGATCTTTTATTGTGACAGATTCTAATATTTTTTACTTTTTAAATCATAACGATGACTTAATTTTTGAGAAAATTTTGTTTTAATACCTGTCTTACTTTGTCAAGCATTTTCTGGGTATTTGTGACGGTACCAGTAACAGGTTTAGCGTGCATGTTTATATTCTACGGTGGCGACACTAACTGGCTAAACCCACAGGATCCGGCGTATCAATTCAGTGCAGAGCAGCACGAGCAGCAGCTGAAGTTTTCCGCGGTTACAGAGTAAAATATCTGGTTAATTTTCAAAATAAAATAAAGTCAATACATTGAACTGTTCTTAATTTGATAATGGGAGAGGCCAGAGTTGTGGGATGTGGGTGTTTATACACACCGCCGTTTACATGCTCCGATTGGCGGATCTTATTCTATGACTCCCGGGGAACACTCAAGAGCTCTTGAGATCTGGTCCAGTCTCCGGAGAAATATCAGTAATCTTGCAAGCACTTCTGGATCTGATCTGTCTGCTGGTCCGGAGTGGAGCAGAGCCGTTCCTGATCCTATGGGTTTAGCCAGAGAGACTCTGCCTGCACTGCCTGACCCTCTGACAGGTCCTGCATTGCTTCTATCGCACAGTAGTGACATTTAAACCGGATATCATTCAGCCCTGAAAGATTCTACATGAGTGTAGCATCTGAACCGAGGAATCAGGATTCTCAGCATGTGAAGAAGTGAAGTGTTCTGATTTTTATTTGTAGTCTGTTTTTAGTCTTTCAAGTTTTATTCTTAATTATTCAGATGATAAATTTTTCCAAGGAGCAATAAATTGTTGTCAGATCAGAGCCAAGTTGTCATTCGGGTCTAGATACAGACTGTTTTTCCTGCAGACATAAACAGAATAGATCAAACTGCACTCTTTGCACTGCTATAATCACAAGTACAATCCTGTGGACCATCATATGCATTGTTGTAGTTTTTCTTCCTCTTTATTAAAAATTGTGGCATTAGATCCACATACTTAAACACTGAAGCTGTTTTTTTATCAGCCAGACTTCCTCACATCAAGTTTGGTCAGCTGTTTTGACCTGAATTCAAAAGCAGAATGTAAAGAGTTAATCCAGCAGTTCCAACATGATTGACTCATGTTTCCAACCTACAAACTATACTTGTATGTATTTTTGTTTCTATTGAAGCAGAGTGGAATTCATTGTCATGCAAGTGTTTTGTTGTAAATCCCCCATTCGTTCTGGGTTTGAACATGAAAACTGCGTGCATTTTGGATTCTTTATGGCTATAAAAAGCGATGAGAGGGGCGTAAAGGTCAAAGTCATTAAATGTCTGCCCTCAAATGTCACTGTGGTCGAACATTGTGAAGTTGTGACCACTGTTGCTGCGTGTAGTTTTATCACTTCCTCAATCTGCTCCCTAAAGCCAGACCATCAGAGTCCACAGTCACCTCTGCACCAGTTGTTCTCCGAGTTTCATGGTTGCAGCTTTATGTGCCTCCTTCCTTGGTTACCCCCCCTCTCGTTCTCCCGCTCTGGCCTAAGCCGTGACCCTCAGAGTCTTCTCCTCTGCCATGTGATGAGCGTTGTGAGGACTTGTGGGTGCAGCCACATAAATCATTGATCCCAGCTGCACTTTTGGATCAACCCGAGGACAAGCGAGCTTTTGTAAAGTGTCTCTAACTGATTCTTCAGGGTGACAGAAACACTGGTTGGCTTCTTCTCTAGAGCATGCTCTCGCTGCATCGATTTTATGCAACTGCTTACGAGTCACACGCGTTGGAAAAAGTGGCACATAGCGATTAGGGCAGTATGGGATATCCGTTGTGATTGATTTTGTTCATACATATTTTTTTTCCCATCTATGACCGACATGAGGTTTAGAGTGTAAACATGTAGCTGAAGGTCATGATTTCTTAGGCTAACAAGGAATCTTTTCTCCAATAATTTCACAAGGAAACTGAGCATTTTGGTAACAATGGAGTTATCACATATTTAATTGTTCAAAATTGGGTATGGCTCTAAATCTGCTCTTAATTGGCTCATTTGCAGGTATAATTTGCTCTAAATTAATGCATAATGGTTTTGTAAATGTATGCAAACAACACTGGCACACAGAGACAGCATTTGCTCTGATGTGCAATTTGTGTTACATTTACAGAGGTGTAACTTTTGGCAGTCAATTTCGATTTAGTCTCAGTATTTGGACTTAAATAACTCTTAGTTTTAGTCGTTTTTGCCCTAACTACTTTTTGTCTAGTCTTAGGGTGTTTTCACACCTGAAAGTCTGGACCAAGGTCCAACCAAGGTCCATGTTTTTGTTACATAATATACATTTGGTTTGGTCTGTTTAGGTTTCACATTGTCATTATTGCAAACAGACTAAAAGACCTTACATGACGAACCTACGTGATATTGTCATCAACTACATGCTCATTTGGCCGGTGGGCGTCTGACGTCAACACGTTGAATAACGCGGGTCTTAAATATTGTTAACATGAGTAAAATTGTCATTCCCCCCCATCATATTAGTATGCTACTGCTACTCATCAATCAATCAATCAATCAATCAACTTTATTTCTAAAGCACATTTAAAAGAACCACAAGGGTAGCAAAAGTGCTGTACAATGACACATAAAAACACATAAAACAATCAAAGAACAGGATAAAGCGAGCAAAAATAAATTAATGCAAAAAAATAAATAATTATATAAATAAGCAGGCTCACGGCAAGTGCTAAGATGATAAAAAACAAAAGAACACTACAATGTATCAAAAGCCAAGGAGTAAAAGTGCGTTTTTAAAAGGGATTTAAAAACAGGAAATGAGGAGGCCTGTCTAATTTTCATGTTTTCATGTTAGTTGAGATGGGCCAACCCATCTTAGGTTGGTTCTTGATCATCAAACAATGAGCGTGGTCTAGACCTGCTCTTGTTCTTTGAAAAGCGTCTTGAGATGACGACTGTTGTGAACTGGGACTATATAAATAAAATTTGATTGATTGATTGATTGATATTATTGTTGATTTTTCTTCTGCCAACAGCGATAACTTTAAGAGCTGTACATGAGGCTGGTCCAAGTTTGTCTTGTGAATATTATCACTGCACGACAACTTTATCGTCGTCAACAGGAAAGGAGAGGAAAGAATACAACCCTGTGAGCCACTACAACACTGACTCTGGAGAGAAAGTATTTGTAGTAAAACTCTTGAAAAGATCAGCTGTCAATAGTGAGGTATCTACAATATTGTAAAATTTCCCATTCGTGGACAATCTCCATTACAGATAACAGAAACTTGTACTCCTCGTGTCATTTCCTGTCTTTTGTAAGAAGGTCCAAACCTTTAAAAAGAAATGCTTTCACACTGGGCATGAACCAGACTGTGGTTCAGTTTGGTTCTAGATCGAGACCACCTCTTTTGGTCGGACCAAGGTCTGGCTGTTTGGTCCGGACCAAGGTCATGGGGAGGTTCCACACCTATCATTTTGGTTCGGACTGAACAGAAAAGTCTGAAAGTCCGGACCAAACGTTCTAGGTGTGAAAGCCTTCTTAGTCAACAAGAAGGATTAACCAGCAGCACAGCAGTCTTCAGAGTGAGTGTTAAGTTTTCCATGTTTTTTACAGCATAATAACAACCCACAGTCTACAGGAGATGTTTACCTTATCAAAAAACACTGTGTTAGCTTCTAAAGGGAAAGACTGAGCTAAAATAACAAACCCTACACACATCACTGTGTCCAAAACCAGAAGGTTCAGACTGTGCTGCTTGAAATGATCTCAAACTGGCATGCAAAAACATCACAAGTCTTCATGTACTTTTCACCAATCATCAGTTCATAACAATCATGTCCTAAAATTCTGCACCGCGACTTGAACGACTCTGGACAGCAGACGTTTTCCTTTTCAACTGGAGAGCCTCTTACATTTAAACCTTCTGTGAACCGCACACTTTAAAGCAATAATTGACTAAATATGGATTTTTCTTGCAGTGTCACATGCAAGTTTTTAGACTGCCGCTCTGCCAACATTTTTCACTCTGCTGTTACATATAATCCAACATTTTTCTTGCAAAACCGAGACCACCAAACCACACGTCTGAAACAATGATCCCATGCTGCAGCTCCTCTCACTCCACAGGCATTTATATCATTTTCTACTGGATAAAACGTTCCTCTGAGCTGCCTGAGCTTGTTAAGAACAACTGGGTTCATGTGAAGAAAAATTATCAGCTCGTGTCTCTACACAACTTTGATTGCGTCTCCATCATCGAACAACAGGAAGCAAAGAAAAATTTTGCACCGAGAGATGTGCTACGATTGTGAAAAACTGAGATTGTTCATGAAGATGGACAAAATGTAAGCGGCCAGGAACAAAATATGGAAAATGTGGAATATGCCTTAACAGAACCACAGCATCTCATCATTAACTTAAGGGTCATTCCATGTCAATTAAACCAAAAATCTCCACTTACGTCACAGATTTTGATGAAATTTGGTGGAGTGATTGGCCTTCAGGAGAAACTGTCAGAGCTCAAATATTTTTGTTCAAAGCCATCTTATTAGTGAGATAGGGGCTAATGAATTTTTGGTTGAATTGACATGGAATGACCCTTAACTGAAATACATGCTTATTTCATAGGATTTGTTAAAAAGTAAAGGCTAAACTCAAACTGATCTAAGATTTAAAGAAGGTGGACTGAGCCAACATCCTCACAAATGTCATAAAATAAACTTTCTGTGTGATGTAAAAACCATTATTTGAATTTGTGTCAGTGATACATTAACCTTTGCAAAATATATCAGTATATTATCAAGGAAGCTGTTGATGCAGTCCATTGTCTGTAAATTAAAATGGACATAAAGCCAAAAATAAAACATTACATGGAGCACCATCGTGATGTAGTGGCGATGTTTTTCGGAGCTAAGACGTGCTCAGAAGAGATCGAGCAGGTTGAGCTTCAATTGTAGACATAACGCATGTACCATAAGCTTTAACGTCCATTATTTTACTGATCACATGACACAGACATCTTCCATTAGCCTATATAAATTTAGCAACTGTGCTAGCTCAGGCATATTTACTTGATGCTTTTGCTGATAGGTTGATCAATGTGCTAACCTAGTGTCCTTACCAACTAAATAAATAAATAAAATAATATCTTCTCCTATTTACGCCAACATTGATTCGATGATATGAGCTGAGGGCTGGTTTTTATATCAAAAACATCCTTTTTCATCTCTTCCTATATAGCATTGGCAAACAGCAAATCAAGTGCAATTAAAACATTTAAATATGCTGCACCGTAATCAGTGTCAGGCTCTGATTACAACGGAGAATAAGAAGCACATTAAAGATTTTTTTGATTTTGAGAGCAGTCACGATGTTTTAAAGAATGAACTTGCAATGAAGTTGTAGTTTTGTCAGACTGATGACTAAGCTTCTAACTAAGGTAGTCAGGGAAATCATTCGGACAGACTATTGACGAACTGTGACTCTTCAGCCTGAAAGGAGCTCGAACCAAGTGGAGTCTAATCAAAAACCTGATTACCATGCAGCGAAGAAAACTATTTATTTTGTGGGTTTTTGCTGGAGGACTGAGATGTAAACGGACAGAAAACAACCCACACACTTGTTTTATACGGAGTTCCCCTATTGATTCCAAAGCCCAGGGGTGTTTCTGTGCCGGTTCAGAGGGACTCGTGTCGGGAGATTTCCAAAACCAGAATAAATTAATCAGAACTTCGCGATGCTGCCGGGCCCCCGAGGAGCAGCCGGAGCTCTAATCAAAACAGGACTGGCAGGGGAGCGCCGTGTTTCCACCGGATCATCAGGAAGAAATCAGCCTCTCCACTTATCACCCCAGTCACAGCAGAGAAAGAGACGCCGTGCTTTAATACTCGTTCTGCTGTACGTGATGAAGCAGGGACTTTAACACTGCAGGACAGCAAGCTTATACATTTTGTATATCATGTAAACCCGACTGGATCGCATTAAATCAACATACAGTACACATAATTCACTGAGTGTATCTTCAGTATGTTTAACGCTAACCTAAAATATGTCAACTGAAAGTGTCTCCAGACCTTTTTTAGTCAATATCTCTGCTTTATTTTCCTATAAAACCTCAAGTGCCATCCCGAGCATGAAAAACAGATTTATGGTTTACTCAAAGCACAGACTCGGGTTAGGGGGGAAACTGTGGTCAGAGTTAAATATTACATGAGTCAGCACTATTTAGAAGTAAGCAAAGACACATGGATGCGTTACTCAAACAAAAACACAATATTTCAAGGAGTTTAAGAAGGTGAAACTGTTGAAAACAACACAAGATTATCAACCACATGTGTCTGGCCACATATTATATTAAAAATAATAGTGTCTTAGAAAATGTATCAAGTCTTGCTGGTCACATGGAGTGCCATCCTAGTGCTGCATTCCAGTTACCTCGGAAGTCAGATGTCGGAGAAGGGAATGATGTTACACAAGTTACAAGTTGACAACGTTCCAGTAAACAAGTCGGAAAACCAAGATGGACGCCTACAGTTACCCGTTGTTAGCTGTTGTTTACAATTGTCAGTGGTTGTTAGCTGTTGTTAGCTATACTAGTTGTGAAAAACGTAAAACACAGTATTTTACTCTTACAAACAGCATAGCGCCGTGTTCACAGTTAGATGTTGGGCAGTATAACATATACCACTTATTTAAGTTCACAAAAACCAAACAAAAGTGCTAAAAAAATAATGCATTATGAGAGCTTTCGCTGTTACTCTTTACTGTTGATGCACTGCGCTGCCATCTTAGACTATAATGTTGTCATCAAGTCGGGTTGGTGAGGATCGTCCGACTTCAGGGGGGCGTTTCAGATAAATTTCCAACTCAGAGCTTGGAAATTTTGACTTCTAAGTACAACTCGAACTCAGCATTAGAGTTGAGTCAAGTTGTGTAAACTGAATCAATGGTGCACACATAAATACCTTTTTGAAAAAAGTTTGAATTGGCAGCTAACAGATACTAGTCTACAAGAAGAATTTTAGTGGCCAATAGCTTGACATAATGTCTAGACATGTGAAAAGCGATAAAGAGAGGCCACATTTTACCAAAGCTAATGATAGAGATGAAGGGATATAGTCTATATGGAGACATGCAATCTCTATGGCCAAGATCTTGAGCACTGTGCATCAAATCATGCCAAAATGCAGAATCTTTGACAACACCGTCAACTCTGGCTGCTGCTACTGGTGCTGCTATCACATCCAGACTTTAAAGGGATATTCCAGTGTAACATTAGGTTTGGGTCAAACACACCATAACACTGCGTTAGACACCCCCTCGAGAGATGAATGTTGCCAACTGCTATCTTCTCTCGTTATACAAACTTTAGTAACAACCGCACTATAGCAATACACAGCAGTCTGTAGTCTTCAACCAAAACACCACTCTATAGCCACAAATAATGCTCAGAACAGCACCTAACTTCATCAATAATACATATAGGGTCCCAGCCACAATACTAGCCATCAAACATCTTTTTAGCTCTGCCTGATTTCTTTCACAAAGAGACTCAACATAACTCAACCATAACTTTTGTTAGCCGTTAAAACAACTTCAGACAACAGATAATGAAAGGAGAATCTCTCAGGGCCAAAGACTGTCTTCAGTCCAGGAATCAGAGAGTTATTTTACTGCACAGACACACTCGTCTGCAGCGATGAAGGACGTCCTTGTAATCCCAGCTCTTAATTACACCACCACATAAAAGAGACATAACACTGAAATGAACAAGTGGAGCATTCTTAGATACACACACACACACACACACACACACAGGAATATTAGTGGCACTACTGCTCACACACTGTTGTATAAACCTGCTTTAGTGTAGTTCAGAGGTTCAAAGATGGTTATTTATCATCACACAGTGTGATAAACATGGCTCATTGCCTGTGTGAGACATAAATATATACCATAGGAGACGCAGATTCTCTAAAAATCTGCTGTATATAAAACTAGGACATGGAGAAAGATGAGAGTAAAACACCCTTCAGAATCTGCTGCCATTTCTCTGTGTTTATAATTCATTGAGGTGTCAAATATTGATGCATGAAGGAATCTGCTGCCCTCCCGCCCTCCTCCTCCCCCATGAGCAACCATATGTGGTTTATGGAAAAGGAGGAACGTTTCCACTGATTTCTAGGCCAAGAAATTTGGCAGTTTTTATCTATAAACTTTAAAACACGTGAGAAAACTGAAAGGAAATATTTGTAATGTCAAACTGTAAGTTATCAATCAAAAAAAATACATGGAGCTGTGAAGTTAGGAAGTGGTGAACTTCACAGTGACCTGCTTTTTACTCAGCTTGAGGCTGAAGGTCTTTAGGCTAAATTAGCTGCTTCCAGTATCGCAGACCAGAAACCGGACTGAACTTTCAGCAGTGGAGTCCCATTCTGCATAATGCTGACAAGTATTTATATTCCATCAATCTATTAGGCCTACTTCTCATTCTGTTTGGGGTCTATGAGGGCTGGAGTTGATCCCAGTTTTTGTGGGGTGAGGGATGGGTCATGATCTGAACAAATATCAGCCTTCGAATAACTATGTTTGTTTACTCCGAGGACAGATGGACATTAACCTGTAAGAGGACTGAAGGCAGGTGGTGCTAGCTCTGCCAGCTTTAGATACACTTTGCTGACTAATTAATGTAGTTTTACTTTTTCCCTTTGTTAAGACTTTGTTGATGGGTCAAAAAAAGGGCATCAGCAGTATTTTCAGTCTGTTTATTAACCAGTTAAAAGCTCTGCACAGTTTATTTTATTTGGGGTCTGAGGATCTGACCGTGGACAGGTGCAAGAAACAAGCTGCAGACCATAAACTAACCTTTTTTTTTTTCTTTTACAAGGTGCCAATTAGTCTGCTAGGCCAGCTGTGTCCCAATTTTGCTTAATTTTATAAAACTTTTCTGTCAGTCAGAATTAAAATCTGCATCTTAATAACCTGAAAGTTGGAGTTTGGAGTTGCTGACAAGGTTACTGCGAACAGCTCTCCAATATTTCATCAGATGGACATCAATTTTTTCCCATATCTTCGTCAAGTAAACATTCTGACTGTGTCATACTGCACAGGATGAAACTATCGACTTTCAGGGATTACGTGGTCCTGAAACATCTACCATCTAGCTCTGCTGTGGCACAGATTGCAGGACAGGATGTTGCTCCCAGAGACGGTTGGGGTCCTGTAGCTCCTCAGGCTGCGCTTTCATCTATGCTGCCTTAATGTGCTTTGTTTCCCCGCCCCCAAGACAAGCCCGAGACACTGGACACTAAGGTTTTTAACCACAGTGTCAACAGGCAGAGGGGATATTTGCCACAGAAATGTTCAAAGCTCTTGTTAACCCTCTCTGATGTTACAAAATTCTTTTTTCTGAGATTCATATGTGGATAATTCTTTCACAAACGCCTCAGGTTAGAGCTGCAGTTGTATTGCCTACTTCAGGACTATCTTCATATAATGAAAGCTCCCTGTGGCACAGAGCGTCATCCAGCACCCAGCCCTCAGGTCTCATTTGTCTGAGCAGAGCCATTAGCTCTGTCAGTGATACAACACGACACTAACTCTCCTGGGAGACTCTCAGGACCATATGGTGGACGACGCCAGGTCTGCGATGTTTATCTGGACGTGTGTAAGAGAGTACACTGACTCATGGTTATTTCCAGCCTGGATAAAAACACTTTAATATCTTCCTTTCATTATGCAGATCTCAAAGTGCTGAAGGAGAGAAAGAGAGCAGCGGGGGAATAGTGATGGTGGGTAAGTGGGAAGGAGAGGGTTGTCAAGGCAACTGGTTACTCAGCGACAAGCTCACCATAGAAATGCACTCATGTTACATCAGTGTTATTACTCCAGCACTCCCCTCCTCCACCGTATCAGGCAGAGAGCTGTTTTAGTGGAAAGAAATGGGTCATTAAAGCTGTTAATGAAGCTCATTCGCCTTTAACTAACATCACATCTTTACAGCATCGTCACACACTCGGCTCTTTGAAGAAACAAGGACTCCATGTTGAAGGAAGGATTTCCGAACACTGAGAAACAGGATGTTAAGCAGCCGCTCTGGGAGGCTTGGACAACAACAACAAAAATCACAGTTTTTACTGTCATCAAACTGGCAGAATGAAATTAGTTGAATAGGCCTCAGAATTTGTCACTTCACAGTAGGGCTGGGCAATAAAACGTTAAAATTAAATTAAAAAATTAATTTCCCTCAATATCAATATAAAACATGGTCAATATGCTTTTCGATAGTCAGCATTCTGCCATGTTTTGTCAGACTATACAAATAGTCAATTAGAAGGGGAGTTTCTCCAGGTCCACTCCGCACTAAACCAATCGTGTGCTGAATAAGACCCAAGTAGCAAACAACTGCGTAATAGCAGACTGGAGCTGCACACAACCATAGCATTTTAACACGTGAAGCCGACAGCACTGTTGGTGAGAAAAAAAGAAAATGAGTGCTACCCCTGGCAGAAACGCAGATGAAGGCCCAACAGATAAAGACATTGTCGACAACACCGGCACGAAAAGGTCATTAGTGGGGAGGTATTTTGTTTTTTTGAGGTCAGACACGAAGCAGAGTGATGTGCACTGCAAATTATGTCGAATACATGTTCTCGTAAAGTCAAGAAATACCTCAAATCTTTTTCACCACCTGAAGCAGAGCCTGACTATTCCACTTTCTCTGGCGCCTTACGACAAAACGTCAGAGAGACACAAAGACCTCACAGATGCAGTAGCTAATCGTATTGCAAAAGACATGCTACCAATAAGCACTGTTAGATTTAATTTAAGAGTAACAGGGAACATTTAAGATTGACAAGTGATTTTTTTAATATCGTGATATATATATTGATGAAAAAAATATACCATGATAAACTTTTCCCATATCACCCAGCCCTACTTCACAGTAAAATACTGATAAATTTATAGCGACAAAGTCAATAAACCAAAATGATGTGAGGATATACCTGTGTGTGATGTGTGAGAAACTTGTAAAATCTCAAAATAAGTTCATGTAGAAAAAAAGTCAAAAGTTGAGTAAGAAACATTTAGATTAAAAAAAAAAAACTATAATACAAACTTGGTTACGATTCACCAACATTGTATGTGACAGAGAATAGCAACCTTGTGTGTCTATAACTTTAAAAATCTACATTTGAAAACAAAAGACTTTGTGAGTCTTAATGGGCCAACTGTGATTTAAACAACAAAAAGCACAACAAGAAGTCAGCAGTTCACCATCTGCAGTGTCAACCATGTGTTGTTGTCTCGGTCACGATAATAACATCAATTGGCAAAGCGTGACAGCATGTCATGACACCTCAGTGATCTGAATGTGTGCCTGCAGTGGAATCCAAATGATGCAGCTTCTCGTCCAATCGGATCGCTCCTATAGGTCTCAGACTGATGTGACTCAAATCCGGCTGATGATGGTGTGAGTCCATGATCATTTACCTGACCATGCGGCTGCAATTAACAGCATTAGCAGAGTCTATGCTGTAACTACATTTATTGACTAAATGATGGAGACTAAGACAGCTCATGATTCTCACTGGCTCACAGCCTGGATGTCTGGGATGCTGTTTTTCACTCTGTGACATGTCTCAGGTTATTGTGCAGGGTTGTTACCTGCTAACTGTCCAGCAAGAGTCTAATTGGAGAACTATCCGGAGATGGAGGGCAGGAGTGGAAAGCAGAGAATCCCCTCTGAGTCTGGAGGAGCCTCAGTCGGCTGTAATTCAGCTTCAGATATCTTTTGGTTGGTTCATGTGCCAGAATACAGATGAGGCTGCCTTTCACATTCCTCTCCTCTACAAAGAGAGTATCACTCCCCTGTCACCCAGCAAAGGGCCGCTCTGCTCACTCCCTTTATTTCAGTTTTGCACCCAGAAGTTTCCATGGCAACCCAAATACTATTCAGCCCGTGCAGGCAGAGTGGTCTTTGCAGGTTTGAGCTGTTAAAAGGCGAAGAATGCAACAAATGCAGCTCCTTCAAATCAACTGTTGATTGAGGGCTGTTAAGACGTAGCTTCTCTCAGATGCCACAAAAAAAAAAACCTAATTAAAACTGAAAAATAAATTCTGACAAGCTGTGCTTTCATTGAAATACTGAAGGGCGAGGGAGCATCACTTATTCCATCAAAAACCAGGTGAAAAACATCTTTTTTTCCATCTCTTCATTAAATATTTAGTTGTAGTTGTTGATCTACATTGACAGACTGTTTTTTTCTGATTTTGTGGGAATTTGTTAAAACTGCAGGCTTCTTCGTGTGTAAAACATCTACACTGAGTGTAAAGCCGAAAACATACAGGATCCGTATTGAGCATGTTCTGTATCAACTCCATAGAGCAGCCCTGGGTATCACATACAGGATTTGTATTTGGAGCGTAGCAGCAGCGTAGTGCAGCTCCGGTCAGCTGGGCTCAGTATAGAGGAAACAACATGCTCACAACAGGTTGTTTTGCCTTTCTTTGGTCTATTTCCTGCTTATTTGGATATAATTCAGTGACCGTTGAGCCTCTACTGTATGTGAAAAAGAAACCAGATTTTACAGTTTCGGTTTTTTGCAGGTTTACTCGTGTTTAATAAGGTAACTATGTTACCCTCAGACAGAGTTCGCAGTTTAAAGTCCTGTTGGGGTCCACATGGATCAGGGATTGGCCATCGGAGCTGATACGCAAAAATACCAAAGAGGAGGAGTAGCGTGCACCTTATACGCAGAAAAAGTAGCGCGTACATCATGTACAACAAAAACAACGCTGTACGATGTTTTAGCCACTTCTGACGTCTGGCACGGACCGGAAACAGCGCCGCTAAAAAGACCCATATTGTCCCCTAGTTTTGGAGAGGAGTACACATTCACGTCAAAAACTAGATTTTCTCAGCTGCATGTATACGTGGACGAGGAGAGAAGTCCGAGTTATGAGCTCAGTCCGATTAGGCTGTGCATGTAAACGCACTGATAGACGGAGATTGGTCAATCAGAGAATTAAGTTAAACTCCATTTTAGTCCTTTTTATAGTGTAACCTTAATCTCAATCCCTTCATTCAAATGTCCTCTTCTTTCTCTTTCTCTTGTTGAACGTCCTCCACAAATTTTTGGATCTGACTCAAAGATTTGAATCTGTTAATATAAGCTTCATTTCACTTTCCTCTAACAGGTATCAGTTTGCTCTGAGCAGACGAAGGTGAAACCGAATCAAAGCTGTTTCACAGAGATGCTTACGTATAACAAGCCAAAATACACAGACTGAAACTTGAACCATAGAAGGGAGCAATTCACTTTATCCTGACAGTAGCAATTTTCCTCTGATATTACTCTCAGGGCAAGAGGCTCAAACGCTGTTATAGACCGCTGTGGGTTTGTATTGCTGTTCTGAAATTGTACTCTTGAACAAAGTGGAATTTTGAAAAACACATAAACTTTCACCTCTGCTGAAAGGATCAGCGGCTAACTAGTTTTGGAACTTATAGTGCCGTCCAACTAACGCTGGGATTTGAAGGTGCGACAACCACCTGTTCACTATGATTCTCTCCTCAGCTACCCACCCTAGGATGGAGTCAGAGGAAAATAGCACCCATTCAAAAAACGCTCAGGTCATCTGAGTCACATCTGTGCTACACATCACTGAAAATCCACCTCTGCTCAATGGTTTTCATTTTCTTTGACATCTGAAAATGAGAGTTTGAGAATCTCGTCGTGAGGGAGAGGATCTCTGCTCCATTTCCTCAGGTCAACTCCAGCCCAGATTTGGGGAGGGGGCCGACTGTGAAGGGGAAACCAGGGGCCAAAACAGGAACATCCCTCACAGTGAAAACAGATACCTCAGATTCCAGATATTATAGTTGTGGTGTTAAACGTCCGCTTTGACGTCAAGGCCGCTCACTGTAACTCCTCCTGCACTGACTGGAAGTCTTACTTTGACGCCTCCTCCTCCTCCTCCTTCTTCTTCTTCTTGCTCTTCATCTTTGCTCCTTCACTTTCCTCCCTGCAGCAGCTCGTGGTTGACCCACAGGGGGTAAATGGGTGACCCCTCTACTTTCTCTGGACACAATAGCCTTTGATACCCGGTGGTGGGAAAAGGAGCAAAAGGGGGCTCATTCAGTGCGGCGCTGAAACCGGGGAGCACCAGCGACCCTTTAAATGGACGCTGCCATTGATGGTTAAATCAATTCGGGATGGTGACAGCGTAGCACGGCTCCAGACTGTAACAATTGCAGATTACAACAGTACTACTCCCCTCCCCCATCGTGCACGCATCCACCCCCTTCTTACACTGCCCTTTTCTGAGATGAAGTGTGGGGACTTCAGAGGGACAGGGTTGAAGGGTGAAGGGGGGACTTTAGACGGGTGGGGCGGGTTCAGGGTGACAAAAGAGAAAGATCTGCACTGAAAGAGCGCAGAATAGACACATTCTGCGCAGCTGAACGCACAATGCTGCTTCACTCTTTTCTGCAAAGGGGGAAAAAAAAAAAAAAAAAAGGCGAAGCGAAACATTACTCAGTGATGAGAGAGAGCTGCTTCACTCAGCTGCTCTCCCTCCTCCTCCTCCTCCTCCACCTTCGCTTTCCTTCCCCATCTCCTTGCTGCACATTCATGCATGCATACCAGCACACACACACACATACACACAGAATACTTTTTTTTTTTTTAGTCTGTAGGTGATTTGATGGGTGGGGGCGGGGGTCAGTAAGGTTTAAATCCCAGCCAGGGACTTTTAGTGCTGGATGGGTGGTCCTACATTCATAGTGTGGGTTGTGACACAGCAGGTTTGCGTGGATTTTTTTTTTTTTAGTGGTGAAGGATTGTCAACAGGGATGCACCAGGGAAGGCTCAAGGCTGCCCTCTTCAGGTGGAAACGGGGAAATCAAGTGTAGGTTTTTGCATTGCCATTTTAGCATCCGTGAAGCATGTGATTCTGAGGAGGTGGTGAAATGGTGGAGAAGAAATTTGGCGTCAAATTTAGTCGATCTGACATGAACTTTATTGGACAAATCTACCTTTGAGTGTTTTTTTTTCTAATTTTTTTTAAAGGCTGCAGAATAAATTTTGTCGAAGCAGAAACACACAGTCATGCTCCAAAGAATCAAGATGGCAGCATGTTTGTCCGAGAGACAGTGTGTGTGTGTCTGTGTGTGTACATATGTGTGTGTCTATGTGTGTGTGTGTGTGGGGGGGGGTGTACTGGCTGACAGATGCACTAGAAGCCAGAGGTGGTCCATGGTTGCCATGGCGACTGTGTGGGCTGGAGGAGCTGCGAGCATATTGGGTATGCAGAAAAGCGATCCCCTGAGATCTGTGAGTGGATTTAAGATGGCTGTCAGCGAGAGATCTGACCGCGCTCTCATTGGCTGCGATGGCAGCATGAGCAGACTCGCCATGGAGGGATTACAACTTCATTTTATCTGGATGTTGGAGCGCTGTACACTCACAGAGCAAAGAGATGAAGCACTGTTCCCTCCTCCTCCTCCTCCTCTTCCTCGGTGAAACAAAAAAAGATTCAGTTGATGAATCAAGTTTGGAGCGGCTTCCTTTCATCCCCTCTCCTCTTTTATTTCACCGCCTCTCAGCGGAGACAGAGCTCAGCTCCTCCTGTTGAACGCTGCCTTCGCCCATGCAGACCTCTGTTGCCATGGTCACAGTCACTACGTGTCAAAGCAGAGGAAGTGGATGATATCTTCTCCAGATGTTGTCTCTTTTTTTTTTTCCTTTCTCTCAGACAGGAAATGAAGGGCAAATACTTCAAATGTGTTGATTTTCAAAATAAGAATAAAAAGAAGCATGTTTACATACCAAGAATTCTGAGCGAGCAGGAAACAGCGTTTGACATCAAATGCTCTACTTTGTGTTTTAGCTGCATGGAAAAGATTCTGCAGTGTTTTTCACTGTAGAGGACTGAATGAGATGAAGACGCACTGATACACATATTTATGTCTCTGGGGTCGTCTAATCTGACACAGTGACAATCCTAACAAACAGATCATGTAGTCCAACCTCGGTTTTAGATTTGCTGAACTGGCCGTTGACATTCAATTTCTTTTCTGCAAAAAAAAAAAGGCTTAAGATTAATGTAACCAAACTGAATCTCTTACTGTCGCTGGATGCTGAAGCACTGTCTCTTAAATAGAGACCTGATCTACATCATGCTTATCTAGTTGTCAATGCCACTGATCTATTCGGGTGTGTGTTTTTCGCTCTACCTCCATACAGCACATTTGCTGAAGACAGTATGGCTCAAAGGAAAAGTACAATCAGAGGGTGCCTTCACAGCTAAACTTGGAGCAGAGTGATTAATAAGATTTTAATTTGAATGACAATCACTGCTTCTCAACCCCTACGGTCATGAAAATATAATAGCGGCGATTGAACGATAATGTGTCGTCTGCTATGTTGCCCCCATTTAGTACGACATGATGAATGAAGCGCACCCTCCCTCTCTTCCTTAACTGCACAACATATGCGTGGCCCCTCCCCTCAAACAGTTCTCACTATCACTACATCATCAGCAGCTCTGATCAACATGTGAACTAAAGTTTGGGATGGTGATGGGCAAGGCAGTTCTTTTAGATGTAGAGTCATTCACTGAAAAGATTCATTCAAAAGCTTCGTTCAACAAATTACCGAATCATTCAGCAATTGGCAGGAGGAGCATGCCGACACCTACTCCCTGAACTGATCAACTGAACTGAGAAATGATCAAATCACTTGAGTAACTGATTCGGTCCAGTACGTTCACTTTAAAGATTCGTTCTTTTGAACAAATCATTCGCAAACCGCACAACACTAGCTTGGGAGCAGGGGGATGTTGGGGTTTTCACTAAGGTTAATGTTGGACCTCTGTATCTTCAAGAAGTTGTGCAACAGTGGTACAAACAACCAGGCAGCCACAGGTGGAGAGAAGAGAGCAGGGAGAAGAGCAGGAGGAAGTGGCAATGGCAGCACCTATGACATCAACTTAAGATCACTTCTTCCTGTTGCTAAGCTACAAATCTTCTCACACTTCTGACACTTCCGCCTCCTTCAGCAGGAGATAATGCACAACAATAGAGAGATTAAGTTAAACAGAATCCTGACAGGATGAGATGAAACCCTGACCAGACATTAAGCAGGATGTCTACTTCTACCTTGAAGGGCGGCCCAGTGTAACAGAGTGGAGATGCTGACAGCTCACTTCCATAATCAGACACAAGAGCAAACTGCATGAAAATGCATGTTGGCGCTTCATTTGTGCAACATGTTTTAAATGTCAGACCGAGAGATGACCGTAATGACGCACATTTTTCGAGCCATTACTGGTAGCGATCCATACCTAGAGAATCCCTTTGTGAATTTGTGTCCTCGTTTTATGTCCTTCTTTGTTTCCTTTTCTATCATGATGCAATTCACCACTGGTCTTGTGGTTATCTGCTTTTGATTCTGGGATGGTCGTCCATATTTACAGGACCAGATTGCACTGAAAATGTGAGAGTCATCATCCATTTGCCACGGACTAAACAAGTAGCCTGGCTGGGCCATCCAGTTGCGTGAATCACTTGCCGTTCCTTCCCACAACAGTCTGGACTTTGGCCAATTGGGAGCGTGTATTAGAAATCAGAAAATAACCGGGCCAATCAGTGACTGTGTTTCCACTGTTCCCCAGACAACAGGGAAAAGCAGCCCCTGATCGGTCCATGTGTAGATGGTGGCTCCACCAGGTCTTGGACTAGTACCTAAGACCAGGCCTTGGGTCTTTTCAAACCCTATTTGGTACTTAGAGGGAGGACTGCAGAAAAGAAAACAAAAGAAAAGAAAAGAAAAGAAAAGAAAGAGTTTGGTTTGTTTGTTTGTAAAATATAATTTAATCATTGCTTACTCGAACCGCGACCACTTCCAAGTTCAGTTATGTTATTTTATATTGTAGTTTTAATAGGAATGTGAAAAATAGATGTGATTTGCAGTATTATGTCACTCTGAGCAGCTTTGTCTCCAATTTACTCTTACTCGCACCTGTGAGGATTATAAAACTGCAATAAGAAAGAGAGAAAATATAATCCAAGAAAATCAATGTGCTAATCGATCCTTTGTAGTTACAGAAAGAGAAAGTCAAAGCACGAAAGTCTATTGACGTTTTTGTCTGAGGGTGATTCAAAAAAATAGTTACTGACAAAAATCAATCTGCTGATATAGAGGACATTATTAGCTTTCAGATAGTCTGCCAGTGAAGGGAAAGGAAAGGGAGCCAAGAAGAGTTAATTATTTTAATTGAACATTAATTAAAAATGTAATTTTCGAGCAGGGTTTGATGCCAGCCATTGCTGAAGTCATCCAGGACCTCTCCTGCGTATCCTCTCAGAATATCATCATTATAGCCGCTGACAGGACTTCCAGATCCAATTCAACATGGAGATGAATGTGTGTGATGTGGAGCTGCTGACAGGAGCTCTGCTACCACAGAAACACACGCAGGACTGCAATAACTTCAGTGTTAGCAAAGCTTACATTCGGCTTCTTGGCAGCGGTCTGAAGCAGAGCCGCACATCAAACAGCCGGGCCTCCCATTCAGCCCGCTCCATACTGTTATACTTATGAATTCATTAAGCCCCCTCTCAAAGCAACACCTCCTCACCGCTTCACATGTTCTGCAGGACTCTTTCCATCCGGACAGAGGGATCAATATGTGTGTCTGAGAGTGTGTGTGTGTGTGTGTTCCACAGATGTGGCTGAGACTGATTTTTGTGCAAAGTAATTCGCAGAATCTTTTTTGGAGCATTTTTTTTTTGGGATTTGCAAAAGTCCGTAATAAAAGAAGAATACATTTTGGCTCTTTGAAAATCTATATCAGGTTTTTCCTTTGGTTGAAATCATAAATGAGGTCCCTTGTGGAAAAGGAGAGATAAGTCTAAGAGCACTTTGAACTTGTTGGAGCTGGAGTGGAGCAGAGCCGCAGCGCAGCGACAGCAGAGTGCAGCTTCAAACACTTGCAAACATGTGAGAAAATATTCAACAGTGAGAAGTGTGTTTGTAATAATGCAAGAACTCCACTGAGCTTATTCCTACTGAGGCCAAACTTATTCTGCTTTAAGTTATACATGAATCAAGTCTGAACTCACACCATGAGCTCCAAAACAACTGGTTTCCTCCCACATTGTGTGCCAGTCAAGGCCACCTGGATCCACCTCCCCGGAGTCCCGGTTCTTTACAAGTGGTCTTTTTTTTTTTTTTACAGCACACAGGGATCTCAAAGGAGCCTTTCATCTGCAGGGTCTGTCTTAAACATGAAAAAGTTGCATTCACACTTCTGTGCTTTGCTGAAACAGCTGTTAAGTTTTGCTTGTAAGCAGAGGCTCATTCTAGCTCTTCAAAGCACCTGGGCACAAAAAACCCACTTCCCTTTTTCTGGGGGACGTTCAATAGAGAGACACTTAATGAGTGGAGTACGACTCCCAGTCTTCCTCCTGTTGCCTCCTCAGTGTGTCTGTTAAAGGAAATTTCTGTGTCTCGAATTTGGGGCTGTAATTTGACATGTGGTGCAAAGTGTATGAGGGGAAATGTTCACCCATGTTTTACTGAACATGGATTGACAAGCTGAAAACACTTGTTGCTACTGATGTGATGAAGCCATTGTAATCCCATTCAGAGAGCATAGGTGAGCTGAAGGTTGTACAAAGGATGAATGGAGACAATCTGAGAGGCAGGGGGAGGATGAGTGTGAGCGTAAGAGGGCAGACCACAAACACAGCAAGACCCTGTCTCTGTGTTTACTGTCTGATACTAATGATGAAACAAACAAATGAAGGTCTGTCTGAGTGCTGATTGAGGCAATACAGTCATGTTCTACTGGAAAGCACACATGACAATGTGCAGGAGTTTTGTTGGTTTTATTGTCAACTTCTGTCTTGTGCGCCTGTCTAGATGTGCAAAGGTATTTGTTGTCTGACTCTTTCTCTGGTAGAGTTCAACTGTATTTCAAGTTTCAAAACAGGGTGTTGTGTTCACAACTCTTAGTTAAAAGAGGAATTTTAAGAAATGTGTAACTTGAGCAAAACTGTAACAAGCATGCACATTTTTTTCTATAATACACAACAGCGTAACGTCATTAATTGAAGAAAACTCAGGGCTTGCCTTCAATGTCAGACAGGATCTAACGATGACTAATCCGTGCTTAACATCACAAACAGTAAATTTGAGTTTGGGCTGTTTCTTTACACAAATAAAGACTGTAGGACAGCTGAAAATGCAAACTTTTTGATCTAATTCTTTTCTAATTTTGCTGCTGAATCACATGGCTGTGTTCTGTCCTATGTACATAATGGCTACAGTTTAGTTTTACTTTAAAATATCTGTGGGCACAATGGTTATTGGCACTGATAGTTTTGTTTGTTTGTGTCTGTTTATGCATGTATTCAAGAGTGTGCATGATGGAGAGCTTGGTGTTGGACTCATTCAGGGATTTTTACTCTATGCAGGGCTGAGGCGACGAAGGTATGATGAGCATATCCTCATCTTCTGGCATCCCTAAATCGGCCCTAATAATGCTGAGAAAGCGGGGACACGTGTAGGGTGCTGTCTCCAAGCCCCAGGGTCTCACATTTGTCACTTGCCATACTGTGGATGGAAGACCAACTACTCCCAGACTGGTATACCTCCCCTCTCCAATACGAGACACCCCCCTCTGTGTCTACTGTATCTATATTTCCTCTTGGATTCCACTCCACTAACCACAGGTATGACCCGCCAGGCATAGCTAACATCACCTGATCTCTTTGAGGTGTATGCGTTTACTGTAGCATTGTTCATGGTTCTTGGATCATGTTAAGTGCCGGGGGGCTAAGGTCTTTTTGGTTTTTCCGCTTAGGAGAACCACATCAGCAGTTTGAATCACAGCTAGGTTTGACAACTTATTTTATTAATGTGAGGCTCGCCAAATAGGATAATTATCTAAATTTTGAATTAAAAAACTCAAGAGGCGAGAAGATTACAAGGAGTCTATTTTGTCTGCAAATATTAGAATCAGATCAGGTTAAAAAAATCTGATTGTGACATCCCTAGTATTAACATTTATGCATCCTGACATGCTCAGCGGACAGTACTTAACAGTTGGTTTCACATACCGAAGTCTTCACTTTTCGCCTCGCTGCATAAAGGGCACTGTGTTTCCTGCATTTGCTCTAAATATTGGCACAGGCTGCAAACCATGAGACGCACAGCTGTCTTTTGTAGCCGTAACCGCTCTGCATACTGGGCCGGGATTTATATAATTGGTTATGAGAGAAAGGTCGTCCAACTTTCACTTCCAGAAACGCAACAAACTTTCTCTCTTTTGGGGGTTTTCAGTGTGTATGAGTGGAGAAAGACGATCTAACAAACATAACGGAGAGCAACAACAAACCTCTGTTCCAACTGTGACAAAGAGCCATTTCATTACCCTGGTTTATAGAAAAAAATAATTGGATGAACATCCCCTCTTACTGCTGCATAGAGGCTTTCATCCCAAGTATTTAGGCTGCAAAATTGTCCATGATTTAATTAGGTAAAGGAACAACTCGCCTCCGCATTTGGCAGCACTTGATAGCCCACTGATACAGCTCATTAGCAAAAGAAATCTCCATGACATTGGAGAAAAATGTGCTTTCATAGGCCCCAGAGCAATGTTCCCTTTGACTGGTCTCACACAGTCAGTTCCTCTGTCCACCCTTTCACTTCCTCTCCGCCGTCGTCTCAGTAGACAGCACTAAGTGATCGTGACAAATATCACATCTGCATACCCATAGTTCCTGCTCAGCCGTCTTTCTCTGTTGCACTGAAGGTGTGCAGCCGACTGAGACATTAGCAGAATGCACGTTTCCTGGTCATCAGTTTAATCCAGATTTACAGTCAGCACTAAAACCAGGATCAAAACAAGTTCAAGTTCAAGAAGTCAGATGGGGAGATGTATTTTAGCAATTGTAGCCTCGATGCTAACATGTTTCTCTGATCTAGCTGTAAAAGTTGAAGACCCCTGGACCGATAAAAGATACCTTAGCATGCTACTAAAAGAACGCCAATGCACATTTAACATTTGCAGTCTCTTTATCCCCAATTATAATCTCAATAAACTCCAAAAGAAAAACCTTGACCCGTAGCTTAGTGTTACGCTAAGTTCACTGGCTAACCTAAGGTTACTAGATGTTCCCAATTTCTGGGGACAGTCCCCGCATTGGATGACCTGTCCCCGGCTAAAGCTGTCCCCAGAAATGTCCCCCATTTAAGCGTTTCATGAATGAGAACATTGTTGTGTGTAGACTAGAAAAAAGGTTATTACGGTAGCTGAGTGGGTAGGAAGCACGAGTGAGCATGTTAGCACACTCCTAAACAACATTTTTTACGGGGGTTATTACAGGGGTTTCTACTAGGGCCCGACCGATTTATCGGTGAGCTGATTAAATTGGCCAATTTTAACCCGTTTAAGACTAATCAGTAATTGGCCAAAACTTGTCCATTTTCGCAGATATTTTCAGAAATAAAATGCGGAGAATAAGATTCGTTTCACTTCAAAAATGTTCCGCCATTTGAAAGATCCCCCAACTTATCCTGTAGATGGCGCAGCAACCTCATGACAATCTTCATCAGCTAACTACCTGATAGCACAGCTGAGTGACGGATCTGAAGCAGGCAGCTCAGGGACGCACAGAGAAGAGTGGTCCGCCTCAACGGTTAATAAACCAGTTTGTGAAATAAACAATAAGTCAACAAGTTTCAGTTCAACCCACTTCACGATGTTCCCCGCTGTGCTGGTCTTGGTCACGCTGAGTCAATGGTGAAGCACCATGTAATATGCAAGCTAAAGTTAGAGTTAGCCACCCGCTATTAGCCTTGCCACGCTGTTAGCCGTGCCAGTAACGTTAGAATAAACAACAGTACACATTAGTGATCGAGCAACTTCTCTTACTGAGGCAGCTGCATGTCTTCAGATGAGACCGGACCGGAAATGAGTAACGTGAGTTAAGACGCGGAGGCACCGATCGGCGGCGGGGGGTAGTTGAAAATGGTCGGTCGGGCCCTAGTTACTACTACTGCTACTAAGTAGTACTGAGATAGAAATAGAGGGCCTGAAATCACACTTTGCTTAGCATCCCCCACCCCCTGGATGTTCCCGGATGTCCCCGGATTTCATTACAGAAATCTGGTCACCTTAGGCTAACCACCAACTGTCTATTTGCCATTTGACACTGTTTGAGCTGTGGCTGTTCAGTAGGTTAATGTAACATTTTGCCTTGATTGTTGTTTGACAGTAGGGTCTATTTCAGCAGGAATTCTGCCTGAAAAATCCCGCTTTCATGCTTTAGAGAAATCCACTGTCTGGACAGGTATGAAAATGATGATAACATGTCAGAAATCTCACTAAGGGCCACACTTGTACTGTTTTTATAACAGGAACCTGCAGGGATAACACTGTGCGCTAAATACCTTTTTAGATCAGACTGTGAGATGACCGCTCAGTGAGAAAGGAAATGAGTGTTTACAAGGTGTTGAAGACACTCGACCAAACATGGAAGAGAGGCAGGGACAGTGAGAGAGGGGGCACAGGTCATTGCCTTCCTCCTCCCCCATCATGGAGCTGTGGATCCGCAGCAAAGTCAGTCCAGGGGCCTCCCTGCTTCCTGACCCTGGGAGTCAGGGAACTCTAGGCCGCCTGGGTAGAAAGAAAGCATTCACCCACTGTGAAATATCTGCAGAGTATTCCTATTCCCCAGCCACAATGGTAGAGGCCCGCACACAATGCTGAGAAGTTCTGCACAGCAGCGCGAGATGACACATCCGGTGCAGGCCAAAAGAACACATCATCCCATTGTAGGCTGTCATTGTGTGGCCGAGGGGGGGCAGGAGGGGCGCTCAGGGGCAGAGAGGCAGTGTGTCCCCTTTGTCTTCATTTCTAACTGTCTTAATCCTTCGCTCTTTTCACAGGGAGGCTACGGTCCGGGCTGAAAAGAGCACCGCAGCCAGAAAGAAACTTCCTCCCAGACTCGTCAGGCCCTAAAACGATTCCTGCACTCTTCTTTTCATTGAGTCTGAGCCAACCTGAGCGAGCATTTCATCTCATCTCATCCCCTCCTCCTGAGATATATTGTGCTGCAGAGTCTTCCCATTGCCAGAGACAGATTATATACTCTAATAAAACAGCTTTTTTCCTGGCACTGTGACAATTTGGCCCCGGGTCAGGTGGAGATCTGCTGCAACAAGCCAGCTGCCACTCAGAGAGGACACTGCCTGAATTCATACGGCATCACCAACAGTTGTTATTGTGCAGTCAAACTCACACAAAGGCAGGGGCGTCCCTCTGAGCAGCAAATATTAATAACCTCATGCTGTTCTGTAGCAGCTCTGCAGAATCAGGACTGATATCTGTGGTTTGTCGTGAATCTGGTTCGACAGGTACATTTATGACAAGTAAAGTCGTGGGAAAGTCGCTCTGATGCCCCCATTAAAATGTAAGTAGCATGGTTTCACACGCCATTTCATGTGTGTGCACGCATGTGCATTTGCGTGGAATGTTTTTTAAGCTGGCAGAAATGTGTACATGTGGAAAAGTCCTCAGTGAAACTGGAACATTAACAGGAAGTAAATTATAAACTTCTCTTCCTGAAAACACAGCTCCTGCCGCCTGCAAAAATCCAGTATGACAAAGTTGAACAAACAACGTAGATGTTAAACAAGCGCAGACATGGCTGTGGGGTGCCCCACGTTTGTTTTAGGCAATGTCATGGCAAGAAGGAAAATACACAGGGTCACTCAGTGTGACCTAACAGCTATGTCCTGTAACATACCTACAGATTACACTGCCCGATTCACTCAGCAGACAGAAACACTCTCTGCTGAGGGACTGGACGTATAATTATAGTCAACTGCCATGGTGAACTACTGGATCATACTCCATTTATTTACATCCACCATCATTATTCCTCTAGTTTTTTTCATCTTGTGCTGACGAGTGATGATTTCACACACCAAATAGTTTCACCAACAACATGTAATTAAAAAACTGACGCACAAGGATATAAACTACGACCATAACGCATAGAAACTTTTGTCAATGAATATTAACATGACGAAACAAAGTGGGGCAGGGACAAAGTCCAATCAGAGCAGACTTAAAAGTATGAGTGGGTGGGTTGAGATAGGAAGAAATCCAAACAACACCCTCCCTGTGCAGCAGTGATCCACTCAAGAGGTGATATGGTGCATCTATTCCTGAAAAAGTGCAGCAGAAGTGCCCTCTTTGATGCTCCTGACATATTAAACATAATAAAATGCCTTTTTCTGATTGGAATAACCTACCGATACATATTCGGTCTATTTCCTCTTTTAAACTGTTCAAAACTGCACTGTCGTCTTATTTCTACTTGCTCATGTTTTCAATAAGGCATCAGTATTCAGTATTCTGTATATCAGATCTGTTATGCAATGACCCTTATTTGTACCTTTTGTTTTGTGTTGTTACTGTTGTTTGTTTGGCTAAGTCCTTGTCTTTAGTTGAGGTGTCTGAATCTGTGATGATGTCTATTGTGATTTGTATTTCTTTTTGTCTATTTTGTTTCTGTATTGCTTTTTTCTATGTGATTTTCATGTGTCTGCATTGTGGACCCCCTTTGAAAACGAGATGGTTCATCTCAAGGGGTATTCCCAATAAAGAATTTCAACTTCTGGTGCACTGCACAAGCGCAGAACGATAAGGCAGATAGAGCCGTGTAATCAATCCCTAACTAGTTCTGTTAGTCCAACTATGAGAAGATAGACAACATGTGAACGTACTGGATGTAAAAACATCCTTTCTTTTGCAGCAGACCATCAGCAGTGTTTGCAATGATGGCGCAATGAAAAGGGAAAGTGACTTCAGTTTGAACTTTGTCTAACATGGAAAAATCGTGCGTTGAGGTGGCTCACTGAATCACCTGATATCTTACTCACTGAGAAAACGTGCTGCTCAGTGTATCTTCTGTTTTGGCAGCGCTCTCTCCACTATCTGGTTTCAGCGTCATTGCTTTTCCAGGTGCATGAAGGACAACACCATTCATCTGTGTCACTGCGATGACTTTGAACTGGATATTCGTCAGAGAGCAGGAGAACTCTGCCCATTTTGGGTCGGATTCAAAACAGGCGAGAAATGAGCTTCCTGCTGCATCCAGCTGGCCGCTGCGTTTGGCCGGCGTCCCAGCTGCCTGGGCCGCTCTGGCTCCGCTCCAGCTCAGGCTGGCCGGGCCGACAACTGGAGCAGCTCAGAGCGCTGACCTCGTGACCGCGGCGTCCAGAGTGCAGGGCAAGGTGCAGGGCCAAGCAGTGTGGAGTAAACGCTGATAGACAGGGAAGTCAATGCATATATTGGCTGCAGAAAACGCAGTTTAAAGCTCCAGATATCGGCTCCTATCAGAGTTTTCTGGAAATAAACAAACCTGATAAAACTTGTGCTTCAGTTTCATGGAAGAATAACCTCGATGTAACAACATTTCCTTAAAGCCAGTCACTTCACCAAAGTCGGATGCAGATTATTTAGCGTCGATGACATGTTTCTTGGTTTCCTGAGGATGACTTCAAGCTTTTTTCGCTGAACCCTCGCCGACAGTTTCACTGCGAAAACTCAAATCTAAGCAAAGGCATCTGTCGCATTTCAAGGCAAATGTCTCACTGATCTCTTATAAAGGGATATTCTTTAAGTCATTATCACCATATTAATCATTTTGCACTGCAGACGCTGTGATTCTTCTGCCTTAGCGTCTCGGTCTGATTGCATTTCCATGAAGAAATGATCATAAATGTTCTTCCTTGAGCTGCGTCACCCCACAGCACTCCGTAATAGACTGGTCTTTGCACTTTGCTAAAGAAATTAGGCAAAGTTAAAAAGATGTTTGGTGGCTAGTACTATGGCTGGGACCCTATATGTACTGTTGATGAAGTTAGATGCTGTTCTGAGCATTATTTGTGGCTATAGAGTGGCGCTTTTGTTGAGGTTTGTGTGTGCCTCCTGAGACCGCTGTGTATTGCTATCGTGCAATTGTTACTCAAGTTGGTTTAACTAGAGAAGCAAGCAGTCGGCAACATAAATCTCTCGACGGGGTGTCTAACTCTGTGTTGAGGTTGAAATAAAGACAAATAGGGGATTAAACAACAAAAAAGACACAATACACGTGAGCTAATTATTCCCAAATCTGCCTGCAGCTTCCCCCAGGTGAATTTTCAATGTCAAGCAAACACCAATATTTACAAATGCATAAACACACAAACATGCATGTAAATAACAAATAAAAAATGTATTCTGAATAATGATTTAGACTTAAAAATTAGATAAAATTCATGTGCCTTATTGACTCATAAATCTCAGAGATTTGGAACTGGAACTCTCAATACCCAGAGCTAATGTCAAATATGCACAAATACCAATAAAAAATGTTCCCATCATTGCTTCAGTACAGTAAATGCAGTTTTCACATAAACCCAGTCCCTGTGTTTCTCTCCAACTTCCCACTTGTAGAGGCAGAGGTCTCCTCAGGTGGTCCATGACTGACAGCTACCTGCTGGCCTTGGCGAGACTCCACAACCATCCGGGCCACACCAGCAAAAATAACTGAGGGGATATTGATCCACTCCAAGGTCGTGTTTTCCTTTCACTGAGAGGATCTTCAAACAGGCCTCCCAGCTGTCACAACACAGAGACTCGAGAGAGAGGGTTCAGACCGAGGTAATGGACAAGACGGGTTTGATGTCAAGGTGCAACTCAGCAAAAAAGAGAAAGACCTGAAGGAAATGAAGAGGCTCAGGATAAGATCGGTCTTAATGCCTCGTTTTGTCCCGTAACTTCTTTGTATCACCGACTTATTATAAGAGTTATCAATTCACTTAAACACCTCCATTTCACAAATTACAACTCTGCAGCACCAGAGTGGACTTCTACCATCACTACACCTTCATACTAACACGCTGAACCCTCCGACAGTGTAATACTAGCGTCTCAATGTGTGATGTCTCATCCCGTAAGGCGCTACAACCTCTGCTAGTAATGTCTTCTCTCCTCTACACTTGTGTTAGCTGCGAGGCGGCTGTGACATGAGTGTGAAAGCCCCACCTTGTGAAAGCAGTGTCGAAAGACCATGTACAGGAACATTTCAAGTCCTCATGATGACTTGAAGCCTCATTAACATGACCTTTACAGTATGACTGTATAAAAACCAGCGCTGACATTAGCATCAGTGGTTCGCAGACTTCACCTTCTGCACTAGAGCATACAGTGAAGATGATAGCAGTAATGAGGACAGTATCCATCTTTATAATACTGGGACACTTAATAAGCTATTCTTTCACGACTTCTCCATCCTCCAAATGCTTCTCCTGTTAATCCAGAGTCAGACTGACATTATAAAATGCCACTGTTAGATCCATGGTGTAAGGCCCGGAGAAAACTTACTATTATGCTGCTAACGGGTTCCTCGACTCTCACAATCTGTGAGTTTTCAGGACAGAAGCTAACCTCGTAGCATCTGTACACACTCACATGTTCATTGTTAAAAAAGGAAAACTGTCCTCAACTTTGATCGATCTAAAACAGTCACTGTTCTTGGTCTATTCAATCCCATTCAAGACCCATTCTGATGTAAAATCATGTTTTTCTTGTTTTTTTACATGTTCATATGGCATTTTTCTGATGCTACAGAACATATCATTAGAAAAGTAAGTGTGATATTACATTTCTAAGTATTTCTGCTGTCAGACCCAAACGGCAGGGTCAGAAACAGTGAGAGCGCCGTACCCGGAGTCCCGCTATGCAAGCCAGGCTTGGAGAAATAGAGAGGACAATCACGTAACAAGCGTGTGCATTAGCAGATTGCAATACTCGTAAGAAAACTAATTCTTTCATCATGCCCCTAAAGACAGTGTCCGAGAGCCGAAAAGCTCCTACGTTACCTGCATCTTTTACTACACCAGCAATGTTAAGGCTAAAGCATACAGGATGTGTATCAGCTCCGTTGCAGCAGCGCATTGAGAGCAGCACTGCTAAAGATACGCAACGGGTCTATTTTTGCTGCTCTATGTTTCCAATGCGCGTCAATCCACACAGAGAAGATCGTCCTAGACAGGAAGTCGAGCATGAAGCACTGCGCATGTCATCCAGTATTTCAAAATAAAACACCGTATGCGAACTCTCGACTGTGTATCAGTTTGTGTAGATGAGGTTCCTGGTCATGGATTTATCAGCAACACAGAACAATCTAATGGTCAATCCCTGATCCATGTGGACCCCAACAGAACTTTTAACTGCGAACTCTGAAGGTCACAACACAGCATAAAGGAACATAGTTTACACGAGTAAACCTGCAAAAACCGAAACTGTTGTGAGCATGTTGTTGACTCTATCCTGAGCCCAGCTGACCGGGCTGCACTACGCTGCTGCTACACTCCAAATACACATCCTGTATGCGATACCTAGCGCTGCATTATGAAGCAAATACAGAACGCGTTTAACACGGATCCTGTATGTTTTTGGCTTTAGTCTGCAAGCTAACGCGAAGAAAAGTGTGCAGAGCAGCGCTGTCTCCGCCCACGACTCAGAGGCAAATTGCTAATGAGCTTCTGGAGCTCTGCAGAAGAAAAGCCCTTGAAAATGATACAGGTAACGCGATTGATATACTATTACAATTTAAAGACCACTGATAACACTTTAAGTAGTAAAGAAACGACCAGACTGGAATTTTAAGGTTAAAAACAATCAAATAAAACTTGATAAAAAGTTCACAGAGTGTGAAATAGAGATCTCGCCGGGCAGTGAGCTGTCTGCAAGAAGCTGTCTATTCAACCACTGTGCAGGCATTGGTGGTGAAGGAGTGATAAACCGTCATCTCAACAGTTTCATTTGTGTCCAAACAGCTGCGGATGAGTCCAGGAGAAAAGACAGATTAATTGCTCTCTGGAGGTTTTTTTCCTGTCAGAGCTGGGTGTCTCTCCTGGGAGCGAGCGGCTCACACAGTCAGCAGCTGGAAACCTCTCTGAAGACTCTCATTTAAGACCACTTCTCACTTTCTAACATCTGACTCGGCCTGAAAACAGAGATGTGAAACCGCTCTGCTGATCGTCAACACTCCGGGCTCGGTTCTCACATACAGATCAGACTCTTCTGGTTTGTGTAGGAGGATTTTTTGGATGGTTGAACCTCCTCATCGCTCTTTTTATTGCCTAACTCAGCAAACACTATTCCAGAAAGTTCACCTCTGGAGTCCCCGCACCTTTATCACCATTATCAGCTGTCGCTTCGGATTAAAGCAGCGTGACACTGATAGAGACCAGCTGCTGTTTTCTCACATTCATCCAAAGAAAGACATTCCTTACAATGACGAATGGATATATTTCCTATCACAAACACATGGACCTGAACCCAGGGTGTTATGGGAAATATTTTAGAGGAGATAGAGGCTGACTATCAGTCTAATGGGACTTCCCACCAGCCGCAGCATGTACGCTCACATACAGTAAAGTATCACACACGTGGAGAGGTTTTTTTTTCCGGGCTTTCGCCACCTCCAGTGTGATGTATGGTAAAGCATATATGTTCCCTCCCTTCCCTCTCCAGCTGTGAAAATATTTTCTCTGTCAAACATCTGTCTGAGGAATGTGGGGACCGAGCTGGCCCTCTTCCTGTCAGTAAAGCTGCAAGAGGTACATGCATCCCCCCTCCTCTCTGCAGCCGCCCTGCGAAGGAATAACAAACCTGACATCCCCGAGCATCCTCACACTGACATCGGCTCTTTTTACAAACGCACTCTTGGAAATTTCTGGAAAATATCACGACGATCTCGACCTGAATTTTTCGAAAACTTAGCCGCACATCCCTCACAGTATGAAAATACATGTGTGGGAGAGGAGGCAGGGGGTGGGTGATTTGAGGAGGCGGGATGTGACAAAAAACAGGGATCCTACACTATTATTAAAATCAAATTTTAGACTTTTGAAGAGCTTTTGAGAATAATGAATGATGAAGGAACCACGTATGAGAGCTCAAAATGCAGAAATGAGGAAGTCCACAAAATAGGGAAATATGTACGTGTAGTCTCGGCTAATCCTGCATGAATAAAGACCAGTAAAGGTTAAGAAACGCCGTCACCGCACGTCAACATTTGTGGCTGCAGCATGAAGTTAAATCAGCTCATAATACAGCAGAAAGAAAGCACTCAGCATGACCCCGAGCTGCTGTAAATTCCTGTAAACCTCCAGAAGTTTAGTGGATGTAATATTTTGTCACTTTACTGTGTGTGTGGTTTCCACTCTGCGGGAAGGGGAAAGAGAACATTGTGGACATTTTACAGTGAAATGGAGGTTTGTTCTGACATGAAGAATGAGCTGACATTATGAAAGGGTAGTTATGAAAGTCAGAGACTGTTTTGTAACAATTGAAGAACAATTTCATCCTGTTTAAGCACAAACATCACTGAATGAAAATGGAAAACTCAATAAAAAATGGGTCGCTGTGCAGACCGCCGGCATGCAGGCTGCAGAGGATTGAAGAGAAATAATCAGGATGTCAAGAATATTCTCTACTCAACTCTCTGACTTTAAATTTAGCTAAAAAAAAGAGTAAGAGCCGGATCCGAAGCAGTGAAATCATCTCTATCTCAGAGATCGTCTCTCGGTCCCTCTGCTGAAGGATGTAAATGCGCCGCCTCGGCTGCAGGGATCAATACGACATTAAAGAAAGCTCTGTGTTCACACAAACAGCCCTCAATCATGTGCCAAAAGCCAGACAGACTGTGTTCTGTTGTTTTCTCACATTGTGGACTTATATTGAACCCTGACGGCCTGTTGATGAGCAGTTGATGCACACAGAGTGATAACCCGGAGTCATGGAGGGAAGACGGTTCCTGTCAGTCTCAGTCGCTCACTCACTGACAGCTCCCTGCACTCTTATCACAGGGGGTCAATAGCTGTCATTGGACTGTCAGCACACATCATCAGTCTCTGAGTTTACTGCTTTGTATATCAACGCATTTCTATACGACGCATGTCAAGAGTGTTACTGTAAAGACCTCAGAACTCAACAATCCACTCTGGCATGTTTTGGTAGACAGATGAAAAGGGGAGTTGCTCCAGGTCGACTTCGCGCTGAATAAGAACCAAGTAGCAAACAACTGCATAGTAGCAGACTGCAGCTACTTTAACACATGAAGCCGACAGCACTGTCAGTGAGAAAAAAAAGAGAACGAGTGCTACCCCCGGCAGAAATGCAGATGAAGGCTCAACAGATGATCACATCGGAGGTATTTTGGTTTTTTGAGGTCGGACATGAAGCAGAGTAATGTGCACTGCAAATTACGTTGAGTACATGTTCTCGCAAAATCGGGGGATACCGCAAATCTTTTCCACCACCTGAAGCAGTGCCACGCGGCAGAGCACGCGCAATGCAAAAGGTTACAAACCCTGAGTGGAGCAAGGAGTCTATTTTTTGAGCACAACGCCTTGTGACAAAATGTTGAAGAGACAAAGAGACCTCACAGATGCAGTAGCATATTGTACAGCACTTATATAGCACTCTTTAATTTTTGTTTTGTATATCGTAACATATATTAATATCAACTGATATGACAAAAAAGTATTGTGATCAACTTTTTCCCATATCGCCCAGCCCTAGGCCAAATGTTACAGGTACTGTGTACTACTCAACGTGCGCAGTTATTTGGATATTCGTGTAAACGGGGCTGTCCTTACTATCCGGTTAGTAAATAATATTTGATTATTTTATGAAATAAAATAAAAAAAGGGGAAAAAAAGAAAAAAAAGCGATAAAAAAGCTTCTTTTTTTTTTAATTACGTTTTTACCTTCATGTCTTAATGAAAGTGTGGGGCGGAGCTTAATTGCTTTGATCTTTCACGTACTTTATGTCATTCTCCAGCGCTAAAATAAGATTCTGTAACATATTTTAATATTATAAGCTTGGCTTTCATATACATTTAATATTTATTTCAGATGATATCTGGTCATATCGACATGTGCCCAATTTGGGCTATTTTCTGGGAGTAAATTAATTTTCGTGTATTCGAATATTCGGTTTCAAAATGGTCGTTTAAACGTCAGTGAAATTAACCACTGGGAACATCCCTAGCACACACACACACACACACACACACACACACACACACACACACACACACACACACACACACACACACACACCTGCAGCAGGATCTCTTATGCCCTAGTGTACCCCCAACAAACTGGATTCACAGCCATCCCCAGGCTGGGCCTTGAGCTTTTTCAAGAATGAAGAGTGTTGGATTTCCCACCATCTATCAGAGGGTTCACACAGTAAAGTGTGGTTGTAGCCTATGAAGAGTTAACATTCACAGCTATTTGATAAACTTTCAAGGCTCGGATGGTAAATGGGAATATATTGTTCGTTTTATAATAGGGTAGAGATTCTGAGGGTTTTTAGGGAAGGTTTTCCAGAACTGCTTTGAATGGTAATTATGTCCTTGAAGTTTGGCGAGGTTAGCAAACTAATCAGTCTCGAAAGTTTGCAAAAAGTTCTTTTTTAATGCATGCATTAATGTTATGCATGCTAATCTGTGTTTATTTGTCTTCTAGCTGGGTGTCAGATGTAGCTTAGCAGAGGTCCATCTTTCACTCAGAGGTCACCCAGTCAAAGCAGCCGTCCTCATCCTTGGCCTTACATCCGTTGTCTGCGTGACCTCCAAGGTCAGACCGGCCAGGAAGCAGATGGGCAGGGGTCTGAGATAGCGCCACATGCTGGGGTCAGTTGTGATTGGCCGTGTTCCTGTGTGGCTGGACGATGACAGAGTGTGTTATCAGGGCGGTGTGTGAGGGGCCGGCTGTTTGGCTTCGGCTGCACCGGGGCCTGACAGGAGCAGCTGGGCTGCTGCACAGGGTTCCTATTATTCATGTGGGGTCCTGGCAGTAACGCTGCTGCATACTGCTGCGCCGGGAGTGCTGCACCAACTGCCACTTACTGTACCACCAAGACTCAGGAAGGACACAGCAAGAGAAGACAGGGACGGTTTCCTGCCAAGAATCTTAAGACAGCCATGACACTGTACTGTGAAAGTATTATGCCGTATCACTGAATACACTGAGGGGTTTTTCAGATCTCACACAAAGGATGCTCTTCTTGTCCTATAATGTGGTTTGAGAAGCTTCTGCAAATGAAAGAAGATAAAACGGATGGAGGAAAATCCCTTGGACATGGAGTTTCCTCATTTGTAGATCATTATCCTGTAAATTTCATATCCTGAATCTGCGGAGAACAGTTGCTTTTTGACGTATCCAGGAAAATCACAACAATATCAGCATTCAAGGGGAGTCTGCATTAATGTCAGTCACTTGACTTGAGCTGTGGTTTGATCTTCAGGTCCTGTGGAGAAACATCTGTCTCCACTGAGACTGAAAGCTTCCTTTAGTCTATTAAATTGAAGAATTTGTCCGTTGTTTGGCACAGAGTTGTATTTACCTGACAGTACTGACTGTGTTTTCATCGTTTTTTTAGACAACCGAACATTTAACACAGTCCAGACTCAGCTGCACCATCGTCTGATTACAGCTGCTGCCTCTTGCTCTCCTTGTCTGAGAGGAAACATGCAGCTCTGTCTGGGCACGCTTTGTCATGCAGCTTGTCCTCCCCTGCATCCCCCCTGGTGGGTGATTAGTGTTCAGATGTGGACAGTGAGGATACGGCACCAAATCGGGGTTAATCACCACTGTCCCTTTCGTCTGTTCTCTGCACCTCGGCACAGGATAACATCCTCAGACTTCCCGTCAGGAGTGATACAAGGACTGAGTTTATATGAGATGAGTTGTAAAATAAACTACAACAGGGCCGCTGAGCACATTAACCGAAAGAGTACAGATCCTCCTCATTCCAAATGCAGCACGATCCTTCATTTCAAGCTTAAAGCAACAGGCCTATGCGTCATTTAACTATCGCTATCGTCATCTCTATGCATTAAATATTAAAGTAGAGCTCAAAATAGTTGCACAAAAAGAGTCAATGAGCGATGAGTTCTCCTGTTTTACTCCACAAATTTCCACATGTCAGTTTTCAGTTTGTTTTTATCCTGCCAAAAACAAGGAAGCGCCCCGACAGTAAGCTGGGATTGAGGTTTGGGGAGTGAGGAGAGTGTCAACAAACACAGGGCTCAACAAGGAGACAGAGAAACACTTGAGGTCGAAAGTCCAGTTCTGACCTGATTAAGCATGGTGTTATTTCAGGCAGGCCATGAAGTCAAGCTAACTGATCCTGACGCCGATGTCAGCTGATTGCTCAAAGCGGTTTGCAAATGCTTTGCAACCCGCCTCCGCCCCAGTGATGTCAACAGTGCACCAAGCGCTCTGCATGTGCAAAATTCACAAGCTTCAACAAATGGCAACGCAGAAGAATAGCAATGACGTTGGTGCTGTGTAGGCCTAGGACGATAATCCATCCATCCAATTTCTACCGTTTATTCCCGTTCCCGGGGTCATGGGGAGACTGGAGCCTATCTCAGCATCTTCGGGCGAAGGCAGGGGACACCCCGGACAGGTCGCCAGTTCATTGCAGGGCTAACATATAGAGAGGAACAACCATCCATGCTCACATTTGAAAGTGGCCCATAAACCTAACCCCACTTCTGCATGTTTTTGGGATGTGGGAAGAAAACCAGAGTACCCGGAGTAAACCCACGCAAACAGAAACGCCCTTACCAGGATTCGAACCCAGGACCTTCTTGCTGTGAGGCGACAGTGCTAACCACTACACCACTGTGCCGCCCAGGACAATAATCAATAAATCTATTAACAGCACGATAAATGAAAATGAACTTGATAATTTATCGCCACGTGCATGCATGTATTTGTTTTCCTCGTCTCGTGCCTCCAAACACGCTGGATGCCAAGATGGTTCACTCTGTGCATCGGTCTCAGCACCTGGGCGCATTTGTGCTTTAGTGGAATGAAATGAAGGGAGCGAACCATCTTGTCAGTCATTCAGGATCTTTGTATATCTGGGGGGAGGCGCCGCAGAGCCGCAAATGCACACATACACAGAGTAGACCGTAGCTAGTTGACCTGACAGTCAACGCTTACTGAAGCGTTCGGTTGACTAAGCAAGTACAGTCAGAACAGCGCAAAATGGTGTGCCCTCACATAAAGTGTAGTTCGCTACATTGCCAAAGAAATGCTGCCATTTAATACGGTTGAAAAACCAGCATTTTTATTTCATTTTTTAAACATCACATTAGTGGTTATTTTGGTCTAGATAATGTCGACAATTATATTGTTTATCAACAATAATTTATGAGACAATATATCGTCCAGCAAAATTTCCCAGACCTATTGCTGTGAGATGGAACCATCAGACAAAGGAAATGTTTGATCTCTTGCAACGACTTCCTTGTTAGCATTTTCAAGTGTCCTCTGCCTTTCAGTGTCATAATGACTGGCCAGGTACCACCCTGTAGTCGAGTCATGGCACAAATCTCTGGCTCTGTGATCTCCAAATCTGGTACAGTGACCATGGGAAAGACAAAAAGACTTCAGCAACTTGTGCCCCACTTTAGCCCAAACTGTGCGCTGCTAAACTAGCAAAAGTTGGTCATTTATCCGTGCCATGTGCTTTAAACTGTTTGATTTGGCCTTAAAAATCAAAGCATCTACCTCCCAAACTGCTAAACTTCCACAGTTTGCAACTCATAAATTTATCCACGATGGTTTTAGTTATTGCTCCCACATTGTGCTGTAACTGTGAATCTGCAGGTGGTACTATTTTCAAATAAAGGATTTTGGCATGAAACTCAGTTCTTTATTGTGGATCATGCCATTAAACTAGGTTAATGTTTGTTCTGAGACCGTGGGGTTATAAACAGAACCAGCTGTGCATGTGTTGGTTATGCCCCAGTGTACAGAACACCGCTGTGGTCTCTGGTCAGTTTACACAACAGCTGGCTGCGCTGTACTGTAGTCTGCAGGGAGAGGAAATAACTGGAAGATTGACAAAAACCGTTCAGGGTATTTCTGAACGATTGTTTCATCTGTAATTACTAAGTATCCCCTGTGTGTGTGGGAGACTTTCATCTCGTCTATTCAAGGTGATCAAAGCACTTCCAGTTTGGCCCAATATCCCAGACTTCTGCTACTGAGGGCTTTTTTTCTTCAACTCTGTGCTTTTAATTGAAAAGTGTTTGAGTGTGTGATGTGGGGAGAGCGTTTAATCATTCAAATACCCAGCTGGACATGACCCTGTCTAACAAAGAGAATTATACATGAACAGGAGTTAGAGGTGTAAGGATTTTTCAATTTCCATTTGGACCAGAGTTGAATGGGAGTGAGTCACCTTTCGAGTGAATTAAACTGAAGTAAAGAAGAGAAGAGGTCTAATCCAGTCCAGCAGGTTGAAGAGGTGAAAAGAAAGTATGCAAGCGGGTCTGTTTTTGCCAGACTAGACGCTCTCACGTGCGTTTTCTGTTCCTCAGTCTTTACGGATGCTGAAAGTGATCAAGACAACAAGCATCTTCTCTGGACTTGAGCCCGTTTAGGATGGACTCTAAAGAGCAGAGGGACAACCTGACTTGTACCCAGCTCACAGCTCAAAACTAGCAACAAATGCAAACACTACACAAATTACAACAGCATGGCCCTGTAGCAGAAGACTCCTGCTGCTAACCTGGCCTGTCTGCAGTCCTGATTCATCACCCATTGACCACAGCACCATAAAACAAAAATAAAACCCTCTGCCTTTCGTAGTTCTATACTTTGTGCAAATTGTGGCGTCTGTTTTAGGCTGCACCACCCTCTCACTGGACCTTAATGATCAGCTGATCAAAAAAAAAGCTTCTGACAGACCCAAATATAGATGGCAGTCTTCTGCAGCAAAGTCATCTAACAACAAAAATACTATTTCACAAAAATTGAGACATATCACGGGTTCCAGTTACCTCAAAAGTCAGATGTCGGAGCTGGGAATGACGTTACACCCGAGGTGACAACGTTCCAGTAAACAAGTCGGAAAATCAAGATGGATGCCTACAGTTACCTGTTGTCACCTGTTGTCAGCCGTTGCTGAATCATATAAACTTCCCTGGACAAAGCCGGACAGCCCCCCAAAAAGAGGACATGTCCACGTAAGAGAGGACGTATGGTCACCCTACTTTTCGGGTTGAGTCAAGTGTTTTTTACACACTCAGTAAGTCCAAGTGACACAAATTCAAAACTTTCATACAAAACCCCGGTCATTTGAAGGATTTCATAATCTCCCTCGGATCAGGCCGGACAGCCCCCAAAAAAGAGGACATGTGAGGGTAAAAGAGGACATATGGTCACCTTGATTACCTTGGAACTAATGAGGACATTTGCATCAATTTGCACGATTGATACAACTTTAAAACAATAAAAAGGTTACTATTCTCACATTTTCAAAGGTTACTATTCTCACATTTTCAAGAGCAGGCAGTTGAGTAATGCACAGCTGCACAAAGTCACATCTGCAGAAGCGAAAGGAGTGTCCGACTCCCAGTTCATTTTCTCTCTTTGAAAAATGAGCTCAGATAGCGCAACCTGGAAGACTCTTGGACAGGGTCTCGCAAAAACCCAGAGTGAGTCCACTCTATCAAAAAAATCATGGCAGCTTGTTTGTTGGCCTTTGAAAGCCTAATATTACTCCGCCTACTTGGATTATTCTGCATCTAAGAATGCATTAAGGTCATGCTCCAGAGGCGACTCCTGATCCTAAATCTGCAGTGTTTACATGTATTAGTGTTTCATCTGTCTCTGTCTCTGCGTGGGGAGCAGGTCAGGGTTTTTTTTTTTTCTTTTTGGGGAAAAATGCAGCGGCTGTTTGAGAGTGAGAGCGGGGGTCATTAATACTCCTCATTCTCTGGGTGTGTGAGGGGGGCCTCAGGAGGATACGGTGGGAGCATGATGGCAGCAGTTGTGTGTCTATTATCAACGCGGCTGATTTGTGCCCGTGACCTCTGCTGTCACAGGGGCGGGGTCGCTCCGGGGGAAAGATTAAATCTCCCCTCACATGTCTGTTGCAGGAAACCCAAATGTACACAGCAGTCGATTTGTCATGGGTGTGAGCGGCGAGCGATTAGCGCTACAATGCTTTTGCTGATGTTTGTTGTTTTTTGCGCCCACGCTCTTCAACACATCTGGCTGAAAATGACCGATGCATGAAATTTAAATACTTCCATCATGTTGGTGAATGTTTCACGGCCCTCTGCTTCCCAGTAAACCTTGACCTACTTCCATCCTCCTTGCAGATTATCCATGAGTGATGCTGAGGGATGTGTTTGTCACTACATGTCAGAGCAGGGCGTAAGAGGGAGTTGAACCCTGCAGAAAATCTTCACCTTCAATACCTCTGGGAGTTATCTGATTGGTTCTCCAATAAATCAGAATTTCAGACTCACCACGGGACGAAATCACTCGCTCAGATATTTGAGATGGACATTTTCTGCGGTGGGTGGGTGGGGGTGTGTGGCCCGGAGGAGCTTAAATTACAGCTCCAGGGATTCATGAGATTGACAGGCCGGATGGGTCACAAACAAGACGGATTGTAAACTACAGAGCAATCACATGAGGATGGACGCGCCTCGCCAAACCCTCCATCTTTAGCCAATGAATGCAGTGTATTATATGAAGAGAAGACACATATGTGGAGTCCGAGGTACTTTTCAGTTCGCTGGAAGATTTCCCAGTGACTGCAAAGGAGGATCTAAACCACAAACTATACAGAGAGTGACTTAAGTTTGTGTTTTGGGTGATACTTTCTTAATATTTCAAAGGTGAGGAGTGTGTTTGGCGGCACTTCATATTAAGGTTCTCGTAGTAAGCAGTAATTACGAGTTGGTAGGTCAACAAAAAAGCTATGTGAAATGAAAAGGAATTGAAATACATCTTTGTTAGTGTTAAAAACAGCATAATAAAAACATTTATTATTCCTTATAGACATTAGTAGGCTATCTTTAAAAACTTGTCACTAATTTATATAACTGTCATAACTATTATTCTGTTTATTAACATTAAACAGACTTAAGCATTTATTTTAGATAAATAAACATATTTGTAATATAATGGTAATAATAATAATGATATAACATTGATGTTTGCTCATAAACTTGTTTTCTGGCATTTAGGAGAACTTCGCTGACAATGTAAGACCATATATATAACTATTTTACTGTATTTCTCGCACTATAAGGCGCACTTTAAATCCTTTTGGCTAGCGTCGCGGAGTTGTTGACTGTTTTGTTTGGCTTAATGTGCTTTATAATCCGGTGCGCCTTATATGAAGATAGAAGCGAATAGACGCGTTCATTGATGATGCACCTTATTATCAGGTGCGCCTTATAGAGCGAAAAATATGGTAGTTGTTATTTATCAAGTGGATTTGGTTGAAAGCTGCAAATTTTACAAGGAAACGTTTTCAGTTTGACTTCATGTTCCCTGCTTTAGTGTGGTTTCTGTGGAGGACAGGTTTCCCTCGAGAATATCTTTCTTCTCAGAGCTTCGACATTGACACACCTTTACATGAGTGTTTTTTAATCAATTTTTGTGTTTCATGAAATTTCTAGTATCATTTTTAATGAGACTTCAAGTCAAATCTCTGCTGTCCTTTTGAATCCAGAAAGTAGCCTAAAAATTAAGATTCAACACAGACCTATGCAGCCTTTAAACCCCCAGATTTAAGGGCTGCATTGATTTCTGCAACCTCTGGAGGTTCATCCTTATGTGTTGGACTCTGCCATCACTTACAGTCACAGTCTGCTTTACAGGAGATTATTCATCATGATGTTTTCACCAAAATTTTTAAAAACTCTGCACTTTGGGGAGAAGGGACCTCTCAGAGAAAGTAAACAATCCATAATTCAGAGATGGATTCTGTCAGGTGTCTGGCAGCAGCAGGTTCTCTTTTTACTTCTCATTTCTATGTAAAGTGAAGCATGAGTGCTTTTACGCTTTATGAGACCCTGGGAGGAAATAAAATGCTTCTGTATCGACTGGCACAGGCAGTTAATGCTGCACAACAGCAGCCGTAACACTCTATAAGAGAGCTGAGCCAGATCTGCAGATTTGTAATCTGTGGACTGCCACACATTTTCTTTTTGTTCACACAGTATTTTGGAGGGAGGTAGGCTGGCAGGGGGCCCGTCCTGCAGCATCGGGAAACAAAAGAGGAAGAGAGCCTCCCTTCTCCACGCTGGGAGGCCCGGGGGAGACACTGCAGCTGCTTCCTGCGCTCCAATCTGAGAGCAACACTGCCCTCTAGAGTGTCTGCAGCCGCCACTGCAGCTACAAGGAAGGGGGGTTGGGAGGGCTGGAGATGGCAGACTGGTGCGTTGCCATGGAGATGGTGGCGATAGTGATGGTGATGGGGAGACAGTGGTGAAGAATGCTGATGATGACAGATCAGATTGTTTATCCTCTCTGGGCCTGATTTAGAGCTTAGACTGCTGCTGCAGATGTTGTCTCTGCAGCAGCCACAGCGTCTTCATGTCTGTGGGTGTATACCAGGGAGACGTGCAGTGTGTGTGTGTAAGTGTGTGTGTGTGTGTGTACTGATGTGTGTCTTCACTGCTATTAATTCATTAACTGGAGAAACTGCAGAAACAGAAATGATGTGTTTGAATATATAGTGAGAAAAAAAATCACTGCGGTCATCTTTAAGGGGGCAACATCGAGATCTGAGACATTTGGAGAGAGTTTGTTTTATCGTAAATTAGTGCCTGAAGAGAACATCTTTGTCATCGATTCCTGACAAACTATCCCTCCTCTCTTAGCTATAGCCAAAGTATAATCTGGGTTGCCTGTTCTAAAAACGTTAAAAACTACGCACATCCCTTCCACCGCCCACAACACCCCAACTCTGCTGTTTGGGCTCGATCTGATTCAGCTGGAGTCTGGGCTGAATGCAGATGAATCAACCGATCCTGTTTGTCTCATGCCCGGAAGAAAAACCATCTGAATTCTCCAAACAGTGTTTCCACACTGAGTAAACTGTGACGCTCTTACACAAATATTTGGACATTTTAATTGATGTCTGTCTTTGTTTTTGGCCATGTCTCACTTTTCGCTGATGTATTTTTTATCTCTGCTCTCTCTCTGCCTTCATGGCCTCTGTCTCTCTTGTTACAGTTCACCTCTCCTTTACTATCCCTCTGTTAATCACAGCAGAAAAGTACTGACTGACTGACTTCAGGCTTTCAACCAGGATGGTCTAGGCACAGACGCTTTCTGCTGTCTGAAAGTGTCACCACTGTGCGCATAAGCACATCTCTCTTCAAAACCAACAAAGCCACGAGTGCAAACATCGGCACAAGTTCACCCGCTGTTTACACAGCGTGGGCATTTACTTAAAACTGAGAAGTGCATCCAGTGGAAAATAACAATGACTCTTGTCCTGCACGCCAAAACGCCTTGGGTCTACAATGGGCCCCATGTGCAGGGATATACACAAATTTCTGTGCAACGTCATCGCAGGTATGCGTTTGCAGCCAGGGGGCAGAAAGTGGGACGTTTCTTATTTGTTTACTAGCGGAGGCAACGGAGAAAGAAAATGACAAGGAGCTGTTTTGCTGTAAACTGCACGAATCGGCAAAACAAACAATCAGCAAACATTACGACCCTACTCCTGATATACGAAACATCTAAAACAACGTCACAACTTGGTAGAGTGAGTGAAATTCATGGACATTTCAGCAAGTTTTTTTCTGATTTTTTTTCTGATTTCTGGGAGAACTTGCAAACAATACGGCATCTTCATTGATATCAGGCTTTTGCCCCCTGGTTTTGCGCGCACCTATTATTGTTTGTACACAAGAAACCCGTCTATAAGGAGACAACTACAGTTCCATCAGAAATGAGACGATCTGCGGTTATCTCTGCGGCTCACTGTCTGCAAATATTGTAAGAGTATTCTGGTGTTAATGGATTTTTGTTCTGTCCTCTCTGTGTCCTCCAGTCTGCAAACTCTTCGAAGTGTGCGATAATGATGCTCTTACACTCACTTCTATGAGAGCTGAGAGTATCTGTACTGAACCCAGACTGAGTCAGACAGCAGGGAAGATTTTAGAGACATAGAGAGCAATTTACAGCTCACAGCGGACTGGATGCTGACAGCATCTGGACCCAGAGTAGGACCAATTAAACAGAGAACATTCGTCACCCTGAATCCCCTTTGCCAGTTTCTCTCTCTGTCTTGTGAGGGTAGAGCTCAATGGTTGAGACTCAGAGTGAATGAAAGTCGTGTCTGTTCTGCTTTCCTCTCTGTGACGTCCATGTGTGGGTCGGCTGGGAGTCGGGGTGACACAGAGTTTAGGCTGTCTCTCAGGGAGATTTGTCTGATGCTGCTTGGATTATTCTGTCCTCTCTTACACTGTCTCACATCAGCTGAGCCAAGCAGAGGACAGCGAGGACACAGACTGAGTGTCCACCAGGACTTGTGAGGTGTTAGATGCGGACCGTGATCTAAAGGAAATCTTTGAAAAGCCTTTTAAGAGGAAAGTCTGTCACCCTCCCACAGTCAAAGACAGACTTGGTGTCCTGCTGAGTTGCTTTTCACAAGACTAAAACTAGAGAGGAGTGAAGATTATGCTGTAAAGGGAACATTTTCTTTCTTTTTCTGGTTTCCTTTGGAGAATAATTGTATAAAACCGCTCTTGGCTTCATGTTTAGTTAAGGTCGAGTCGGTTTAGTCGATTCAGTCAGGCATGTCTTCTTTGTAACTTGTAAATTGGCGCTACATCAATAAAGATTAGTTGATTAAATGTGCCAGTGCCTGCCTGAAGTAGCTCCTCCTATCATTTGCTTTTTTCCTCCTCAGTACCACACTAATGGCAGGATTCACTCATTATGCTCTGGTTGATCACTAATCTTCCTCCTCCAGCCAGTACAGGAGTCACCTCTTTACTGTCTTTGTACTGAAGTTTTAGTTTCAAGATTTAAGATTGGTTTATTTGTCATATGCAGGTTAATCAAGGTCAACAATGCAATGAAATACCCTGGATGAGGATCACCCGACCCAAAGAAGTACAGATAAAAACACGCAATAAGTACTACGAAGAATACAATAAAATGAGGATACGAAAATATAAAAGAAGTAAATGGATGTGTTCAAAATACGTCATTGATTCTGTACCCTGTATCTCCTCAAGCAGACGCCCTTGTACAAGAAGTAGAACAGAAATGATATCCTTCAGTTCTAGATCTGGACTTTGGGACAACAAAAAGGTTTCCACCCAAGGATCTAAAGCTACAAGACAGCTTATAAAGGGTCATATGAGGGGTCTTCTACAGAAACGTTTAAAATGACCATCTGATTTCTTTCTGTCAGATTCAATTTTGTGTCAACACTCAACAATTTTAACAACAAAGTCAACAAACACCATTCCCTCTAAAGTTTTGGGCCTCTCAAATTGAGTATAAGCACTATGCGCTAGTGTCAGAGTAGCAGGATGTGGAGTGTGTGTGTGTGTTCATACAGGCCGAGATAGTGTCTGTCATATTGTGTTTGATAACAGGACACAGCTGTGTTTTTCAGAGATTGGAGGAGGGGGTTTTCCTGTTCCCCTCACTCCAACTCTCAGTGTCCACACTGATGTCTGACATATACAGAAACTCTACACTCTGATCCACACTCAGCAGTCCAAACGCTCCCTTTCTCACCTTTACGTGATGACTGTGGAGTTGATGAGACACATCCTGCATTGAGTCACTTAGAAAAACACAGCTGGAGACCAGAGGTTGGTATCTGAGGTTGAAAAAAAAAGTCCCTGCACAATGTAAGAGCGGAGATGGAAATTCTGAAGCCCTATCAGTGCACTTAGTCTCTAGTTGAAGCTAAATCATTTGTTTTTAACGGCAAGGGTTTATACAGGGGGGAGTGGGGTAAGTTGGTGCCGGGAGTCCGCAGGCCCGACACTCCAACCCACTTTCCCCCTTTCTACCTGGACTCTTTTCTCCCCGCGTTAGGTTTTTGGGGGTGCACACTGGACAACTACACGCCAAACACACAAAACACAACGACTCTTACCTGCTGCCATCTTCCAAGCCAAACCGGGGTACTTCCTGGTCCCCCCCGGTAAATAGCGCAAGGTGGAAGGCTTGTTGGGGGTCATGTGACCGCCGGACCCCACCATTTTAGTTATTTTTAGGTATTTTGGTCTGATTTACTGTTTTCAATGACTAGGGGTCAAAGCTGTATGGAGGGCTATTAGTGCCCTTTTGTCTGTGTTGAAATGTCTGATTTATTGATGAATTTTGTGTTATATATTTATATATTTGTCTGAAACCCCTATAATTGGTTTATGGATATGCCCAGGGGAGGGGCTAAGGGGTATTTAAAGAGTGCTTCGCTCACTCCGGAGGGAGCTCTTGGCCTAGTGGCATCATGGAGTAATACATTGTAAATGTGTAATTTGAATTTAATGTAATTTATTTGCCAATTTTTAACATTTTTTATTTTATTTTTATTTTTTATTTTGCTGCGTTTCCTGCACTGTAAATATTTTGCCACTGTTTGCTGTTTTTGGGGAATTTCTGTGAATAAAAACCCACCCCACTGGAGTTTGGACTGCACCATCATTATTTGTCTCCAATAAACCTGTGACAACAATCTACGATGGCTGACAGAGGTAACTGATTTTCATGTGCTCTCTAATTGGAGAAACTTACTGTTAATTCAAAAACACAAACAAAAGTTTCAGACAAAAGCAAATCCTTAAAAAATGTGCAGCCAAGTCAGAAATTCTAGAAATGCAGTGTTCACACCTGTTAGTCAAACCATCGATGCTAAAGTCATACCCTTGATAACTTCAGACTAGATAAAACGAGTTATTATCATTACTTTTTTACCTCCTGTGCAGTGTGTGCACAATTAGGTGTCATTAATTTTTGGAACCACGTCATAAACATGTTTATTCTTGCAGCAAAAATGAGCTTTTTTTAATGGTTGTGTATGTAGCTTCTGGAGAAAGCCTCTAGTGGACAATGAAGAAACTGCATTTTTGACACTTCTGCACCATGAGACCAAAAGTTGCTGTTTGGTTTTGCCCTGTCTGAAAATTATGCCATTCTGTCATCCAAAAAAAAAAAATTTGTTCATGTCCAATTTGTTACAATAATTTTTCTCGCATATTGATCGTTGCATTTGTTTGTACTTTTGCATACACATGGGTCTATTTTGAAAATTGAGAGTCACTCTTTCTTTCATTATTGTATATCATGGCAACCTTTAGGCACCACTTATCACTGGATCCAGAGCAGGGTTTGCACCCAACTTGGGATGAATGTCTGTGGTCTTGAGTAAACATGGGTTATGCTGAGCTGAATCAAATCAATGTACTGCATGAGATAGAGATGGAAACATTTTTAATGAGACCTGTGAGAGCAGCTGTATGCAGATGTTTGTGTGTAATGTATATCACAGCAGATCCTGCAGGGGGCTGTGGCTCATCCTGACACAGCTGTTGCATTTTTGCTTATAAATGCTCATATTCACCACTACATTCAGAGCTGGGTAATGACACACTGTCGTAGCAAAGCCCTCTGTTCATCAATGTACTCAGGAGCAAGGTGCACAAAAACAGCAGAAGTGTGTCCAGACCTTTTTGACCAGGTCATAAATCCCACCCATCCCTCCCATTTAGTTATTGTAAGACTGGTTTGTGCTCAAGTCCTCTATTTTTTTTTGTACAGCTCTGTTTTTAAAAGTTATTAGGGGGTTCATGTTTACTATGATTGACACCTGATACAGCCTATGGACATACAAGGATTGCATAGCTCACCAGGGGGTTACGCTGTTTGAGCCGAGCGTCATCACAGCAACTCTCCCGCCGAATGCACACAATGCTACTGCGCAAGTGGTTGAGTGCGTCCAATGCTACAAAAGCTAATGAAAACTAAACTACAAGTAAGCGTTTTATGAAATAAAAACTGAGCTAAACTAAAATTCAAACTTTAAAAACTTAACTAAACTCTAATAATCAATCTTTATTTATTTAGCGGCAACTTACAACGAAAGTTATCTAAAGATGTCATACAAAAGAGCAGGTCTGGACCACGCTGACGGGCTGTCAAATATGTTGACTCTCCTGATTCTCACTCCTAATGTCTTTATGGCTGCTGAGGCGGTGAAATGACAACAATTCATCAGATTATTGGAGTTTATACGACCTCTGACAGTGTGATAATAAATGATAAAAATATTAGAGTTTCCCGCCCTGAGTGTGACGTCACATGAAGATAGCTGCTGTGGGAATACGATTTATTTATTGTGTTTGGTTCATTTTCCCACAGTTAAGTCTGACATCGTATTTGGATAATTCTGTGGGTTTTTAATGCCGCTCGCTAGGATTTCAGGCACTTAAGATGACAACATTAAACATGAGAGTAAAACGACAGTTTTAAAACCCAGCTGTCCACTTTATATGTGAGGAATCTATCACACTCTTAATTTCTTGGCCACTTCTTCCTGTTTTTTCTATCAGATTTTCTCTTTAGGAGCCTCGAGAGCAGAGCAGATGATTGACTAACATCACATTCAGGGGAATGGAAAAGAAATCACATCATCACTTCCAGCATGAACACATGTGATCTGCGGCTCTCCGACCTGTCTGATAGTTTCGGTTTTCAGCGTACGTGAGCGGAGATTGAATCACTCCATTTTCCCACAAAGTCAGACCTCTGCTCTACATTTTTCAAATTACTCTCCCTTACTCACACACCCCCTCCTCTTTGTCCATCTGTTACTAATCAACACTCTCTGCCAAGACCGAGATACATTTCTCCCCGAGGAGTGAACTCACACCCTGAGAGAGAAACTGGGAACCGTTCTGTAAAGTGGACGTTAAGAGGAACGGGATCCCACCATAGAACTGGACCTACAAAACAGGCGGTTTTTACATCACCAAGACATGCATCGAAATGTTTTCTGAGCTTGATCACACTTGATATAGGACCACAAGTAAGGTAACCTTCAATCCCAGAACAGGTTGGCAGTAATGAGCTAAAGCAGTCAAACTGTGTCAGTTTCTTTGGAGTTTGAAAAGTGAAACGTCCCATTCTTCATCACTTCAGGGTCTCCTTTGACATATTTTGTATGTCTTGATGCTCTAAATGTTTAAAGTAAGTGACAATGAAGACTGCATGCAGACCAGTTTAGCAGTAGGACTCTTCTACTGCAGAGCCATGTTGTTGTAATCCCCGCAGAATGCAGTTGAAGGTCGTCCCTGAAGAAGTCATAGTCTGGATTGTCATCGTCGCAACTCAAGGTTTGCGTCACACTGTTTTTACATGTAAAGCTGATGTATTTTCTTAGTTCATGGTCCAGAATCATTTTGTAGTGGTGCCTTTTCTCTGTTCATAAAGCAGTAGGAGCTTTTAGTCAGTGAGGAGGTGTTTGTTGTTGTAGAGATTGTAGTTTTCTCTGGTATGCAGGGAGTGTAAGGAGATACCGCTGACCCGCTGGACCCTCTGACCTCTCAAGAAAGACACCATGCCTCTCCCCTTTGACTACCCCGATCTGGAGGTGAACCTCTACATGATGGGTTTTCAAAAGAAGACATAATTTAACAACAATGTTTACAAAGTAAGATCGGTCACTGTCTTTCCATTTGCTTTTCTTGTTTTAGGCAACAGTCTTTTTCCCCAAATTCCTAAAATACTTAACCTCTATTCATGTATCAACTTAATTTATTTTCATCAATAAATAAGGCGGAAACTACAAATATACTACCAAACACTTCACCAGACGTACCATTAGAGTTTGAATGATGTCAAGTTTCCTGATATAAAAGTTAAAGGGATATTCCAGTGTAAAATTAAGTTGGGGTCAACAACACACTGTAAATCCGAGTTAGACACCCCGTTGAGAGATGAATGTTGCACACCACTTGCTTCTCTAGTCATACCAACTTTACAAATGACCTCAGATAGCAATACACGGTCCAAGGAGCCACACGCTCAACAAAAATGCCACTCTATAGCCACAAATAATGCTCAGAACAGCACCTAACTTCATCAACAGGACATATAGGGTCTCAGCCATAGCACTAGCCACCAAAGAGCTCTTTAGCTTTGCCTGATTTCTTAAACAAAGAGATTAAACACAACTCACCAACTCTCTTCCAGCAGCCGCTTGTTTGTAGGGAGACCTTTAGGCGAGTCCATCGAGTGAAGAGACGTGACACAGCTCAAGGAAGAACATTTATGATCATTTCTTCATGGAAATGCAAACAGACCAAGACGCTAAGGCAGAAGAACTACCGCGTCTGCAGAGCAAAATGATTAATATGGTGATTATTACTTCAAGGAAATGATAAAGTAAACATTAATTTCTTGACGGGGTGTTTAATTCGGTGTTACGGTGTGTTTGACCCTAACTTAAGAGTAGACTTATGACCCCAATTCCGATGAAGTTCGGACATTGCTAATTGTTTTTGACCAATCCAATGAATACACTACAAAGTCAAGCTATTTCATATTCAAACTCATAAACTTTATTGTTATTTTGCAAATATTTATTCATCTTGAATTTGATGCCTGCAGCTTGTTCTAGGCCCAAATTTAAGACTTTTCCCCTCATAATCTATCAAAACATCTAAAAGGTGGGATTGTCTTGTATTTGGTTCTCAGGAATAGATCAAATGAATCCTTTTGTGTACAACATTTTGTGTTTATGATACAAGCTCTGAAATTAGAACAGTACCATGTACTCCCCTACTATAAAATCCACTCACTCTGTGAGACCAGCAGCTTCCAGGTGGTAAATTATAGTAGGAGAGTCATAAACACTCTATAGTTAAACATGACTGAGCTATAATAAGGGGGATCTATGATACTCACCCTGCAGTAATGCTGCTAGATTTCACCCTGTTGCTTTTGGCTCAGAGGGCAGTGTTGCACTGTGCCATGCCTGCCGTATTACTCAGCTGCCAAACCCTGCAGCGGCCTGTGATCACATGACCTGCCATGGCTGAATACGTTTGCAAAAGAGACCACCCAGACAAACCCATCCCTTTGTAGATAAGTTCAGAGTGTGATGCTGCTGCAGCTGAGACCTCCTCAATCCACTGAGTACCCAGCTGGCCTGTGTGTGATCTCTGGTGTTTATACCAAGCAAGTGCAGAGAATACCAATGTGCAATAGTGCAAACACAGAGGGGAAAGTCTCTCTGTCTTTGAGTCAACAGAGTGTGGTTAATCTCAGCCGAACATCAGCTTTCAGCTGGTCAGTGCTGCTCCTGCTTCTGTATCTCACAAAAGAAAAGATTGTAAGTGCAGTGAAGAGTTACTCCTCAGGCAGTGATTAACTTTGTTGTGGCACCACAGCGTTTCATAAGCAGATAATATGAGGGTGTAGAGCGTGGACGGTGATTGGATGTGACCCCTTTGTTTGGAGAGTGAAGCCAATCCAAGGGTGCAGTTCACTCAACATGCATCCTCTGTAACGGCCAGCAGGGGGCAATTGAACTGATTTTTAAAGACGCCTGTTTGTATGAAAGTCAATGGAAAACTGAAAACTGAAAACTCTCTGGTCGATGGTTTGTCAAACTTAAATTTTCCTTAATGAGATGATGGTCTCAGTTAAGAGTTTCACTGATCAAATCTGTGTTTTTCTTGTTTTAATTGGCTGTAAGCTCAAAATAGTTCCTCTGCTGTCACTGTTATCACTATCAACTTGTTGACTTTAATTTTCCATAAATCAAACTAAAATCATGATCATTTATATGCTGATCCTGTAAATATCACACATACTTGTTCCATTACCTCTGGTATTGTAACAATAAAAATGTCTAAATGATAAAAGAAAAGAATAAATAAATCTGTCTTATATTATCGTTGTCGTTTGTATCTGTCCATCTCTCTTTTCTGCTCCCCCTTCTATCCCCTCTCTAATCCCAGTATTGTCTCAGCAGATGACCGTCTCACATGAGTCTGGTTCTGCTCGAGGTTTCTACCTGTCCTGATGTTGGGTCTTTGTAAATATAAATGAAGAGTATGGTGTCAACCAGCTCCCTTTTGTAAGCGTTTTGAGATAAAAATTTGTTGTAAACTGGTTCTATATAGGCCTAAATAAAGCTTGATTTACGAAAGATGGGCATCTGTCATCAGGGGCGTTGGTGTGGTGACAAAGTGGGATTGACCAAATAGGGGAACCAGGAATAATCATGTATTTTTCTTCATCTTTTCCCCTCTTAGTTGTTAATGTCAAAGCAAAAGTAAAAAAAAAGTCTGATTGAATAAACAGAATAGATGATAGTAAATTCTCCGTCAAAGGCCCCTCTTACCTCTACCAAATGGTTTAACCCCCCTTCTCCACCTGCAGATTGACAGGATAGATCTGACTGTTGTCTTCTAAATTGCGTGATGCAACAGGTAGCACCGCAACGTCCCTACAGAAGATAAAAACCAGGGTTTCAAGAAAGAAGAAAGAAAGGAAGAAGAATTCTTAGAGACGTGTAGTGTTAAAAGAGGTAAATTAAGCTAAATTTGTGATTTTCCCAGTTTGTTTTGTCGATTTTTGGCATGGCTAGAGAGGAGCAAGGCGTGTTAGACGATGAAGGAAGTGGAGAAAGCAGGAAAATGAAGTTAAAAAAAAGGTAGAACAGAAGGGCGGTCTGAAGAAAGAGAAAACAGTTCATTGGCAGAGGATCTATGTCTATGATCAGAGAAGCTCACCAGTCATTACAGAGACACGTTTACAGATTTGCAAACAGAGAGGAAGAAAAATCAGACATAACCAGAGAAGCACCAAAAATCATGCTGAGGAAACATGACATGTACTCTTGAGTTACGTCTGTTTGAATCTATAATTGTTTGCTTATTTGAAATGCAATGTTAGTTCTTTACAGGGTTGGCTCTGGCTGTGGTGATGGGGCGCAAGAAGACATATTTTCAAGAGGCCCAGAATTCCCAGCAACGCCATCTCAACTGGATATTTCCAGCTGAAGGTTTGGGACTGTATACATGTCAACTTTTTCTGGATCCCCTCAGTTTGATATACAACCGTTTGTATTTGTGTGTATATAAATGTGCAGACAGTTCATGTTTCTCTTCTACTCTTACCTGCGAATGTTTTGCTGATGCCTGCTCTGCTCTGCTCTCGGGAGGATTTCTTCCCCTGGAATGTGACGACCTGTTTATTAGTCACTTGAGACGTATAACCTCCGCATAGTGCTGTGGGATGGTATGGCATACAACTGGGACGTATTTGGAACTGCTTACGGCATGGTCTTTGTGAAGGAGACACCTCTGTGTTTAGACTGTCTGCTCTGAGTCACTCGTTTTCTACACGTGCAAAATAAATCGGAGGCAGACTGCGGAGGATCCTGCTTGATCTGAGGAGGAACTCTGACAATACCTCCATTGTGCTGAGGTGTCAGACTGAGGCTCTTCCTGTCAGGAGTCTCACTGTATCTATAAATGTAGCAGCTTTCTGAAGGTCTGACCCTGAAAACAAACACAGAGCTGGATATCAGAGCAGCTGTTTCTGCTCTGCCTACAGGGTGCAGAGTGAGTGTTGAAGCTAAAGACCCTCTGCCCACCCCGGCCAACAGAAAGGGGGAGGAAAAGGGGAGAGCGGAGAGGGAGGGGTGCTGCCTGTTGAGCCCAAGGTGAAAGGGTGCCACAGTCCTGCGAATGGATACGAGGGACTCTCAATGTGACTCTGCGATGAGGGGGGGTGCAGAGACAGAAGCCCTCTGTTGCTCATTTGCCCCTCTGTCTGTCTTTCTTTCTCTCCTCCTCTCCCTCTTTCTCTCACTTCCCAGCCTTCCCATCTGTATGTGATTTAGGCGCAGGCTCAGGGGAGAGGCAGGTCCGCTAGGGGAGAGGAATCAGAGCAGGGAGGGAGGGAGAGACAGAGGGAGGAAGTCCACACAACTTTGTTTTACAGGACTCAACCCAGGGCCGGGGCTATCGGCGGGCGCAGCTCTGCATCTGGAGGTCGGGAGCAAAAAGGAAAAGTGAAGCCGAGTGAGAGGAGACGTTATTACAGTCAGGAGACGCTGACAGGACACAGAGAGAGAGAGAGGGGGAACCAACAGGAAAACACACAAACATGGCTGCTGGATCTCTGTCCTGCCTCTGCCTTCTCGGCATCCTCTCAGGGATCGTCTTTTCAGCTTCTGCCGCCAGGATCAGGGGACAGCAACAGGTCGACCTCAAAGTAAGACACATTAGATTTGATCTCTCAGACTGAGCGTGCTTTCCCAGATTTGGTTAAAACTTTCCAACTTCTTCAAACTGCACTTGAACCTTCAGCAGTGAGGCCATCAGTCTTTTCCTCAGAGTTTAGGATGTGACAGGATTAGCTCTTTTCTGAGGACTGTTAGTGTCTGTCTGGACTTCACAAAGGTCCTGCTTTGTGTCCATGTCTGTGTGTGTGTTTGTGTCATCAGAGGAACCCCGGGGCTAATGCTCACATGGGCTCTGAGTTACTGTCTCCACTGCTGTCATGCCCCTCCGCCCCTCCCTCACAGGGCCCTAATGGAAACCAGCTGCCAAAGGTTGAGCAACACCCCAGAGAGAGAGGGAGAGGGAGAGAGAGAGGGAGAGAGAGAAAGCACAATAAGCAGAGTGGGCATGAGAAGGAGTGCTGCCCTATGTTGTCTCAGCTTACCAACAAAGGATATCACAGAAGAGACCAAAACTTTCTGAGTTCTTATCAATTATCATCGTAAGATTTCAACAACATAAAGAGATTTCCAACCTCAAATCTCTTTATTAGAGACGGGCTGATGCAAAGATGCACTGACGCATGTCTTTTTGTATATTCAGTATTGATTGTAATCATTGTTATGAAGCTACACCCCTGTGGAGGGACACTGGGCGCTGCCAAAGTGTCACCCTCCTTCAGTGTGAGTGTCTCAGAGATGTAATGGTGGGACAGAGATGTCCCCACGCTGTCGGTGGTTTTAACTGTGGGGTTAAAGAGGTGAGTTGGTGAGCGGATGGAGCAGGCAGGGCGCAACAGCACTGTGTGTGTGAGTGCATGTCTGGATGTGTGTGTGAAACTCCCACTTTGTGTTCACCTCTCATACCCTCATAATGCCAAAAAAAATTTATATGTAGAGTTGAAACGAACTCGATTGCTGTCCTTGTCCAAGTTTACATTCACCAGGTAAGAATTGAATCATCAATTCAGCAGAGTAGTTTGTTGATTTTAGAGATCAGCTTAAGTGTCATTTCTGTGAAGTTAAATATCAAACCTCTCATCCCTTAAAATGATGTATCATGTATGAAACGATAACAGTTGTCAGATAATAAAGTCTGGTGTTAAACAGACAGTGTTTTGGTCTGTAATGTAGGCAGAGGAACAGCATGAGGAGGTTTCAGACTGAGTTTAATATCCTGTCAAATAACTGCACCTCACTTTTTTTGCTGTGTCTGCAATCTTTTGTTTGCTGTTACATGATCCTGCTAAAATCCACAGTCTGTGCAGGGTCTAGTCAAACTGTGTGGGTCACTGCTATCGCCTCAGTTTGAGCAAAACAAACCAAAAACGTTCATTTTAGATCAACTCCACCTCATGTATACAGGCTCAAGAATACAGGTCCATGGTTGATTTATTTATTTTTAATTTAATTAATGTTTAACAGCTCCAAAGTGAGGGGGAAACTATTTATTTCTTTATTTTATGAGTATATTCTGATGCTGTGTTCACACCAAACAAGATAAAACCATTTATAAACACACGCATTCTTGTTAGGTTGCAAATTGAGGGTATTATACCTGCAAATGTCAGAAATTTGCAATCCGTTAAAATTTGGTTCATTTACTTATTTGCAAGAGTTGGAAAATCTAAACTCAAGCTAATAATTTGCATCATGATTGCCAATCAGCATGTAGATTCACTGGTCATGTTTGTCTACATCAGACCTGCAGAGGTTCATTCATCTGGACAATGCCACTGTTTATTGGCTGTGATGTTAATGAGCATTCTTGTTAAGGTGAAAAAAAAAGTAATAAAGGTAAAAATGAGGAGTTTATGCCAGAAAAATATGTAAATTTACAGTTTAAAATGACGTTTGCTACAAACAACATGCACCAGCGCAGCAAACGTTGCTTCTATACAAGATGAATGTGGCTCTGCACACCTTCAGCTGCATTAACCTGCAGGACTGCTGCTTTCTATACTGACAGAACACACATTTAGGTTTCTAAAATCTGTTCTGGTATTTTCTTTATGTTGTATGATGAAAACAAAAGTGCTTCAATGGACTCTGATCTCCAGGCTGTATCTGCAGCGAGAGGCAGGACCAGAGAAAGACTCCTTACAGCTTTTATGCAAACGTTTTATTAAGCTGTGGCTCTCGGTATTTGGCTGCTTTCATGCTTTGGCAGTTGATCTGTGTGTATCAACCCCTATAATAAAAACTATAGAGCCATAAATCTTGGAAAAGAAGACGTAAGCGGACACAAAGTGACTTTGAAAACTGATCTGTAAAAAGAAACACTCTGGGAAAACCGGCTGTAGGTCAAAATGTTTCAGTAAATGCATTTTTCTGGTGAGATCAAGCTTGTATATTTTAATAATTTCCTCTTAATTTATTTTCAATTGAACATGTTTATTTCTCAGAGTCTTGGCTCTTTAAGTTTAGCGGTCCCTGAGGAGGAGGCCTCGCCCCTGCAGCCAGACTGTCTGTGTTATTCAGTCAGGATGAGTTTCTCATGACCCTGGATCCGTGTAGTCCTGAGGATGTTCAGAGGAGTTAGCATGACTAAACCCACTGTCTGAACCCTCTTCAAGGTCACTATAAGAACGGCAGCCAGCGCCAGCAGGGAGAGAAAGCGGAAATGAGACTCAACCTTCAAGCTCCAACATCTAATCCACTTAAAGCTCCCACTCTGGGAAAACTGTCGGCATGCAGACATACGAACACAGCGTAGGACCAATATTTAAAACTTATCTCTATAAAACAACTCTCCAGGGACTCAGCTGTCAGTCAGAGAGCCTTCCCGCCCCCTAATGCCCCGCAGAGAAAGGACACGGCTCCAGTTTTGAAGCCACATGACCAGAGAGTGTGTTAACTTTGGACAGCACTCATCCGCCCAGCCGAATCCTGTTTTTGCGCTTGATAACAGCTACATGTGATCAGCTCTGTGCCGCAGAGATACAGCCTGATGGTCCGTCCCATCAGCATTTACCCCACATACTGTAAATAAGCATATACTGTATGTGCTGGTGAGACAGAGCTGAAGCTCCACATGCAAACAGAGAGCGGCGTTATCACATGTTGAATGTCATCTTTGTTCTGCGCTGTGGTGGGCGCAGTGGGAGGGCTGCACAAATAGCTCACATTACTGAGTGTGCTCATAGTCTGCAGGAGGCTGCAAAATGCCAAGCGTTTTCATTTGCATGTTAGAGATTCATTAAAGAATCAGCATGTCTGAAATTCCTGTTCGATCTCTCTGGATTGCAGCTGCAGGATCAACCGCAGGAAGTAAACTCTCTGAAATGAAAAGAGAAGCACCATTTGGTTAAGGATTAAAATCAAAATTAAAGTCAATCACTTTTTTTTTTTAGTCAGTCTATAGTCCAAAGCCAGATTTTTCTTGCCCGGCTCGCTCTGTCTCTTTATAGTGATCAGGTGATTGTGTACAGAAGGCTTGGGGACGGTGAGTCTCTGTTTTCATTCTCTCCAAAAAGTGACGCCAAAAGTGGAGGACACCCTCACCTTTGTCTCTTCACACACCTGCTTCACCTCAGTCCTGTATCGGCCTCAATCTGAGTGCAAGCTCTCCATCATGCGCACTCATCCTGATTCTCACTCCTACACTTTTAAAAACTGACACGAGCTTGATGCACCATTTTAAAGGAAAAATAAGTCAATCAATCATTGCAGCCCACCTTATACTGCTGTTTTGCAACATAAGTAAACATGTCATCCTCTCTGGTACCTATAGCATTTATAGAGATTGTGATCTTGATGATGAATGACCTGACACTGATGTATGACGTGCATAAAATTACACTGCAAAGTCACCCTGCAGTGCACAGGGATCAAATCCTCCAAACATGTGTAGATAAATGTTACTCCACATGTTGCTTGTAAACTCATGATTCGTTCCTGTGATTTAAGAGTCTAAAGAGTTCACGTCCTACCCCCTGACCATCTGCTGGACCCTCCAACCCCAAACCCTCTGCCTCGTTCCCCCTGTGTTTATACACTGCAGCTGTTTGAACCATCACACCCTGTCACACTGCTTACAGGCCCGGACCATTTCTAAACTCTTTAAGTGGATTTACAAATGGTAAACAGCTTTGCAGCTCTGTAACTTTTTATGACTCCTGGCAGCCATTTGTGTGCAAAACTCATTTTTTTCTGTCTTTTAAAGACCCGCGTGTATCATCTGTTGCATTTTTGGATGTTTACATTAGAGGTTGATGCAGCGTGTTTATGTGGTAGAGATGGATGTGTCTGGTATCAGTGTGTTGGTCAGTGAGAGCCTCAGAAAAGCAGCTCTGCATAAAGAATAAGAGCTGCTGTTCACAGGAAGTTCCCCATGCGCTGCCTACAGAAGCACGTCTTTGTGTCTCAGCCCAGCTGTGAAGAAATCAAAGGAAAATGTGAATCACAAGAGAGGATACGGCTCTGTCTGTCCGTCTGTCCCTGGAATGTTCTGGATGTTATGAATGCATGGCATTAATGTCCACTCCACTGAGCGGGACGTAGAGGTCAAACCATGAACTCCTTAAAGACTGCAGCGTCTGTACGCCTCACTGAATGCTGCTGCTTCAAACGTTCAGAGACGTTCAAAGGCTAGTTCAAAGGGCACTGTGCGCATATCTGTGTGTGCACGAGAGTGTGTGTGTGTGTGTGTGTGTGTGTGTGTGCAGGATGGCGGCATTACACCATCCTGAGAAACTCTGGTGAACAAACACCAGACAGGATACAGCTTTCAAAGTGACTCCGTAAAAACGAGGAAACTACTACAAGTCAGACACATGTTTCTAAATCACTTGAAGAGGATTTCAGTCCATTTGTTAAAGAAAAAAAACATGTTATTAATTACTCTTGTTTCATGTTTCATCAGCTCCTCCTTTACCAACACTCTGTAAACATATGTGAACCCAGCAGACCAGTTTCTAGGGTTTGAAAATATGTTCCCATTCTTGCCTGATATGGGGTTTCAGACAGTTCAACAGTTCAAGGTCTCGAGGTCTCCTTTGACATGTTTTTTTTGAGTCATGATGCTGCTACAGTTTAGCAGCAGGACTCTTCTACTACAGAGTCACACTCATGTATTATGTGCAGAGTATGATCTGAAAAAAATCCAAAAAATCTTCATCAGGCTCAGGCCAAGAGAAGTCATGTCAAATTTATAACGTTTACAGAAACTGTTTTTGGAAGTGATTTTAGCCCCATGCAGTGGTTTCCCAGACTCATGTCTGTATTTAATTTAGTGTTGCAACCATAGACTGTATATACCATGGACAACTTGGTTCCACCTTCCACCAGTATACAGATTTGAAGCCGAAAAGCTCTCGGTATTTCCGCGATTTTTCTCCACTTCCTGAAACCAACCCAGTCGCACTGTACGCACTCCCCCACTTGCACAGTAGCATTGTACGCATTCAACAGGAGAGTCGCACTGTGATGACGCTCGGCTCAAACAACGTATCCCTCGGATGAGCTACGCAATCTTCGTACGCCCATAAGCTGTATCAAGTGTCAATCATAGAAAACATGAACCCCCTAATAACTTTTAAAAATGGAGCTGCACAGATAAAAGAGGACTTGTGCACAAACCAGTCTGACAGTAACTACATGTCAACATCGCAACCAGGGGAAAGAAACATTCATATTCTGTGTAATAAATTTCTAAAGTTTGTCCACAGCTCCATAGGGATTGCTGGAGGAGGCGGGATTTATGACCTATACTGCAGCCCATCACCAGAGAGTGCTGTTCTCAGGGTGGCTTCACCCAGTGAGGAGGCAGACGGCGTCCATTCTATATACAGTTTATGCAGTTTCCAAACTTCTTTAAAATTCCTGTTATATCAGCTGAAATCAGGGTTGTGGTTTTGTTTTAACTTGATTTTTGTCTCTTTTTCCACTGTAGGTGTGTTCAAAGGGGTTTTTCATGAGCGAGCAGGACGTTTGCTTACCGTGTAACTGCAAAGGCCACGCCGACTACTGTGAAGACATCACTGGTGTTTGTATAGTAAGTTTCCCCACAGTGCCTATCGCTCACTGAGGAATTAGAGAGGAGAGTTCACTTTAATTTCATGATGGTGAAAATCCGACCTTTTCATTACAGCTGTTGTGATGTGTTATTTTAGAATTGCAGGGACCACAGTACAGGGGATTTCTGCGAGATGTGTGAGGACGGCTACATGCCGGCTTCAAGCCTGGATGGACGCCACACCTGCAAACCGTGCGCCTGCCCCCTCTCTGTCCCCTCCAATAAGTAAGCCGGCCCTGGTCTTGTTTCTGTAACCACAAGATTGTGTGTTGGCAAGCAGTGAATAATCTCTGAAATACTTTCCCCCTGTGTGTTTGGCCAGCTTCGCAGTGTACTGTGACAGAGGAGGTGCCATCCTGCGGTGCAAGTGCAAACAGGGCTACGCTGGACATTTCTGTGAGAGGTCAGTGCTGAGGCGGCTCTGAGCGATCAGCCAAAGAGTTAAACGTGCACAGATTTTCTTCTTCCAGTATAAAAACAAACTGTAAAGCAGTAATAAAGGTGAAATCGGATAGAATATTTGATTTTAGATGTATAAGCATAAGAAAAACAATCAGTAGATCAGAGATTAACCAGGTTTGGATTTGTGCATATCAACAGGCAGTGATGTTGTCTTTATCTCTCATCTTTCCCACTCAGGTGCGCTCCTGGTCACTATGGCAACCCAATGGAGCTCAGTAACACTTGTAAGAGATGCGACTGCAACGGCAACTCAGACCCCAACCTGATTTTCAACGAGTGCCACAATGTGACAGGCCACTGCCAGCACTGCTGGGGAAACACAGCCGGACCCCACTGTGAGAGGTGTGCTCCTGGTTTCTATGGCGACGCCATCAGTGAAAAGAACTGCAGAGGTGAGGGCAACGTGGAAAATACTGCAATGATCCACTACAACCAAACCTAGGTGTGATTAGTCAATGCCTCAATTTCATTTAGTATGTGTTTGAGATGTTAAAGGGACATTTCAGAGTTTTTTTAAGTGGGGCAGAGTCTTCCCCTTTCTGCGTTAAAGAGGCCAAGCTGACCAAGGTCCATTTTGGCTGGTAAACTTACAAGTGACACGTATCTCATACAACCTCATTTCAAAAGCACTGAAATATCCCTTTAATAGGTGAAAAAATGTCAGTATTGCTTAAACCTGCCACTGCACAACAGACCGAATTGACTGCAACATGTCTGATTGAAGTAAAATGTTTTGATTTGCAATCTGGGATAACTAATCTGAGTATTGGAGAAAAATTTCATAAAGGATCTGGGAGGAACACGCTGCAGTCCTACTCCTCTAATTCACATTTATTGATGCTTCCTGCTCATGCCAGAGGTATTGATATTGTTGCATAATGTGTTTTAAAACCCGAACAGTTCTACAAGAGCAACTCTAGCCACAAAGCCTCATGTGTAATGAATGCACTACATTTCATCAGCTCTGTTGATACAGCTGCTGCAGCTGACTGCTGAACATTCCCGTCATACAGTAATGACAGCAGCTCCACATTCCTGCAGATCAGGCTGTTACGGCGCAGAACGACCTGCAGCGATGCGCCAAATAAAATCTCCAGCAGATTTCTTCAAACCACAGTCTGTCTCTGCGATATTTAAATGAATAAACATGCAGCTGAAGTTTATTTGTCAGTGTTACAAACTTCTGTCATACTAAAGGACTTCAGTGGTAAAACAGGACAAGGTCAGCGTGCAGGATGCAGGATTACAGTGAGCCTTTTGAGGCTCTCGAGGTCCAAAAATATCTCATCTGTGACATCAGTCAACCTCTAACGTTCTTCTCTTTGCATGTCTGCTGCAGAGTGCGAGTGCAACAAATGCGGCACCTCCTCATGTGACGATAGGACCGGAGTGTGTCACTGCAAGCCCGGGGTCACCGGACAGTTCTGTGACCAGTGTGAGGTGAGAGCAACCATGTGACAGGAAGTTTCTTATTGATGGAAGATTCTTATTGATGACAGACTCGTCACAAGAGTTCAAAAACAATCTAAACAGAAATTTCCAGATTAGTTGAACCTATCCATCTTTCATTTTTGTTGTTATTGTCTGAAACCTTTGATTTCCCCATCTTTGGGATCAGAAATATTGCACCAAAGTCAGCTCACTTAGCAGCTCTACATCTTTCGGTCTACGCTCAGAACTCTCCTACAGGAGGCTTAAAACTCTCTGTAAATATTCTGTAAGCTTCTTTCTCACCTCAGTGAAGAAGGAATCCATCTCTCCTCCACTTCACTGCCTCCAACCCCACTTTGACTCCTGGAATCTCATCCTCAGTCATCCTAATCATCTCCTTAAACATGCAGCCCTCGTGCATTTCTCTTGTGATCAGTGCGGGTCAGGGGTCTCCTCAGACTCACTGTAGGTTTGATCTGTGATGAAAAACAAACCAAGGGGGGAACTCTCATAGAATTGATTTCTGCTACTTATAGCGCTAAGAATTGTGCATCATTTGCCCCCTCCTCAAAATCCAATTCACAAAACATGCTGCTGTATTACACTCAAATACAAACACCCATGAAGCTCTGCAGCTCTGTTTCTACAGTTTGCTTTTGTTTTGCATCTGATTGTGGAATTGAGCTGTCAGCATCTCCTCTTTCTAATAAGGGGGCCCGCATACATATATAAAGAGTTCCACTACTGTCAGGGCAGTAAAGACATAGGGTGCAAACTAGTGTTGTGTCATTCGCGAACGATTCGTTCAAAATAACCGAATCTTTTAAGTGAACGTACTGAATCACTTCCTCGAGTGATTCATTTGTTTCTCACTTCAGTTGAGCGGAAGTGAGAAACAGCATTGCCAGGCTAACAGTCGGCGAACGAGGGACCACATGCACCGACACCTGAATCACTTGGTGAACGAATCACGCTTTGAACTACATTCTCTGGAATCATTTTTGTTGGACAAAACTACCTTTTTTTTCTCACTGCTAAATTGCCACCACAACAACTTGCATACGATAGGACACAGCATGTAACAAGTATTGCATTAAACCGGCAGCATCCTATCATTGCAGCGGTTTGCGAGGGAACGGTGCATGTTCAGTGTGATTTCTTCTAAACGTTCAGTGAACGAATCACTAACTGACCCCGATTTACCGAGCAGACCTGATACCATAGGACCGTACACTTAAAACATCATGACTTTTAAACAAGTTCATTTTTACAAACTTGTTTAAGCAACAAAGCCAAACACTCTCGTCTCCCGGTCCCAGAAGCTCTGAATTTAACTGAATCCAGAACCGTTCAGCTGTGTATCAGTTCAGGAGGTCGGAGTTGCAGGCTCCTCCCACCAAGTGATTGGTGATTCTGTGATTCGGTGAACAAATCTTTTGAACAAATCATTTTAGTGAACTGTTTCTAGTGATTCAGTACATCTGAAAGAACTGCCATGGCCATCACGAGTGCAAACAACAAAGTAATCAGGACATAACATATGCACATTGTCATAAATGGAACATAGACTGATGATCAACCAGCCCATCCAGAGATAGAGAAATTATATGTATACATAAAAAGAAAAGAAACATGAACATAACAGATAATGACGTGTTAAGATATGATTAGATGAAATACCCCTTTAAAAAAAAAAAACATGAAGTAAACGTGTCACTCCAAGTGTGACGTCCAGTGAATACGGCCTGTTGGTTAAAATCCCAAACAGAGTCAACATTGGTCCAGGTTCAGGTCCACGCCTCTGAAACGGGTCATCTACTTAATAGATGTAGTTTTGCTGTATTCCCAGATCTTAGCACTGGTTTTGGTGTGTGATGTAATCATAATTGAATCATAATTGTCAGAAAAGATGGCCAAAGCTTGCAGAATGAGAGCCCAGCTCTGATGGAAGTGTTTAATGATGAGCCGGGACAGCCTCGCACTGAGGTCTGACTGTGTTTCTCATTCATGTTCTCCAGGAGGGATACTCGGGTTTCTCCAGCTGTCAGGGCTGTCGGAGGTGTGAATGCGGGCCAGCTTCCACCCGCCCCACCTGCCACCCACTCACCCACAGCTGCCCCTGCCATCTGGGGGCGGGAGGGCGTTACTGCGAGCGCTGCCTGCCAGGATTCTGGGACTACAGCCCGTCCGGCTGCCGGAGTAAGTCATCTGTCCATCATAGCACACGTCAAATGTTCTCCCTCTACGGACTGTTTGTTGAAACATTCAATTCAGAAACCGCTTTCCCAGCGGAAGAGGCTGCGGCGAATCCTCACGTTCCCACGCCCACTGACACAGTAGATCACATGATGTCAGAGAGGCATCTGCTGAGAGATGTGACCCTGCAACCGGAGGCTCTACAAAGAGTTGAATGACATCACCATACAATCCAAATCCACATACTCACACACACACACACACACTCACTGACACAGCTGCAGAAACCATCAGTCCCACAGCAGAGAGACCACAGGACAGATGTGCAGCGCTCCATCCAAAACACCATCTGCTGGTCTTGACATAGATTAGCAAACCGCTCTGACCGATTTCCAGCAGATTTGAGTTCAGGCTGATGTGCTGATGCTCTGATTTGAAATGTTTTTTTTGTTTTTTTTCCACAGAGTGCGACTGTGAGAGTGGACACTGTGACATGCACACAGGAGAGTGTCTGCCAGAGGCTGCGACAGTCAACCTGTGCAACATCAGTGAGTGACGAGAGAGCGAACAAGAGGCTACGATACAGCCGAGCTTTGAAGGGATGTTTCAGTGTTTTGAAAGTGAGGTTGTATGTCATCGGAAGGTTTTGTAGACACAATAGTGCCATCAACTCCGCTTCTTCTCTATGTCCATGCTCCTGTATGTGCCCTCAAAAAAGGTGAGGATCAGGCCTTTAAAGGCACGGTTCACAAATAAAGAAGCAGTTGAAAAAAACTGAGCCATGGAGGCAGATTTGAAAAAAGCGTCCTACCCCCCACACGCAAACCTCTCCCCTCTGTGCTCCACGATAACCCCCCCCACCCCTGAACCTGTATCGCCCTCCCAACAACACACCCCCTCTTAGATTCAGAACTGCCAAAATGTTCTGTAATGTTCTGTTCGATGAACAGAGCCAACAGCCCGCGTTTGGCTTAAGCGTGTGATGACGTTTCCAGCTTTTCTAGCCACTCAGAGGTGAAGGAGGCGGGACTTTCCCCCATCGTCCTACAAAATAAAATATCACGTTCCAGACGGATGGCTCCTATTGGTCAATGTTTTTGCAGCCCTGCAGCTGATAGGGTGAACTGATTTTTTCCATTCTTCATTCTCTTCACTTTGTGGAGATCACACTAAAGGACCATGATCGCCATGTAAACGAGGTTCATAATGATTACCAATCTCTCCAATCATCAACCATGCCTTTAACTACCTCCATCCCTACCTCCACTTTTTTTCAGGTCGACTTGATTTGACTTCATATTAATGAAAACTGCAGGAGAACCATCCAAAAGCTAGGCTACAGCTACACTATAGCTAGACTGTCGCTAAGGCACTTACTGGTTGCATAATATTCAGACAACCCCACTTCAAAAATACTGAAATGTCCCTTTAAAAACATAAAAAACTACATTGACTCTTTTCCTCTTTGTATTCCAGGCTGTGATGAGTGTATTTGGCATCTGATCGGCGATCTGCGCCTGTCCAATAAGACGCTGGATCATCTGAAAGTGGGCGTGTTGAACATCTCCACTGGTGCAGCTGCAAACGACAGACTCAAATACTACAACTACACTGCTCACCGACTGCGGGTTCGTGCACTAATTTGTTTTAAAAGTCTCAGAATGGCTCCTGCGTCTTTGAAAATTGACCTCTGTTTTACTGCGGACTGGTGAAAGAGTTTATTTGCTTTCCATCCAGACTCAGTTTCAAGGCTGGAGAAATAAGTCCTCTCAGATGAGGGCCCAAGCCAGCGATCTGGAGGAGGCTGCAGAGGCGGTGGTTTTGGATATCAAACAGCTCGGAGAATCGGTCAGCACAGCCGTCATCTTTCATTTAATGCACATGTGGAGTTCAGAGATTTTGTAGTTTAAGCTCTGGAAGTAGAATTTACCTCATGATCTTTCCACAGGCATGCTCAAATACAGAATATCATATTAACACTGCGTGGGTTTTAACAGCAAACAGCAGCCCGTTAAATCAGACCTGACATGTTCCTACAACTCAAAGGACACGACACCTGATAGTTCCAGTGCAGTCTTCATGAGTAAGTGTCTGATTGATTCTTATATTGATCAGTTTTGTGGTGTTTTTTTTTCCAGGAGAGTGTGGTGGAGGCTCTGGGGAACAAACTGGATAATGGCACCTTGGAGACCGTCACACTGGCCAAGCAGCTCAGCACAAACCTCACTGAACTCAACGATGAAATCGAAGGTACAAAACAGTTTTGCTCAGAAAACCACAGACTTAATTAACTTATTCACAAAACAGGATATCAATGTTGACACGCCACTTTGATTTTGAGCAGTTTTGTCCTTTTAGTAGACTGCAGTTAACCTCAAGCTGTGTCCTCTTGCTTTTTCCTTCTTGTGTGATAGAAAATAAAAACTCTATTGTGTGTTAAAATGGTGCACTACACTCATAATGACTCCAAGACGGATCACTTTAAAGTCAGAGTGATCTGCACTTTGTGTCAAACTGAATTTAAAGGTAGGGTAGGCAGGATCTGAGGAAGTGCCAGTTTTTGGGAAGAAATCTTGAATGTAAACTCTACCCCTCCCAATCAGTTTTCCCCTCAGCTCCTCCTCTTTCCTCCCTCTCTGCTCCAGCAAGCCCTGCCCACAAACAGACGCTCCTGCTCGCTCGTATCATTCCAATTAAATTCAGATATAATGCAGATAAATACTTCAGAAAATTACAAATGGGGCCAGTCAACGTGAAAGTAAAGAGCATTAGTGCTACTGTAGATGCCAACAGACTACCAGCAAACACAAAATTTACTTCTACAACTAGGATAAAGTGACATAGTCCAGGAACCGAGGTCAACAGTTTAGTGGTGATTCAACACGCAGCAGGTCCCATTTGACAAGAAACCCTTCTGTTACAGACACTTGGCTTACTTTGTTAAAGCGGTTTACCTGTCCAGCAGAAAGTTTACAGGGTCTGTAAGATCCTAAAGCGCTCCCTATCGTTTAAGCTTCACTGATGTTGACCCGGCTTCTTAGTTCTTGTCCAGTCAACCTCTTTTTTTAAGCGCCTGTTATTCCGCCAGAGTCTCGGGTATTTAATTCATTTCATTGCTTGTGTTTTCCATACTTTCTGGTTGGTTTCTACTGTCCGATATTGGGGCGTGCCTTACAACACGGGGGAGCAGCGTCTGCCTCACAACCAATCAGGTTGGGGGGAGGCGGAGAACGGCTTTGTTTACCGTCAGAAAGAGCGGGCCGCTCAAAAGTTTAAAATGTTGACTACAGGGACATAACAAAATTCAGCGATATCATGATATTCCCAAATGTCATCAATAACTAAAAGCTGTTGTCTGATATTAAAAGCTTTTTTGTATGTACACTACAAGAAAAGATGCTTTTTTAACAGAATCCTGCCTACACTAACTTTAAGTATCTCTAAAGTACTTTGAATAGATTTAAACTGGACTTGAAAGCTGTCTTGTCATCTGACATCTCTGATATTTATACACTGACCATGAAACATCATGCAAGTTGCAGTCTCAACATTTTGAACAAAGATGTCGAGCAAAAAATAGATCTGACTGGTCAGACCAGCAGCATAAATCTTTGTTTGGCAAACATTTCATCGCGGTTACTGAATTTAGAGCCTTTACTCGCTGTCTGGTTGGTGTATGAATGTGGTTCCCTAACTCATCTGCATTTGTGTATAATTCAAACAGAGATGATTCATGAGTGGGAGCTCTACAGCACCCACCAGGATGTGGATCCAGAAGTGGTCAGAGAGAACACTGAGATGGCCCAGGAGATGGTGGCCTGGATGAGGACGCTCGATCTGTCCCCTCGAGAGCCCATCGCCACGGACGAGTCAACTGAAGCTCATGAATGTGAGTAGAGACAAAGAGCTGCACAAAACTAACAGATGTCTGATGTCTTTGATAAAAGTGGCAAAATAACGCTAGCTAGCACAGCAGATAGTATACATAGCAATTGCTGTGTTTCCTGAATGGTTGATGTTTGATGCTGATGCAAGTTCTCGTGTTTCTGATTTATGTGTTTCCAGTGCTGAGGCGAATCCGTCAGCTGGAAAAGAAGCTGATAAACACAGACAGCCGCCTCCCGCCTGTCAGAGAGCTCCTGTCCCGGTTCTCCTCCAAGCTATCAGACGCTCAAGGTTTCCTCCAGAAAGCGGCCGGCAACGTCCATGAGACGGTGGACACAAACAGAGCCAATGCCCTCAAATTCCAGAGGAATCAGGTGATTTCCCATGATCCTCCAGTCCTCTGTTTGGTGCATCTCTTTAAGCACTCCCTTCTCAATCATGCATTAAAAGATTTAGCAAACAGTCTTGTTAGAGAGCTGCGAAAGAATGTACTGGTGTTGAATTCCTCTTTAAAGTGCAGTCTGCTTATTCTCCTCTCCTCGTGTGTCAAACAATGTGGAGTTCCTGTCCGTAAAAACACATGAATACTCTAACCTCAGCGCTCACTGCGCTCTGTCAGAGGAGCTTGTAAAGGAAAGATCTGGTTGTTGTTTGTCAGTGGGGTCCATTACTCATGCTGTTTCAGGCCTGAGAACAGAAACACTGAACCATCTGTGGGAGATTAGGACTGTTACAAGTTGGGGCCGACATAGGGGGAGAGAAAATGTTGCAATGCAGTTTCTTTTCTTTTCCCATGATAGTATCAAGAACTAACCCACAGAAAAATAGTTTCATTTTCCCAAGACACAGACGACACACTGAATTATTACTGTTTTAGACTAAGACGAAGAGAGCTGCTCTCCTTACAATATTCAGTCTATATGGGAGATAGTGAAGCTGTAGCATGAAGCCATCTCTGTGCAGGAAATTTAACCAGATACTGATCTGCCTCTATACAGCAACAGATATGTGCTGTATGTATCAGTCCCTGTCTTGAAAACTTCCATGCAACATAACACCACTATGAGTTCTTATTAAAGGGATATTCCGGCATAAAATTAAGTTAGTTGCTGACCACTTGCATCTCTAGTTATACCAACTTGAGTAACGACCGCACGATAGCAATACACAGCGGTCTGAGGAGCCATAAACAAACCTCAACCAAAACGCCACTCTATAGCCACAAATAATGCTCAGAACAGCACCTAACTTCATCAACAGTACATATAGGGTCCCAGCCACAGCACTAGCCACCAAACATCTTTTTAACTTTGCAAAGAGACTAAATACAACTCACCTACTCTCTTCCAGCAGCCACTTGTTTGTGCAGAGTCCCCAGGTGAGTCCATCAACTGTAGTGGGGTGCCGCAGCTTAAGGAAGAACATTTATGATCATTCCTTCATGGAAATGCAATCAGACCGAAACGCTAAGGCAGAAGAACTACCGTGTCTGCAATGCAAAATTATAAATATGATGATTATCACTTACAGGAAATGATAAAGTAATGATCATAAATGTTCGTCCTTAAGCTGTGTCACCCCGCTGCAGTCAATGGACTCGCCTGAGGTCTCCGTACAAACAAGCGGCTGCTGGAAAAGAGTAGGTAAGCTGTATTTAGTCTCTTTGCGAAAGAAATTAGGAAAATTTTGGTGGCTAGTACTATGGTTGGGACCCTATACCCCATTTGGGCCTCTGCTTCCAATTTTCAAGGTAAATGTTTAGAGGTACAGCGTACACTCGCAGATGTACATACTTGGTTTTATATAAGAAGGTCACAGATGCGACTGTGGTCTCGGCAGAATTTACATTCTGGATTTTAGTGTCTCTCTCTGGATGTGTTGATTTATCACTGGGTTAAATCCGGCACAGTTGGAACTTGGATCAGGGCAGTTGTGATCTGGTCCTCACGGTCGTGACCTGGCTGATATTCTGGGTCTGCCGTCCAGCAGAACAGCTGCTGCTGAACTCTCTGTGTATCAGAGTGTGTGTTTGTGTATCTGTGTGCACATGTTTTATCAAGACTGCTGATCTCCATGATCAGGGCTTCTGCTGTAAATCAATGCCATGAATGGTGCACTAACCAAACACGGAGCCTCTCCTAATCTGTGGCTCTTCCACGCCACGGCACAGACCGGTCAACCCCGGCTGCGGACACGGCGTGCACACTGCACGGTCACCGCAGCCAATGGAATGATCTCATCATTGTGCCATACCCAGTCATGCAGGCAAATTACAGATGGGGGGTGATACTGTAACCCACTCAACCCTCTGCAGCGACCTCATAGAATATCTCCGGCAATATGAAACTTCCTGGAAAAAAGGAGCTACAAATATTTTCCAAAGCCTTATCAGTTAAAAATGTTTGTCATGAAGTTATCTATAATAAGTGCTACAACCTTTAAAAGCAAGGATCAAATTTACCCTCACTAACAAGTTTACTCTTTGACTTAGAGAAGCTTAAGTTGTGCTAAATTCAATATTTTCTTTGTCCTCGTACCTTCAGGCAAAGCAGCAGAGGGTGACGGAGGACCACACTGCCGTCACAGACACCCTGGAAACATCTGCAGCCTTTATCTCTGAAGCCCAGCAGGCTGTAGACGGGATGGATGCTTTAGTGCAGGTGAGGTCTAAATGACAGTCTGGACCCTTGAGGTTTCACAGGATGAATGTGAAGAATGAAATCATCTCCGGGTCCCTGAAGTCCAATGATGCTCATGTTTCTTTATGGCAGACTGGATGAGGGAGTGTGTTTCTAATCTAATAGACTGATATTAGGCTGCAGTATCTCAGGCCTACATTGAATTTATTCATGAAATAGAGTCTGTGTCAGATCCTGAAATAAGCCAATTTGATTTGAAACCAATTTATGGATTGCCTGAGATCAAATAAGCCGTGTTCTCAAACAGCTCTCCACTTTTAGTCCAGTAGCTCTTCATGAGTTATCCTGTGGAGGATAGCAATCATCCTGAGGTAACAATGTTAGCTTAAGTGTGCGTGCGTGTGCGTGCGTGTGTGTCTGTGAGTGATATATCATAGGGAACCTGAATAATTTTGCATGTAATAAGATAAATGTTTGTATAATCGTGTGAGTCTCTGTGTGTTTGCATGTGTGAACAGAACGTGTCTCAGTACCACGCAGCGATCGATGGAGCCAGCCAAAAGCTGAAGGAGAAGACGGAGCGTCTGTCGCTGGCGGACAGGGATCTGGTACAGAGGGCTGACGATCACGCCGAGGAGATGGACAGACAGGCCTACGAGCTGGAGGAGTGAGACTACTAGAACTTTTATTATTACTATAACATAACTGTTAGTATTATATAACCATAAGTTAGTTAGCTGAAATAAGCCTACAGTCTCAGATCTGAATACAAGTCCAAGTTTAAGCCCATATTAAGTCATAGCAGCATATTATCTAGGCAGGGGAAGATTGGGACCATAATTCAGGCCAGGAGTTTGACTCCATCCAGGCCAGGCCAATACACATTGACATGGAAATGCTGGCACCGGTGAAAAGTTTTGGACATTTAAAGCCAGATTTAGTGAATATAACGCTAATGTGAAGAACCGTATCTAGGTACTGGTCCAGGCTTGTGACAGTCCTTGATGTAGAGCAGCAAAAATAGACTCGTCGCGTATCTTCAGCAGTGCTGCTCTCGATACGCTTCTGTTACGATGCTGCAACGGAGCTGATACGCCTCCTGTATGCGATGCTGCATTGATTTGAATAGCAACCTATTTGTTGCGTGATTCGTGACGCTGCTGCCATGCTCCAAATACACATCCTGTATGTTCAGCCTTTAGGCTTAGAGCAGCATGACTAGGGTGACCGTATGTTCTCTTTTAACCGGACATGTCCTCTTTTTTGGGGGCTGTCCGGCTTTGTCCGGGGAAGTTTATAAAACCCTTCAGATGTCAGCGGTTTTGTATGTGAGTTTCGATTTTGTGTCATGTGGACTTACTAAGTTTGAAGCGCTTAAGACACTCTCAAAATTAACTTCGTGCAACTCCGTGGCTCCGCCCCCACATAGTCGTGTCCTCTTTTTGGGAAGTCAGAATATGATCACCCTAAGCGTGACACAGATCTAGTCCAAGCCTGATCTGAAACAAGCCTGTATTAGCGTACTGGTCTAAGCTTGAGCTAGCTTAAACCTTGAACAGCATAACTGAAAAGTCTTTGAACTCTAAAGGCGGCCTTAAGCCTTAAGCAGCATAACTAAGATCTGTTTTAGACCTGTGCCAAGACTAACTTTAAGAGTAGAAGGGGTATCGGCCCCCAAAGACCCAGATCCAAAGGAGAGGGGCTTGATAACCGAGAGCTCTACCTCCCATACTACTCTTAGATGCTCCAGGATGCTCATTTTTGGAGCGCAATGACCTAAAGGGAGATAAAGCTCTACAATCCCTCTGAGATGTGATGATGAGCAGACACTGAATTGTTCATTACGGGTTACTCTGAATATGCGCCGCCTTCTGTTCCTCTTCAATGCGAGAATATTGATTAATGCAGCTTAAAATTTGATATCGCGTCTAAGAGCTCTGGGAATTTTTGATGTTGTTGTGTGCAATATTGGAACAATCAAATGAGGCTGTATCATCCATCATCCTGTCTCCTCCAGGGATCTGAGAGAGAGCGATGCCAACGGCTTTGTGCAGAGAGCCATCAGTGCTGCCAACGTCTACAACAACATTGTGAAATACATGGACGACGCCAATATCACCTCCATCACCACTCTCAACCTATCCCAGAGAGCTGAGGATGTATGAGCTTTCTTATCAATCCACAGAATAAAGCCGTTTTTACCAGCAGCATCATCTGTTGCTATGTTTTATGATATGTGTTTCAGGCCATCACTGGGATCAACGCACAGCTCGGATATCTGGTGAAACAGAGTGACAACGTTTTCAAGGAGTCTGTGTCGCTGCATTCAGAGCAAAAAGGTATGAGACCCGCACAGAAAGAAGTAATCAATCATTTTCCTTTATAGTTTATTTGTTATTTATCAGATATCCTTCTAACGGTCGATATCTGTCCGTCGCAGAGGTTGAAACCGAAGTGGTCGAACAGCTGACTTACATTGAAGAGACCAAAGAGACCATGGAGAAAAACACCAAGAAACTGGCAGAATTAAAAGAAGATATCAGCGGGATCCACGCAGGTAAGTAAAAACATCATATCATCTGAAGCAGTCCTCCATCACATTTCATTCATACTGCGTAGAGACCTGTTATAATGGGGCTTTCTCATGTGCAGTCTCTAATATAGTGGCCTGATATTTAAAAACCATTTTTAACTAATTAGGTTGTGATTGTATGTCCAATATCCCAAGACAGAAAACCCACAAATCACAGTCTATAGTCCTACTTCATTATCATTTTCATCTCCCTTCACTTTTATGACGAATAAAATCCAAAATTCAAATTAGCAAAGGGAAAAAGTGGCGCAGCAGGTACCCGGGAATGACCTCTGATCCCTTTTAAGCCTGAGATATGATAAGTATCTACTTTCAAAATGACAAGATGCGACTCCAGGCTTTAAATTGGACATGACATCAAACTGAAGTATAGAAGGTTTATTCGCTCATGATATAAAGGTCTACAAACTGTCTGCAAACAGAACCAGAACTCATCAGATTGCCTATCTTCTTCCACACTGCAGACAGGACCCCCCAGCGGCTGGAGTTCACCCTAGAAGTTGCTGAGGGGACTCTGAACCGCTCAGCAGAGGTCCTTCAAACCATCACCCCCATCAGCAGCAAAGTGGAGGAGTGGGCGGTCAGCATGAGGAACAACGAGTTCTCCACCGAGGCGTACGAACGAGCCGTCGAGTCTGCAGGGGGAGCAGGTATCATCTGTAGTACCGTTGTTTTTGTATGTGATAAGACAGTGAATTTCCAGTTTTTAATGTTTTTTATGATTTTCCTTTTTTTTTGCAGTGGAGAGCTTAAACGGACTCGTCCCTGAGCTTCTGAACAAGCTGAAGGTGGTTGAAGAGAAGAAGCCGGTCAACAATGTGACCACAAACATCATGAGGATCAGGGAGCTCATAGCTCAGGCCAGGAGTGTGGCCAAGAAGGTCAGCGCTTTATTTTAAATATGCTCATATCATGGCAAATATGAGACATTAAAACCAACTTCACATTCACAAAACCAACCTTACCACTGCAGGTCCAAGTGTCCATGAAGTTCAACGGTCAGTCCTCAGTGGAGGTTCAGCCTCATACCAACCTGGAGGAGCTGAAGACGGTGACGTCCATCAGCATGTTCATCAGAGTGGACCCTGACAAAGACCCCATAGAGGACCGCTTCATCCTGTACCTGGGAGACAGAAATGTGAGAATTATCAGTTGTTATACAAATACCAACTGGGAGACTTCATTTCACTAATCTAAAGGATAAGATAAAAGACAGACCTTTATGAAAGTTTAAAAAATGGAGAACCAAAGTCATCTGCTTCACAAATAACTCATTAAATACTAAATTTAAGCAGGATTTGGGTAAAATGGCTAAATAATCTAAGATTTAATTCAAAGTATAAAAAGTTTGACCCAATAGATAAATCCAAGCGCCACAGGTATATTTATATTCAGGAGTTAAGTGGAGCTATGGTCCCAGCTCAGTGAGTGTCTTTGTCTCAGTTTACAAGTACCTTTAAAAAAACTCATTGTTATTGTCAGTACCAGTAATTTAAAAGTTTAAATAAGTTTCTGTTGTCAAGAAACTCTCCAACAAACTTTTCTGGCGCAGGCTGATTTCATTATTTACTCCATAATCTGAGGGGCTGACTTGCTTTGGGAGCCTCATGTGGTCATTCCAAGAACTGCACTGGCATTACCGATAAAATAATGAGTGGCTAAAAGTAACCCAACCATTACCCAGCACCTGGGTCATGTTCACCGGGTTGGACTGACCTAAACTGCGATTTTTTTAAACCCAAAACTTGGATTGTTTACCTGATCCAGAGGGTTGTTTCAACCACAGTGCCGGGTCAGTCTCACCCAAACCTTGGGTATTCAACATTGTTAAAACTAGTAAATGCTAGTTTTAAAAAAGAGGTATATTATGTTATTTTCACTCCCTGCACATTTCAAAGTGAAGAGAGAGTTTTAGAAAACTACTTCTGCAAAGTACAACCTTATCTTTTTGAGCCGTTAACCGGACCTCTTCTCTGGTGTGTCAGTCAAGTATACGGCAAGGAGGTCTAAAACTCCGTGGCCCAAACCTGCTGCTAAGACTTCACGAACTTGCACCCAGCAGCCTTTGGCAGAGCTGAGGCAGGGCTTTCCTCTTGGACATGAATACTTTATAGTGATTTGGAGGCAGGAATGACAGGCTCTGAATGTGAACCCTTGCTCCTTTGAAAAGGTCGCCAAAGAGCCGACAATAGTTTATGTATGTGCCTTCAAAGCTGGAGTTCATTTACATAAATACCATCAGCCCCCTTCAGACTGAAGCAGTGACCCAATGAGAGGCCTCTCTCTTCTCTTCACCCTGGAGATCTCTCTGCAGCTGTAATGTATGCGCCGTGTTTGTATGCAGCTTTTCACTTTGGAATAAAAGCCCCAGCATGAGTGTCATCCACTCCCACCAGTGACGTTCATGTTTAAGACCGCAATATTTCTGTGTAAACTAACATAAAAGGTCATTGAGGCAATGACAGGAAAACAGAGAGAGAATAAACTCACTGAGATAAAACAAAGTCTGAGGCTTTTTTTTCTGCTTACAGGGCAGGAAAGACTACATGGGTCTGGCCATCAAGAATGACAACCTGGTGTTTGCGTACAACCTCGGAGGAGAAGATGTGGAGATCTCACTCGGCTCAAAGCCTGTCAGCCAATGGCCTGCAGTCTTCAACTACGTCAAAGTGGAAAGGTAACATCTATAGATCCAGTTTATGCAGGAATCCCCTAAAAAGAAATCAGACGGCTGATTGTTTCACTTACTGCAGCTCATTTTGATGTAAAAGGACTCTGTTTGTGTTCTCTTCGCTTGCAGACTTGGCAGACACGGGAAAATTTTCCTGACCATCCCGAGTCAGACTTCCACAGACGAGCAGAAGTTCATCCAGAAAGGCGAGGCTCTGGGCACCGACTCGCTGTTTGACGTCGACCCCAAGGATACAGTGTTCTTTATCGGTGGAGTCCCACCAGACGTCAGGGTAAAAATATTCCTTCGTACAAATATCCTCACTGAACCATCAGGGTTTTCCAGATGTAATGGGTCTTTATTTGCCTCTGTTATTAGCTTCCTCCTCCTCTGAGTCTGGCTCCTTTCGTGGGTTGCATTGAGTTGAGTTCACTGAACAACGACGTGATCAGCCTGTACAACTTCAAAGAAACTCACAAAATGGATATACACACATCAACGCCGTGTCCCAGGTAGGCATTTTTATGGGGGATTACCCTCCTTATCGCCTTACAACCAAGTCATACTCATCATACACCGTGTATATATTCTGCCACCTCCAAACTCTAACTTTAGGACTGTGCAGAACATGAGGAAACTCGAAACTATTAAGAGCTTGTTTGACGCTATCAACACCTTTAGGTTACCTTGAAATAATGTCCCTCTTTCTACGCTCAGGTACAAGTTGGCCTTTTCCCAGAGTCGTATCACCAGCTACCTGTTTGATGGAACGGGATACGCGCTCATCAATAACATCGAGAGGAGGGGCAAATTTGGCGTGGTCACAAGATTTGATATCGGAGTGCGAACCGTGGCGAACAACGGTGTCCTCTTCCTCATGGTCAACGAGGTAAATCTGAGGGTCAAATTGTGTTGTATTGTGCGTGAAATTAAAGGAAATCTTATCTCTTAAGTATCGGTTTCTTTCTGGATGTAACAAAAGTGCAAAAGGTTTTTATCGTCTATTATCTAATGTGGTTGAAATCCTCTTTTCAGGACAAGTTCTTCCTCTTGGAGTTAAAGAGCGGCTATCTGCGCCTAATGTACGACTTTGGCTTCAGCAGTGGGCCTCAGCTGTTGGAGGATAAACTACCAAAGCTGCAGATTAATGACGCTCGATACCATGAGGTGTGTTTTTCTCCTCGTTTAAGACTTGTGTTGACTCGTGAGTAACTCGTCGCTCTGACAGTCCTTTTCCATCATTTCCTCAGGTCTCAGTGATCTACCATCAGTCGAAGAAGGTTATCCTCCTGGTGGATAAGAGTCATATTAAATCCCTAGAGAATCCAAAAACCACTCTGCCTTTCTCAGATATATACATAGGCGGGGCTCCTTCCAGCATCCTCAAATCCAGGTGAGTTCCAGTATATGTGCAAGCTTTGTGTCTGATTTACAGGGTATGGGACTTCCAGGGTTTTACCATAGGATTCTGTCTGTGTTTTTTTCAGGCCTGAGCTGTCTGAGGTCATCGGCCTGAGAGGTTGCGTAAAAGGTTTCCAATTCCAGAAGAAAGACTTTAACCTGCTGGAGGAGCCCGGCACCATCGGCATCAGCAGCGGCTGCCCCGAGGAGTCGTTTGTAAGCTTTCTGCTGCTCCACACACACTGTCAGTGATCATGAGCCGCAGGAATGACAAATATGGATGAAGAGTAGTCCGCACACACACACACTTTCACTCCTGAGTGTGAGGAATAATTGACTCTTCTAGTTGAGCGGCTTTTCGCAGGAGGAGTCAATTGATATGTCCATTTTGGGATCAGTGAGCTGTGAGCTGAGCGCAGAGTGAAGGTAATGAAGGTAGTAAAAGTGAGGTATGTTTTTATTGTGATAGATGTCCCGTAAAGCCTACTTCACCGGAGAGGGTTACCTGGGATCCACGGCAAAGATCTCCCCCTTCGACAGCTTTGAGGGAGGACTCAACTTCAGGACTCTGCAGCCTAGTGGACTCCTGTTTTACCACAGTGAAGGGGTAAACACTTAAAAATAGGATTAAACAAATGCATTTCGCCTTCTCAGTTCTGTTACATATGTATTTTCATGTGCTACCGTTTTAACGTTTCCCTCTCTCTTCAGTCTGATGAGTTGAGCATCTCTGTGGAAAACGGCGCCGTGGTGATGAACTGCAGAGGGACACGGGTCAAATCGCACAAGAAGCAGTACAACGATGGAAGGACACATTTCCTGGTGGCCTCAGTGAACAATCAGAAGTAAGTACTCAGAGTGAGCATGCGCTGGTCTTAGAGTTTAGATATCTGTATATCCGGTTTACTTAGTTCTTCCAGTAACTAAGTAATAACGCACGCTAAGTAGAGCTTTTCTTGACCTCCATGAAGTGGCTCATGGTAGATTTGCACTGGAGAGGGAGGTGTTTCTCTGCTTCAGTCTTATTACCTCCGCCAGGGAGGTTGTGTTTTCGGTAGCGTTGGTTTGTTTGTTTGATTGACCTGAAATTTTCACCAGAGGTGCGTCTCAGCCCCCAGAGGATCACATTACATTTTGGTGGTGATCTGGACAAAATCCCGGATACTGTGATCCAGAACACATAAAAATAAGGGTGTCGTTGGAATTTTCAATGCTGAAAGATAACCAATAGGCGGCAGAGTGGTGTAGATAGGCGGCACAGTGGTGTAGTGGTTAGCACTGTCGCCTCACAACCAGAAGGTCCTGGGTTCGAATCCCTGTCGGCATTACTTGTTTAAGGGGGGACATGAGCTGCTTGGCGGAGGTCTGCGCTCTCAGAGTGCCTTTCTAGTTTTCCAATATGAAATTGACATTAAGTTAAAGGGGCGTCCTGAAAAACAGTAACAGGATCTTAATACAGACATGGTTCCAGTTGAAAACTTGATATTATCAAACTGGAAGAGTGGAACAAATTCGCTTGAGCAGATGTGACTCCCCGTTACTTTTTGATGTCCTTGCTATGTCCACGGCATTTCCTTGTATGGTTTTTCCGGGCCTTTTTCAATGTTACTCTAGTAACCATGGCAAAGTAGTTTCACTGTTGAGCATCTGAACTTCATGACCGACTGGTTCACCTGAACTCAGGTATTCACTGCTGGTGGACGACAAAGACAAGCAGGAGAAGAAACGTCCAGCATCAGCCACCAGATCCTCCTCAGATTCTGCTGTGAAGAGCTTTTACTACGGAGGGTCTCCGAGCAGCACCTTCAAGAACTTCACAGGCTGCATCAGTTATGCCTACATCAACAGGTAAACTAACACACCAACAGGTAAACCAGAACAGTATCAGGTTTAACAGCACAGCAGTAGGTAACTTTCTGTTTCCCCTTCTTTGTTTCTGCAGACAGGACCGGGACATCGAAGCTGAGGACTTCCAGCGATACTCAGAAAACGTCCAGACTCTCCTCCAGGATTGTCCAGTCCAGCGTCCCCCAGCTGCTCTGCTTTCACGGTCCAGAGACACGGCAAGAGCCAGACCGGGCCAAGCACAGAAGGTACAAATGGAAGAGTGTTTGGAGGGTCTACCGTTTATCACTGATGCAGAATGATTCTGGCCTCCCTTAAGTCCTGTGAACATCCTTCTAGGTTGTCAGGGATAAGTCCAACCTCCCTCTGGGCCTGATGGAGCTGAGGAGTGATGACCATGAGCCATTAGAGCCAAACATCGAGCCCTGCTACCTCTCCTCCAGTCCCAGAGCGACCCGCCAAGCTTTCCACTATGGCGGCATTGCCAACAGCAGGCAGCAGTACGCCGACCTGCCCGACTCCTTCTCTGCGAGGTACGTCAAGCAAAAAGAACCTGAAGGTCAAATATTTTTAAAGTTCACTCTGCACACTTCGTTTTTCAAGGGTTTCTTTGTGTCTACACACACGGCTTAATGCACCTTCCACCCTCAGGTCCCACTTCTCCCTGTCCCTGAGGACGCACTCATCCTTCGGCCTCATCTTTTATGTATCTGACGCCCACGAGGACAACTTCATGGCTCTCTACCTCGCCCATGGGAAGCTTGTATACACCTTTAATGTGGGAGACCAGAGGGTCAGAGTGAGGAGCGAGGAGAAATACGACGACGGCGCATGGCACAATGTAAGTCCTGTCCTTCTGTGTACGTGCACGCACGGCTGGATGAATGTTTCAGTGAGATGTCAACAGTTTCTGCAGAGACGAGCTCCTTTCTCCTCCCCGCTGCAGGTTATTTTTATCCGTGATGGAAGTATGGGGCGCTTAATAATTGATGGGCTCACAGTGCTGGAAGACAGAGCGAAGGGAAGCAACGTCTCCTGGCATGTCAGCGGTCCCATCTACATGGGAGGAGTTCCTCCAGAGAGAGCCCAGAAGAATATTCAGGTACAGGCTGGAGTTCATGTTGAAGAAGTTTGACATTTACAGCGAACAGAGTAAATATTATATCAAGGTCTAAAAAAAACACTCACCTAGTATGAACCTCTGTGAGTTACAACTCTTTTGGGGTTATCCTTAATGCACACGGTCAAACAAACACACTCAGCTTTGTTATGGTTTTAAACTTGATTTACATTTCAGCATCCAAGAGTTCAGGCGTTAACATTTTCCTTTACTGGAGTCCACGTCTGCAGAAAAATCTCCTTCTACTGTTGCAGTTTTGCTGCCTTCTTATCATGTAGACTCAGTCCTTCGTTCAGGAATTAGTAACCATATGCATACCATATATCTTTGGTATGTATCTAATATATATATATAATTTTATTTTAATGTTTCTTTAACAGGAACAGTACATACAACACTGCCACAAAAAATGCTTTAGAGTAGGATAAAATATACAGAATACTATAATATATATGCCTTGGGTCTATGATACACTTTCTTGTATGTCTTTCTGAATCCCTGTAGTATGTGAATAGTCACCCATCATCCCACTTTTCCTCCAGCACAGGGCAGGTATTGCATTTTTTAAACCCTGAAGTTTTTTGAAAAGTCTTATTTTTAGACTGCTTCCAAAGTTAACTGTAACGGTGTTTGTCTCATCTTAAACACAAATCACCATAAATCTTGTCCTCAATAGTTATAGCCCATATTTTACTTCACAGGTTGAGTAATTCAAGCACTATTGACAACTAAAGCTTTATACATATGTGCGAGGAATCAGATTTTTGACTGGCGGTTGATTTTCCATGATCTTAATACATACTGTGAAACTTTTGTTGGACTCTTATAATCTTCTCCCTCCCTGTAGGACATGTAGAGCTTTATTTGTACAGCTCAGTAGGTGGTAAGCCATACTGGGTTCACACATAGCAAACCATACCTGATCTCCTGTTCAATCTGTTTAAGTGTAAGAAGATGCCTTTCAATTACTCAAAAACAGACATATGCTGCAGCCGGCCAAAGTTTTGAAACACTTCTCCAAAGTCCAGATTAACTTCATTTCATTGCAATGTTGTGCAAACTTGGTTGCCTTCAAATTAATACTAAGTACAAGAGCGCCAAAGTGACAGGAGTCCAGTTTGAGTAGAAAATACTGAAGTACAACAAATACTGAATGAGACCTCAGCAGTAACATTTTTCTGTGCAGTGTTTGATGCCAGATGGTACAACCCGAGAACATTTTGCTCTGTGAGAATGTGGTTTATTGCCTGTAAAATAACTTAATATTACTCAAATTTCTACCTCAAATACCTCCCGAGATGTTTGTCTAAACTTCTGGTATGTGTTTTGTTTCCCTGCAGAGAAATTCTGCTCACAGCTTCACCGGCTGTTTGAAGAACCTACAGCTCAACGGACAGTGGCTCTCCTCCAAGCCGGAGACTTTCGGGGTCACTCCCTGCTTTGAAGGACGTTCAGAGGCAGGGACATACTTCTCCGAGGAGGGGGGATATGTCAAACTAGGTACATCTCATTGTTTTCTTTAGCTTCAGACTTCAGAGATTTCTGTTTTTTTCTAAATCCAAAGTTTGCAAACTGTTGATTTTGTGTTATTTTTTCCCCAAATGTAACACGGTCTACATTTGAGGGAGCTGCTCGCCTCTCAAACTGAACATCTGTTACATTACATGCCTCATTAGATTTACTTTTGGAAAGCTCCCAAACCCTTCTGGTCTTTCAGTGCCCCTGAGAGCGTCGGGGGGAGTTTGGTGGGTGAGGGAACATGATACCCTCAGTGCAGCTGTGGTGAAACTGTGTCTCTGCTGAGGGGGACAGGAGAGGAGCTGGGGGGTTTAGGCTCTTAAAGAACTCAGGTCCTGGACTGCAGCTGCTGAAGGAGTGCAGTAGTTTCACACATGCACGCTCCGTGCACAGAGAAAGTGTCTGATAAATGTGGTGAAGAAGTGAGGCCTGCAGCAGAGAAGGTACCAGAGCTTACTCCATCTTCCTCTCTTCAGATGAAACGTTTAACCTCGGGCTGATGTTTGAGCTGGTGATGGAGGTGCGCCCCCGTGTGGCGTCTGGAGTGCTAATGCATGTGCGCACAGCAGAGGGATTTTTCATCATGTACATTCATCAGAGGGAGGTGAGTCATTCAGAAAGCTTTAGGTACTGAGTTAAATCTTTTACATTCATGATATGGATGTAATACTGTTGTGATTGTTTTCAGGTGGTGGTTGTTGTCAGTGAGGGGCCCCATGAGTTCCACACAAAGGTGTCACCAAAACAGGGTCTGTGTGACGGCAGCTGGCACAAGATCACTGGTGAGACTTTTTATCAATACTTAAGGTTATTAAGTTTAAATGTAAAGGGATATTTCGAGTGCATTTTTAAGAGTTCGGTGTCACTAATAAGTGTATTAACCGCAATGGATGTTGGTCATCTCTGCCCTTTTAATGAAAAACTGTTGAGAGAAACAGACGCAAGCTGGGCTACAGTTTTCTGCAGATGAGGCAAACCCTGATTCATCATATACACATCAGATTTTTTTTGCTGTTCGTTTTCTCTTAACAACTGTATTTTGATTTTATTTTATATGTTTGCAATAAAGACATCAAACGAGCAATCAATCAGACACTAAAGGGAACACTAAGCAGAAATGGGGACTTGAGTTTGAGACTTGGACTCCAGTCACAACCAAGTTTCACATGAACGTGACTTTGACTTTTCCAAATGATCCCACACAGAGAGAAAAAAAAGAAACTGTGGGTCACAGCACAGCTAAAGTAGGAGAGACATGGGTGTCAGGGCAGAATCAGGGTTTATCAGAGGGTGCCCCAGCCCAAGGAATGCGTCTTCACTGTCACCCCCTGGTGGTGAAACGAGCAACCTAATCACCTTTGATCCACGAAGTCCTTTTCTACTTCTGCAACTCTCTTTAACCCAGGTCTTTGTGAACAACTCAGCCCATAGTAGTTGAAGATGCGGATGCTGAAGATGATGATATTGTGATTTCATGTGGGTGAAAGGATTAGGATTAGGGTGATTGGAGCTGAAGCAGTCTTTGTGGTTTCCTTTGGTCTGATTGCTCCTTTCTGTTTCGTATGATCTCAGTGATTCGAAATGCCAACGTCATCCAGCTGGATGTGGACTCTGAGGTCAACCACGTGGTGGGACCTCTGAACACCAGCTCCACGGATGATAAGACGCCGGTGTTCATCGGTGGAGCTCCAGGTAAGTTAGGAGAACATCTCTTAACTTTTTTTATTCTCACTAAAAATACATCTTAACAATCCTGCCCTTCTCTCTCTCTCTCCTCCCAGATCTGGTCCTCCCAGAGGGCATCACCACCAAGAAGGCCTTTGTGGGCTGTATGAGAAACCTGACCATCAATAACATCCAGGTCAACTTCAGTAAAGCCATGCTGGTCAGCGGAGCCGTCAGCATTGGAACCTGCCCGGCAGCATGAAACCATCCCAAACCCCAACATAGCACTGACCAAAAACATTAAAACTCTTCTCCTGTCTGACATAACCAAGAAAAGTATCGTCACTGTCCTTTTTTATCCCACACTTTGTACCTCTTCCTGTTTGTAACTGTAATTGTCGGTTTTACTTAATTGTTACACATGATCATGTTTTGTGCAAAGAGTACGACCAAATTGCCCAAATTTAACAAAATCAAGATAGAAACCTAAATTTTCAGAGTAAAAATGTGATCAGATTAAAGTTTATGAGCCTAAAGAATATATAGTTATCCACATATTTGGCTTAATATGATTAAAGAGCACAATATGAGATCTTAGTTTGTACCAGAGGCTGTAGACTTCACCGCAGGTTTGACTCCCAGCCATGATCCTGTGCTGCGCGTCGTCTCCTGCGATCTCCCCGTCTCTCTGCAGCTGTCTTATAGTCCTGTAAAGTCACATTTAAAAAAAGCACAATATGAAAGACACGCTCTCTGTCCAACCATCCAACTTTATAACTTTTGCACGAGCTCTGAACTTTCCTTTTGTACTGTTTAATTTGAAATGAATTAAAAATATTTTACACCCATGCAGGCTTTGGGTTTCTCACTGAACTCTAAGATTATAAAAAATAAAAAGACACACCCTGTCCCCAAATTTTAGTCTTCAGACTGTAAAGTGACCCCTGATTTTTAAAAAGGTGTTATTTTTTTTAATTATCACTACCGTATTTTTTGCACTATAAGCGCACCGGATTATAAAGCGCATTAAGCCAAACAAAACAGTCCAATAAGTCAAACTTTATCTAACTCATTCAATAACTCCACGAGGCTACGGTAGCTGCAGTGCTCCGACAAGCCAAAAGGGTTTTAAGTGCACCTTATAGTGTGAAAAATACGGTATTATTATTTTTATTATTATTGTATTTAAAAATTAAAAGTATGCAGAGATTTTGACTGCAAACTTGACTTAACTTCGAAAATAAAGACTAAATATTGCTTTTGACAGGATGCCATATGAGATTACTGTGTAAAAAGCGCCCTCTACTGTGTAAAAATGTTGTAGCTCATAGATACCACAATTGATGTATAAAACAAATTTAAAATGACCTTTTTTGGTCTGAACACTATTCTAAAAAAACTTATGACGGACTAAATTCACTTAACCTTCACAGACTCCATGAATTGATGCCCATCTCCTCAATATTTGGTCACATGATCAATTTCTTTTATCATTTTCAAGCAACAGTGGGTGGTTCAACTCACCCTTTGGCTCAACTTACCCCACCCTCCCCTATCATTAGAAATTACCTCTCATGGAAAGAAATCTCTCCTTGTAATTGCTGTCCAGGTGCGCTCCTACACCTTCACACGTGGTTGTTGAGGGTCTACTCAAATCAAATAAAGCGCGTGGCTCGTCTCCCGCCCCCAGGCTGCCGCGATTCGCTGCAGCCGTGCATTACAGGTGCGTAATGATTGGCTGTGGGCTCTAAAGTGGATGACATCAGCGCTAGCTGCTCGATGATTGGTTGCAGTGAGGATGCAACGCTGGAGAGTGGCATACTGCAGTGGCCTGTGATGTCCACGTGATGTCACTCTAAATCCAATAATGGACGCACCACCCCTAGACTAGACTGTTCCCGATTAAACGCATGTATTTAAAATAGCCTTTTTTTATGTATTAAAATGAAAATGAACAAAACTTGGGGATGATGTGCAGCCACTGAAAGGTTGAAATCCTGATGCAGAGATCAATGTGACCATATTAGGCCTGTAGACATAGTAACATGGACAAATAGGCTGCAGGCTGTGAGGCTATCATATGAGGCTATCATATAAAATGCATAATAGGCAACTTCTATTGAAGTAAATCTGTGCCATCTGATTTTGAATTTGAATTTCTAAAGTTGATTTTTTTTCATCAAAATCAGACTTTGAATTGCAAAAGCATCAGATTTCAAGCATGTATTTTTATTTCTGACATTTATTTTTTTCACAGTGATGAAATAGATTCAGTGTAAAAAAATTGTCTCTCAAAATATTAATTTAGTAAAAATTTGAAGTTCAAAGTCTGATTTTGATGCAAAAAAAAATTCAGCTTTTGAAATTCAAATTGAAAATCAGATGGCACAGATTCACTTCCATATACTGCTTTCCCAGCTCTGTTAAAAAGTGAATACTACTGACATGGTAGAAATAAAATTTGCAAAAACAACCGAATTTCAAGCACATTTCTTTTCTTTTTTTTTTTTTTTGGCATTTGTTTTTTCACAATGATGAAATAAATTAAGAGCAAAAAAATTATTAAAATAATTTATATCATTAATAACATCCAAATATTAATAAAGCAAAAATTCAACATAAAAAAACTGTAAAAAAAAAAAATTCAACAAAAATTCCAGTGTCAAAAAATTCACTGTAAAAGAAACTGACTTAACATCTGGGTAACCAGGGAGAAGCAATCAATTCCTGGCTCAGGAATTGATTGCTTCTCCCTGGTTACCAGGATGTTGAGTTTTTCTCTTTTACACTGAATTTTTTTACAGTAAATTTTTCTTCATGTTGAATTTTTTTTATACACACATTTTGTTTTCAAAGTTAAATTTTTGCTAACTAATATTTTGAGAGACTGTTTTTCCCCACTGAATTAATTTCATCATTGTGAAAAAAATTAATGACAGAAATAAAAATATGTGCTTGAAATTCGATGGTTTTGAAATTCAAAGTCTTATTTTAATACAAAAAAAATTCAGCTTTAGAAATTCAAATTGAAAATCAGATGGCACAGATTTACTTCCATGTACTGCTTTCCCAGCTCTGTTAAAAGTGAATACTACTACTGACATGGTAGTAAAAAAAATTTCAAACGTACTATTTAATAAAAGATAACATATTTAATTATCATCATTGACGTCTGAAGGACTTCGAAATGAGTTCTTGCTCTGTCTGCCACTCCAAAACTGAGATTACCTCTTGGACCCATGCCCAGGTTTGTATTCATTAACTTTGCTTTCTGGTTTTTACTGTCGCCCTGCCTTGCACTCACGCGCCCCTTCTTCTTCTTCTTCTTCTTCTTCTAGTTTAACGGCAGTTGGCACTCTTGTGTACGGTGCATTACCGCCCTCTTCTGGCAATTCTTATGCAAAACCCCTGTGCACCACCCTTTCCCATCTCATTCACTCACACTTTCATACTCCTACTGACTAAATCCTATCAATCAACCCCGTCACCCTTAAAAACTCGACTAACACTCTCACATGTGCCCTGTCCCCCATCTGTAATACTCCCTTTAGTGTAAGGTCCTGCATACCCAATTCCCTCAACTTACTTCTCATCTCTCCCCTTTCCATCTCATATCTCCTACAACCCATTAGTACATGCTCCACTGACTCCTCCACCTGACATCCCTCACATAACCCAGTCTGGTGTTTCCCTATCATTTTCAGTGTTTTGTTTAATGCGCAATGACCCAACCTCAACCTTATCAATGCTGACCCTTCCTTTCTCTGTCCACTACCCAACCTCCTAACTTTAACACTTTCTTGAATCTTATAAAGATGCCTTCCTCTCTTCTCACCCTCCCATTTCTTCTGCCACATTTGAATAAGCTTTTCCCATATCATACTCTTAACTTCCGCTTTACTTAACCTAACATTCAGCTCCACTGATTCCTTCCCTAACGCCTCCTTAGCCATCACGTCTGCCTTCTCATTTCCTTCCACCCCTATATGTGCTGGAACCCATAAAAAACTGATCTGACCCCCCTGCTGTACTATTCTTGTTACTGACTGTAATATTTCATATAATAAACCCTGACGGCTGCTTGAATGGAACTCACGCGCCCCAAACACCTGAGCAGGTAATGTGCTCTAACTAGCGCGGTCACATTCCTTCCTGGTCGTGAAACCGGTCGTATCAAGTTGTTTGTTTTCTTGTAAATCATTGGAGTGCGTCGGTTTGCTGTCCCTGTGCTGCCTCAGTGGACAACTTTTTCACTTCCTCTTGAGGTGTAATCTGTAATGTTTGCGTGTTTGGCCCACTTCGGTGTAAAGTCCCGGGCTTCTGGCAGGTACACTGACGAGGAGGTGGTGACAGACGGGGGCAACAAAACCGACAGGCCGGCGGAGGAGCAGTCGCTGTCAGGGCAGGATATGTTGGTGTTCCTGGATAAAATATGACCCTTTCTGAAAGAGATGTGGATTGTGGTGCTTTTTCTCAACTTGGGGGCTTTGTGCAGTATAGGTAAGTGTTGAAACAGTTTAACTTGACTTTTGGTCATTTTTTTTTACAGGTGTTCCTTAGAAGAATCATGTGCCTCTGTGGTCAAATTAAAGCTATAATTGGCGAGTTTGAATACAGTGTAGCCACGCCATTGTTAATAGGCCTAGTGACATGTTGTTTAGGTTCTCTGAGTTATTGGCTGGTTTGGATATCACTCTAAAGCAATATCTTCTCTGTGAAAACCACAGACCACTGTTTGTCCATTGGGTTTAATTAGATAGTTTTTTTTTTTTTGACAGGGACAGAACATCAAGCATTGTTGTATCTAATTAAAGAGTAACCGATGCTGTGTATGCAGGACTTCTAGCCGTGGCCAATTTGCAGTCCTCGTCCCTGGTTAGACAGCAGGAAATACAGCACATGATACATAAACCACTAAATATAACTAACATTATAGCAGGTGCAGACAGGCAATGATATGTTTGCATAAAAACAACAAGAAAGCAGACAAAACGAGCAGTTTCTTCTATGCAAAAAAATCTCGACTTACATACACACGCACGTAGATTCACGTATACATACCACAATATACATATATGTAGGTTGGTGTTCACAGATTTGCCTTTGTTTCAGCCATAGTTTTGTTTGATATTGAAGGCTTTGGGGTTTTTATTCCTACTGGTAATTTATTCCAGATCTGTGGACCTTTGACTGAACTGGCCAAAAGTTGTCCTGCGCTCCACTGACTGCTCCTCTCGTAGAAACTCCTTTATATGAGTATTTCTGGGGCAAAGCCATTTACACACTTAAAAACCAGTTCAAGAAATGAGAGATTTGTGAAACTTTCGAAGCTCAACAAGTTGTACTTGTGTAAAACTATGCAGTGGTGTCATTTTATTGGCTTTTGAGTGAGTGTTTTTAAGATTTGTTTGTATAATGACAGCATAGGCTTCATTACAAACTGTGTGGCTTGGTCCTAGACAGTTAGGCAATAGGAGAAGTGAGAGAGAATCATGGAGTGCATGTAAAATTGGGCAGCAGTTCAGATGAGTTTTGATGGTTTTGTATACTTTTTTGATATGTCCTTCAAATTTTAGCGGGAAATCAAAGATGACACCTAGATATTTAAACTCATTTACTTTCTGTATTTGTTTTTTTTTGTTTTTGCCTGATGGAAAAACACAAGGAAACAGTATTTTCACAATTTAAGGTTAAGAAGTTGCTTTTTAGTCACTGTGAACCCCCTGCCAATCACCTACTTAAAGACAATTGGCAGTTTAAATCACTGTGCCATAATCTGCCTCATCACGCAAGTTGCGCTGAAACTATTATGCAAATCGTTTTTACACAGAAATAATTCATGGTGTCATCTTAACCCTTGCAGCTGTTAATCATTGCATGAGAGCCTGACGCAGTGATAAAAAAGTTCATTTATTCAGAAGTAAATCCCAAGTGTCAACATGTCCTTATGCTGCCGTCACACTAATGTGTCTTTGATTAACTTTCCTCTGCACATGGATTGTCCATGTTTAATAAAAATAGGTCACTGCCCTGCTATTTGGGCGGGTATCAATTCGCAGCCTGGAATTAATTATGTGTTGAGCTCTACTTTGAGTTCAGGCTCATTGTTAAAAGAAACCTCTGAACCTGAATCTCAGGATCGCACTAGTTCTCCTCAATGATTTAATGCTGGGCTTTGAATTTCTATTTTTAAATGATATATAGAGAGAGTTTAAATATTTAGTTCAGTTGTACAATAAGGGTTATGTGTTGTGGTGTTAAACAAGCTGCCAATTTTGCACACTCACAACTTTGACTGTTCTTCACATGAATTTCCATTTAAGAGGGTTACCCTGGGATCTTTGGGTTGGACTTCCAGTGCAAAACATCATTGACTGAATACTCGCTGCTTTCAAAAGACCCTTTCATAACCTGTTTGGCCTAATCTTTAAGGCTCATCCCTCCTTTGTGGTGGTAAAAATGAGCTGGAGGAACTTTTTAATCAACATTTTAACTCCTTAAAAAGCAGCTCCTTGGACAAAAACTTAAGGGTACTTTTTGTGGAAGCTAAGATAATTCATGGTAGTAGCAAAATACCTTTGTCCAGTGATAAATAAAGAGGAAGTTAAAGTGGACCCAACCACCCTGCATGATAGGATCACATTTTCTTCATTGTATGATGAGAAACATGATTGCAATTTAGATATCGGTAATCTTTCTCAAACTTTTTTCTCCCTTTTCTCCTCAGTCTCCTCCTCTCCTCCCAGCCCCACTGAAGTCAGTTTCTCCTCTATCAATCTGAGGAATTTGCTGCAGTGGTCTCCAGGAAAAGGCACTCCTAATGACACACACTACAGCGTGCAGTATGCCATGTCAGTGAAGTTTTTTTTTTCATATTTAAAAATGTAAAATAAAGTGATCGTCTCCAGGTTTGGACAAAGCAGTGGCATTTCTACGTCACTCTCTTTACAAACATCACTCAGTCAAAGGTGTTGGACAGTTTTCAGGAACTCTCACAGGAATTATAAACAAAGAGAAGTAGAGAGAGGAGACGGGTACAGAAACAAAAGAAAAATGTAACTAGATCTAACAAACAGCCTCTGTAAGATTAAGTTTCAAGCTCAGGGGGATGGAAAGCTGAGTGGAACATTTACAGCACACTCACTTCTCTCTTTCTGCTTGTTTTTTCAGCTATGGAGACAGTGTCAACGGCAGCAAAGGGAAACGGGTGAATTGGAGGTCGGTGCAACACTGTACAGAAGTGGTGCGCTGCTGGTGTGACCTGAGCAGTGAGACATGGGATCTGGAGCAGGGGTACCACGCCAGGGTTCGAGCTAGGAGCGGGAGAGCATTCTCCAAATGGGCTTTGACAAGGAGGAGGTTTGACCCGAAGTCAGACAGTAAGCTTGAGTAATACTCTTCCTGGAAAAGTGACACACAAGAAGAGGCCGGAATAAGAGAGTTCAGATGTCTCAACTTTGAATTATTTAAAATATTCACCAGCTCCACCTTAATTATGACTTTTTATTAACACCAAATCTGCTTATCAACTCAAAATATATCAAATCACCAATGCTAATCTTTAAAAAATCATTTTTTTATAGCTGTATTTGGCCCTCCATCGGTTACAGTGGATATAGAGGACAACAATGCCATCATCACCATAAAGGGACCAATGAGGTATCAGCCCGGCAACCAAACCCCAGCAGTTCCCATGGCAACACTATATGACCAGATGACTTACAACATCTCTGTTCACAACGTCCGTAGAGGCCTGATGGTGGGTGGAACTGAATAAATCTCGAAGAAAGGTTGTCAAATCAAGAACACCTTAAAGTTTTTCCACAGAGGTGACTAATGTGTGTTTGTGTTTGTGTGTAGAGTCATTTCCCAGTTGTCTTCAATCGGTACAAATATCGCCTGATGAAGTACGATACAGAGTACTGCTTCTCTGCCAGGGCCAGGTTTCTCTCCATGCCTGTGCAGTGCCTGTCCTCCGAATGGCACTGCATAACTACGCCTCCAGGTACAGCTGCACCGAGAGTGCTCTGAATACTTCTTCCCCGTTTGACAGGTAGCAAGGAATGTAATCAAACTTGTCACACAGGTGAAGGCTGGTTCAATGTGAGATGTCTATTATGTTTGTTTAAGGGTGTATTTCTTATTGAACGCAACAGATTCTGGTCTTACTTCAGAGCATGTTTATACGTACCATTTAGATTCATGCATGTTTAGATACATCTGTGTAATGCTGATTCTGTCTCTGTCTAGATCCTTGGATTGCTCAGCTGCAGTGGGTGTTCGTGGGCATCATTGTTCCATCTGCATGCATATGTATCTTAGTCGTGATCTGCTACGTTCTCTATCAGTACCTGACTGGGAAAGGACAGAAGAGCCCATACACACTGGTAATCCAAACACACATGCATGAAAAACTATAAATAACAGTTTAAAGGTCCAGTAAGGAGTTTTTCATTTCTTATAAAACAAATTAAGACTTATACTGATGCTTTTTTAAAGCAAACTAGACCAACAGTATAATAATGGAGAAATTCTGTGATGTAATTTTTGATGCTACAACAGCTGTCATAGGGTTAAACAAGACCAACCTGCTGAAGAAACAGCCTAATGGGTGGTGTCCATAGCAGTTTCATATCCACTGAGTAATTAATCTGGCTGTTAAAGGAAGCAAGATGAAATACTTTGCAGAAAACATTACTCACACATGTACAGAATAAGTGGAGCAAATAGTTGCGGTGCTACTTTGACCACAAGGTGCGCCAAATTTGACACAAACTGATAGTTGCTCACAGGAGCTTTGAGCACTTAAAAGGGATATTCCGGTGTAAAATTAATTTAGGTTCAAACGCACCGTAACACCGAGTTAGACACCCCCTCAAGAGATGAATGTTGCCGACCGCTTGCTTCTCTAGTTAAACCAGCTTCAGTTATGACTGCAGGATAGCAATACACAGTGGTCTGAGGAGTCATAAACAGACCTCAACAAAACCGCCACTCTATAGACATAAATAATGCTCAAAACAGCACCTAACTTTATCAACAGTACATATAAGGTCCTAGCCACAGCACTAGCCACCAAACATCTTTTTAACTTTTCCTAATTTCTTCAGCAAAGAGACTAAACACAACTCATCCGCTCTCTTCATGGAAATGCAATCAGACTGAGACACTAAGGCAGAAGAACTACCATGTCAGCTGTGCAAAATGATTAAGATGGTGATTATTACTTCAAGGAAATGATCATAAATGTTCTTCCTTGAGCTGTGTCACCCCGCAGCAGTCTATAATGGACTGGCCTGAGGTCTCCCTACAAACAAGCGGCTGCTGGAAGAGAGTGGATGAGTTGTGTCAAGTCTCTTTGCTGAAGAAATGAGGAAAAGTTAAAGAGATTTTTGGTGGCTAGTGCTGTGGCTAGGACCTTATATTTACTGTTGATGAAGTTAGATGCTGTTCTGAGCATTATTTGTAGCTATAGAGTGACGTTTTGGTTGAGGTTTGTGCTGGCTCCTTAAACTGCTGTGCATTGCTATCGTGCGGTCGTTACTAAAGTTGGTATAACTAGAGAAGCAAGCGGTCAGCAAAATTAATCTCTCGAGGGGGTGTCTAATCCTGTGTTATGGTGTGTTTGACCCTAAATTAACTTTACGCCAGAATATCCCTTTAAAATGGCTGAATACAAGAAACAATATAGAGGAATAAACGTTTTTGGTTGTGATACCTTATTATTGGCTGAATTCTATGGTGTAAGTGGTCTGTGTTGAAAGAACAATGTCAGTTATGTTATGTTTACATCAAAAATGCTTTTCTTTAAAACTCCAGAATCCACCATCCTTTCATTCACCTCCTCTGACGTTTCCCCCGGAGACTCCAAAAATCCTCCAGATCCAAATGGGGTGGCCATTAGACCAAGACATTATAGAATCTGTTCGTGCATTCCCCTGGAATAAAGAGCAACCCACCACAGTTCCCCCGCCTACATACACGGCTCAAAGGTCTGAACCATCCCATGAGCCTGCAGGACCCTGCAATGATCCATCTGTGGACTATGGGTTTGTTTGCCAAGCAGGCGAAGAAGGAGAGACAAGACATCGTGGAGGAGAAGAAGGAAACAATGAGAGCGATTCGTCCCAGGAATGGAGAGTTGAAGGTGATCACTTTACTGAGGCTTATGCTCCTCAGACGAAGTCCTGTCATTCACAGAGGCTGATCATCACCTCCTCAGAAGCACCGATGCCGAAGCACAGAAAGGAGCACTCACTCTTGTAAGTGCACATGCATTTTTACAAGCAAATTCAGTTGTACCACACCAGAGTCAGAGGTCAGGTTTGTTCATAGATAGAGCTCCACAAACCTTCAATATGCCTTTAAATGTTGAATCAACAACAGAAGAAGAAATGTCTGAGGAGATGGTTGGCAGGAGTGAGAGAGCCCCCCTCCTTTCTGGTTATGCCTGTCAGAACGCTGTAACAGTACCTACCTCCCAATCTTACCGATCAAATTACCTACCTGATGACTATGGTGTTCTGATTCAAGCTGAGGCACAAGATGCAGAAAAGGAGGAGGAGGAAGAGGGGTCTATTCGAATCAACTGGGACCCCAAGACCAGAAAACTAATTCTGCCAGAATTAGGGATGGAGTTCAACAAAGAGAGTGATGTGGTGCAGGGAGAGAAAGAAAGGAAGAGCCAAAGTAGAGCAGAAGAGGAAGATGTGATGCAGGGTGGGTTGAGGTTAGAAGCGGTGTTTGTCAGACAAGGATCTGAAGAAAAGGCAGAAGCTCTGAGGGAGAAGGAGAGAAGAGAGGAAACAGGGTGGGAGGCGGGTGATCCTTTGAGCAAATGGGATCTGATAATCCCTATGGATCAGTAGATGATATTCATCATTAACCATATGTTTACTCCATTCTTACACTTAACACTTTTTCTGCTACTTTAAAGGTCATTGAAGTATTTTATAAAAATCGGTTTAATAAGTATAATGCTATTTAATTCTAAAAGAGCACTTAGTAGTATGGTTTCACTCATGTGAATATTAAAGGCTCATTTATCTGTTTAGTCACATAAATCAATGTGAAATCATGCAAAGCAATTTAACTGTGATCATATCAAAGGGAAGTTATCTTTTTTCCAACACAACTCAAAGAAATATATGTCATGGTAATCCTTTGAGTCTGCTTTATCAGCGTTTAAGACCAACCTTTGAGTTTGTCTTAGTTTTGCTATCTCTTTTGATTATGTGACCACAGTTAAGGGCAGTATTTGTTTTGGGCTGAAGGAGAGGGGTAACCATATCGATAGCAATCTACTATCTCAGAATATACAACAGAAGTGAAGGATGTTTCAAACTTGTGTGTCTTTGTAGTTAATGTATAATGAAGGTGAGCTACAGTGTAAAGATTCTGTTTGTGGTGAAGCTGCCACACCTCAGGTTTATGTCTTTGTTGAGGAGCCACTATGTTCAGAGGCCTATGATGACGTTTATAAAAATGCCTTGAAAATTCACATGAAATTCACAGTTCATTTTTTCACTAGTCCCTTTGTACCACTGGTTTTACCACACTGTACGTATCATGTCTCATTATGTATAATGATACTTGTCTTACTTTATTGTTGTTCCTCTTTTTGATCCTGTTGCTTGTTTTGTTCTCTTTGTTGCTCTGCCCTCAATAAGTCATAACCTCTGAAACTGCTACATGAAGGATCTAGATTATGATGATGACGATAATGATGCTTTTTTTTATTTGCACACTTACTGGAAATCTGCTGTAATCTGCGGCACTTTAGGAATTTTACGACATTTAATTAATGTCAGTTTAGTTCTTGTCAAAGTTCAATGCCGTGCATGGAGTTGCATTCATTTTATAAAAAGGTGTTAATCTGGGAAATCCATCAGTGATATTTTTGTATGTTGCAAAACAGTTTATTGTATATTCAAATGAATAATAATAAAGCAAACATGCTGACTTTAATCTTGTGTAGTTTTCCATACTGTTTACAATCTTCTTTTTACAGTATCCTCCTGACTACCAAGAAAAAAATATTGTTTAATCACATTTTTTTAAATGCCCCAATCTTTGTAAGGTACCAAGAATACTAAAATATTATTATTATTATTTTATTTTATTTTATTTATTTATTTTTTTTTGGGGGGGGGATAATAAGAAATCATGTATCCAATCATGTGTTGTTTTGCTTTGTTGTGCCTATTTGATTTGATACTTGAAGTATCACTATCCATTTCCAAGTGCAAGAGGTCATCCTCGGTCAACCATATCCATATTTTTTGTAGAATCGCCGAATAATCGATATTACATTTGATTTTGTAAAACAATAGTCGAATAAGACTTAAAATATATTGAAGCGTAGGCCAACCGTTAGATGGCGCACTGTTGTTTAACGTCTGATCCTCTCTCGCTCTCCTCATCCATCATGGCGTCGTCCTTCCCGGCTTCAGTCCCAGCATCACTGGGCGGGACCACGGTGGGTAGTAGCCAGCCTTTGGGCACTTCCGCCGGACTCGGGTTTCCTTCGACTCGGCATTTAAATCGAGCTGCTGGAGATCAGCTGCTGCTACATTCAGCGCTGTGCTGTGGCAGAAAATAACCCTTAGTGTTAGCTCAACGGGCTGCTTGTTATTTTTGACACGAAGACGGCAGATAGAAGTGCTGGTCCGGGTGCAGGTCTGCGGTGTTTGGAGGGCAGAGGAGCGGGAGCGGTTTAGACAATAACGCGGTTGCTCTCTGACAGCAACTCGGTGCATCATATTTGGGATTCCTCTGCGAGCTTTCGGACGAAACTGAATAGCGGTAACAGGATTTTTGGGCATGAGCAGCATGATATAGGGGTTTAAAGCAGCGTGTGTTCGCAGAAATAGACAAAAACAGACTCATTTAATGAGCGTTTTTGTGGCCCAGGAGCTCAAGTGGCCTGGAGTTAACGGGACTTATGGACTCGGTGTTCAGAGTTCTCCGGAAGGGTCAGGTTTAAAATCTGTTCAAAATACATAGATATTTAAAGATTTGCCTCAAAGGATAGTCCTTGCAAGAAACAGCATCAATTTTGGGGTCAGGCCAAAGCTTAATACCATCAATAACAACAGTCACCACCCTTTCAGTGAAACAGGACGAACTGGTCACCCACACAAGTCATTTCATCCTCATTTTTATTTTTCAATGTGACTTAAAATCTTAGATTTTCATAGTATTTTTTCAAAAGAGGTCTCATAGAGATATTTTCAAGCAATTTCAACCCTGAGGAGACAACAGTTTCCTTTTAAGTTTTATAGTTGGACTTTTTTTGATTTGTCTGGATTTTTTCTCAGACTTTTTTATTCGTCACATGTGAGGAAGCATCAAAGTTTTCAATCCCTCACAAAACAAACAAAAACATCTTTTATCAGTTACACTTAGTGGGTATTACTACTCCGAAACACCAAGCACCCAGTGACAATGTTCAGCTGGCTTGGAACCGACGACAGGAGGAAGAAGGAGCCAGAAGTCTTTCAGACCGTCAGCGATGGACTGAAGAAGCTGTACAAAACCAAACTCCTTCCTCTGGAGGAGAGCTACAAGTTTCATGAGTTTCACTCTCCGGCTTTGGAAGATGCAGACTTTGACAACAAGCCCATGGTCCTCCTGGTGGGACAGTACTCTACCGGCAAGACCAGCTTCATACGGTGAGACACAGAAGCACACACATGCACAGACAGCCGTTCTTTAAACATGTTTATTACAAATTTCATGTAGAAAAGTTAGATCTCACAAACACATGAGGCAGAAGCCACCAGATAGATAGGATGGGAGAGGCTGACACACCCAAACTGACTTTATTGTCTCTGTTAAACAAGTAAGTCATGAAGCATACACAATCGTCTTGAAAAACAAAATTAAAAACACATGAATATTTTAAAAAAGGACAGCAAAACATGCCAACACTAAACACAAGTAATCTAACGGTTTGGAGCCACACCTATGCCGGCTTTATTGAATCCATAAAAAAGTTTATGTGACAGCAAACATAACACACACACACATATGAAAACTTCGTACAACTCTGCTTGGCACTAAAGGGTTTCTTTTATGAAGTGTGTCTGTGCATCCATGTGTGTGGGTTTAAAGAATTAAAGCGACACATGTACTTATTTCACATCAGGGTGTGTTCTTGGGATGTACTTCATAAAACTCCCTCTGTTTTTAATCTGTTAAAGATCCCAATAAACTCTATGAAAGTAACGAAATGTGTGATTTAAAGGAAGGATGAAGCAAAAATCAGCGTTTGCCTGCTTTATAATCTCTGGCATATTCCAGATTTGCTAAATAGGAGTCAATCCAGATCTTACTTTTTTGTTAAAGGTGCAAAATTCAACCCTAATGCTGCAAAAATAGAGAGCTCTCATTTAAATTTGATAACTAATCTATTCTTATAACCATCTAGCTTAAAAGTAAAGTTGAGTGAGAGCTCATGTCCTTAAATATCTCTGCTTTTGGCGTCTGTGTGTATGTGTGACAGCAGGACATATTAACAGCTGAGTGTTGGGCCTCTTTTGAAGGCTTCCACTAACATCTTCCCCCTCTCACAAACACCCACACACACACACGAACACACATGCACACTCGCTTAGAGTAATTAGTGAAGCAAGGCTTTCAAAGCCTGCGAGAGGATGCTGTTAGTGGCTTCCTGCTGGAAGACAGACGAGCTCCCTCTTCTTCTCCCTCTGGGTTTTATTCTCACTGATCCACTGTCTTTCTCTTCATTTTTTCTAATATTACTGTTTCTCTAATGACAACACCCACCAGTCAGCAGCCTGACCTCGCACCACCGACACTCTAGCAGTGAGATGCAGAATGTACAAACTGCTGAGTAACCCACTGTCGGGGCTGCTGCGCTCACAGCATCTCTTTTGAATGAGGAAGTGAGGCGGTGTTTGCAGCGATACAACCACGGTTCTTATCTTATCATTTTACATCTGATGTGAAAACTTGAAATATATGATCTGTATGTGTGTGTGTGTGCGCGAGTTAGAGACAGAGTGTATTCTGAGTCTCTCTTCTCAGGCAGTCAGTTAGAGGTCAGTTATCTGAAGCTGTCTTCATTTCAGGGCAAAAATTGATCGATTTTCCACTTTTGTTCCACTTCTGAGTCTTGAAATGAGCAAATCATCACCCGGCTGAAGGTTGTCCTTAAATTCACCGGACTGTTGGAGATGTAATGTTCTGGCTCATAGCCTTTAATGCACTTGGGTCAGGAATCAGCAGAATGGTGCCATATAATCCTGATAGCTTGTGACTAAATATGACGAGGGGCCTTAAATATTATGCAGTTTGCTGTGAACTCAGATAGAAATATTGTTGTTTATTACCAGGGATGTCCTGATATGATATTAATAACAGATATAGGTCTGATATCAGCTAAAAAATGAATATCGGATTATATCGACCTCTAAAATCTTCGACATCAGCACTCCAATACAAGTAATCCTATCATGTAGAGTCCATGTTATCACAACAACAGTGTGTACTAAGGTACTAACAAAATAGCAGGGAGTAGGAGTGATGTCGGCCATGTGGCAGTATTTTTTGTTTAAGTCTGTAAAAGACATTGAAGATGAGTGCAAAACTTGTCATGCGGAAGTCTGTGCTAATATCAGATCAATATTGGTATCAGCAAATACTGCAGGCTACAATCTCGGTATTGTATCGGAAGTAAAAAAGTTGTATCAGGACACCCCTGTTTATTACCTTTTTGTAATAGAAAGCTATGTCCAAGGGGAATTCTCTGCTAACAGATAGAGAACTTGTGTTTCAGTCAACAACGTCCGACTCAACTGAATTCAAAAGTGTGTAATCTTAATGGTGTGTACAAAATAAGAGTCACTTTGCCTCTTTAGCAACCGGACTTACAAGTATTCAGGATATTATTGGCATAATAATGGTATTGGGAGATACCTAAATATCTACCAGTATAAGTAAGATGGCACTTCTGCACACAATGAGCTTTTAAAAGAAACAGACAGCAGATACATTATTTAATATCTACGTTTAGAAACAGTCCAGTGTTTATACATCTATTAGAAAGAAGTTTTAAATCTCAAACCCACAAGAGTGTTTCAACTAGGGTTGCACCGATCCGATATTTGGATCAGATATCGGCTCCGATATTGACAAATTAACTGGATCGGATATCTGATGAATGACACCGATCAAGCGTTCTGATCTAGTCTTTTTTTTTTCTTTTAACTAATACCATACACGGCAACACAGCGGTTCTGTTCGCTCTATATTCTATGTCTGTCTATCCTTTTGCACTATGTTAATTTGTTACCCTTTGTTTTAACAAGGCTAATGTCAAGCCTGATGCCTTCACTCACAGGGCATGATATACAGTTCATTCATTCAACAGTAGTATTGGATCGGTATCGGATATCAACCGATACGCTCATCTCAGGTATTGATATCGGACTGGATGGAAAAAAATGTGTCGGTGCATCTCTAGTTTCAACACAGCTTATATCACAATCAACATTTTCCAACTCACTTAATGCAAATACCTGAACATAAATCAATACACAGCCCCTTCAGGAACTTGGGTACTTAAAGGTAAAATGCTCTGAAAGAACCTAGCAGGTATGTCACTGTTATATTTTTAATAAAACATCAAGACATGGTTCCTGCTGAAATTCCCACTTCAATATATCTCAAAGTCCCCTGCCGCTGATGTTTATGATATTAAACATATACTCTTCTACTGTTGCATAACCTCCCCACAGACCTCCACACACTGACAGACAGACAGTACACAGACACGTGTGCAGAGAGACAGCTCTGCCAGGCACTGTTGGCTCCCCCCGACAAGGTGTGTGTGTGTGAGTGTGAGTGCACCATCCTCACATCTGGTAGCGGTTAAAATGTAAACACACCCCACCGTCTCATAGCAGAGATTTATGGCTTCTTAAGTTGGAAGTGTTTTACCTAAATCTCTTTTTGTCAGGGCTGTGAAACTCTACAGAAACACACTTAATCTTCATTTGCACCGCTGATTTAACAGATAAGGATTTAACCTTCCTTACCTGAAGCGTATCCGCGCTTATAACTCAGCAGTAAGTGATGAGGTTGAAAGTGGGCATCGGTGTTTGAACACCATATCTATTTGCAGTGAAAGATATTAAACCATTTGACCTTCTGGGTCATCTTTCGGGGTCCCGTGTTTGGAAAATGCCAAGTCAAACCAAACATGAGTGTAGTGTTTGGGTGTCTGCCCCTTAACCTTGTTCACCTCAGTCAGCTGTTTTTCATCATTAGTGAACAAAACAAGAGTCTGACGTGCTCGTAAATTCGATCATCCCTCTTGTTTGCACCAGCAGGACTCCAACCATTTCTAATGCATCTACTTATTTGTCTCCTGAGTCTGGTTTTGAGTAGGAAAACTATACCAAGATCTTTACTGAATTCCCTGAAACCATTTGATTCTTCAGATACTGGATTCAAGAAAGTACTAAAGACACATTATGATACTGGTGCTTGTTTAAGGTCAGTGTCCTCCTCATGGACCACTGTTGTAGGTCCAAAATCTACATCTGTGTCCGTCGTTGACCCCAAGAAGCATTGATTCAGTCTCTTTAATAATTAGAAGTGTCTGTTTTATCAAGTTACCTCAGATCAGTTCTTAAACATGACAAATGTTGTACCACAGTACCACAATACCTCTCCTTTCGGACAGATCTTTGATCATTTTGCTCCACCTTTGGCAAATTGCCTCCTCCTTTATCTCAATAAACCTCAAAATCTTCATCCAGAAAAATTAAATCAAACCTTATGCTGCTGAGTTTGGAGCATTGGCTCTTATTGTGCTGATTACGTGCTGTATTTCCCTCCACGTTGTTCCAGCAGCTTCTAATTCAAGGCAGACCTGTTTTTTTTGTTTCTTTGTTGTTGGTATCTGAACTGCTTCTCACCATTTAGAGTCATTTCCTTTGCAGCGTTGTTGATTGAAAAGTCCCTCTGCAGGAGCTTTTTAATCTATCAGGTGACTTTCAGGACTCCATCAACTCTAAGGAGACTAAAATAAAGTCTTTTCTTTGTTGTGGAAAATATGGAGAGCACACATGTAAAAGCCAATCTCCTTCATAGTCATTATCTGTTTTAATGTCACCTCATGTAATAGCTACCAGGGGTGTCCCGATACAATATTGATATCGGGTATCAGTAGGGCTGGGCGATAAAACAATACCGATATGTATCTAAAATTAATTTCCCTTAATATCAAGTTAAAACATGGTCAATATCCTTTTGAATAGTCTGCATTCTGCCATGTTTTAGCAGACTGTACGAATAGCCAATGAAAAGGGGAGTTGCTCCGGGTCCACTTCGTGCTGAACTAATCATGTGCTGAATTAGAACCAAGTAGCAAACAACTGCGAAGAAGCAAGCTGCAGCTACACGCAACCACAGCACAGCACTGTCAGTAAGAAAAAAAGAAAATGAGTGCTATCAAGTAGAGTAATGTGCTCTGCAAATTATGTCGAATACATGTTCTCGCAAAGTCGGGAAATACCTCAAATCTTTTTCATCACCTGAAGCAGTGCACACGGCAGAGCACATGCATCAATATCGGTATCATATCGGAGGTTGAAAAGTTGTATCGGTACACCCCTAGTAGCTGCACAATGTCCTCTTTCAAGTTGTTGGTTATCTCGGGTAGCATCTCCTCATCTCCTCGGTTGTTTGACTCAATGCCATGTCACACCATCTCCCCTACAGCTACCTGTTGGAGCAGGATTTTCCTGGAATGCGGATCGGCCCTGAACCCACCACGGATTCCTTCATCGCAGTGATGCACGGCGACACTGAAGGTGTCATCCCTGGCAACGCTTTGGTGGTGGACCCCAAGAAGCCCTTCAGGAAGCTGAACGCATTTGGGAACGCATTCCTTAACAGGTACACACACAAACACACAAACACATACAAACACAGTAGATGAAATGCAGCGATGGCAGATGTTGGGTATCTTCTGAGGGTGTGTACGTGCTGAAAATACAAAGCGATGTCAGTGGTTAAGTGCTCGAACACAGAAGGGAAACTCTGAGGAAGAGCGTGGAGAAGAAAGAGGGAGTGAGAGTACTAGTGAGAATCCACACCAGAGCTCTACATTCCTAGATGATTGAATTTCCCTCTGCTCACTGGTCAGGCTTTTCTCTTTTAATGGCTGTTTGTGAGAGAGAGAGGAAGACAGGAAGAAGGAGAGAGAGAGCGAGAGAGAGACGAGCAGTGATCTCTGCAGAGTCATCCTTCAGGAAAGAGAAAGACTGACCCAAAGAGTCTGCACTCTTGCTGCGGTGTCCTCACTGTGAGGGCCTAGCACTGCTAAAAGGAGACAGAGGAGACACTGACTGTGTCCTGGGGGTTCACAGTGAGGACGACCCAAACCTGTTGGTATTGATACAGCTGCAGACAGACAGACAGACAGAGAGAGAGAGAGAGAGACAGAGCAGCAGAGACAGAGAAGAGGAGCGAGGGAGGATGTTTGTTTTTAAAACAGTTTACACTTCTGTCAGCTTTCTTTTAACTCTCCTCTCTTCTCCTCATGTGTGTGTGTGTGTTTATGTGTGTGTGTTTATGTGTGTGTCTCCTTGACTCAGGTTTGTGTGTGCCCAGCTGCCTAACCCAGTGCTGGAGAGCATCAGTGTGATTGACACACCAGGAATCCTGTCTGGGGAGAAACAGAGAATCAGTCGAGGTAAGACACTCACACTTTTACCTCCCCTTGTTTGTGTGGACTAGTCCGTGTGTCTGTGTTTGTGCGTGTGTGTGTGTGTGCACGCACGTGTTTGTGTGTGTGAATGGAGTTTGCCAGTGTTCTTTCACTGGACTCATTCAGCTGCAGCCCCCTCATCCCGCTGAACTCCGAACAAGCATGTCAGCACTTCCTTTGGTTTCATCTGTGAGTGTGTGTGAGTGTGCGTGCGTGTGTGTGTGTTTATTTTAGCTCTTAGCTATCAGGAGGATTATGGCTCATTCATTTCAAAGAACAGGAAGCGGTAACAGAAAAGCTCTGAATGCGCTCTCTCATAAACACACACGCAGACACACACACACTCACACACACAGGGATGGTCACAGAGAATATTTTCACATAAGTTTCATTGATGATGTTAAAACAGAGTAAAAAATTAAATTAGCTAGTTTATGGAGGAAGTGTTTAAGGTCGAGGTCGAGTTTCACTTCTATTTGCTAACTTCTAAAAACACAGACTCGAGACTGTAGACTTAAGTTCTACTCAGCTGTCCGCTCCTTTTAAGATGCGGTCCCACCTCCCTTAGATTATGCTGCGTTCGAGTTACCTCGAAAGTCAGATGTCTGAGCTGGGAATGACGTCACACCCGAGTTACCAGCATTTCAGTTACCAAGTTGGAAAAAAGTCATCTTGTTTCCGCCTCCGATTTTGCTTTTTTCCGACTTGGTGACGGGTGACGTCACTCTTCCGAGGCAACTCGAACGCATGACACCAGCAAAAATGCCATTTTTCCAACTACTAATTACTTGCCATTCAGTACAACTTTATCTTTATTGGACAGCATTTCAGGCCTGTAATGATAATTATTGATGTATTGCTGTCATGTTTTTTCAACGGGATAGTAACTGGCAATCCTGGCGCCAACTAGTAATGGTAAGGATTAATAACCCTAAATGCCATTAGGGTTTTCACTATTTTGATCATGTCTTTATTTTGTGTCAGTTAGCAATTTTAAGCTGTGAGTAGCCATAGAAATGCACGTTTTTAAAGACATCTGTACTAGCTGTCCTCAGCACATCTAGTAAAAGTCACAATAAACACTGTTAGAATATGAACCTGTTTTGAGGTAAACATGTTATTTTTTGAGTGTCTGGGTTGGTAATAATAAGACATGTCAACCAATAAATTTCAAACCTCCCACTGAAAGGTGAAATAATCAAACTAGGATGGACATTCTTTGATAATTCTCATGAATCATTGTATTTAAAAGACTCAATATAACAGCAGAGAGATCCCAGTGTTGCTGTTGGACTGAACACGGTGATGAAAGAGTGAAGTTTAGAGGTGAAAGGCTCACAAGAATTTTCTCCCACCTTTTCTCACACTTTGATAAAGTGTCCGGTGAGGCTGGCATTCCCAAAGCTGCGTGCTGGCATCGCCATAGCAACCGCTTACAGTAACAAAAGAGCAGGAAGAATTAAAGGACACCTTTATTTATTCACTCCCTGTTTCCCTCCCTCCATCTCTGAATTCCTCCCTTGTTTCCTTCCCTATTTATCCAGCAGTTTGTTTTTGTTTGCTCTCCACTAAAACAGCCAGTCTGAAATGAAACAGGCACTTTTTAATGTTCTTATGCATGAATACCTTAAATATCTCCACTTTTAATTCAAATGTTAAGGTCTTTTCATGCTGACATCCTCTTTTTTTAGAGTTTGCTTCAAGCAGCTGTGTTCCTCCACAGCTCTTTTTCATAAACTCTCGCTTGTTGAGAGAATAAAATGGATAAACATACTTCTGGATTTCCAAAGGCAGCACATTGTGGTCGCCCGAGTTCAGCACATTACTTCATAGCAGGGTTGGGTCTTGATTTATCCTTGTCATGCAAACATAATTTCTGTAACTTTTTCAGTTTCAGAGGAAAAATACACAAGATAAATATTCTGCGAGCACAAACAGTGTTTTACATTTTGTTTACAGATGGAGGTAATTTGATTGTTACTGACTCCCATCAGCTCTGTTCCTCTTTCTGTTTGTTTAGTCAAAGTCTGTGAACATGTTGTCAAACCAAATAAGCAGCAGAGTGAGGTGTGACCCTGCTATTGTCTGCTGGATATAAAATACAGGCCAACATGAACCTCTACTGAGTCAGCACAGCTGTGTTGTCTCTAGAGAGAGAGAGAGAGAGAGTGTGCGTGTGTGTGTGTGTATGAGAGTGGTGGAGCTTTTGTTTGTATGTATTCACTGTTCGTCATCTGTTTTCATTAAACTCCATCAGTTTTTTGCATGTACACTTTGTGTTTTCATTTGTCGTCTTTTGTTCATTTCACTCAGTTTGCATTGTTTCACCTCTGTGTTTGTGTGTGTTCGTGTTTGTTTGTGGGGGCACATCCAGATGAGGAGTTGTCAGGCTATAGCTGCCTGCATAGATGTCCTTATGGAGGTATTGATTACGGAAAAAAACAACAACTGTAAATCAGCCAGCTGCAGAAAACCTGATTAAAGTGATACTTTGGAGAATTAATGGACTTTAACATGTTCTTCACTCGACTCCTGTCAGATGGTTTGGGGAAAAATATATGAATGTAAGCGAGAGAATTGAACGTTTTAGTCGAATTCATCACGTGAACACGGGACATATAGAGTCCCAGCCACTGCACTAGCCACCAAACATCTTTTTAACTTTGCCTAATTTCTTTAGTAAAGAGACTAAACACAACTCACCCACTCTCTTCCAGCAGCCGCTTGTTTGTAGCAGGACCTCGAGCCAGTCCATTGTTTATTACCGCTGTGTATTGCTATTGTGGGGTCATTACCAAAGTTGGTATAACTAGAGAAGCAAGTGGTCTGCAACATTAATCTCTCGAGGGGGTATCTAACCCGATGTTATGATGTGTTTGACCCTAAATTAATTTTACACCAGAATATCCCTTTAAGTTACACCCCTAAAGCCTGATATGGCCATAGAGACAGCTTGATCTCTGTTTACAGATTCGACATTAAAAACTGGAATCTGTCAGTGATGGTCTGGATAACAATCCATCCAAGAAAGAATTTCAACTTTAGGAGCAAGTTTGCTTTTTTCACAAAAGCCAATCAGTTTTTAGATTTTCTGACTTCCTTGAATGCACCTCATTAGATCGATATGACCTTCATTCACTGAAGGAGAAACTGTTTTGGCCAGATAACCACAAAAAGATCATTTCCTATTTCATGGTCAAAATCAGCCACAATGAAGTCCTGTATGACTTAGTTTTACCTGTTAAACTGAGACTCACCAGACTTGGATGAACAGATACTGTGTTTGTTTTACAGGCAACTTTAAGGGTCCAGTCTCAGGTTACTTACTCAATTGTAAACAGAGCACCACATGGAAAAGAAAGTCTTGTCTGAAAGTTGATAGCCGCTCCCCGCTGGCTCCACATGAGGGTTCAGGGTTACAGTGAAGCTCTCAGTCACATTTTTTCCCCAAACCAAGAGAAGAACAATCCACTTCAATTCACAATATCAAGGTATCTGTCTCTCTGCTTATAATCCACAACTATGCTTAAATCAGCAGTGTACCCTCAGGAAGAAACAGCTTCATTCATTAAATAATGTGTTTTACATACTTTGTGCTACAGCTGCTAAACTTTTGCTCACGTCCAAATAAGGACATGACGAATAATCAACTAATTAAACAACAAAAAAGGGCAAAATCATCGATCGTCTGTTGAGAGAAGCAGTAGTGTAGCTGCTGTAGCAAGAGCAGTATGTAAAAAGAGGTATATTTTTTAACACAGCTGAGCTCTTACAGTGAGGTCTGTGAATAAGGACAGAGGACCTGTGAGTCAGACTAAGATATTCAAACTTGAAGATTTTATGATTTGAAAGGAGAAATTTTCTTTTCTCATCATAGCTCTTTGGAAAAAATACTTGCCTTTCATCGTGTTAACTTAAATCCACTAATGTCATACAGCTTTATAACAAAAAAGCGATTTTATTTCCCACTCTAACAGGTTAACCTCTCTTTTCATTTTCTGTGTGTCGTTTGGAAGTTTTAGCCCAGAACTCGCTGTCCTGTCTCTTGTTTCTTTGTTCCCCTCTCATACTCTGTGAAATTTCCGCCCGGTACGAGTCCGTTTTGTCCTTGTGTGGGAGAGAAAGTCAGAGGAGGAAAATGATGTCCTCCTGCTGACAGCCTTAATCACTGATTCATTTATTCATGCATTATGGAGGAATTTGCAGAGGGATTTACTCATTCATGCATTTGAAGCCCACCCTTATTCGTTTTAAAAGCTCCGGCATGTAAATTCTGGATGCTGCGTCGTTAAAGAAACAAAATCTCAGCCAGATAAGATGAGGAATCATTAGTGTTTGCGCTTTCTCCTCTCATTATTCAGCTTTATAAATCCACTTAGTTGAGCCCTGGCTGCACCGCCTCCGTCTGTAAACACACATTCTTTTCTCTCAGCATGTTGTAATAAGGGCGTCCTTCAGATTCCCTCTTCCATGACCTGAAGTCAGTGTAATGGTTTTCTCTCGGGAATATTGCAACACCACAGCTGAAGTTCACGGCCCGGGTCACGGATTATACATAGAGTGGATCGTCTATCATTGTGAATGTTGGTGTCACGCTAGGTTTTAGTGATGTGGGCAGGCCGCTTCGCTGTTTAAGCTTATATACACTAGAAACTAAAAGGAGCTCTCACTACCGCTGTTTCTGACACGGATATGAGATGGGAGCAAAGAAAAAGGAACTATAGGATTCAGATTTTATTAACTTTTCCTGTTACATTCAAACCTCTCTTAAATTTTCTTAATTCTCACCTGGTCCTTTTCTTCAGGATATGACTTCGCAGCCGTCTTGGAGTGGTTTGCAGAGCGAGTGGATAGGATCATATTGCTCTTTGACGCCCACAAACTGGACATCTCCGACGAGTTCTCAGAGGTGATAAAGGCCCTGAAGAACCATGAGGACAAGATCAGGTACTGACATTTGAGACAGGAGCATTCAGTTAACATCAACAAATGATTCAGCTCATAAACTCTCCACCCTTGTTTCCATGTTTTTTTCTCAGGGTTGTGCTGAACAAGGCTGACCAGATAGAAACCCAGCAGCTGATGAGAGTGTACGGTGCCCTGATGTGGTCTCTGGGGAAAATAGTTAACACCCCTGAGGTAAGCTGGAAAAGTTGTGTTTCAAGAAGTCAAACAGGTGACCTTGGAAGTGTGAGGCAGAGTCTGTTTCATCAGACAAATGGTGTTAAAATAGTTTATAAGACCTGAAATTAAACCTAAAGGAAAATACAGTCTTGACAAGGGATTTGGGTTCGATCCTATTGTGTTGTAACAACAGAAGTTATTTGTATTGACACACGCAAAACCACTCCCAGAGTCAAAGTGTCAACAGTTACAGTCAGACACACCAACTGGTCTGTTCTTGACCAACGCAAATATAAGAGATAGAAAACAGAGGTCACTTTGCAGGAATGCAGGAATAAAACTCGCATTTTTAACAGACCACTCACAAAGAAGTGCTGTTGCAACAATCGACAGTCACCTCCACCTGTCCTGGTTAGATTCTAGGTTGTACATGTAATTAACTAGTGAGGGTTCTTCTGGAGTGCTCGCCGTGTTTGGTGTTTTTCCGCCTCTGCATCCATAACTAGTCAAAATACAGTTACCGTATTTGTCAGACTATAAGGCGCACTTAAAATCCTTAAATTTTCTCAAAAACTGACAATGCGACGTACAATTCATATGATTACTTGTTGTGCTAACTAGCCGATTTTTTGAGAAATCTGTTGAAATGTGTAAGTGCGACTCTGGCAAGCAACGAAGCCGCTCTACTCAGTTGATATTCAGAGCATTACGGTAAGCTGTGTCACTACCTGATCGGCCTCATAACAGGACCCCTGAGCAGTCTACGAGACTGCCTGACTGTCATGTCTAAACTAGAAGTTCATGTAACCCAGCCCAGGCCCGAAGTACGCGCTAGCAACAATAAACCAAGCAATGCTTAATGCGCCTCATGTCTGAACATAAGATACAGTAAATCAAGTAATCAAAATACGGTAATCAAGTGGTGGGAAAACTGTCATTGGTGTTTTTCCACGTAAACACACAGTATTTGCGACTGGTGCCCACTTGTCTGTACATCGTACTTGTGTATTATATGAGACGCCACGTGATGAATGTACCTTTTATGTCCTTTTTTATCTTGTTTTTTTTCCTGCCGTTGATTTAATGCCTGCGTCTCTCTCTCTGACAGGTGATCCGTGTCTACATCGGATCCTTCTGGTCCCACCCTCTGCTCATTCCAGACAACAGGAAGCTATTCGAAGCGGAGGAGCAGGATTTATTCAAGGACATCCAGTCTTTACCGAGGAACGCGGCGCTCCGAAAACTCAACGATCTGATCAAGAGAGCCAGACTAGCGAAGGTGATAGCTGCTGTTATGTAACATTGATATGCACAAGTCTTTGTGTGTATGTGTGTGATTTCTATTCCTCTTCCCATTACTCACTCTTCCTCCCTATCCAGCTGTAAACCTTGACAGAAGAGGCTTGTCCCTGTCACACAGCTAATAGAAGCAGATAAATGTGGCGTTTCTCCTCTCGGCGAATTGCTTCCCGTTTCCTCCCCCTGGACAGGAAGTTAGGTATGAGAGGCGACAGTGAGCTGCCTGTTTGAGGAAACACGGAGGATGCACACAAACACAAACACACCGGCTTATCAAGCTGAGTAATGAGTGCAGTTTTCCTGTCCGACAGCTGATAGTGTGTGCGAGCGAGCGTGTTTCGTGATGGGCTTCAAGGACTTTTGGTGGACTCGGGGAAACACGGACACATTCATCACCACGGCAACAAAAAAAAAACAAATAATATGGGGTCTTCCCGTCTCTTTGGCCATCTTTATTTGTATTGGATATTAAAAACAAATGTCAACAACAATATCCAGAAAGATTTTCCTTCACAGGAGTCTTCAGTTTCCTCAGACTCGAGTTGCGACAGATCGGATCTTATGATGTTACATTTGAGCCATTTATCAAAAGTCCTTCCCAAGAAAAATGACGTAAGAAACACAAGTGTTCTTGGTTATTTCTCCAGCCTGAGTTTGATTCAGTTGTTTTCTTCACATTAAGCTATATTGAAAGTAAAAGGATGTCTGCCTATGAGTTGTCCAGCTGTATTTGTGCCTCAGTGGTCCCATTCAACTCTCTTCCTGCGACTAAATATTTGAAAGTGATCCAGCTCTGTTAAACATCGATTCAGCAGCTGTTATTTTATACACAACATAACTCCTTTCAAACTTTTACTGACGGGAGAAAGCTTTTTTTGCGTCACATCTTTGGTTTGTTTGGCTCTAATGATTTTTTTTTTTTTTTTTACTTTTTATTTAGATTTTTTCTGAAACATTGAACAGTATCTAAGACAGGATCAGTGATGTATAAAATAAAAAAAAATAGAAATAATAATAATAAAATAATAATCCCATAACTAGGTATTGCCACACATGATACAGACGTATATTAAATATCCATTACACGTTGTAGTAATAAGGAAAAACAAACAGGATTAACGAATAGACATACAAAGATAAATAAATGAATAAAAATAAATGGATATCTAGATAATAAAGAATGAATAAATAATAGGATAATTTAAGGGAAAAAAAGGAAGAGCGGAGGAAAAGGGCAAATTCACATCATGTCAGGGTTCTTCTTAATAAGGATTTACTCTTGTGTCTCTTCGTGAGCTAAAATTGACTCTCAGGGGTTATTACAGAACTTGCCAAATCCAAAGGTAGACCTAATGAAACGTGTAAACCTGCAGTTGGACCCCTGACCATCTTTTATCCTCATACTGCAGGTCCATGCCTACATCATCAGCTCCCTGAAGAAAGAGATGCCCTCAGTGTTCGGGAAGGAGAACAAGAAGAAAGAGCTGATCGGCGCTCTGGGAGATATTTACAAACGCATTGAAAGGGAGCATCAGATATCCCCTGGAGATTTTCCTAATCTGAAGAAGATGCAGGTAAGCAGAGGAGAAGCTTTGGATTCATGATTATAGATAATAGTTCGATAGATAAGACCTAAACCTTTCTTTTTTTTGTCTGGTGATTTTCCAGGACCAACTCCAAGCTCAGGATCTCACTAAATTCCAGCCTCTGAAGCCCAAACTCCTGGAGGCGGTGGACGACATGCTGGCTAATGACATTGCTGGCTTAATGGTCCTGGTCCGCCAAGAGGAAACCCAGCGTCCAAACCCTGTTGTGAAGGGCGGCGCGTTTGACGGCACTTTGGACGGCCCGTTCGGACATGGGTACGGCGAAGGAGCCGGGGAAGGCATCGACGAAGCGGAGTGGGTCGTCGCGCGCGACAAACCTGCTTACGACGAGATCTTCTACACGTTATCTCCTGTCAACGGGAAGGTAACGGGAGCCAACGCCAAGAAGGAGATGGTGAAGTCAAAACTGCCCAACACAGTCCTGGGAAAGATCTGGAAGCTGGCAGATATCGACAAGGACGGGATGCTGGATGACGAGGAGTTTGCGTTGGCTAATCACCTGATTAAGGTCAAACTGGAGGGACATGAACTGCCATCAGACCTGCCTGCACACCTGATTCCTCCTTCCAAGAGGAAAATACCAGAGTAAATGTAAGATTACAACATAATCTGCCTGTAAGTAGATCCCCATCCCCTCACAGAGATAAATATCCCCGCTGAAATATGAAGTCATGTAGCATTACAGCAAAAAAAACTAACATTTCCAGCTCTCTTAGCTCTGTTGCTGCATCTCCGAACAAATTTAGAGCGAAACTTTACTAACACTCAAAAGACAGATCCATCGCTTCATTTCTGCAGTAAAACGGGATCGTACAGAGTCTTAAATCGAAGTCTTTGGCCTGTTGTCTTTTCTTATTTAAGGGAGTTGGTCAGAGAGGCTTGTGGACAGCTAAGAGGGTTTTTAGCTAAGGCAAGTTTAAAAGAAGAAACACTGGAATACAGTAAAATGTACATCGCTTCAAACTACTGGAAGAAAATGTGAAAGATGCAACAAATGAAAAGACAAAAAAGGGTATTTTACAGTAGCATAATTTTTGGGTTTGGAAAGACTGAGCGGTGTGACGCAGTTAGAAATCGCTCTTTATTAAACAATAATGTACTCTGGCTTTTGTTTCTACAGATACACAAACACATAGAAACACACACAACGAATACAGCGTCAGTTTCCTGATCGGTGAGCAAAGAATAAAAATGAAAAACGTTGAAGAGCCCTTCATTTTCACACAAAAACGATAACCCAGACACCTCTTTTAACCGGGAATATGATACTCAAATGTGTGTTGTGTTCATCTGTGTGTGTGTGTGTGAGAGAGCATAATTTAAAGTTAACGACACTATATTAGTTCACTGTGGCATCTTGATCGGCCTACAATGACGAAGAAGGTTCCCCTAATGGAAAACAAAAAGATGACGATAAAAAGTGTCTAAAAGTTTTACATTTCGTAATCACGATTTGATTTTATTGTAACTGTGATGAAAAAATCTTTGAACTTTGTGCGCTCTTGTCCTTCAAATTTGAATGTTGAACGTTCATTGTTGTGTGTCGGCACACCCTGACCATTGTGTGTATGAACGTGACCACGTGTATCAGTGTTATTATTTGTAACGTATTCATGTATTAAATCTTAGACACCACACAGGCCACTGAGGCAAGAGTATACCATGGCTCAGTAATGAAATGTATCTAATCTAATCTAATCTAATCTGGCAGTCCACAGTGTAAACACACAACTTTGAATATGTAAGTGGAACAAAAAAATAAATAATCGGCACAATTTTTAAAGTTTTATCTCTGTTTTTAAAATGAATTTGGCTTTGATTTCAATGTGAAAATTGAAGAAATGTATTGAATGTAATCTCTATTTAGTGTTTCTGATTTACCTTAGTGATATGCCAGTATGTATGTATGTATGTATGTTTGTATATGAACTTCACATAAGGACCATATTTGTGGTTAACAAGTGTGATTTGTTACCGTTAAGATGTAACACCAAACTAACTATATTTGGGTTTCCGTATGATAAAAATGAGGCAGTATTCACTCAGAGTGTTTCCAGTTTTGGGCCCTGTTTCCGCTCCCTGTGTGTCTACTGTTACTGTGAATCTACTGTACATAATAAAGACTGTTTGCATTCCATGAACACAGGCTGGGAAATCATGCGTATTATCTTTGGTGCTTCGCTAGCTCCCATTTCACAACCAAAACCACAACTGATCAACAAGATTTACACGACACGGATGCTTTAGTGTGGATTCTCGGCTAAACAAAGTCCTTAGGATTAACAAACTGTTCTCATACTTCTGATTGCAACATGATGTCCTGGGGGGGAAACACAGTGTTGTGGTGTTATTTCAGTTTCGAGATGATTACGCATTGCAAAATCTGTACTTCACTGCTTTCCTGTCAGCATATTCAACTGTTAAAAAGTGTAATAAAAATTCAATTATTGGACTTGAAGGCTTGTTTTTATTTTCTGATTTAAGAAGTAAGTGGCTAATTTTCAAACGAGGGTCTCAGCGTAAGAAAAATAACAATTTATGAAAATTTTCAGTTACACTTTATTTGACGCCTATCTCTATAACGCATTATAAATATAGGTAAAATGCATTATAATCATGTTATAGCACTGTATAACTATAGTTATAAACGTTCATAAATGATCATAATGTTTTATAGCAATAATCATAACACATTATAAAACATTTAATCATGACTTACAAGGTCAGGTAGAATAATGTGTTATGCTTATTGTTATAAAGCCTTAAGATAATTAATGAGTGTTTATAATGATAGTTATACAAGTTTATAAGCAAATTATAACACATCATAAACATATGTATAATGCATTATCTATGTGGGCATTGTCAGTGAGTTGTTAACAGTTAGAACACATTATAATACCTTGTGATTCATGATAAAGTGTTTTATAATGTGTTATGATTATTGCTATAAAACATTATGATCATTTATAAGTGTTTATAACTATAGTTATATGGTGCTTTAATGTGATTATAACACATTATACATATATTTATAATGTGTTATAGAGATATGCGTCAAATAAAGTGTTACCAAATTTTCCTCGTTTGATAACAGTCTACAGTCATATTAATATTTGGAGTTTGTCAATCAAATATGATGTTTGACATGTAAAAATACACGTATAATAGGAGACAGTTTTAAAAATGATCTTGCTAAAATTTTAAAGCACATGAATAGAAACATGTTTTGCATTTCCAAATTAAAATAAAACTAGGTGGAAGATTGTGGGGTGCTAAAAACGGTAAATTCCTGCTATCATAAACTTTGATGTTAAAGACATTTATCTTGTAGCTACGACATGGAAGTGTTTATGTAATATCCCTTTAAATTGTTCCACTCTGTGTTTACATAAAAGGCTGATTTCCACATTTTTTATCAAGAGACACTGACATTGAAGGCAACATGACATAAGCTAAAAACAGCAGCAAACATCATGAAATACAAGCTCAGTGACTTCCTCATGTTTGTGAATGTGCGTGTGGCAGGAAGCCAAGCCTCTCCTCTGACTGTGTGACTGAAAGACTCTTTAAAAATACACATATATACACATACGCTCTGTCTGCTCTCACACAGGAAGTTTTTGTTCACGTTCTCCATTCATCCCACCTTGACCCTTACACAGTGACACGATCACACAGATACAGATGCGCTACTACAACACCCACGACATTTAAAGCTCCTGCGAGGAACTTTTAGTCTCGTGATAATTTGAAGATTAATTTAAGGTGCACAGAGATTTTACATGGTGGTCTGTGTGCAGGAACTTACTCCGGATTATCTTACAGGAAAATAAACAAAAAAGTCAGAAATAGGAAACAAAAAGTGCAGCTATTTAAAGAAAAGTATTTCAGTTTTTTTCCTGGAAAATGTAGAAGAAGAAGAGAGGAAATGGACAGAGAAAGAAAGAAAAGGAAGATTCAGATGTAGCTGTGACATGTTTACTCTGGATTTTTATCTTATCACTTAAAGATGGGCGGTACACGAATGGTTTATCAAACACTGCTTTGTCAGTGGATACAAATGTAGTGATATATATAGGTGTGTGTGTGTGTGTGTGTTTGTGAGCGGTAAATGTGTCTGATGGATGAGCGTGTTTGTATGTTGGAGAGGGTGTATGAGGAAGCTATACATCACAATTGAATGTATACACGCACATGAGGGAACTGGTATCTGAGAACAGTGGGTGTAGATGAGGCTTTCAAACACTCACGCATGTCAATGTCACAACCTGTGAAAATCTTATTCCTACTTTATGACACATTTGACTCACTTATAGCCTTAAAGCATTTCTCACATTTAAGAGATTAAGTGTCACACTGCAGGGACGTGGATGTATAAAACATAAACATAGTCTTAGTGAAGTCACCTGCTGGTGTCTGGAGTTTTATTCTTTTACTAAAGACATGATGATCCCTCAGCAGCCTCTCATTGTAAAATACAGGCTCCAGCTGTTTTCATAACTCATGACTTTCCTCTATCTGCCCGGCTCGAACCACAGTGGTCCAGCGCACTGACACGTTCACTTACAACAATCTGTGAATCACATCTTCTAAGAGTTCATGAGTGCTCGATGGTGGAGAAGTCACAGGGCCGGACCAGTGGTAACACCTGACTGCTAATTGCTCTCCGTCTCCATGGTGACTAAGAGTTCAAGGAAGGCCGTGAAAACAAAACGAAAACTGAATTTAGAAAATAAAGACGGGTATTTGGAAGAAATGTCAATCCTATTTTCTAAAGATGGTCAATTTGCTTCATACTGGTACTTGTAGGTTGAGTGTATGTTCCCCTTAAAGGGATATTCCGGTATAAAACTTATTTAGGGTCAAACACACCTTAACACCAAGTTAGACACCCCCTCAAGAGATGAATGTTGCCGACTGCTTGCTTCTTTACTTTTTCCAACTTTAGTAACAACTGCACAATAGCAATACACAGCAGTCTGAGGAGCCGTAAACAAACCTCAACCAAAACGCTATATGCAACCCTATATGTGCTGTTGATGAAGTTAGCTGCTGTTCTGAGCATTATTTGTGGCTATAGAGTGGCGTTTTGGTTGAGGTTTGTTTACGGCTCCTCAGACCGCTGTGTATTGCTATTGTGCGGTCGTTACTAAAGTTGGTATAACTAGAGAAGCTAAATCAATTTTACGCTGGAATATCCCTTTAACTGATTATATCCACATCAATTGTATAAACTCATGAAGTTAATTCTTTCAGCTAATATTCAAACACAAACTAAGATCAAGTCTGGTTCTAATAGTGAAAGAAAAACATGCCAAAACATTTGAGTCATTTCTTGGTTGAAACACAAATACATTGATTGACAGCTCACATGTTGTGTGCGCTGGTGTCGGGCCAGCTGTCTGCGTGTTTATATCCTGTGACAGAAGGAAACATCAAGTGTGCACAATGTCTGTCAAAGTAACCCCAAATCCTGGAGGGTGTTCCTTGAACCTCTTCCTGGTTAAAACAGAGTTCACGGACGAGGTCAACATCCTGTCAAAATACACGTCAACACATGCACACGCACTTTCATAAAGCAAAAGTTGAATCGTTTTGATGACACATCTTACTCTGGAGTCATCCTCTTCTTATAGATTTGGTTTTCACTCTTGACCAAATGAATGACCTTATACTGATCAGACTGCTGAGACTGTTATTAAGAGGATTAAAGCAGTCAGTATTTGTTTATCAATGTGAGTATGGTGGGATTGTACATAGTAACATTACCAATTACCAGTACTGAGTGTGCTCTAATAGGGGTATTATTAAAGCTCCTGTAAGAAACTTTCAGGTTGCATCAACTCTGTTGCCCCTTGTGGGCAAATTAGTCTTTCTTAATCTTGTCCTTCACACCCTCACGACTGTCTCTATTGTACTACATGCATTGCGTCTTACTACATGGCAAGATGCAATGAATGAAAGGATGCCCACCACTGGTGAGTGACCATCGGATGGTCACTACATTTTGCAATGCTCTATGGGAAATCTTGAGTCGCCTAGATGGGGCACTGGAATTGATCACTCAGGTTTCGGACACCCCTCAAAACGGCGCTAACCCTCATATAGTCGCGTATATAGAGGTTAGGGATCCATTTTGGACACAGCCTATGTTCATGTTGTGATGAATAATCAGTGAGAAGGATGCCGGGTGATGTATGATAGCGGATGGTTGTTTACTGGTATCTTAAATGGAGGACAAACCGATTGTGTCGTTGAATGGGTGCCCTGAATTATATGATACCTTTTCGTTCAATTACCGAAACTGGAATAATAAAGGTGCTCAATTGGAGGCGAGTGAGTGAGAAAGGTTGAATTACATGGTAAATTGTAAAGAACCTTTGTCTATTGCTTGAATCTGTCGGTTGAATTGGCAGGGATTACAATTGAAATTACCGTCGGCGTGGGAATGAAGCGAGTAAATACTACTTATTCACGTGTCTAGATTCAGGCGGATTAAGCGAATAGATGATTTTACTAGCGCTTGGTGTTAGCGCCCCATTAGTCGTGTACCTGATTGTTGTTTTTGCTTTTGGATACCACAAAAACTCAACAAAATCAATTCTAGTCTATTTTATAAATGTAAAAAATCCTTCAAAGAAGCTTTAATGTTGGTATGTATTGTGAGTGAGAGTTGCTATAGTTGGAATAACAACAAAAAAAGGTCTGTTACAGCATAAAACAGAGCTACATATCCCCTACAATCGGTTTGAACATATTGCACAATAGACAAAATACAAATGGGTAAATCTCAGTCCTCAAATTGGCACATTTTAAGGTCAAATTGAAATTTTTATCGACTAAATCAGGAACAATCCTACTGAACTTCTCTCACTGCAATGACAGGAGCTGGTTGAACAAGTGCTCCTTGGAGGTCTGATGCTTACATTTCTGGTCTTATTTAAGACTCGAGCAGATGGTCAGTTGGTCAGAGCTCCTGTTGCTCTCAAGCGTTTGATGCCAAACTGTAATTGGTTTAGCCTTATCAATCAGCTCAGGGGGATTTCATTGGCTTGAGTTGTTATTTAAAGATAAAGAAAAACAACTCCCATGATCCCGCACTGTTTCACCTTTCTCATCAAATATTTGGTGGCTGTTGTTGTTCAGACCCCTGGGAAGAAATCAACATGATAATAATTCAAACGCCTGTCATACAGTCGGATAAGACAAGATATCATACTATTGTGACATAATCTTTCCTCGAATGTATTTTAACTTCTACAAAAGAGCATCAGGATGTTACTGTATGAGAGTTTCAGATAAAATACCAAACTGGGAGCCAAAAAAAAAGACACACCTCAACATCTTTCAGCACTGTCATGACTTTTCTTCTTTGTGACAGTATCATTAGAGTACTGACAGTTATGGTAAACCCAAGTCTTTCTTTAGAGTCAGTTTATTTATGTTTAAAGGTGGAATATATCTCTATTTTACGGGCATATGAAACTACTCCAAACTCCCTTTTTCCAGTCTGTGCCATTCTATATGTTTCTTCTGTGTGTGCGTGGTCTGCAGGAACAGACTCTTCATCACAGTTATGTAAGAGTTGTCCAAATGAGGGATTCCCTTTTATGTTATCACAGAGTATTATATATTTTGGGGAGGACTGGCTCCAGACTGACTCAGCTGTAGATGGCAAAACTCATTCATTCAGACTCAGGCAGATAAATCCCTCTAATGATGGCACTTTGCTTTCACTGGAGTTGTTTGTTACAGGAGTTTTGAAGTACATTAAATCACTATAAAACTTTCCCCTATCTTCTCAGGTATCATTTAATTCCTATTTTATTCATACAAAATAATAGTAAAACTTGTCTTATCTGATATCTTGGCCCTCTGGATCATTTCCCACCATCAATTTCTTCTCAATTTGTCTTTTACAGCAGCTCTGATTTACGGGCCTGTTAGTTTACTTGTCTCTCTATTGTTCTGTTGTGAGTTTGTGTAAAGGATTGTGCATTTTTCTTTTGAGCAGGGTAGTCGCCCAGGGAGAGGCAGCACGCTGTCTGCAGCGAGGAGGGAAGGACAGTGTATTACTTGAAAAACAAGCATCTGTTATCTGAAGCGGTGACAAGCCAGGATGGGGAGAGGGAGAGGATGTGCAGAGAGGAGACGGCGGTGACTGTTTGTTAAATATCTTCCTTTTTAACAGACAGAGAGGATGGATTCTCAGAAAACTTGAGTGTAAACATAGAGCTGAAATAGCCTAAAAACTGACGTGTTTATTTGTTTCTCTTCAGTCCTGAGAACACATGCCATCCTAACCTTAGGTGACGATTGAGAGTCCCAAATCTGGTTTTAAATGTTTCTGAATGTAGACCAAACTCCTCAGTTTAAGCCCAATATTTAGCTCTACTGCCACCTAGTGGACAATGACCTCAACACCCAGCTGTCATGTTACAAATCGGTTCAGATCATGTATTTTAGTCTATTTGGCGCTTGAATTTCAACACGTTTTTATAGACAAAATGTTAAATGTCTTTAGTTTATTTCCTCCTTTTGCGCACACCTGCTTTTCTATGTGTATGCATGTTGCTGTTCCTGAATGGTTCCTGATGCAGAAAGACTCTCCTTTCATGAGTTAAAGGTATTTAAAAGCACAAGTTTTGTGGCTTGTTGTGAAAAGATTTTGGGTTCATGGTATTTTAAGAATATTTGTAAATTTTGTTGAAACCATAGACTAAGTAAAATATGGACATGATCAATTTCAATTTCAATTTTTTTTATTTCAATGAGCTTTATTGGCATAATTGTGACTACAATATTATAAGTGTTTTAACACAAAAACAATAACAACTACGGTAAAAATAATAATAATAATAATAATATTAATATTGTGATAATAATGAAAATAATATTGTAAATAATAATAAAATAATAAAAGTAGTAAAAATGTAAATAATAATAATGTAAAAAATAAATACATATATTAACAATGATAATAATAATAATGATAATAATGATGATAGTAATAATAATATTGTAAAAATAATACTAAAAATAATAATTGTAGTAATAATGTAAATAATAATAATAATGATAATGATAATAATAATAATAATAATAATAATAATAATAATAATAATAATAATAATAATAATAATAATAATAATAATAATAATAATAATAATAATAATAATAATAATAATAATAATAATAATAATAGCAATAATAATAATAATAATAATAATAATAGCAATAATAGTAATAATGATAATGATGATAGTAGTAATAACAATAATAATAATAATAATAATACTAATAATGAATAAATAGTGTCAGTATCATCATGTTTGCAGATTAAAATCTCTGGAGCAGCTGTTCAGGTTATTTTGAGCAGTAAAAATACTAAATAACTCTAAATTTATATATACTATAAACACTAAATAGAAGTTTTGAAGGCTGGCGCTGATGATCGCCTCATTGATAACACAATTTTAACCTTAACTACAATCAACAATCATAGCACTGATTAGTCTGACTCCATCTGACAACAGCAACATCCCATCCACCTACAGCTTTAAGGCTTTATGATTAACTTTTATACATCATAATGAAATTACAGAATCTTGCTTACATTGTGATCACATTAAGAAAACATTAAAGTCAGGAGTGCTGATAAACTAAGTCACCCAAAAAGGTTAATAAGTGGAAAAAGAGAAAAAAAAAACCTGAGTGGGTATATTATCTTGAGAGTGGCAAACCCCATCCAAACCTAATGACAAGGTAAAACTTGATGGAACATTAGACAATAAATGTGACAGCAAAGTGCAGTGAAACTATCTGAGCTCATTTCCTGTGGGCCCAACACCTCCTCCATACCTACACCCACCTACACCCACCCCACCAACACACCACACAAATTCATATGGTGGTCGTATATGTCACTCTTTCCGATTCCGGCTCTGTTCACTCAAATGATGCCACTTGAGTATCTGTCTTGTCTTTGTAAAGCTACAGTCCATTTTTGGTCATTTAAGAGTAAAGTTTGAAAGAAGCAGTTTCAGCTCCGTATTTGTAGTTAAGAGTCTAAATAAAAACTAATTAAAAAAAAACTCTTTCTACTCCTCTGGTTATCACACGTCTCTCATGGTGAAATATTGCTGTGTTGTAAATCCACCTCTGCTACAAACCACAGGTTTCAGTCTGAGTGAGCAAAAGGGTGATTTTTTTGCAGCAGTAAGGTTTGTGTGGCTGTCTGTATGTGTGATACGTGAGGCGGTTTATTTGCATGTTTCCTGACTTCACAAATTTAAAACATATGTCCATGTTAATGTGCACTGTTACGAGAGCAAATCTTTACATCACATTATGATAGTTATAATAGATTGTATTTCTCAACACTAGATCTATACATACTCCTCAAATTCGTCATCAGACAGATAGCAAAAGACAGAAGAGATAGACCAAACCAGACGTCCTTTATCATCGGGCTGTATTTTCACCAGATCTTAGCTCGTGGGCTGCTATCCTCTTCATGTAACTGTGTTTGTCAGTGGTTGTAAATTGGAGCTTGACCTGTGCTGTTTTTGTTGTTTTCTGTCTCTCTTTCCGCATAACCCTCTCTTTTTCTTTCTTTCCTGTCCAAACACAGTCGTATCAGATGACTGTTCAACAGGAGTCTGGTTCTGTTGGAGGTTTCTGCCTGTCTACATTAATGTTTGTCTGTTTTTAAATTTTTTTTATACCACTGTGACTGTGACTCTGCTCGGTGACACATGGTGCATGGTGACACAGGATTGGATTTAATCTTGAAGTTATGTCTCTGTGAATAATGATTAAACAAATTTTGAGTTTGCTACATGTTAATGAACAGATGTGCAGACATCTATGATAGTCATGTATTGAAAAGGAGCACCAATCAGCATCACTTGAGGAGTTCAGAGCATGTGTAAATAAGGGCTGTCACTGTATACTAGTATTTACGGTAACCGATTTAGTAAAAATCCATCTGCAGTCAAACAAAACTATTCGAGCACCAGTTGGTGATTGTATGTTAGTAGGTATTTTGAGGCAGATGCTAGGCCCAAACGACAACCTCCGGTCTTGAGAGATGAAGCTGATTCAGAAGTGCCAAAAACCGCAGTTCTCTGAGCGTCCACTTGAGGCTTGAGCACTGGAAACTAGTGGTGTGTCATTCGCGAACAATTCGTTCAAAAGAACCGAATCTTTTACGTGTACGTACTGAACCGAATCACTTCCTCAAGTGATTCGTTCGTTTCTCACTTAAGTTGAGCTGTCAGCAGGAAAGATGCATTGCCAGGTGAGCACCCGGCGAACGAGAGATCGCACGCACTGACGCCTGAATCACTCGGTAAAGGAATCACGCATTAAACTACACTCTCTGGAATCACTTTTGTGGGACAAAACTAACTTTTTTTCTTTTTTACTGCTAAATTACCAACACAACAAAAAAGCATGTAACAAGAACAGCATAAAACCTGCAGCTTCCTATCATTGCAGCGGTTTGCGAGGGAACGGTGCATGTTCAGTGTGAATTCTTCTAAACCCTCAGTGGACGATTCACTCATTGAGCCCAATTTACCGAGCAGACCTGATAAATAGCATACCATAGGACGGTACACTTAAAACATCATGACTTATAAACAACTTCCTTTTTTACAAACCTGCTCGTTAAAGCAACACAGCCAAACATGCTTGTCTCCCGGTCCCAGAAGCTACGAATTGAACTGAATCCTGAACCGTTCAGCTGTGTATCAGTTCAGGAGGTCTGAGTCGCAGGCTGGTATTATTGGTGTAAAAACAAACATGTTTACAGCCTGGTTCAAATAAAAGGCTTTGGTCTGAAAACTCCCATGATAAGGGGAGTAATGGCCATGAAAACATGAGGTGAAAATCCTGTATTATTACAGCCCACAGTGTAAATACAGCTCATGAAACACAGCTTAGCCACTGAAGCCAAACAGAGAGGCTCACTGCGTGGGATCTCGTAAACCAGTGAGGTTTAAGTGCGACCTGTAGCTGCTTCTGTCGGACCCTTCTGCGTTTAGGGGATTTCCCTTATTTCGGCCCCCTCTTGTCATTTCTGAAACCAAGAGTAAAATTCAGTTTATTGAGGCTGATAAAACCTCGATGTCCCTCTGAATCCTACAACTCAAACTTCTAATGCACACTCAGTTAAAAAGAAAGTTTAAATTGCCACTTCAGTCTGAAGAGTGACAGCTATTACTTTAAGATCCGGTCTATTAAATAAACTTCCGCTTCATTACTTTCATTACTCTTCATTTCCTCGAGGGAACCTTCCCATAGGATCAATAACGTCTATCTAATCTGATCACAAATTAATTACTCGTCAGTCAGTTTTTCACGCTGACCTAGTTTTTCCACAGGATACTCAAGTTAAAGATGATATTGCTCAACTCGTGTTCAATTATTTCCCTTTGAAAGCCACAGGGACCAAAATCAGGGGGAGGAGCTAAAACCCCTTAATGCATCTGCACCCTGCAAGCACACACACACATAAACACAAACAGAGAGTGACAACAATATTTCCTTTCTCTTTTCTTAGAATTTGCTCTCACCCTCAGCCTCTCCACCTCGGCCTGCCTCCCCTCCCCACCAACCTAACCTTCCTCCCTGCTGTCTCGTCTTGCTGAGAAGTGTTGACCACATGACCGCAGTTTGTTTGTGTGCACACGAGTTTCTCTTTTTTTATTTCATCATGGAACACAAATGCACGCGCATGCACCTTACACACACATATGCATGCATGCAGCTGTATAATACAAGAGAGAGTGGGTGAGTGGGGCAGAAAGACGGCAGACACCTTTAAAGAAAGACATCAGAAGAAGTCAAGATGATGATGATGAAGAGTCCGGTTATTTTGGCGGCCTGCGTCCTGCTGCTCTCTGCTCTCACTGTCCACGCATCTGAAAGTAAGGAGACTCTATCTCATGTTTTTTTTTTTTTTTTTTAACATAATTTAATATAAAAGGCAAATTCACATCAAACTTTATGTAATTTAGCCATCATATCTCTCTCGGGATGAGTAAAATTTAAGATTAAGAGATCAAAACACTCCAAAAAAATCTAAATTACTGTTTTAAAACAAGAAAAAAAGTGGCCCCTGTAAAATTTCATGCTGTCTCTTTTTGAGATAAATTATTTAATTTAAGTGTAAGAAAACAACGATTTTTGCTTTTTAAGTGTTAAACCTTACACTGTTGTCTTTAGTGTGTACCTAACGGGGAAAAAAAGACGCAAAAAGAGGACAATTTATGTTGGGTTTTGTGAAAACTGTATATGACCATAACACGTCTGATTTTCTCTTGTCTTCTCAGGCTCTTTTGGTCCTGATGCGTGCTGTTTCAAGTACATCTCCAACGCCCTGGCCAAGAATAGGGTAGTGAGCTATGAATTCACAAACAGGCTGTGTCCAAAAAAAGCTGTGGTGTGAGTATAACAACTCCTTTTACTGCACTTAAACTTACAAGTTCAATCCAGACACTTATAGTTTGATTTTTTTGAAGTGAGGTTGTATGAGGCTCGATCAAGTTCCTTTTAGTTGAATTACACACAGTCACTATGTGCACTCGTGTTAACATAGATGCAGATTTACTCATGAAACGAGGAAAAAAGCAGTTATGGTCTGAACTTCTCCTCTGAAAATAGACACCTGATTCTGCAAAAACTAAAGGTATGAATCATGTCTCTGTTTCAGTTTGACGATGAGGAATGGCAAAGGGTACTGCACCAATCCGTCTGAGCCGTGGGTGATGGACATCATCGCAGCAAAAGACAAAGTGAAGGCCTAAAGAGCGAAATAAACCAACTTGTATTTTATCACATCCTGTTACCGCTCGCTTGGAAGCAAGCAGCATATATGCTTCTAGATAAACGGCAAATGTCTCTTTTTTGTGGTCAGCTGCTTGTTGGTGTGTTGTAAGAAAAATATACTAAAAGATGATATAATGTGTGTGTCAGTTAATCTTGTGAGCATTGTTTTATTTCTTAATGTAAAAAAAGTATAACTTTTATTTCAAATTTTTGTATCCATAAAAAATAAACTTTTCTTCAACAATAAGTCACCGCACATTGTGTAATTCATGCACATCAAACGTCTAACTGACAAAGATCTGAGCTGATGTGGTTTCAGATAAAGCCACAGGAAACTCAGATCTGCACCACAAAGGCTTTATAGATCAGTATATTAAAAAAGAAAATTAAACTCTTTGGAAAAATACAATCAATCAAAGATCAATCCCATCATTTATTTTTTTCATGTAATTACCTCCGACAAGGAGGTTATGTTTTTGGTAGCGTTGGTTTGTTTGTTTGTCTGTGAACAACTTTACGGAGAAAGCAACAAACGGATTGACCTAAAAATTTTCACCAGAGTTGCCTCTCAGCCCCAGGAGGATCCCATTTCATTCTGGTGGTGATCCGGATCGCCTTCTGGATCAAGGAATTTTTTGAAGGATTCTTTATCATTGTGAGATAGGGCAAATTTTGGAATTTTTGCATTTAACTCTATATAAATGGCCAGAGTCTTTATACTAGTACAAAAATTACACAAAAGGATCTCGATGAGTTTTATGAGGTGTCAAAGGTTGATCCTGATCCACACAAAATTGGGTGTCGTTGGAATTTTTAATGCTGACAGATAACCAATGAAGATACAAGGAAGTGTATGCTTACAAATATTGCATAATAAATCATGCATTTATGTATCTAATATGAGCTTTGTTGTTTTAGAAACATTATGAACAGTGAACATACCAGTTTAAACACAAATAAAAGTTAATAAAAGACACGTAACAGTAAAAATTTTGGTGTGAATCACAATATAAGGGGGGACATGAGCTGCTTGGCGGAGGTCTGCGCTCTCCGAGTGCTTTTCTAGTTTAACAATGATTCTTGTTCCTTCTTAGTAAAGAGTGTAATGCATCTTTGAGACCAGCAGATGCCGCTGTTTTCTGATTTTCATGTTTTTCAATCCTATACTTGCTGTTAAAGCAGGTTTTTATTTTTGATGCTACACTGTCACATATCTGTATTTTTTAAAGCTCAAGTCTAATTCTAGATTTGAGATCTAGGCTTCAGTGTGATGAATTGAAAAGTGTCTTATCTTTTTTTTGTTTTTTTACAGTCGGCTATAGCATGATGCGCAACGTTGACGTGACCCCAGAAGACCTCACAGATGGCTTCTGTCTGAAGTGAGAGCTAAAAATGAACACAAGTGGCACAAGTGAATTCATGCTGTCAGACTTCCAGACAAACTGACCTGAAAAGCGGCTCTTGCTTCAGAATAACACCTCCAAACTGTGGCGTCTTTTCCACCTTTATTTTGTACAGTAACAGATATTCTTTCATGCACAGTCGCCCCTTTCATGCTCTTGACTTTATGTCTCAGCTTTTATCATACTCTCATGAGCACAGTAACTCAATAAAAACTTGAGTCTCTCACCACAGGTGACCCATAACGGCAGACAGTCTGATTAGATTTCGGAGACCTCTCTGCATAAATCTGCATATTAATGAAGGAAAAATCAGACAGGAGAGGGTTCAGCTTTAGTGCTTCTTGTGTTGATTATCAACAAGAGTTTACATTTAGATTAATGATGAAAATACACCATATCTCTCTATCAGCTCACCACAGTGGTTTAAGCTTCTGTTAGTCTGGTGAGAGTTATCCAGTAATAGAGTCCTGGAGATGTCCTGTTAAATTTACATATGACTGCATGAGTCTGTGGATTTGACCTACATGTACCTGTGGAGGAGAGAATAGGGACACAAGCTTGCAGTCGAAGATTTTACAGTAGCTAGCTAACAGTCAGATATGATAACAGGAGTGTTGAAATACCTTTATACAACTAAAGGGTCCTTTCACACTGGGAGCGTTTTTTTCGTGCGGTTATTTCAGACGTCAATTTTTTTTTTCGAACCCGTATCCTGTCAATACAAGCGTCACATCAGTGACGTTTTCCCGCCCTGCGATATAGCGGCATTTATTTTTTCGGATCACGGTCGATTTTTCTAAAGTTTTGCATACTGTGTGTCCACTTCTGACCAATCAGATTGCGTGTTGTTGCGATGTCAGATTCACTGGTATATCCAACATGGCCGACCGGCTGATTGTTTACGTGGCGTAGAACAGAGTGATTTTTGATAAAAGACACAAACATTACAAAGATAACGACCTGAAGGACAACTTGTGGAGAGTCATAGCGTTGGATTTCTCATATGACGATGGTTTGTGTGCTTTACGTCTTTGTTTTCACTTTCATCTGTGCTAAGTAACTTTAGCTCGTAAGCTAACCTGTTCAGATACAACATACCATGTGTATTTTCACCGTCTCAAACTCAATCGCAGCACCATTAGGTCTCGGTTGTTACCTTACATTTATGGATTATAGTTTAATGTGCTTATCTGGTACGGGCCCCGACTCAGTACATGCTATCATGACAGACAGACATCTCAACACTGGTGTCAAATCAGAACTGAAAAACAGTCAGTCTGCTGTTGTGTCAGTCTTCTGTGCTTTTTCCCCCCAGGAAGTCGCAAAATCGCAGTGCGCTTGAGTCAGGCGCGTCAAAATTCGCCTCAGAATATTTCGTAATTTCGCGTCATTCCCGGTGTGTAAGAACCTTTACTTGAATAAAAAGAATCAGAAATGCTATCAGTAATAAAAGTGCCTGTTAAATTATATTTGTATGAATGTATAAGATTAACAAAGCTAGTTGAGGTCAGACTTAGTAGTATTTTGCTCCATGGTTCCTAAACTTAAGGCCAGCTCCACAAAAGGGTTTATTACTTGCTTGTATTGCTTTTAATTAGATGTTAATAAAAACTTCAGTTGCCTTGTATTTGTGGTTCAGATAGTGGTGCACCTTGACATAGCGGGGGAGAAACAGAGCAGCAGCAGACTGTCTGTGAACTAGCCTGAAGCAGCTCTTAAAAAGATGATTCAGAAATGTTAAAAACTGTTGTTTTGTGAGTTTAATGATTTTGGAAGCTCGTGTCTCTTTATGTGTTATTAACCAATTCAACTATTATACTCTCAGAAGTTTCTCTACGTCTATTCTACACAAGTATCTCCCCACACACTAAGAAAAAAGTACAAAATACTACGAGAACAAGCCCCCTATTGGAGCAGCCAGTCAGGAGCATGAGATGGTACACTTAATTTGCATACAAGATAGGCAATACACACACTACACATACACCAGACACAGCCAGGCCAGAGAAAACCACTACGACCCCATTTTATGATGTCCAGGTTTTAGGCAACAAGGACATCATAAAACAAAGCAAAGATAAAAAAATCAGCTTTTGTATATTTGTTCATTTTTACCCAAGATGAGCTGGTTACAATCTCATCTACGGAAAATTCCATGTCAGTTTAACGCTACACCATACCTGTCAAGCTGATGACAACTCACTACTACTCGTTAGTGGGTACTTAACACGTGCTAGTGACAGAGTTAAGTTTGGAGAGGCAGAACAATGTTTTTTTAATACCTCCCCGCACACCAAGAAACTACTGCGAGGAAAAAGTACTATGAGAACAATCCCCCAATTGGCCACCGGAGCAGCCAATCAGGAGCATGTGACGGCACAACTAATTTGCATACAACATAGGCGACACCATAGGCTGGGTGAAGCCACTCAGAGAACAGCACCCTCTGGTGACAGGCTGCAGTATAGGTCATAAATCCCACCTCCGCTTGCAAAGCTTATGGAGCTGTGGACAAACTTTGGAAATTTATTACAGAGAGCATACATTTTTCTTCCCCTTGCTTGCGATGTTAACATGTAGTTACAGTAAGACTAGTTTGTGCTCAATTCCTCTCTTTTCTGTGCAGCTCAGTTTTTGAAAGTTATTAGGAGGTTCGTGTTTTCTATGATTGACACTTGATACAGCCTATAGGCGTACGAAGATTGCGTAGCTCATACACCAGACAGCCAGGCCAGATAAAAACATTACGACCCCGTTTTATGGCAGAATCTTTTTTTTATATACATATTTTAAAATACGGAAGATTAAAGGGACAATACTAAAACGGGAAGACGTGGGAAAGAGGGGTCAAATACGGTAGTTTCCTGGCCAAAACTTGACAGCTATGATACAGTTGCAACTCACTTACAGGAAGTAGCACACTCTCCAAAATAAAAGCATAGTTTTAAAATGTAGGGGGGAAAAATCTAAATAAAAGCATGCAAAAAAAGACAATTTACAAGGAAATGTCTTGTCTAGAGAATATGGCGGAGTACTAGGACCACATTAAAAAAAAATTTAAGACTTCGTAATTACTTATAACTTTATTCTCGTAAAAAAAATGATTTTATTACGACTTAATCCTCGTCAGTTATGACTTTCCTACGACTTTATTCTGGTTAGTAATGACTTTAATCCCTAATATTCCATCGTAAGAGAAGTTTAAGTTACAAAACATACAAGTTATCTGTCTTTATTTTCAAAAATGATGGACTTTTAACGTCAATGAACATATACTGTATTTTTCGCACTGTGAGGCGCACATAAAATCCTTTTGGCTTGTCGCAGCACTGCAGCTACCGTAGCTTCACGGAGTTATTGAATAAGCTAAATAAATAATGCGCTTTTTAATCCAGTGTGCCTTATGTATGAAAACAGACGCAAATAGATGCGTTCATTGATGGTGCGCCGTATGATCAGGTGCGCCTTACAGTGCGAAAAATACGGTATATTTATAGTATTGTTTAGTTTCCAATGAGACATTTTTGTCCATGATAATCATGAGGTGAAAATCCTAAATCATGACAGCCCTGCTAACAATACAGAAAAGTGGTTCAAGACATTTGCTGACAGCTGAGCGATAATTTGATTGGCTTGTCACTGACACATAGACATACCAAATGCTCACTAAAGCTGTGAAATAGTGATTCATTGACCTCCCACAGAGCTTAATCGTTGTTCAACACAAAGAACTTTCCTGCCTTTGCACTGCGGCATCTTTCTGCAACTCTACAGAGATAACAACGGAGCGCACAGACATTAAGAAGCTTAATAAAGACACAATGACACATGTCTGTAGAGAAATCACGAGAGAAAAAGGAGAATGGCCGGGGTGCTGTGAGAGACACAATGAGAAGTCATCAGGAACACACACACACACACACACACACACTCTTAAATAACCAGTGTGTGATGCCAGCTTTTCTTGACAGATGGGCTCGACATAAATTGAACTGAAAGAGAGAGAGAGAGAAAGAGAGAGAGAGTGATAGAGACAGGGTGTGAGTCTGTTTGGTTTCTGTGTCTAAGTGTAAGTGTGTTAAAAAATAGGCAGACTGTATCGAAAAAGAGTCAAATAGGTCCACAATTTTATATGAGCAAGAATATTTTTAGCTCTAAAATGAGGAGACAGCATGTGGCTAGACCGGCGCCTGCACCCACACACGTACACACACACACAGACAAACACAATAAGAAGGTTACTGCAATTCCCATTAAGAGCAGAAGGGGAAATTAGACGGTAATTTTCCCGATGCATGTCATTAATCACTAACCCAACGGAGGTAAATGTCTGACTCACTGCTGCAACTCTCAAAACCCCAATGTCACTTAAAGACAGCTGCTGTGTAACTTTCCTTGTCACGTCGTCATGGTAATAAGCATCAGCACATTACCCTGTGTGGCTTCGGCTGAACAGTCAAATCATGATCGAGTTCAGCCGCCCAGATGCCTCAGATTCGTCCTGCTCTGATTTACATGATATAAAATTAAATATAAATCCGCTTCCTGTTGCAGCTTTATCTTTGAGGATTGAGAGGAGGAAGAGGAAATGGAAATTGGGAATTGGAGAGAGATTACAAGACGATGAGGAAACAGAGAGAGGAGAAAGAGAGGCACGGGGTGGAGAAGGGACCAAAAAACTGAGAGATCAATATCCTCAGTATAATTACCTTCAGCTTCCTGGGTTGCTAAGAGACTAAACAGAGAGGGACAAAGAAGACGAGGAGAAGGACCAGGCGGGAGAGAGAGAGGGAAAGAGAGAGAGAGACATAAAGGCGGTGAATAATTTCAAGGTTGTGCTCGTTTTTATTGTGTTTTGATAGCGCTCATGCAGACAGAGAAAAGGAGAGAATAAAAGAGAGTAGAAAGGAGAGAGAGAGAGTAAAATAAAAGTCTAAAGTGGGGTTGGGGTGAGGACGGAGTGATATGTCTGGTCTCAAGGGGTTTTGGTTGCATGAATAATTACTGAGATATTGACACAGCCCAACTCCTCTTCATCATCCACTATCCTGTCCTGGCCACCCTCTCCTCCCCATACTCATTTCTCATTTTACATTGTTATCAAAGCTTTTTCTTTTTTGGTTCTTTTTGATCATTTTTGTCTCGATTCCGACCCATTTTCACCCTTTCACCTTTGCTTTTTGGATTGCTTACTGATTCTGTCATTGTATACTTCCAAAAGATGAATAAAATGACAACCTCCTAAGTGTAAAGCCAAAACATTTAAATATAGTTTATAAGCTCACTTCCCTCCTGTATGAAGATGGATCATCATTCAAATTTTAATTAAACACATAACAAATAAGTTTCCTCAAATATGATTTCTGTTGGTTGTTTTCATTCTGATATATGTCTAAATGTTGAGTTGGAATAAGTTACTTCGTGCTAAGGCTGCAAGATATTGGAAATATTGGAACTAACATTGCAATATTTTTTCCAACCAAAATATTGCGATATTGAAAAATACAACAATTTTCACTAGATGACCTAAATAGCACTTTATGCTGAAATCTTGTGGACAGTTAACCTGCAGTTAATATTAGTAGAATGGCTCTTGTCTGTCTTAGAGATATTTTTAGCTTTTATTGTGTTGAGACTAGTTATCTCTCCTTGTGGCAACAGATGAACACAGAACACGTGTTTTGGTCGATGTCATCCTTCTTGTAACCGAAATAATTACAGATAAGTGACGTTGCTTTTCTTTTTGTCAACAAGTCTTCAGTGGTTTTCTTTTTTCGCAGAAACGCGCACCGCTTACAGTAGAGTGGTCCACTGAAATGTACAATTTAAAACCCATACAATTTTATTTGTGGGGTTTAACAGTGATGAGTAAAGTTCTGAAAGTAATTCTCAGCGGACACACGTTTCTCGGCACAACACAAGCAGCGCCAGCAACTCACTCCATGTGCAGGCGATGACAGGGGCGTGGTTTCCTCCTCTCTGATTTTGATTGATGGCTGGCAAGGAAGTCTGATTGGCAACTGAGTAAAGAACGAATGATTGGTGGATCGCTGCACAGCACATGCAGAGTCACATACAGTGTATCTCTGTGAGCTACCCTTGAAATTAGATGAGTTCATTCTCCTCTGACGTCGCAGGCTCTGCAATGTCACTACCACACACACATACATCGCAATGCTAAAACGGTATATCATGCAGCTCTACTTCATGCTGTAAAACAGGGGAACAACTGTGCAGCAATTGGAAAAAAATGTCACAAAAATTATTAACCTTTCCACAAACCAACTCAAGCAACAGTTGCATGGTTGGCCAAGTCAACACAAAGGATCTTAGCTGTTAAGTATCAGTCTTAAGTCTGTCAGCTTAATTTTGTTTTTACTTATTCTTGTCGTGTGGGGTCAGGAAGGCCACGGCTCAGCTCCTAGCATCCTTAAATCCTACGGACAACCCTGGACAGAGACTCAGTTCACTTCTCGCTTAACTGCAAATTTCAGATTTGTTAGTTGATTGGCTTTTCAAAGCAACAGTATTATCAGCATGAAGACAAAACACAGGCACTTCTCTAAAAAGCAAAGAAGACATCAACAACTGTATAAGGTCCTCTTCTCCATAACACTTCTGCTTTTGTTTTTTCTTCAACCAGTTCTGTAACACGACCAAAACCATTCCGTCTGTTTTCTTCAATTTGGTTGATGTCTTTTTCACTAAGCTTATTGTTTGCTAATGTACTGGACACCTTCCTCTGATGGATTTGATGTGGCATGTGTGATTTGGTTGCTCCTGACATCATTATTGATTACCTTTGTTTAGGGGTTTTGACCAATCAGAATCAAGTATTTCACACAAAACATCCCAGCAGTATTTTTGCTTCACTTTTGTGCAGCCACAGAAAGTAGAGATGAGTTTTTTCACTATTAATAAATGTGATTGTGGATCTTTAAACCTTACAATATTGAATAAGCATTAGGTGGACTAACCTTGAAACTACTGGAGGGCTATTGTCTCTCTCAGCATGTGTATATTATATCCAAACACAAAGGAATATCATGTTATATTTCAAATATAGCAAACAAACACTCCTCTCTTTTCACATTATACCAGAATAATCTGAATGAGAGTCGAATAAATGAAGTCATTCAGAGTAATAACCGCTGAATGGATTGAATGGTGGCTTGCTGAGAGGGATTTCATTTAATGGCACCATGAAAACACTGTGTCCTGTTCCTTTAAAATCAGGGAGAGGTTGGGGGGGGCTGAGAGAAGGGAGGGAGGGAGGGAGGGAAGCAGACAGGGAGCGAGTGAGCGAGAGAAAGAGAGAGGGAGACATAGTAGAGGGAAAAAAGGGGGATGTGGTGTGCACTTTGTCTCTGGGAGGCGTGTTGTGTGAGTGTGATTTGGTCAAGAGAAAGAAAAGTGACTTGTGGAGAAAAAATACTGAAAGGAGCAGCTTCTTTTAAGGATTTTTTTTCCTGGAGATAATCAAAGGAGCTGTTATTGATTTCACATTCCTACAGAGCATGTAGGACATGGAAATAAAGGGCAGATATCACTGACCTTTGGTGAGACGGTGAGAGCACTTCTGAGGATGATTCAACGGTCTTAGAGAGATTTTTTTTTAAGTAATATCCTGTTTTCACTGCTGGACTTTGTCTGCGAACTACAAAAACTATCAGAGAAAATTGCTCTCCAAAGAAAACTTTAATTAGCGTAATGTTTCTGAAAGCTTATAGGCAGCTGGACGTACCCTGGATTAGCCTGAAAGGTTTCTAAAGTTGACTCTCGCAGAATTATCACAGGATATTCCTCTCAGTCTTTGATTTCCTCTGCTTTTTATTGCAGATTGTGTGTTTAACTTGCGACCAAAGTATTGAGATGTCTTGCTGAATATACGACCAATCATTATTGATCAGTTTACCTGGCAATCAACGGCTGTCCTGATTCGAAACACATTAGAAGGAAGAAAAAGTGATGGCACAGAAAGAAGGAGGAACAGAGCAGGGCTGTGTAAAGACCGGGGAAAATCTCGGGGCCAAATCCACCATGGCGGGAGCCCCTACGGCCGGCGGAGGCGTGGTGGTGGAGGTGAGGGAGAAGAAAGGACCCCTGCGAGCTGCGATACCCACAATGCCTTTCCCTGTGGCGGTTATCTGTCTGTTTCTGAACACCTTCATACCTGGACTCGGTAAGTCAGAAATCACACTCTCTCGTGTGCAAAAGTTTTGCATCCAAGTCGTTTTATTTTGGAAGAAGATGAACCGCGAATAAAGTGAGGCGCAGAAGAGAGCAAACGTGAGGTGGAGTTCACATGCAGAGTTTAAATATAGAGAAACTAGAGACAGAGCTGTAGTGAAATAAGATGCACTGGGAGTTTACAGCCGGGGGTGCAGGGGAGCATACCAGCAAATATGATAAATAAACACAGAGGCAGGATTAAAGTAGCTGAGTATAAAGTTAACAAGCTGTGGAAAATAAACACTGTCCACTCTTTTTATTGCAAGACCACAAGTAGGAGTAAAAGTACAACTCTTCCTTAGTCTGTGCCTGAGCGTGCAATTTCCTGTGTGCATTTATACGTGTGAGAAAAAGAGTTAGAGAGTGAGACACTCCGTTCACACCCTGTGCTATAATAAGGAGCGTCATGGAGTAGAAGCACACAGAATCAGTCTGTCATGAGCTGATGCACGCTCTAAATGTGGTGAGTAGATGTAACTCTGCAGGTACAGCCATCATCACCTGGGGTATGAAATTACCACCAGTGTTATCATTAGCAGCCTTTATAGCGCTGCTGTGACGGGGGGACATGTTATCACAGCAGGTGCTGACATCTTCACTGAGGGCGGATCCAAATTTAGGTCACTATCATTGGTCAAAACCTTTATGAAATAGGTCAACGTAAAGGTATTATAAGATAAGATATTAAAGAGACATCATAACAAGCTGCTAACCTCAGATTTGGGCCACGATTTTTTCACTGCAAACAAGATTTACCTGAGGGTACAAATAAAATAATCTTTTAAGTAAGTAACCTTCTGTCAATAAAATAAGCAGAGATGTTCAAGTACACTCAGCTCATGATTTGAAAGGACGTAAGTAACAAACTCTTATTTGAGATGCTTTTATTTTGAAAGGACCAAAGGATTCTTCTTCTAAGTAAGTTAAACGAATGCACTGTCATGACGACCTCAGAGGGTAAATAATAATCGAACTTATGATATCCTGGTGGGGCTAACCAGGTATCTTATATGTGTGAGAAATAAGACATAAGAATGACCAATGGCACCCTCTGCTGTTTACAGACAGTATTGCAATTCTCTATTCATCTCACTGATTTGACCTGCAGGTTTGTATTGATTATGAACTGTTTCGCAGAGGTATGATAAGCTCATTCACCTTGTGTAAAAGGAGCTACACACTACCGAGCAAAACCCACAGGGTCTGAAACGGCTCCGCTCTGCTTAGGCACGGCCAGCGGATCAAATCCACAAGCATTATAATCAATTCTTCAATCAATCAATGATTCCACAGAATCCTTCCACTGTCTGGCTCCACTGCGGATTGGCTCTGGAGGTCGGATCAGACACGCAAGGCTTCTATTTTTGCCGGACGCCGGAGCACATCGCATCAATTTAGTGCAGCGCAGCATAAGCAGCAGCGGAAGTTTTATGCGGTAACAGAGTAAAATATTCGGTTAATTTTTTAAAATAAAATTAAGTCAATACATTTAACTGTTCTGAACTTGATAATAGGAGAGGCCAGGGTTGTGGGATGTGGGTGTTTATATACACCGCCATTTATCGATCGGTGGATCTTATTCTATGATTCCCGGGGAAACACACAAGATCTTGTGAGATCTCGTCCAGTCTCACGGGAAATATCGTAACCTCGCTATCGCTTCTCCTCCGATGGCAGATAGGATCCGGTGGGCGCTGTATGCTTGCACATCTGATCTGCCTGGCAGGCAGTTTATTTTTACGCCTTTATTTTAATTTTAAGTATATTTTTATGCCTTTTTGATTACTATTCAGCATCCTGGCAACACATTTATCCTGTGTTCGAGTTACCTCGGAAGTCAGATGTCCGAGCTGGGAATGACGTCACACCCCAGTTAACAGCATTTCAGTAACCAAGTCAGAAGAAAGCAAAATCGGAGGCGGAAACAAGATGGCTACATCTACAAAAGTTATTTTAGCGCTTGCCTTGTCCAAATATAAGCAAGCACAAGGTAAGCGCTAAAATAAATTTAGTAGATGTAGCCATCTTGTTTCAGCCTCCGATTTTGCTTTTTTCCGACTTATGCTGGTAACTCGGCGGGTGCCGTCATTTCCAACTCGGACGTCTGACTTATGAGGTAACTCAAACGCAGCATTATGCTTTTTAACTGACGACAAGTGGACCATAAACAGTATGCTAAAGCTAGTTTCAGTCCATTTGATCCATAAACATGTATGGATTTGATCCTCCAACTGCATTATCCAGGTATGTTAGTCAGACCATGAGAAGGTTGATTTCAGTTGGACTAACATGTCTTTTTATTCATATGGATTTTGGCGCCCCCTCTGGTCAAGGTCTCACTTCTTACATCTTAACTGCACATGTCCTTCATCTGCAAATGTAGTGCTTCCTAATAATAATAATAAAAAAAAATCTCCTCCCGCTGTCTTTCAACTGTGAAATTTATTACCTCTGTGGATATCAGCCTTGGGAAAATAATAGGCTTTTTTTCTCAGCAGGCTGTCAATCCCCTGGTCTGACACCCTCCCCCTCGCAGTGTGAACAGGCATTGAAAATTACAATATAGAAATCGTCAGTCTTGTTGCTGATAGTCTTGTTTGATTTGATAGGTCATAAAAGGCATCACTATTAATATCAGTCTGTTTCATAGCAAGAGAAAAACTCCTCGCAGTGGTTTTATGAGACAATAACATCACCGCTGCCATCTCTATATCCTTCTCTTCAGTCTCATATAAATTCCAGCTCATTATACTTCTCTTCTCTACATCTCTGCCTTTTTTTCCCCTCTTTTCCAATACCTAGATTTTAACCCTACACTTGAGTTTATGTAACAGCATCTGGTAAGCTGAAGACACACAGTAAAGTACGCAGCGTGAGCCTTATCTATACTGTATGTTGATCCTCACTTTGAACATGACAAAGCCTGTGGAGCCAGACGGGCTCACTGTATACACTGAACCATAAATCCTCTGTCATTAGGTATTTCATATCTCTTACAGCGGAGAGTCAGGGTTACATACACACTAATGAATCTCCATGGATGCAGAAATTCACGCGCAGGCTTTCTGTCATCCGAAGTAGTTCAGCTGAAGCACTTAATTTTGGCAGGGATGACAAATTTACTCAAGGAGTAGCTAAAAAAGATCTAGCTCAGAGACATAAATCAAAGAAGACAAAGAAAAGGGAATAAATTGAGCAGTAATGCACAATCAGGTGTCTTTTCTCTCACCTGTTATTCCCTTTCCTCTCACTTTCTGACACATTCAACAGTGTCTCTGCTTCAGCCTTTCTAGTAAATGTCAAATAAACGTGTGCTTGAAAAAGACGCTGCATGAGGAAACAAGGTCAGCTACCACTGTGACCCAAATAATTCACTTCCCTTCCACTTTTGGCTTGAAAATGTCCCTCCCAGGTTGCCTTAAAAATTTGTCTTTGGCATGATTAAAAGCATTAAGGCAACACCCCACGGAGAGATGCGTGTGTGTGTGTGTTTGCAGTGTGTGAGCGTGTGTGAGTTCAGTTTGCCCTGAATGCCTTGACATTTTATTGAATAGCTGCAGCTAGTTGCCATGACAACACCGAGCGAGGCAAACACAATGCACATGTGTGTATGCACTCGTGTGTGCGAGTGCGCTTGTCCGTGTGAGAGTGTGTATCAATGCCATTTGAGTCTAATTGAGCGAGGCTGAAAACAGCGGCTTGTTCTATTCATCCCTCGGACAAAACAAATGTGTAATTGAATTTGGACAAGAGTCAGAGCAGAGCACCATCTCCTGCAGAGCCACAGGTGGAGTAATACACACAGACGCACAGGCACATACATTTTATATACACATTTTTGATTACTTGTGGCAAAAACCTTTAAGCCAACGGAGACCTGTTTGTGAGATAGTATTATCTCAGTTTACTACTTTTGTGCTCTTATTATGCATTTTTTTAATGCAAACTGTTAAAGCACTCTGTAAATCCCTGTTTTTATGAATGCTATACAAATCAAATTATCATCATTATTATAAATTGGTTGGTGCAACAACATGGATGTCCAATAATAGATTATGTCTTGCAATCCAGGCAATGGCAGCAGAAACAGAGCCCAACTTCCAGTTACCAATCCCTACAATAAAAGAAACTTCAACCATGCGCAATAGTGATAATACCATCAGTGATGCCTCACTTTTTTTAAAGGTGTGTCCCATAGACTATATATGCTATAGACAACTCGCTCCGCCTTTTGCAAGTATACAGATTTGAAGCCAAAAAGCTCTCGGTAATTCTGCGTTTTTTCCTCCATTTCCTGAAACCAACATTTCAGAGTAGCGTCGTACGCACTCCACCACTTGTGCAGTAGCATTGTACGCATTCGGCGAGAGAGACGCTCAGGAGAGCTACGCAATCCTTTTACACCCATAGGCTGTATCAGGTGTCAATCATAGAAAACATGAACCCCCCCTAACAACTTTTAAGAACGGAGCTGTACAGAAAAAAGAGGACATGAGCACAAACCAGTCTGACAGTAACTACATGTCAACATCACAAGCAGGGGGGAAAAAATGTATATTCTGTGTAATTAATTTCTAAAGTTTGTCCATAACTCTATAAGCTTTGCTGGCGGAGGCGGGATCAATGACCTATACTGCAGCCCGTCACCAGAGGGTGCTGTTCTCGGGGTGGCATCACCCAGCAAGGAGGCAGACTGCCACCATTCTATATACATTCTATGGTGTGTCCACTGCAAAGCTGTAAGTAGGGAAAGAGCCAAAGAAAGTCAAAAGTGAACATGTTTATTCTTGCAGAAGTCACCTCTGTCTAGCTATCAATGGAGAGATGTGACTTAATTGTGAATTGAAATTTTCATTTGAATATGAAATAAAATTAAATAAATAAACAGGAAGAATAAAAACACCTTGTATCTGCCTCTTAGTTTCAGCAAAAGGAAAGAAAATATTCATAGAAGCACCTTTTAAACCTGACGACAACCACCTGTCTTGTTTATTCCATACACAGAAGTGTAAGAGAGGGCGAGAAGTGTTTGTGGAAGTCAAGTGCACTAGTCTTTTTTCATGGAGTACAGAGATGGATGAAGAGATAGCAGGTAGAAAGTACTTTCTTTAAGAGAGTAGTTGCCTTTGAACCAGTCTTTCTTCGACATAGCTTCACCATCTATTTTAGTGGCAAAATAAGTCCTTCAAATTAAACAGCAAGAAAAACTACAAAAAAAAAAAAAAAAAAAACGAGTCCATAAATTGAAAAATGTCCCTTTAAGGAGCTGTTCCTTCCCTCAAAATGTAAGTCAACAAAAAGTAAATTAAGAGTCTGTACTACACCCAGAGCTCTGTGGAGTGTTGGTGGATTCAATCTGACAAGCTCCCTCTCCTGAGTCCACTTCACATTAATCTTCTCTGACGTTTCGCCAACAGAACCTTAGACTGTCTCCACAATGTAATGAAGGCGGGGTGAAAAATCTATTGGTGAGTCCTTCTGAAGATGTTAGCCTGTATAAATGTTATGGTATCTGTCAGGTGTGACTGATTACTTTGTGTGGGAAAACAAATACCGCTGCTGGAGCTGTGTTATGATCTTTGCCTTAAGAGGGTCAGAGAGGTTGAGGCAGTGACACTGAGAGTTAAAGTGAATATATGATTCAGCCCACAGTGTTGGAGCGTGGGTGGCGGCAGTCACGTGTGATTTTGAAGACACTGGATCCGTTTTATGTTGACATGCTTTCAAGTGTGTGTCAGCGAGAGGACTTCTATTTTCAAGGCCGAAAAAGACTCATCTTTGTGGGGAAAAGAATTCGACCATAACATAAAGCTTCTTTTCATTTAAGTCGCATTAAAACGACCTGCTTTCTGTACTTCGACTCCCATCAACACTATATCTGCTGCACATATTGTGACAGTCTGTTCGAGGCTTATAAAAGCCTCTTTATTGCAGACACATAATTTAATTTCTGCTGCTGCTCAGAGGTGTTACCACAATGAGCAGTCATACACAGATATACACTCGGGTATGATGCCAGAAGGGTTTAACACCCCTCATGACCTCTTCTGTCTCATCTCCAGCTGTCTTTATGCCGTTTTTCAGCTAATGACAAGTTTCAATTCTATATGGCCGAGCTGTTTTTCCACCTAATGATGTTTTTTCCTCTTAAATAAAGTGCACTATGATATGATTGACGTTGATATTTGGCAGCCTTGGATTTTTATACGTTGTCAGTCACTGGGTTATGATGGGCAGGTTTAAAAAAAAAAAGGATTAAAAGATAATGATAGGCATGGCAGTTCTTTTAGATGTACTGAATCAAGAGAATCAGTTCACCAAAATGAGCCTGCGACTCCGACCTCCTGAACTGATACACAGCTGAACGTTTCAGGATTCAGTTCAATTCATAGTTTCTGGGACCGGGAGACGAGAGTGTTTGGCTGTGTTGCTTAAACAGGTTTGTAAAAATGAACTTGTTTATTAGTCATTATGTCTTAAGTGTACTGTCCTATGGTATGCTATTGGGTAAATTGGGCCCAGTGAGTGATTCATTCACTGAACGTTTAGAAGAATTCACACTGAACATGCACAGCTGCAATGTTAGGATGCTGCAGGTTTCATGCGCTACCTTGTTACATGCTGTGTCCTATTGTATGCAAGTTGTTGTGGTGGCAATTTAGTGTTAAAAAATAAAAGGTAGTTTTGTTAGACAAAAACGATTCTGGAGAGTATAGTTCAATGCCAAGTGATTCAGGCGTTGGTGCATGCGGTCCCTCGTTCACGGCTGCTCACCTAACAATGCTGCGTGCTATAGACAGGTTTCTTGTGTACAAACAACACTAGGTGCGCGCGCAACCATGGGGCAAAAGCCGGCTTCGGAGTGAACTGATATCAATGAAGATGCCGTATTGTTTGCAAGTTCTCCCTGACACAGTTGCAATAAAATGTCATTTCATTGAAAAATCGCTTTGTCTTTCATTGCATCAAAATCAGAAAAACACTTGCCGAAACATCCATGAATTTCACTCAATTTACCAAGTTGTGACGTTGTTTTAGATGTTTCTAATATCAGGAGCAGGGTTGTAATGTTTGCCGATTGTTTGTTTTGCCGATTCGTGCAGTTTACAGCACAACAGCTCCTTGTCATTTTCTTTCTCCATTGACTCCGCTAGTAAACAAATAAGAAATGTCCTGCTTTCTGCCCCAAGGCTGCGCGCATACCTGCGATGACGTTGCACAGAAACTCGTCTATAGCGTTTCTGACAGCTCAACTGAAGTGAGAGATGAACGAATCACTTGAGGAAGTGATTCAGTTCAGTACGTTCACTTAAAAGATTCGGTTCTTTTGAATGAATCGTTCATGAATGATGCAACACTATTAAAAAAAGCTGAACAGATGGTCAAATTCAGAAGAGATGCATTTAGTGCTCTAGTGGGAATCATCATGTCCCATTGGAGTCACAGATACACGTCTTTTCTCGAAATCCCTGAGCTCCATCATGCTGTAGGTTCCTCTGGATCGCTGCTGCAGATGTTTTGCTGCTTCATCTACATGCATCAGTTTAACATCTATCCATCTCTCTCTCTCCCCTCTCTAAACCAAAAGCACTAGCAGCAGCTTGACAACGACAGTTTAAAATGATGTATCTTTGTGAATCGGTGAATTTTAGTTCCTCACAATCATCCTGTGACTTTTCCAACACTTCCTGACTCCAACACCGTCTCCTCTTTAACTTCTCGTTCTCTGTCCTTCCCCATTTTCTCTCCCTCTTATGTCTCTTTCTTTGTTTCTCTCTGTCTTTCACACTCTAACACGCCGTCATTAACCTCCCACACGACCAGTGGGTGCTTTGTAGAGTTCTCCGTGTAATTATAGTCATTTGTCTGGGTAATATCCAGGCGCACACACTTTATTTCCCACATTCGATACGTACAGGGTATCCAAGAGCTTTTCACACACGGGGGACTGTTAAAGAAGATTCCTGATCCAAGAGGATTCAGGATTTATTCAAGCTTTTTAATTGCAGTGGTGGATTGCTCTCTTTCATTTAATATCCAACCGCGCACAATAAGTTCGCTCTTTGTACAGATGAGTCCTGGGTAGATTGAAAGGCTCTGAAGGAGGTCAGCGGCCACAAAGCTCCAACCATTGAATATTCTATGAAGAGGAGTCTTAAGATTAACGTGATCGCAAGATTTCCCTCATTTATTTATAGATATTCCACTTAACAGCCAACCTTGACATTGTCAGGTACATGAAAAGGCACAGAGGAGCATGACGAGACACCTCAGGAGAGCCTTTCTTGGTCTGTTGGCAGGTTTTGAATAAAAGTGTCATCCTGAAGTATGTCAACAGTTTCTTAGAGATGGAAGCCACAAATTTTGACAAATGTATGGAAAAGACATCCGACTACAGTTCTCAGCAGAGCTTTAGCATTTAGCTCGCATCTGTTTTTTTGTCTGCCGCTCTCATAGATGTTGACGATAAAAGCAGGCGGCTTTTTTTAGCCCCAAAAGTTAGAAACAAAACAAGAGGCTAACTGTGTAAGAACAAAGAACAAATAGGGTTTTCCACATTAGAGGAGGAGGAAGTCATGCTGGGCCACGTCAGCAGTCATGGTGTGAACCACGGAGAGAACTGAAAACTGGGCAATAGTGGTGGGCAAAACCGGTCATTTCAGTGAACCGGATCATTTCGGGTCGTTCAGTAAAAAGACCCGTTCATTTCGTTCTTTTCGGTCATTAGTCAGAAATTAGGCAAAGTTATAAAGATGTTTGGTGGCTAGTACTATGGCTAGGACCCTATATGTACTGTTGATAAAGTTAGGTGCTGTTCTGAGCATTATTTGTGACTATAGAGTGGCGTTTCGGTTGAGGTTTGTTTATGGCTCCTCAGACCGCTGTGTATTACTATCGTGTGATCGTTACTAAAGTTGGTATAACTAGAGAAGCAAACGGTCGGTGGCATTCATCTCTCAAGGGGGTGTCTAACTCGGTGTTATGGTGTGTTTGTCCAGAAATTATTTTTATGCCGGAATATCCCTTTAAGCAGCACAATGAAGACCAAAGATGGCAGTCTTGCTGACTTGACCTACATGTGTCAATAAGCCATGCCCTAATTATAGAATCTATAAATCGGTATATGCACAGTTAAGTCTGAAACACTCAGGTACATGAATTCTTATCATGTGTTTGTGTACACTTCTTTTAAACACAATAGCTTCCAGATAAATGTTGAGTCTAAAACCCAGAGTGTCCACACTGTATGAATCTCGTCTCAACAGCAGAAGATAAAGGTGATGTCTTACCACTCAGCCACCAGCTCGCTGTCAATCATAGCGCATGTGTGGAGGTGGGTAGCTCCACCAGCAGCCAGAGCATCTGCTGGTGGGCGTGGCCTCCGCGACCTGAACATTTCTGATCAGACCATATCGGCTCTGGGTGGAATCTCATTTTAGCCCACTGTTGCTCTTTCTGTCAGTCACTTTAAAATGAGCAGCACACTAAAGCTTTAAAAGGAAAAGCAAATCCCTATTTCATGTCTTATCTGCCACAGAAACCTCCTTTTTTTCCCCCTTGACTTTTCCAGCACTGCTTACTATTCTTGGATCATGTTTGTACCACAGTTTGACTTTTTGGAATTCACTCCAGATAAGGCCATGCAGGCCATGTGAAAGTAAACATTTATAATCTACACTCAGATTTACCATAGTTTATGGGACGTTTAGAGTCAATATCTAAGAGGTACATGCTTCTATAGAGAGGTTTTATGACATGGTTCTCATTAGTCTGGTAGATTTATGTTAAACCAGAAAAAAATGAACGGAAAGAGAAGAAAGTGTTAAGAAACTAACTTCATTAGAAGTTGATTCTTTGTCTTTTGTAGCCCCAGAAAATAAGTTACAGTAGTTCGGTCCCTCTCTGCTTGTCTTACTCTGTTTTCTGAAATCTTTTGATATCAAAAGAATTGGAGCGAGCAGAAAGAAAAGGACCAAGGTCACGATGCACACAAGACCTAGCAGGCATGTCTCGTGTCACAGCCGGTATTCACTGTGTGGAGCTCAGTGTTTGTAAAAGGACACAAAAACCCTGAAGAGAGTGACTAAGAATCAGCTGATTCCATCAAGAATTTATGCGCAGAGAGGAAAACACTTTATTGATGTCTCGACTCGTGTGCTAACCTTTAGATGGAGATGATATTGTCAAAGAACATCCCTACTCAGAGACTTTCTGAATGAATACATTAAAGGGATTGGAAATAGGTCACTACTCCCATTAGCTGGTACTGCTAAAATCAGACTTGGTAACACTTTACAATAACCATAATTTATAAATGGTAAATAGATAATTAATGTAAGCTCATAGTTACTTTACCATTAACAAGCAATGAAATTATGATTAATAATTTTCAATAACTATTAATGGACTATTTATTAAAGGTTTATATAGGGTTTAAATATTGGTTGTAAAACATCTAGATTAAACTGTGTGTTTGTAGCACTTTGGAAATGGCTAATATTTGGTTTTTAAACCATCTATAAAAAAAATGGCACTAACCCCCATGTAGTCACCTATATAGGGGTTAGGGATCCATTTCGGACACAGCCAAAACCTATACACCAGCCACATCACGACTTTTCCTAAATGTGTGTATATTTTATCATTAAGATTTCAAAACACAAAAGAGATCTGAGTATTACTACCTCAAACTACCAGAGCACTCAAATTGACTTCATGCTTTTTACAAAGGGTGTTATCTGCTACATTTTCCCGCTCTTTCTCCTGCTCTATTGTTTGTTTTGTACTCTAAGCTCTCTGAAGCTAAAATCTTGCTATAACTTTACTCAAAACTCAAGAGACTCAAATGACAACTAGAGGAAAAATGTCAAGTATGGAGGCTTTAGCCTTGCTTCAGAGCCTTGATGAGGAAGAATCCAATGGATGAGTTCAGGGGAAGGATGTGTTTTGGTATTTTGAGGAAGGTTCTTAAAAATCTCATACACCATGATTTTCATTTTGTGCACTGATGTGTTTTTTTACATATTGCACCAATTTATTATCAGTTTTTACTGTTGATTATCCAAATTATGTGCAAAAAATGACTGCTTATAGTCATTCTAGTAGTTGCAGAATTTTGGTAGACCATGTGTTAAATCATCATTTTCTTTAGCATGATGCTGGATTATGTTACAAATTTAGATTTAAGTGGGAAAATCTGCCTGAAGAGAATCAATGACATGAGGTAGAGCTATAATACAGACACAAAAAAAATATCATGTCATATATATATCATGATCCTGAGGGGATGTTGTCATGGAAACATCCAGAAATAAAATAATCTAATGTGTCTGCTTGTGTGAGAGACGTATGCAAAGCACAAACACAGGAGGAACCCACGCACACACATACACACACACACTCACGGTGCATTTATTGTACAGTAACAGGCCCTGGTAAGGTCAAGATCTTTAGATAACAGGAGAGAGAGTGATATTGGATTTCATTCAGGCAGACAAGGGTTGTTCTCAGAGGTAATCCTGTTTTCAGCTCTGTGAATGTTGGCTTCTCTTCCAGCTTTTTCTCTAGAGCGTACATCTGCTGCTCCCAAATAACTGTGACCCACTAAAAAAAGGGCCACACACAGGGGAGAGTGTATCATCTATGCCGTTCTGTCTCTGTTGTTTTCAGCTTTGTACAGCTCAATAAAGAATGAACGTCCATATTTTTGTTTCGCTGGTGTTAAGCTTCGACATAACGCTTTTGAAGATCTCTTTGGTCGTGTTTACAGCTGAGGCAAGCACACGTCTCTTCTGCTTTATTTTATCGTAAATTATCGGCTGTCTGGTGTATTTCATAAGAAATTAAACACAGAGAAATCTCCTCTAAAGTCTTTGTGTCACGTTGGGCTAAACACACCATGGAGATAAATGCAATGTTTGAAATTGAAAAAGCAAACCAGGATGAAGCTATTTAAAACATGTTTCTTTCCGTCCACAGGTACGTTCATCTCAGCGTTCACGGTGCTGTGTGGAGCTCGCAGTGACCTGATCTCAGAGCGGGGGCTATGTTGTGTGTTCTGGCTCAACGTCGCAGCGGCGCTCATCCAGATACTGACAGCAGTCATCATGGTGGGATGGATCATGAGCATCTTCTGGGGAATGGACATGGTCATCCTGGCAAGTCAGTACCTGAAACCTGTTTTTTATCCACTTTTTAATCCACAAAACATTCCTTAAAGTCCCACTCCGATTGTTTTTCTTTACTACTTAAAGTGTTCTCGGTGGTCTTTAAATAGTGATTATGAAGTTTTTTGCCAATATCGCGTTACTTATGTTATTTTTAAGGGCTTTTCTTCTGCAGAGCTCCAGTAGCTCATTAGCAATTCGCCTCTGAGTCGTGGTCGGAGACAGCGCTGCTCTGCACACTCCTCTTTACGCTAGCTTGTAGCCTAACATTGCCGGTGAAGTAGAAGAGGCAGGTAACATAGGAGCTATTCAGCTCTCGCACACTAATGTCTATGGGGACACAATGAAAGCTTATATCATAATTAGCTTTCTTATGAGTATTGCAATCTGCTAACACACACTTATTCCGTTATCATCCTCTGCATTTCTTGTCTCCTGGGGCGGCGCTTGGATTGGTTACGTATGAAATCTCACTGTTTCTGAACCTGCCATTTGGCGATTTGAATGAAGAAATACTTAGAGAAGCAATTTCACATTTAGTTGTCACATGATATGTCTTGTAGCATCAGAAAAATGCCAAATGAACGTATAAAAAACAAGAAAAACATGATTTTCATCAGAGTGGGTCGTTAAAAAGTCCAGAAATTCCCCTGTGAGTCATTTTAAGGTCATGTGAGAACGTAACAACAAATCTTCCAGATATTTCACTTCTAGAAGCGTCAGAGGAGTAGCTGGTGTTCTGACTAGTCCCACTACTTGATATGAAGCTTTTAAGATTTTTAAAGACTCAGTGGTTTTACTCATAGACTGTATATAGAATGGACAGCGTCTGCCTCCTTGCTGGGTGAAGCCACTCCGAGAACAGCACCCTCTGTTGGCAGGCTGCAGTATAGGTCATAAATCCTGCCTCCGCTAGCAGAGCTTATGGAGCTGTGGACGAGCGTAGCTCACCCGAGGGATACGCTGTTTGAGCAGAGCGTCATCACAGCGTCTCTCTCGCTGAATGCATACAACGCTTCTGCGCAGCGCTGGTTTCAAGAAATGAAGAAAAATCCTGGAAATACCAAGAGCTTTTTGGCTTCAAATCCGTATACAGACGAGAGGCGGAACCAAGTTGTCCATAGCATATACAGTCTATGGTTTTACTCTTGTAGGAGTCGTAAAAACATTACATCCTGATGGAGACGTCACGCTGTAAGGATGTTTAAGTGTAAATGGCACAATCGTGCGAGTAAACTTGAAATTTTCCACTTCATTGACACAACTTGAAAAGACCAACAGCATGAAAAACAAGAAACTATACTCAGTATGTGGTTTTGCAGAGATAGAATTAGGTCAGTGTTAGCACTTTTAAACACAAGGTCACGCTTCGACTCACCACAGCCTGGGAGTTATGGGAAATAGGTCAGTGAAACTTCTCTTTGGTATTTTCGTTAAATTTAAGACACTCTCACTACAGAAACAGCAACATCATTTATCTGTAACATGCTCTTTTGTTTGGCTCATTTTCAGTAGGTCCCACCTCAGTGGCCTGCTCGCATAGATAATAATCTCTATGGATCACTTTGCTAAAGAGCAGTAGTGTATTTGTGACCCAAATTGAAGGATTTAAGACTGAAGTCGTGACCTAGCTTGGAGAGCCAGACATATTCGGGGGAACTGAAAATGCGTTTGGTTCGTCTGACTTTCACGCAGCAGAGACATCAGCTGAGAAAAGCGATGTGTGAAAGATGAATTGAAATGGTTTCATCTGGGTCTGAAAAGTGGAGAAAGAGAGGGTTTCTAAAGCTGTTATGAGTTTGACAGAAGCAGCTCTGCATAACACCTTTTTTTTCTCAAACAGCTTCGACCTCTTTCCTGCAAAATACAACACGCAAGCACACACACACACACACACACACACACACACACACACACACACACACACACACACACACGTACTAGATGTGAGAAAGAGAGAGGAAGAAGCAGAGGTAGATACAGAGAGCAGAGATGGGTGGGGGGTATAGTTTTACCTCCTTCCTTGTCAGAAAGTGGCGTCTTCTCTTAAGGCAGTGAAGCATGAGCACACACACACACACACACACACACACACGTGCGCGCACACACTCACACATTCAGTCCCTATTCTCTCATTGCACAGAGGCAGCCTTTGAATTACCACAGCGCTGTCTCTTGTGTGTACACGAGTGTGACTCTGCGAGTGAGGTAATTGCTGCCTGTGTGTGTGTGTGTGTGTGTGTGTGTGTGTGTGTGTGTGTGTGTGTGTGTGTAACCAAATGTTAGTACACAGATGCCTGCAAGAATCTGTGTGTGTTCGTGTTTGTGTGTGTGTGTGTGGGAGTCAGCAGCCCCCCTGGTGTTTTTTTGTTCACTGCTCCCCACTGTTCCTCAGGCCTCTGGGCACACGTCTCATTCAACTGTTGCTGCTAAAATCCATACGCCTGTTAGCGCGCACGCCGCCGCTAGCAGCGGTGCGATGAATATTTATACTGAACATGAAGGCCAAACTCTGGGGGTAAAAGCATGCACGCTGTTTGCTTCAAAGATTGATTATTATTCACGTATTCATCAGTACAATGCATGCAGCTTTGAAAGTGCTGCTATTCCCTCTATCTTTATGCAATGAATCACTTTGATATATTACCGTTTTCTCCTTCCCGATCTAATGAGCCCGAGTCGTAATTTATTGAGTTTCTCTCCCTGTACTTCCATCTTTTAAAAACATCCCTCCATCCCTTTCTTACACCACTCCCTCTCCTCTCTTTCTCCATCTATCTCATGATGATTGTATCATTCTCCTCCCACTGATTGCCTTACTCTTGCGTCTCTTTTTCCTTCTAACGATCGCCTCTATTTGATCCATCTATTCTCCCTCTCTTTCTCTCTCTCTTTCACATTATTCCTCCCACTCTCTACCCGCCTCAGTTTCTTCATCAGCTCCCTTTTTTTTTTTACATGTCTTTGTGTTTACTGCCTATCGATCCAACAAACCAGGGTTGTGTTACCGTTCGTATATGGGTTAATCTGATCCTGAAATGCATCTGCTTTCGTTTTTTTGTGTAGCATGAAATTATCTACCCTCCAAAAAGATTACCTCATGTTATTCTGGCCAATTTCTGTCAGATTTGAGTGAAAAAGTCAAACAAAGAAGTTGGTTTTCACCCCTAACTGAATCTCTTTTTTTGTTTTCTCCTCCCTCCACTCTCCATCTTCATGAACCAAAGTTTCTGACGGTAGGTGTTTCTCTTTTACTCACTTTTTAACATGTCAGGAGTATTAAAAAGAAGTCTGAATACATAGAAACACTCTACAGGTGTGAGGAAAAAGTTTAAGAAGTGAAATTGTTATTATAAAAGGTCGACATTCGATGACCTCGAGCCTATTCCTAAAATCAGAACAGTGTGTTCCTGGGTAGCTTACATGTTACAGCTGTAATACACAGACTTTTATGCCTATAAATTTACATCCCTAAAATGTCCACGCCCCAAGAGAGGTCTCAGAAACCTGTTGTGATGTTGCCCACTCCAGTCTAAAGAGGTTTTCTGAAGGTGACCAAATTAAGATCCTTACACACCGGCACCGTTTTTGTCGTGCGATTATTTCGGACGTCAAATTTGTTTTCGAACCTGCATCCTGTCAATACAAGCGTTCACATCAGCAATGTTTTCCCGTCCTGCGATATTGCGGCATTTATTTTTTCGGATCATGGTCGATTTTTCACAGTTTCACATACTGTGTGTCCACTTCTGACCAATCAGATTGCGTGTTGTTGCAACGTCTGATTCACCGGTATAGCCAACATGGCCGACCGGCTGATTGTTTACGTGTCAGAGAACAGAGTGATTTATTTTGATAAAAGACACAAACATTACAAAGATAACGACCTGAAGGACAACTTGCGAACAAAATTCGCCTCCGAATATTTCGTAATTTTGCGTTCTATATTCGCGTCGGCCCTGGTGTGTAAGGACCTTTAGAAATGCAGACTTTCAGGAACCAGACAGACAGGTAGAGTTGAGAAGAACCTCCAAGCATTCAGTTTAATCAACTCCACCATGTGCCTATTTATGCAAATCGATGTATACAGCTCTTATGTTGTGCTCCAGACATAAATGAAATCACTTGCACGAGTGAAGTGAGAGCAATTGAGTGAATTATATGTATATAAGATGCAATTTGTGAGGCACTCAAAGCGCTTCTTGAATCATTCATGAGAGTTGAAATATCTGATCTGAATCACTCGTGCACGGTAGCCAATCAGCACAGAGACCCCCTGGTGACGCGTTAATAACAGATCAGTGAAGATTTACTCATTTGGAAAATTGAGGATGGACTAATCTTGATATGTGATACCTGAGCTTTAGGATAAACTAGTATTGAATATCCACACAGGAATAAAAAGTAGCAGTAAGACAGAAAGTCAGATTATCTGGATGATAGTCGAAACACAACAGATCCTCACAATTTTGTCAACCTCAAGTGATGCAAACAGACTGAGGGGAACTCATAATTTTGCATTACTTAATATGTTCATTAATATGTTTAACGAACGTAAATTAATGTGTCCACGCTCTTCTCTAGATGTGATATATGACATTCATGTTGATTTAGTGAATAAACACAAAATATTCAGGTCTACAAATATGCAGAGAAAGGGAGTTTATAGTTTATTCATGTCTGGCTAGAGCAGAACATTAGTCTCAATTTCTTTAAAATAAATGTCTCATTTCAAAATATCATCCCTGGTAAGTATTGAGGAATAAGGAAATTAAGTTTTTAGATCAAAACTGTTTTTAAACAGGCGGATTTTTAAATTTTGCTGCGAAATTAGACATTTTGATATGGGTGTTTGGGAATAATGGGAATTTCTAGGTTTTTGCGACCAGCCTCGTGTGGCCACCCAAGGAACTGCAGTTTTTTTACACATGCATTGGCTTCACATTTTAACACCAGGGTTGCTGCTTTGGCACGACATAACATCAAAAGCACCCCCTGTAAGCGTGATAATGATGAGCTAATTAGACCTATCAACACAACATGGAAATGGATAACCGTGCAGGTATTAGTAGAAAAATAAAAGACAAGAAAATTACTTTCAATCTACGGCACAGTGAGAGGTCGTAGTCAATTCAGGCTGCTGCAGAAAACACTGGAAGGTGACAGAAATGTGGCAGTGAGCATTAAAATGTTCCAAATCCGCCTTATCCAGGTTATTGAATTTTTAAAAAAAGCAATAAAATAGGAACCTGTCTTTATATCCCATCACTCTGTGCAGGTAAAGTACAATAAGAGTGAACAGACAGTGCATTGGTGCTTTAGTTTGTACAGGGAGTCAAATAAAACCTCTTTTTCTCAGTTAAATTAAGCCAAAAAAACTACTTATTCATTTGCTTTGAACTAAATTGAATTAATTGATCAGACCGAATTGTTCCTTATTTTAATGAAATGATCCTTTATTAGATCGTAGCTATCAATGAATGAATCAGATAAGATCCTCTTGAAAAGGAGGTGCCATGCTGGAGGAACATGTCCAAACTCTGCTGATGCTCGATAACAAATGCCTCGCTCCATTTTTCAGCGTCAGTCTTTGCTCTCACTTCTCTAAATGGGAAAAAAAAATGTTTGAGGTTGGAATAAATGTTTAGCATTGTGAAGAGCTCATTAAATTCCTCCTCAGTGAGATTGAGGCTGTAAAAGGTACATTAAAGACTTCACTCGCTCATCTCCACATCCCTCCCCTCTGTTTTCCTCCTCAGGCTACAGAGACCAGGGTCTTCCCCAGGACGTCTGAATGAGGCCGCTCTCTTGTCTGCTGATTGATTTCACTGACAATTTGACCTCCTCCATGCCTCATGGTGACTGGTTACTGTAGTGATGACCTGTAGATGTCTCATTTATTCAACGCCAGAGGACAGAGACATGAAAATATATAAATATTAACCTCAAGAAGAGAGAAAGAAAGAAGACTGAGAAATCCTCGAATCGCAAGCTGCTGATTGGTTGATGCCCAATCAGTACAGTGTGAAGAGATGGAAACAGTTCAATTACAAATACTACGATGGATAATAAAAACAAGTGTTCAATAATCTGTTTAGTGAAATAGATTTGATCTTCTTTGTGTTTTTGGTGATTTTTTTGTCATTTCATTTAAACCATTAATTTAAGAAAATAAGGATATTGATTCGCTTTTATCATTTTGCAGGATGATGAAGATTAATCAGTCAATAGTGTACATAGAAAGGTTGAATTGATTGTGCATAATACACCGCTGGGCTCTCTTAGTCTTTGTAATAGACACCTCCTGCAGTTGCATAAAGACGCTCAGACCAGATGCAAACTGTGTTCACAGGAGGTAATTTGAAGGAGCTTAAGTGCATCGTCAGTTAGCCGTGATCGAACTAAAAGGGAAGCGGGTGAGACGGAGAAGACAGCGGCTTTAATTATGGTTCGATGGTTTCTGCTGCATCCTGGAAACTGTAACACAGCATCAAATCACTTTAATCGAGTTCTTGAAGATTTTCCAATTTGGATTTCCTGTTTTTTGTCGGATTGTTGTGTCACTTATAGTCAATTCACAACTCCCACTTCAAATCTGTGCTTTGCCATTGAATTTCTCTGTAGTTTCATCCCGTAAAAAAACAAAAACATTCACTTCTGATCCGAACACAAAGATGTATCCTAATTGGTCTCATGTAAAGACAAGCATCCAGTGAGCTTTAGTGGCCTTTATATATAATATTTCAGTATTATCGTTAAAAAAATAACTTGACAGCATATTTTCAGGAAATTACTCTGCACCAAACACCTGCAAACATCTCTATTAGTGTACAGTACTCTAGCTCATTCATGATCCTAAGGTAACACTCGCAGCTACTACAGGTGCTGAGTTTCTGCCTTTTTTTAATGCGGTAACATTTCACAGTCGTCTTGAACAGGCTGCTGGGCAAAAAAAGGCGTCGCTCATCCCAGTTTTTGTAGAGCTGTGTTGAAAATGACTCATCATGCCTCCTGATTGTGATTTGATTAGAAGCTTCACACCTCTTAAAATGTGTAAATCAGTGTCAGAGGGATTTTACACGTTATTATCTAATCAACAGTTCCCCGTGAGGAACACCGCAGTGTCTGCCACATCAGGACGGTGATGTTACTTTTAAAAAACTCAAGATTTTCATTCAAATAAAACGTCCATTTTGTATGTATGTTCTGTATATATCGATGTGTGAGTGTTTGAAATTTTTAAGAGTATATTGTGTGGCCTTAGTGTAACCGTGTCTTATGTTGGAAGACTTGTGCATACAAAAGTATAAGATATATTGCTGTAATATATTCAACACAACTGCCTTGGAACAGTGAATCCAAACAAAGCCTTGACTTTCCTGCGATACTGTATCACCGGCTCACCTCCCTGAAAGATTTCCAGCAGGATTATAAAAGCCTGAGGGTTAACGCTAATGGAAAATGTGGACTAAATAGAAACACCTCAATGACTGAACAAACTGACTCGCAGCGCACAGATTTTTACTTCTGGTGCACCCGAGGAAGATTCTTGTTTAAAAATGGCTGTACCTTCAAATTTCATGTGCATACTGGTAATTCAAAATGTGCTTTAACTGTCCTCTGCATTTCTTTTTTTTTGGTAACCCTTTCTTTATTACCAGGTAATTAACAGGTAATTACCTAGTAACAACATGAAATGATCTGGTAATTACATGATAACTACTAAGTCAATACGGTCTTGTTTTTCTTTTTTTCTGTGCAGCTCCATTTTCAAAAGCTATTTGGGGTTCTTATTTTCTATGATTAACACTTGATACAGCCTACGGGCGTGCGAAGATTGCGTAGCGATACGCTGTTTGAGCCGAGCATTATCACAGCGACTCACACGTCGAATGCGTACAATGCTACTGCGCAAGTGGTGGTTCCAGGAAGCAGAGAAAATCCTGGAAATACCAGAGCAATTTGGCTTCAAATTTGTATGATGATGGAAGGATACCTACCTGGTAGCTACAGTATTGACTTAATAGTTATCATGTAATTACCAGATAATTTCATGTTGTTACTAGGTAATTACCTTATTACCTGAAATAACACAATTTTCTTATCCAGCTGCCTTTTACAAGAGTTCTGCTGTATTTTGGATGAAACTGTTTTCTATGTTTTTAATGTATATTTTGGTGTTTTTGTGAGAGACAGATGTCTCTAACGGTGATGATGTTTTCTGCCTGACAAAAGCAGAGACTGATTTTTTCATGTAAGTGTTTGTGTAGCAGTGAGACTAATGTTTTTTTTTGCTTTTTTGTGTTTGAGTGTGATGTACAGGTCTTTAATACTTGTTTTATTATAATCCACCTGTGAGCCCTTAAAACTGACTCCGTTTTGCTTCAGGTGAAACACATCGACATTGTGACTTTTTTTAAGATAGTGGTGTTGTACTAGTTTTATGAGCGTAGGATGAACATACTGCCGTGTACAGTTTTCTGCATTTGAAGCTTTGGTGTGAAGTCACTATATAGAGTAATACACACGCAGAGTTACTGTTTTCAGATCGTAGCGTCGTTCTGTGACTTTGCCACAATAGTTTTATTTTGAGATGACTGAAACAAAATTAAAAACTCTTTGTTTCCAAATCCTCAATTCTTGTGACTTAACTGAACTTCTTTTTGGCTAACTGAAAAGACTTTTTCCAGCTGGTCCAGGGATTTCTCCTCTAAGACACAAAGACAAGAGCAGATTGTGTTTCTCCTCAAACTGAGAACTTTTCCAGCCTGTGTTTTTCATACTGATGGAGCTGGAAGCCAAGTATAAAAAGCACAAAGGTCTTTCATGAAGGTCTTGTCTTCATGAGCTACTTCATAGCCTGTGTTGTACTGTGGACAGTCCCAATTATCCCATCACTTTCTCTGTATAGATAATTATATGTGTCTGCTCTGTAAAACTTGATATTGAATGTATTTCTATGAGAACAAAAGTCAGGCATGGCTGCAGACAGGCTTGATTAACTTACTATAATGGCCGCTAGATGGTCTGATCGAGTGGCGCCAGCCTGGTTATATTTTATAGAATTAACAAGACCCAACCACCCACATGAGCACCACATTTAATGTTCAGGTTCATCCGCATGCACATTCGCTGTGTAATCAAAAAAAACGACATGGAAACAAAGAAATTCAGAAAGAGAGAGAGAGAGAAGGGGAGGATGTAGGTTAGCATTGAAATATATTTGGAAGACCAGCTACCAAGTTAGAACAAAGACGTTTAGCAAACTGTTAAAGCACACAAACTGTCCTTCAGGTCGTTATCTTTGTAATATTTGTGTTTTTTTATCAAAAAGCACTCTGTTCTCTGATACGTAAACAATCAGCCGGTCGACCATGTTGGATATACTAGTGAATCAGACGCAATCTGACTGGTCAGACGTGGACACACAGTATGCGTAGGGTCAGGTTTAGGGCTGTTTGAGCCCAGCGTCATCACGCCAACTCTTGGCGACTCTCCCGCTGAATGCGCACAACGCTACTGTGCAAGTGGTGGAGTGCTTACAATGCTACTGTGCTCAATTGGTTTCAGGAAGTGGAGAAAAATCATGGAAATGCCGAGAGCTTTTTGGCTTCAAATCCGTATACTGGTGGAAGGCAGAACCAGGTTGTCCATAGTATATACAGTCTATGGTTAACACTTATCGTATTTTTCGCACTAAAAGGCGCACCTGATATAAGGCGCACCATCAATGAATGCGTCTATTGTCATACATAAGGCGCACAGGATTATAAGGCCCATTAAGCTAAACAAAACAATAACTCTGCGAGGCTACGGTAGCTGCAGTGCTCTGACAAGCCAAAAGGATTTTATAGTTTGAAAAATAAAGTACATGGTCCATATTTTAAACTCTACTAAAGCCTCAAGGTTGACTTTTTATCTGTGTGAACTTTTTAATGAATTGTCTGTTGAGAAACTTTGCCTTTTTCCAAACAGGCAAATATGACAATTACTGTTAATCTTTGCTAATCAGAAAATGTCAGTAAAGGCTGCTACTTTGTCTGACACCTTCGCAGTGTTTGGGTGATAACCATTTAAAAATAATCACAAATAATCAGTCTTTTCTCTCTCTAAAGATCTTGTTGGCTCTTTCAGGTCATAAAGGTTTTGGCATCATTTCAGTCAGTGTAATGTGACTATCAAACTAAATTAGAGGGGAATGCAGGGTATAAAAACAAAGCATGACATTTTTTCACTCAGACTTTGATTCTCTGAAGCAAGAAAGATTTAGCGATCAACAGAAATATGAGCACCCTGCCTCTTCACTCTCTGAACCAGGCAGACAATTCACAACTAGGCACAGGTGACATCCATTTGACACACACAACTCCACACATATTAACCTAAAGTGACAAGCAACTCACAGGGGCTTCAGAAACAATATCTATCAGTAGACCGATAGCATAGCTAAACTGGCAACAGCAGGATTGAACACAACAAGCAATCAAAACATCTGATAAGACATTAAAAAGAGACCTTCCTACCTTTTTGAAGTGCACTCAACGAATAGCCTCCAGATCCTTTCAGTTATTATCATGGTGGATGTTCACTTCAAGTCCACTCAGTTTGTCGTCGAGCTTATTCCTGAGACAAATCCTTGAAGATGTAAACAGTTGAAGGACGTCTCAGCTCTTACACTGGACTCGGGCATCCATTCAGAGAAGTCGAACAGAGTTTATGAGTTAGCTGTAGCAAAAGTCACACCTGGAGTTGTGAAGCAGGTGGATACTGTAGGTGTGATATACTGATCACATGCTTCTTAATTAGCATGATTAGCTCCAGCTGTTGACACACGAATCTCCGATGCTGAAGACAATGCTGTTATAGGCTGTGTCCGAAATGAATCACTCAATCCCTAACCCCTAACCTCCACATGGGGTTTCACTATACAGCTGACTATATCGTGAGCTCAATTACTGGAGTTTTCGGACACTACATGGCAAGACCATAGACTGTATATACTATGGACAACGTGGTTTCGCCCACCGCCTGTATACGGATTTGAAGCTAAATAGCTCTCGGTATTTCCGGGATTTTTCTTCATTTCCTGAAACCAGCGCTGCGCAGGAGCGGTGCGCGCATTCGGCCGCGCAGTCGCCGAGAGCATAGACTGTATAAAGATAATGAAGAATAAATAAATAAATAAAATAAAGAATAATAACTAAACACAACAGCTGCTTGTTTGCACGGAGACCTCAAGGAAGAACATCTATGATCATTTCTTTATTATTTCCTTGAAGTAATTATCATCATATTAATCATTTTGCACTGCAAATGTGGTAGTTCTTCTGCCTTAGCGTCTCAGTCTGATTGCATTTCCATGAAGAAATGATCATAAATGTTCTTCCTTGAGCGGTGTCCCGCTGTCCCCCCAGCTGCAGCAGCTGCTGGAAGAGAGTAGGTGAGTTGTGTTTAGTCTCTTTGCTAAAGAAATCAGGCAAAGTTAAAAAGATGTTTCGTGGCTAGTACTATGTTAGGTGCTGTTCTGAGCATTATTTGTGGCTATAGAGTTGGTTTTTGGTTGAGCGTATGGCTCTCTGTACTGCTATCTGCAGTCCTTACTAAAGTTGGTATAACTAGAGAAGCAAGTGGTCAGCAACATTCATCTCACAACGGGGTGTCTAACTCGTTACGGTGTATTTGACCCTAACTCAATTTTATGCCGGAATATCCCTTTAAATCTACTTTTCTAATGTGCAATGGTGGCCTTCGAAGACAAGACGCTCCTGATATAAGGCTAGTACGACTCTTTATTATAAGATTTCTTCATGTAAATACCACATTTTTCTTCGATATCTTTACTCTTGAACAACAACAACAACAAAAAAAGTGAAAGTCCAAGGAAGAAGTGAGATAGAGGCCTCAAAAACCATCTCTAATTGAAGCCTTTGAGCTGTGTAATAAAATGATCCAATCAGAGCCTAATGAAATTTGCATTTGTTTCAAATCAACATTTCTGCTGAGAGCTACTTTGCTCAGACCTTAAGTGACTGATCTTTTCCACCTTAGCTCAAGTCCTCAGAAGTGCACTTCTTGTGTACTTCATATCAAACCTGTGTAAAATCAGTTTCCGCGGTAACCGTAAAAACCATCTGACTAATCATTCTCACAGGGATGATGGTGATAAGAACAAATAACACTTAATACTGTGTCAGTGCCTTAGAGCACTGGACTCAGAGTTGCTTATTCTCCTCCCACACCAAATAAGGACTTGTCACTGCTTTCTCTCACTCTCTCTGTTACCAGACACAGAGTCCCACACCAAACACTCCCACCACTAACCCCTTCATGTAAACACAACCAGAGGTGAGTTTTTCCATCTCAGCTCTGCAAAGATGCAACGTCAAAACAGAGTCAAGTCCATCGAGATTTAAGAGAAACAACTCTGGTTACAGAAACCCGATTTGAGGTATTCTTGTCCTGACATCATGGTTAAAATATTCAGAGAGCTGTCTGTGTTCCTGTTCGAGAAACAAATTACAGTTTTAAAAACCTCCACTGGGGATACATGATGGTGTTTTGACAGAATTCTTAAAGTTGCTTGAATATCTTGGCAAATAAATCCTTTCAGAGAAGAATAGCAATGCAGATTTGGATTTTGAGTTATTTTGTTTAATTAGCTGACTCATTTCAGATATAGTGAGCGCACATGTGAAGTCTTCAGGCTCTCACATCCATCTCACAGCTCTTTCAATATCATACGCGAGTCTACCTCCACTTAATGACCCCTGTTGCTTTGTGCGGCCATCAATCACTGTAATTTCTCCCACCTGCGCTCACACAATAGTGTCTAATAAAGCCTGATTAAACACCTTCTGGTAAATGCAGCTGAATGACTTTATGTAACCGTCTCACTGGCGTTAGGCTGGTTATGTTATCAGGGTTTGAAGTTTGCCAAGATGACCTATTTGTAGGGGTGGCAAAACACAACACCGCCACCTGCTGGGCGAGAATTGCAAAAGATTGAGGGTTTAGTAAGACTTGTTGGAGTAATATGAGTGTTAAATTTTCCAAGCTGTTGCAGAAATCACAATGGTGGAGAAAGTATCACTGCAGACCTCTTGATCTTGCTTTGTTTGCACGAGAACCGGTGTGATTGAGTTTACTTTCCATGGTCGTGTTTTCGTTTCCCAGGCTCTCCGCCAATTCCTTCACCGCTGGCCAAGACTGCTAAATAAGGAAGACAGCCTCTCCTTGTAACTCTTGATGGTGTTTTTTTTTCTCTTTAAACATACGTAGCTGCAGTACCAAGGATACAAAACCACAAGGAACCACATGACAAGTATAGATCAGACATTTACTTTCCTTTAAAACAATATCTTCTTCACAACATCAGCAAAGAATGCCTCTCAGATAGAAAATTTAAACCATCTTTTCACCAAGTCTTGATATGAAATATAGGTAACATCTCTAGCTAAAAATCTCCCGCTGGTAACTACAGGCACCTCTTTTTAAATTTTTTATCAAATTTTCTGTTTTTCAGCTTCACACCAGACACCAGTATAGTTTGTATTCACACAGCAGAGCAGAGAGAACTTTCACAGGTGCGCACCAGCCAGGTGATGAAGGATTTCACACCCGAGGAGGCGTGCAGCGATTGCCGACAAGTGGAAAGGGAAAAAAAGGTGGGCCAGTTTAGTAGAGCATGTGCAATATCAGGATGAGCTTTTTCCACATCTGTAGCTGATTAACATTCAGACCGTGCCGACACGGGTCCTCATCTGCTGACAGTGAGTAACACAGATCTATAGAGTCTTATTTCTTGATTCGGTTGTGCAGAGGAAATCATGCTTTGGTTTGTGAAAAAGAAAGTTGCATCAGGATTATTTCTGAGGGAGTTACTTAAATCAGGTCTTTGAGACAAACCATCTGTAGACCATAATTACCCACAGTGGAAACATAACACAGGTGATTTTGATTGTCATTTTAACAGTCATTCAAGGAGATTTGAGAGTTTAAAAAAGCATCCCGACCAAAAGCTACAAACAGTATGTAGAGTCTGGATGGTTTATACACAATAGAGCGTACACAAACAAGTAAAAGTTCGACTTCTTTGTGTGTGTGAATGCTGAAAACTTCAGGCAGAACCCTTTTCTATTATAAACCTTGATTACTTTGCGACGTCTCGACTCGCGTCTGTGTCAAAATAGAAACTGCTACATTTAGCCTTATTATTATTATTATTATTAATATCTACACAATCGTATCAAACTTACCCAAAAGGCAACAGTAGCAAATATTTGTGAAGCAGACATGTTGGTAGCGGTGTTATCGTCATGTAACAGAGAGTTGAGAAATAGGTAAGTAGTGTTTTGTCTTGCAAACAGGGCTGTTGGTGCAATTTAGCAACGGCGCAACAAAACACGACAATACAAAACACGACAAGCAAATGCGAAAGCCCTGTTAAAAACACAAGAGGAGAGATAAACTTCCAACTTCTTTACATTCATGAAACACCTCTTCTGTTTGTTTCCCTCATCGCGGTGCTTTCCTCACTTTGGCCTTAAAGCACTCCAGATACTGTGCTGCTGCTGCTGCTCCCGTTCCTACAAGATATGATGATCGCCGATATGGATAAAGTGTCTGTCAAAAGCTCAATGTGCGTGCAGGGTTGCCCAAAACAAGGTGCTCCATGACCTTTTAATGCTGGGTGACACGGCCTTGGAGTTTCATGTCTTCACACCGCTGACTTGCACTTTGCTGTTGGCCCCAGGTTCTGTCAATGAAAACACCTGACAAACGGCGGCAGACTCAGGCCGAGTTAGACGGCGGCGTGCGGCCTTCCCAGTACTTATCGTAAGCATTCTGAAACATGTCCTTACACCGCAGTTTGGCGTTCAGCCGGGAGCAGATGAGGAACGAGCCGCCCATCTTGCGGTGCAGCGAGTACGTCTCCTCTGGAGGCGGGGTTAGCCGATGTTTGAGCATCACGGGGATGAGGTTGTGGATTCTCTCGGTGGTGGACTGGGAACCGAACTCAAACATGTCTGTGGAGGCGAAGGCCTCACCGAGGATCATAACAGCATCTACATGGGCATTAATCATCGCCTGAGAGAGAGGGAGAAAACACAGAGCTCGTTCAGGGGAATGATATACCAGTCAATAATGTGGGAATGAGAATGCCGTGTTCTATATGTGCTATAAAAGCAGTGGTTCTCAACTGGTGGGTGAGTGGGTCACGGCTACGTTCTGGATGGGTCGCGAACAGCTGGTCAAAAAAGTCAATATTTAATGCGCATCTGATGTTAGACGTCTTTTATTTTGAAATGTAGCTTATTTTGAAAGGCATGCGTTATCTTGTAGTCCTCCTCGAGTTCTTATTAATGTGGCCTGAATGCAGTAAAGATACTTTTTTTTTTTTTATGGTCTTTATTTTGTGCAATTTGATATTTTTTGTATATGCAACTTTAGTAGTAGTCATCCTCAGTTCATGTGCTCTGAAATACGGTGTATTAATGTTAAAGATTTGAGTTTTTAAGGGATTTTTTTTTTTCTAAAAAATACATTTACTTGGTTTGAATTTTAAAAAAGTGGGTCGCAACTTAAGGACCGTGGGAAAATGTGGATCCCAGAGTGAGAGCAGTTGAGAACCACTGCTATTAAGTACATTATTACCAATTCTCTGTTTGGTGCTACTGCAGACAGTGCTAAAAGTATTGTAAATAATGAAGTTGGACTGCACTCTCATGGATAAACAATCAGATGAGACCATTTCTAAATCACATCAACACTGTGGAAACTTCTTTCCTAGTTACGGTGAGACAGAGACCACATTTACAGCTGTGGTTTGTAACAGACACACAAAGAGGTAATTTTACCTTCGATTCATAACCAGTCAGGAATTTCATCTCAATAGATTTCTTCAGAACTCCCTCTCTATCGCCCTCTGCAGCTGAGCGGATGATCTGCAATCACGAACAGGGCATGAATGCTTAGTTGGAATAAAACTTACATTACAGTTTATAATAATAATAAAAAAGTATGTTTAACAGGCTGCTCTTACCTCTATGTAGACGTCTGTGAAACTCTGATCAAATCCTCTTGTGGCCCCAAAGTCCAACAGCGCCACCTAGAGAGAGCCAGTAAAGTGATATATCCTGTTTAGTTTTCCTGTTAAGAGTCATAAATATCTATTTATAGTGGATGTCAGCAGAGAAACTCACCCTGTGGGTCTGTGGGTCATAGAAGAAGTTGGACCAGTTTGGGTCTGTTTGCATGTACCTGAACTCAAACAGCTCCCTGAGGCATAACATGAGGATGTTCATACAGATCTGAGAAACAAACATGCAAAGTGTGTTATACATGGTTAAAGGAGGAAAAGGGAGCGAACAACTCTGAAAACATAGCCTGGTTCTGACCCGAATATCTCTAAATTCCTTTTCAGGTCTATTTCATCTGCTGTACCTCATTCTTCAGCTCTTGTGAGAGGCTCTCCGCCTGGTCCAGGGGAAACCCGGGGACCAGCTCTGTCGTCAAAACGTGACTGCTGCTCAGCTCGTCGATCACCTCGGGGACGTAGAAGAACGGATGGTCCTTCAGAAGCTCTCTGGGTCAGACAAAGACAATCCATTTAGAGGTGTTAGTCCATAAAGGGAGTCACCTCAGACTAAAAATACGATAAATCTATGAATGAATGGTTCAAAATAAAGATTGAACAGTAAGTTTTAAGCTTGTATGTGTCAATTCAGATTTATTTGTCTGTCTACACTGTTTCAACAAACACACAACTCACCTGAATTTCTTTGCACACTGGGCTTCTCTGATATAATCGCACTCTAGCGCCAGCTCTTTCCTCATCACATCTATCAGATGTTCTGGAAACAAACCTACAGAAAAAAAAAAGAAAACAAGAAAGGAGAGGATGTCAGACACGCCGTTACAAGTCAATGAAATATTTTAGGAGCCACGGCTACAAAAGCAGATGAAAAGCACACGTCAGATTCCTCACCTTGTGCGTGTTGCATTTGCAGTATACACACAACTCACGCTTCTCTTTGCATGCATGACAGAGAGTTTATGTATTTACCTTCAGGCAAGGCATTGCTCATGTTCAGCACTGTCATCAGGTTGTTGACATCACTGTTGATACTCTGAGCTACACCGGGGTACTGGAGACAGAAAACAAACACACACAGATGGTAACATGACTTTAAATATAAATCAATCAACTGTGGGTGTGGGAGGACACACAAGAGGCTGAAAGTCAAAGCAGTGGTCGCCTCTTTTCTACTTTTAAGATTGCAAACAGAGTTTTTTTTTTCTTGGAAGAGGAAAATTGAAGGTACAAACCCGGAGCTGTCAAGCTGTTTAACATGATAACATGAGAATGTACTGTGTACACACACATGCTCGCACTCTACCTGTATTTTCATGGCCACCTCTCTGCCGTCCTTCATCCTGGCCAAGTGAACTTGGCCGATGGACGCCGCCGCGAATGGGCGCTCCTCGAACGACTCCAGCTTGTCTCTCCAGTTTCGACCAAGGTCACTGTTCAACGCTTTCTACAGACAGACACAAAGAATCGATCCTTTTGAAGCTTTTCATATTCGATATATCGATCAAGAACAGTCAATATTTAGTGAGTGATTTACTTTTTCCTCAACAGTGGAGTTAATGTGAATAAAAAATGTTGATAATTGTAACATAACACAACTCCAGGTCCTGAAAAGTTGAGGCATTTTACAAAATGTTGACAAAAAACACAGACTCTGAAAGTTTGCAAATGATTAAAAAATTGTTAGGCAACTGAAATACATTATAAGGAAAGAAAAAGACAACATTTCACTTTCCAATCTCCAGAAACTAATCTCCTGACTCACAAGAGTGTTGGCACAGCTGAAGAAGTTGCTGACATTATATTTAAAAGAAGCCATAACTTTTTCGAGCACTCAGACAAAAAAAAAAAGACTCTTACTGTCATCTGTTTGATTGGCATGAAGTCGGCGCTCTGTCTGACACGTTCAAAGACCTTGGCAAGTTGAGGGTTGATGAACGCATCGTCTGAAACACAACACAGGCGGAGATTGTCCAAAATAAGCATGGAGATAATCTAGTCTTCATTGGAGAGGGATCCCTTTAATCCCTCCTGTAATGAAGCGATGTGACACAAGAGGGAGTGTGACATGAAAGCTGTGCTAATATTCAGAACAACAGCATGGCCTCCGGCGTGATATCGTTTTAAACAACAGCTTAATCATTTATTCTTCTCCACCACCATATCTGGCTCTACAACTTCACTGGAGCTGGCTCACTTCCAGGAATACATTAGCATTTACTGCACTCCACACCTACTCACAATTTAAAGTTTAATTTAAATGTTATTAAAGGAAACGGATCCACCAACTGTTATAAAACAGAACTATCTACTTTTCAAAATCGTTTCAGACCCCTCAAGGTTAGAACTATTTCTGATTGATGCTAAAGGTAACAATGGTTGGAAGCACAATCATCTCGGCACGTATACATTCACGCCCCGACAGCTAAATGTCAGCTGCTGGAAGGGGACACAGCAGTTGTTATCAACCTCCAGATATACTGTACTCCGCTTCTGTTTCAACAGCCTCGGTTACCTCCAGTCAACTAAGACTTTAAACCTTACCCTTTATGGAAAACATTTGTGTGCGAGAGTCCAGCTATAGAAAACTATTTTGACCTTTTGCTTCATGATTTACGGGCCGGCCTGTCACCGCCGCAGATAGTCGTAAGTAACCCTGTGCCAGTTCACAAATAGCCATGGTGCATGAACGTGAAGTCCACCCGGTCTCTCTCTTCTTCCTCTTGTTGTTGTAACTTATTACATCCCCACTGTGCTGGTTGTGTAAAGTTTACCCTGGCATGCTCTACAGTTACTCTGTGAATGCCAACAGACAAAGGTTACTGGCTCAGGTCAGACAGCGGGTACATCAGAGATCAACAAAATTAACTCGCTGTTTATCTCTGTTATCAGAGCTGGCTACGCGAGCTCTAAGCCAGGATGTTTTCAGCTGTCGGCTTTTACAGTTGAGCTCTTTCTGACAGATGAGAAGTGTCATTTTTTTGGCGACAATAATCAATCATTGAGCTGATCTTTAGAGGGACTGTTTGCTTTGTTTTTATGTAAGTTTGTTGGGGTTCATGCTCCTTTAAGTCTGGTCAGTTCAGTCCTTTTGTAGAGAAGCTCGGCTTGCTGGACGCACCAATTTAAGAAATTACAAAACCTCAGTGTACTGAGCAAAAGTCATGTTGACTTTCACATCACAGACCCACACAGCTGATCTGTGTGCTGCAGGCGGACGGACATGGAAGAGTTGGGCTCTTATGCAAGATTTAGACTCAACAACTGAGTTTCTTTAACCCAGATGAAGCGGAATTATATTTTTTTACCATCACATCAGGATATTGTCGACAGACTCAGTGTTTCTCTTTTTGTTCCGTCTCTTCCTCTCTCTCATCTCTATCTCCTCTGTGTTTATGTGTTTCTCGGTCTCACGCACCTTGAATACTGAGCATCTGTCCCAGTTTCAACGCAGCTCCTCTGACTTTACACAGAGTCCTGACGATGCGCTCAGCGTTGGCCTCTGACAGGAAGGGGCTGGAGTCCAGAACACCTTTCTTATTTTCACCTGCAGGGACACAAAACAAACAAACTAAAAAACGGCTCTCGTCACAAACTTTGTCTTTATTGTCCTTGCGACCTTGCGATGAAGTTGTTGGCACTGATGATCATTACTTTAAGCGCTTTGACGACAACATACTGCATATGTTTGTGCGTATACGTCAGCAGACATGTGTGTCCGCATGTATTTGTGTCAGTAGGTCATCAGGTAGTGGGTTTCAGTGTGACCAAAGCAGTCGTCAGAGGCCTTAATAGAGATTTACTCCGCCCACACGCACTTACGAGTGTGTCAAGAGTGTCACTGCTGGGATTAAGTCGCGCACATAAACAGCCGCAGACACACAGAGGCACAATCGCTGCAGATTGACAGCCGTATGTGTTTCAGATTAGCGCCGTTTAGAGATTAACTGGCTGGCTGTGCGGAGCAGGAATGTCTGTTTATTAGGGAAGGGAGGCGGCTTAATTGCGCTCTGTTGTCAAACAGAAAGCGTGTAGCATGTAGAAACATGTGTGAAGGATGGGCACTGACATGTGCTGTCAGGAAGGAACACAGTTGCAAAATCGCTGAATGATCCTATCATGAGCCAAAGGTAAATAAGAACAGACCCACCTACCATCACAGGCGCAAACTCTCATAGAGGAGTTATTAAAGCCATGTCTACAAGCAGCTCTGTCTCTATTTTTCCCCAAAAGTTCATTCATTAGTTGTTAGCATGCAATACCTTCCACACCATTGTGTCTGATGGTCTTTTTGGCAACTTCAGCAAGAGCTCCGATACTCAGTCCAACAGCCAGACCTGGTGAAAACGAACAGACACACATAATATTACTACTGTGGACTTGAAACACAAATACACAAATTTGGAGGCAGGAGGTAGAGCGGTCGTCCAATAACTGGAAGGTTGGTGGTTCAATTCCCCTCTATCTCTAGTCTGTCTGTTGTGTCCTTGGGCAAGATGCTTAACCCATGTTGCTCCCAGTGTGTGTGTCCTCCACTGGTGTATGATTGTGAGTGTTGTGTGGTGGTGGTCAGAGAGGCCGTAAGTGCAAACTGGCAGGGTAGCTGTGACTACTAAGGTAGTTTACCACCACAAGGTTGTGACTGTGTGAGCGAATGAATGGTTGATCCAACGCTTTGAGGGTCTCTGATAAAGCGCTATTATATCAGATGCATTATTATTATTATTATTATTTATTATTAAATACGGATCATAAAGTAGTTTGTTAGAAACACCCATTTTATAGTAGTCCAGTCTGACTCAAATCGCTGTTTTAAGGATTCAACTTAGACTGTAGGAAGCAAGAGGAGGAGGACTGAGACTAAGAGACTGTTTAATTGTTCTTTTATTCAGTTTTCAAATCAGTGCTGGCCCCATGTGTTCACCCGTATATGTTCACTCACTGTCAGAGCTTTCTCAGCCTTTAACAGGCATCTTCATGCTCCAAGATGCACTTGGAAAAGTAGGTAAGATGTTATAGTTAACCCACTTGGACTTGATTACAGTGCTATCAGGAAGTTAAGGGCTCAGTCTGAGATGTTTCATCAATCCAACTTCTGATCAATAGCTGATGGTTTGCTGAAAGAGATCGTTTACGGAAGCGAGGAGATTATTTAAGCTGTGAGTTTATCTATCCATCCAGCCATTTTCTACCGCTAATTCCCGTTCACTGGGTCGCGGGGGGGGCTGGAGCCTATCCCATCATCTTCGGGCGAAGGCAGAGGACGCCCTGGACAAGTCGCCAGTTCATCACAGGGCTGACATATAGAGACGAACAACCATCCACGCTCACATCGGGCAATTGGAAAGTGGCCAATTAACCTAACATCACTTCTGCATGTTTTTGGGATGTGAGAGGAAACAGGAGTCCCCGGAGTAAACCCACGCAGACACAGGGAGAACATGCAAACTCTGCACAGAAACGCCCTGACCCGGATTTGAACCCTTCTTGCTGTGCTAACCACTTCACCTCTGTGCCGCCGAGTTCATCTATGATTTAGGAAATTAAGAAATAACTTGTTTTCTTTACATCCAAAATCCATAACGCTGTGAGGGCATTTCCCCTGATTCTGTCCGGACTATAAATAAACCGACTATATGAAGTTTTCTAAATAATATATGACTCAACATACAGGCAGAACTCACAGAAACGAAGAACGAGCAGGTTTACTATTTCATGACCACAGAAATATGCAGACAGAGCTCACCAAGCTGCACGTTTGCCGCCCTAGAGAGGATATGGAAATCATATAAATAATCTTTCTGTAAGATGATGAATAGATAACGTGAGCCTGCACGAGTCAGTCAGAGACTATTTTTGAAGCGGGTTCCTCCAAGCCCCGTCTCTGCCTTACATAACTCAGCATTACATAACCACCCAGTCAGCGGTCTCTGAAGCGACAAATCTGAGACCCGACCATGGATGCACAGATCAGAACAGAGTCTGCTTTCAGTGTCTGGTCCATGTGCAGTGTTCGAGTGTTTCATTATCCACCAGAAGCGTGTCATCATGTCTATTGTGGGAGAAAAGTTGGACCAGAGGTAGAGAGGATCCGCTAAGCACCTCCTGAGAAATGTGGTGTTGAGCTGTGAACTGCACATGTAGCCTCGTATAACCCGGGTTAGCTTTCTCTCATCTTTCCCTTATTATGTTCTGTGTCATCTCGCCGTTTTCATCTTTGACTGCTTTACAAGGCTCAAAAACATGAGCCAGCATCACGCCACTCTATATCTGTGTAACCCCGACATGTGTGACTCCCAGCCAAACGGGGATCAGCGTTTCCTTCGGTGTTTGAGTGACACATTCTTTTCCAGGACAAGCACACGTGTCCATCAACCACCGAAGATAGACGCTTGTTTACTGACCGGGTGCTGTGGGCTGCTTTCCTGCTACTTAATCTGCCACTTAGAGCGACAAAAACACACGTTTACAATCATTTTCCTCATAACAATCACCACAATTCTCCAAAGTAATAATATGCATTGTATTGGCGAGTGGGTGTTGCCATAGTCACTGTTGCCAGGGGAAAGATTTATGAAACTCTGGATGTATTTGCAGCTTGTTTCTAATCTAAACTCGAGACAACCTGCAGCCTCTTCTTCCACCTGGAGTTGTGCACTGATTATCTTAAAGTCTTCACAATATTTACATTATTTTGTTTTTTCAAGTCTTTTCACCCCGACTGTTTTCTTGTGTAATCCCTGGGCGTTTGCGGCTCTACTGCGGCTCCTTTCAGTGGTCATTTTTTAGAGAAGTCGCTGAGTCCACGTTAGGAAACATCAGGCTGAGACTCCAAGTTCTCAAATGAATCAGAGGATGCACCACAATCGGTCTATATGACCATTATAATGACACGTGATTGTAAAAACACCACTCTGAAAGTCTTCCTGTCACTTTGCCGTGTTGTAATAGGAGAGTAAAGGACAGTTCGAGGCCACATTCCTCCACCCCCACCCCTACTCCTGTCCACGACACCTTCTAAATGTTACCACTGTCAACATGCTGAATCAACTCCACTCTGCCTTGTTGTGCGTCTCCTTGTTCTATTTTAAATCCAGTTCGTATGTTGTACACAGTTCACGTTTGCCGTCGCTCTGCGCTTGAAGCTTTTCGGTCTAACTTTCAGCCACCTGTTCACTCATCCTTCGTCTGACTGGAGAAGATTGACAAGCGGCTGATTTACAGGCTCTTATCTGTCATTTGAGGCTTGTTGATGTGAGTTTGTTTTCTGAATTGGGTCACAATATTATGGTCATAATAAAAACATTACTCAGTACTGGTCGGTTTTTAAACAAGAAAACATTAACCATGCGATCCAGGGTATGAAATCTATCAATTTGGACTTTATCTGCGTACGTTAATTATTAATTATTTCTGTAAGTAATAATAAGGTGATTTTCATTTGGGTTCAGCCTGGTTTTAAGGTCATATATACTCTACAAGTATTCAGAGGTGTTGTTCCAGTGCTACAAAGACTCTGAGAAGGTCACACACTGATACAACAACACCAACTGCTCTGGACCCCGTGACCCCAGATTACAGAAAGGGTAGTAGGTTAGATTTAGATTTAGGATTAGAAGGTAAGGATTATTTCTCAGAGACTCTGGTGGCTCAATTTTGCGACAAATTTTTAACAACTTTGCAACTTTTCATGGCTAACGAATCAACAAGTGGACACATTAGTGGAGACATTATTATTTTTACTTTTATATACAGCACAAGAATGAGGCTAAGATCATATTTTCTTCTTTTATTTAATAAATTTGTTAATTTATTTTGCTGGCTAAGACCATTTTTTTTTTCTGGCTAAGGTCGTATTTTCTATTTTATTTTTTTAATTTGCTGGCTAAGATAATATTTTCTTTTTTTTTTCCTGGCTAAGATTGTTTTTCATATTTTTTATTTTTTTTTCCGGCTACAATCGTACTTTCTATTTTTTTTGGGTTGGCTACGATCGTATTTTATGTTGTTTTTTTTTTTGCTGGCTAAGATTGTATTTTCCTTTATTTTTGTTGGCTAAGATTGTATTTTCTTTTTTTTTTTTTTTTGCTGGCTAAAATCGTACTTTGTTTTTTTTTCTGACTAAGATTGTATTTTCTGTTTTTTTCAATTTTTGCTGGCTAAGATCATATTTTCAATTTTTTTATTTGCTGGCTACGATCTTACTTTCTGTTTTTTTTTTTTTTGTTTGCTTGTTCGTATTTTATGTTTTTTTTTTCTGGCTAAAATCGTATTTTGTTTTTTTCTGACTTAGATAATATTTTCTTTTTTTTTCAGGCTAAGATCGTATTTTCTGTTTTGTTTTTTTTGCTAGCTACGATTGTATTTTCTGTTTTTTTGGGGGGGGTTTCTCTGGTTGTTCAGACTGAAATAGATAGAAAAATACAGAATCATCTAGGTACACAGATTCAAAAAGACTCAGATCATCATACCTCCAAAGTTGGCGAGTCTGCCGAGTCGAGTTACCGGCACTTTCCTCTCTCTGGCTCTCTCACTCAGCTGAAGAAGAAAGACAGCTCTCTTTAGTATTTGGGGAAAATTTCAGTGTTTATATAACAGTATAACAGTGGAGTAACAGGTGTTACCATCTGTTTGTGTGGTTTGATCTCATCTCTCTTGGTCTGTCTCGCTTTTTCAATGTCCTCAGCTGTCAGGCCCCCGACCGTGGACGGGTCCTGATGGTAGCGCCTGATCTGGCTGACCTGGTGATGGCTGTATAGCTGCCCCCATAAACGCCTGTATGGATGACAATGAGCAATGAGATGTCTGCCGTTTGAAAATGAGGCTAAAGCTTCTGTAGGAGACTTTTCATACCTGGCGTCGTGGTGGTACGATCTGATGGGTCCACTGAACTGCTTACTGGGATCTTTGTATCCTTCAAACAACGACTTCTTCCCGTTGACGTGGCTCGCCTCGTGATGGACTCCAGCGTCCTCACTACCTTTTGTTGGATCCGCTGTGAAGTCCACACCTTCTTCCTTAAACTCAGTCGCTGCAAATTCACTTTCATCCTGAGGAAAATCGAACTCTGACTCAGCTGAGGAGGAGGAGGAGGTCTGCTGCTGGCCAGACAGCTCCTATATAGACACAAATATACCATGACTTTAAGAAAACTACCAGATAACACAGATTACTCTCTTAAGATCTTTAAATTAAGCCACTCCGTGCTCCTGATTTCAACATACGCACCTGCATTTTTATCATGGCGGCAGAGAGGCCTTGTTCGGCGGCTGCTTGGACACCCTGGACTGCGGCACCGACGCCTGGGACTCCTGGGATTTTAAAAGATACTCTTTTAATCTCCTGATACAGATCATACAACAAAATTATCAGTTTCTTCCTCACATTTGAAGGTGTGCTGGACTTACCTGTCCCACTGCGTAGGGTGCTGCCCTGAGTCTCTACAATCGCCTGGCTCAGCTTAGCCAAGCCTCGCATCAGTAACATCATGTCGCCCGCCATGACTGACTGCAGAGAGAAGAAGGTATGAACAAGATTTAAAAGCACTAAACACAGACTGTGTGACAGGAACCTGTAAGTGAAAATGACAGGAACAAAGACGTACACATGGACTCAAATAGAAAGTGACACTAGATCTATCGTAAACACACACTCTGCTGCTGACGAGGAACACACACACACACACACACACACACACACACACACACACACACACACACACACACACACACACACACACACACACAACCTCACACAGCTGTCGCATCTTGGGATGACTTTAATACTTTGTCTAAAAATACTCGTGACCCGCTATTCCTGAGTTAGCGCCACACTCACCAACACACTCCCGCACAAAAGGGGAGGGCTGTGAAGACATGCATTTGTGATAATGAACCGGATCTTAAAATATCGTTTCAAAGTGTCAAATGTACAAGTGAGGTTTACGTCGCTTCACACCACGACTTTCACCTGATGTGACACCTAAAAAAATCTAGTCCAAACACTTCTTTCATCACTCTTTTTCTTATCTGAGCACCGACTGCATTCCTGTGTGTTACAGGCTGCAGCCTCACTGAGTGTGTCAGTGTGTTATACAGGTGCCGCTTTTGTGGGTGTGACGACGTGCTTCGACACGGCTCAGCTGGGATTTGGGCCAATGGAAAAAGCTGCTCCTGAAAGAGAGGGAGGACGATGTGAGGGTTTGTGTGTCCGGCTGCTGCTGAGTGAGTCAGTAAGTGGGCCACTCGTCCTCCTTTAGGGCCACTCTGTGTATTTAACACAGCAGGCTGAAGACAGAGGTTGCTGTGTTTTGTGACACAAAGGATTAACAGTGAGACTCGTGAGACATTTTAAAGAAACGTCCCAAGCAGGGATTTGTAGATTACTTTCTCGTTTTGTTGTGTCTCACACTTTCTCTGTACATCTGAGTGACTTAACACTGATTCTCTCAAACAGAAGGGACCAAAAGCAAAAACAAATCACAAAAAAATAGTCCTGAGAGACACACAGAGTGCTACTTTGCTGAAAAAAACTGCCTGTGTGTTTTAATGTAGCTTATTTTAGAAGTGTTGATTATCAGGTGAATTGCTTGAGAGTCATGTTTGTTGTAGGGGAGACCAGGGGTCCGTTTCACGTAGCAGGTTTAGTGGAAACTCCGAGTTTGTTAACCCTGAAATCAGGGAAACTCTGAGTTTTCCGTTTCACAAAGGAGGGTTAGTTAAACCAGGGAGAGAGGGGTAACTCTAACCTGTTTCACAAAGAGAGGTAACTCAACCTCGCGGTCAGTTACCACAGTAACAGACTCCGTGAACCTAACCTGCTCGGGAGCAGGTTTAACTCAGTAAACCCAGAGTTTCAGGTGAGACATCGGCATTTTCTCATTTCGATCATGTTTTACATTGTCAACTAAGTATTAAGTGACAGTTTGATCCCTTAAAAAATGCTCTTTTCACACTCAAAACTGAATTTTACTCTCTTATTATGTTCCGTTAAATGATTAGGAATATTAAACTAACACAAAAACGGGTGGTGGTCCAGCAGCCCCACCTTTAACGGAGGCAGAGGAGCTGCCCCCCACCCCACCCCCGTTCGACGATCGCGGCCGGTCCGATCGCAAATCCCCCCCCCCCCCCCCCCCCCGAGAGTTAGTTTAATATTCCTAATCATTTAACGGAACATCATAAGAGAGTAAAATTCATTTTTGAGTGTGAAAAGAGCATTTTCTAAGGGATCAAACTGCCACTTAATACTTACTTGACAATGTAAAACATGATCAAAATGATTCAAGCAGTTTCCCTGCAACAGTCTGTCATTGTGTTTGCACGAGACTAGATTTAAAGTTACGCATTGACGCGAGCAGCGATTTCCTCCCAAGCCCTCTCCCTCTCCTTTGCAGCTGCTGCTGTATTGCACTTTCTTTTAAAAACGTGCTGTCATTCGCTGTTGGCTTGCTGCTGCCCCCTCCTTCTCCCTGTTTCCATTGGTTGATCATTGAATCTGCGCTCCACAGATGCTGGCTGTTTATGTCTGGCGTGCACGTGCTTAACTCCAGGTCAAACTACTCGGAGTTGTTAAAACCGTCTCGAATCAGGTGTTGTGAAACCGGAAACTCAGAGTTTCCGAACTCAGAGTAGATCAACTCAGAGTTAAGGATTTAACTCAGAGTTTGTTGAACCACCTACGTGAAACGGACCCCAGGGCTTGTTGTCACGCGGGTAAGTTGTCACGTTGCAATTATCTTTGCCACCAGAGGGCGCAACTAAAAATTGGAATACTAGTTTTCTTCCTTTAGTCAGGGATCATGTCCTGTCTGAGAGGAGCACATTGTGAGCTGAGATGAGCGCCAATTAACCATTTCGCACAACCCAAAGTAAAAAATTTAATTGTATATATCTTAAAATAAGCTTCTTCCTAGCAGTGATACATGCAGACTTGTTAGAGGAGAGGTTAAGACATCCTGTCATACCTCAGTCATTGTTCTGTTTTAAGCTAACTTTAAGCTAGAGCTAGAATTAGCAAACATGGTAGTTTGGGGCAACATGTCTCAGTCATTTTGGGGTCATTTGAGACATAGAAAGTCAGCTCATAAGCAGTTGTCATACAGAAATTTTGGCTTTACTTTTACAGAAAGAGAGGAGAAAGCAAGAAGATATGGTCAGGAATTACAAAGGGAAACAGAACATGGTAGTGTAGAGCCTGACGTGATGTTGAGGGCAGTCAGGCCGGTGACCCTAGCCAATAAATCAATCTGGATTACAAGAAAGGACTTTAATGTCAACGACCATACTTTGGCTCGGTACAGCAAAACATTCACCCCAGCCGAAATCCAGGGTCAGACAGCCCTCCAAACTCCAGAGCATGTTGCATAACATTTTACGTTAACGTTTGTTCAATGACTTTTTGAGCTCAATAATTAACATTTTCTGTGCCTGACTCTGATGTTCACTTTCATGGGGAAAAATGGGGAACAACAATAATTTTGTCCTTGTTTTATAAGCTGCAAAATCCACTTTGACATGTAACCCCATATAGTGAGACAACTTACCCGATGATTGGGCAACACGTCACATGTTCACACTCTCTATTTGATTGCTTATAACTCTGCACTGACACAAGATATGAAAATGACATGAACATGAAATATATACCTGAGACTTTGGTCTTTTATCTGGTACACATTTTGTTTATTATATATGATGTTTTGATTCCACAAAATATACATGAGTTTAAAAAGTGTGGCAACAAGCCCTGGTCTCCCCTACTAAATACTGCAACACTAAAAGACTCATGAGCCGATCCACATCAAAATCCAATCCAGATCAAGATCCATTTAAACATCTATTTTTATGGCAGAATTAGACTTTTTTACAAAACAGTTTTGGTTTGACAGACACAATATTATTTTGATCACCGTAAGGTTTTGCATAGATTTGCATAGCTAAAAGCACGTCTCATTCGACTGACAAGTAGGTGGTGCAACAGCCGCTTTCCAGAAATTACAGTCAATCACCTTTAGGCTGACTCAAAGTTAGGTTGAGTCGACATTTCCAACAATGCCTTCGCTTTGGCTCGAAAAAAGCCACTTCAAAAGGAGAGAAATATGACACTGCTGTGGGGTCGAGTGTGACTGTACAACAGAGGCATGTGAGTTTCAATGCTACGGTCTCCTACAATAACAAACATAACATGGAGAGACCCTGCCGACGTAAAAATAATAAAAACAATAATGATAAAAGTAAAAGAAATTCTCCTAAGAGACCGTACAGTTGTCCACTGTTAATCGTAGTGGGAAAGGCGACTTCCTTATGTTCCCACACTTGATCCGAGATGCTTGATCATATAAAACCAGAGACAATGTTCACTCCTTATACATCAACATATGTTATAAGCTCATGGGAATAAATATGGGTCTACTGTAACCTCCTGCAGCCTCAATTTCCTGCAGAAGAGCTTTTTCCCACATGTCCTTGAAACTGCAATTATCATCACACACACAAAATAATGCCAAGCAAGTACTAGCTCATAACTGCGGTCCTGAAGGCCATTAAGCTTGAAAAGCACAGTGGAAATATTTCTGTTATCGTGGTGTCGGTTTTCAGCACATCGGAGACAGCTGATGACAACATGTTGGAGAGCTGGGTGGTAAATTCTGACTCACTTGTTAAGTGATTTGAATCCCATTGGACAGAGAGGAACTACTTTGTTCCTGTTTCACACATCGCACTGAAATACTGTTGGTTTACTCAACACTGAATGATATAAACAAAAAAAAAAACACTTTTCTGATCTGCTCTGTCATGAACTATCGAGTCGTATTAAAGTCCCGGCAACATTCCGTTTTTATGCATCACATATCCTGAAATAACTCCCAGTTCTATTAAATCATTCACTTTTTTGGAAGCTAAATCCAAAGTCGAGGACTTCAAATATCTATAAGTGAGATCTGAAAGTAAGGAAGGCACTTGCATGGAGAGCCCTGAATGGCATGACCGGTGTATGGAACTCCAACCTCCCACGCCAAATCAAACTCTGCTTCTTCTACGCGACAGTAGAGTCCGTTCTCCTCTATGGCAGTGAATGCTGGACCCTGAAGCCAACCCTGGAGTAATCCCTAGATGTGTGCTACACCAGGATGTTGCGTGCAGTGCTTAACATCAGCAAGAACGCACATTTAACTGACAGAACACTGTACGAGGGAATACCAAGGGTGAGCGAGAAGATTGCTGTAAGGAGAATGAGACTAGCGGGACACTGCCAAAGGCATCAGGAACTGCCAGCCAGCAAATTGGTGCCGTGGGAACCAACACATGGGCATCGGTTAAGAGGACGTCCTACACTATCATACGTGGACATACTCAAGAAGGACGCAGGAGCTCAGAGTACCAAAGAACTGGCGAGATGTATGGAGAATCAGGATGACTGGAAGCAACGATGGAAGGCTTGTCTGAGGACGACCGAGAGAAATCAAATCGTATTATAACTGGATTGAGGCTATACTATATTCATTTCTTGCACAACATTGTGGCTGCTACAGATGTTATCTTTTTATGATGCGGTGTTATTTCTGTCTTCATTTCCTAGTGTTGCATATAAACCTGTTCTGAGTGCTGAATACACTTGCTTTGGCTTTTTGTGTCCATCTCAATAAAACCTGAAGTTGCCGCAAAATATATTTATCATATATCAATAAAACATAATTGAAGATTAATGAGAGGTTATCCTTAAAACAATTATCTTAATGCTGAGTCAGCTCAGTAAAGCGGCAAGATCATGCAAGATCCTCTAGTGGGCTGGGTAACTAAAGCACAAATCCTAATATTGATGCAAGTTACGAGGTTTTAAAACCCCATGCTGTGTCTGTAAAAACAAACTTAAAAAGCATTTTGTTTTCATTTTTAATCTAATCTATCTTGCACAATCTGAAACTACTGGGAAGAGGTTAGTGTTTACTACACAACGACCGCTTGTGCAACTTCCCATGTGCCAGTGTGGGCGTGGTAAGGAGGAGGTGAAAACACACTTTGTTCCCTCTCCGCATCAGTGACAACACCTCAGCTATGAGGACTATTTATACAGGCTAAAACGAAAATACAAAAGAAGTTAAAGGTCACTTTTGCTGCACAGCGGATATACAAGGTCACCGTGAGACATTTTTGAAAGCACACTGACTGTATGGTCGGTACAGTACACCAAACCTCAGTTGTTACCAAACTCTACTACTGTCCATCCCTAAGCTGTTGACTCACTAGTATTAAAATAGCCTGGCACTGCAAGCATGGGCACATGTCTACAGCTGAATACCGTTCGGTTCTCTGTGACTGCTGCTGATCTAGAGGAAAAACTCAGATTTTTTTTCTCCCATTTCCAAGCAGTGGTGATTCAACAAAGTGTAAGGAGCAGCGTCATCACCTTTAACAAGGGAAACGTGCTCAAAACCATGTTTCCTACAAGACGGAGAAAGTCTGTTGGGTTAATGTGGTGAATTTTCAAACCAAAATAGGTACTAAGTAAACAAACAAAAAAAAAAGTTTTAAAATGAAAGAGTATGTCATTTTTCATTAAAAGGAAAGAGAATTGAGATTACTGTAGAGATACAGTAATCTACTGTAGTGAATTATACTGCTGGCACTTTAGAATTCCCTATAAATTTTCAAGAGCTATTAAAAATACGATGTAAAAATTACCTTAATTGTCCTTTTTTATACAGTAATGTTAACAGTTGTTGTCAGTATCAGATTTGTAGTTTAGGGGCAAATGTAGAAAAGCGAAAAAAGAACAAAGTTTACTGAAAGATCTGTGCTTTTCTAACACACTGAACAACCTATTCAACAAGAAGTCTGTGACTTTAAATATTCAATCACAACCAAAGTTCAGCCTGAAACACATATGTCAAACAAATCTGTCTGTAGTTAATGGAGAAAAGAACAGTTTCTGATAAACACATTTATGAAAAGACCTCAAACAGACTTTCTTTTGCAGCAAATGCTACAAAATATCTTATTACACACATGCCATGAAACGTACTGTACTTGTGATAACAGATGTAAACAGGCTTAGATATACGATGTCGTACTTGATTCACACACTGTAACTTCCTTGAGATTTCCTTCCCAAAAGGATCAATAAAGTTATATCTAATCTGATCTATTCTGATCTGAATCAGATGCAGGTCAATGTGCAATCAAAGCAGACTTTTCAGACAAAAACATGTCGTTCAAAGTGCTTCACAGTGGCTAAAAACGACAGTTAAACAACAATAAAACCCGACCCTCCCACCCACACATCCACCCATGGACCCCCACACACACAGACACACACCCACCCTCACTCACCCACACATACACACACAGAAACTGAGAATTTAAGATATATTGTTAAAGAGACATGGCCTAACACTGAGACATTACGTGAGGAGAGAGCTACCTTTGGGAAACACTGGAGATAAAAATAAAAATGATAAAAAACTAAAACAAGAAAATAGTATTAAATGAACTGACAAGAGCTCTTTACCTTATAAAAAGGGGTAAAAGAAGAAAAAACCTCTGTGACAGGAATTAAGAAAAAGACTAAGAAAATTAATTATTAAAATAACATTACAGAAACGTTTAGAACTTTGATTAAAATGAACATTAGCAATAAGAGAATGCTTATTTATTTATTTGTTTAACTTATTATTCATTTTTAATGCTTATTTAAAAGGAGCAGGTCAAGTCAAATTGCCTTTCTTGAATGTATTTACCCCAAACTATCAAAATATGAGGGTAAAAAATGGTAAATATACTCTTTTTCCTGCCACAGACTTGTTAAGTTTTGTCTCTAGTTGTAGTAAAACTTCAGCGTATACAGTTTAAACGTAATAATTCCTTCGTGGTCACGTTATATTCTGTGTATACGCTTTTATAACATCTATAGACCACAAAATATTAAAGTTATGCATCATAAATCCTGGATATGTTATGGCCGCGTTCAGCCTATGAACTTCCTCGTGGGCGTGAAGCCACGAGCCTGTACAATAACAAACGCGTGCCACGTTAATAGCTAACTGATAACTGTCTCAACTAACATAACAGCTGTTTTACACGCATATAACTCACTTAATAACCGTGCTATCTGTCGTTTTCCGTGTTTTTGGAGGAGGGAAGTCCCACTCCGTTGGTAAAGTTTGCCGTGGAGCAGAAATGGACGTCGGGCACGTCAGCACGCGCTGCAGAGGATTGAAGCGTTTGGAGGTCGAAGCGACACAGAAAGGGGGATTAAAATAGCAGCAAAGGTAGAAAATCCCACTTTGCCGTGAATATTTATTAGCCAATGCATGCTAATCTGCGGTAATAGCGATTTCAGACACTCACCCGCAGCTGTCGCGCAGCTTCCCCGCGTGTCTCTGCAAACTCTGCAAGAAGACGAGGTCAACGGGAAGGACGAGTCCAAATCTGTTTTTTATATGAGGTATAACTGCATGTGCAAAAGGGGAAAAGAAAGGGGGGCTGTTATCTAGCCACGGGAGACCAGGTTGTTTTTCGGTCGCCCTCCTCTTCCTCCTCCTCCTGCTGCTGCTCCTGCCAGCAGCGTTTAATCCAGTTTGACTCTCTCTCTCCCCACCACGAGGTCAAACCTTATTTACCAAATACGACGAGCAGCCAGAGCCGTAGATTGACGCAACCCACCCTTATCTGCCATCACAGATTCACAGAGGTTAACAAGTACAGATTAATAGAAAATCACACGTATATGTTATTCTTGCTCACATGTATTTTTTATCTGTTATGTCTCAATTTAAGGTCCAACTCTTTTTAATCTCTACATGTTGCCATTAGGGGATGTCATCAGGAGCAGGGCCGGCTGGTGGATTTTGATGGCCCTAGGCAAGATTTTGTTTAGTGGCCCCCTCCCTGTGCTTTTTAATTGCATTTTCTTTTTTCTTACCTATTTTATGTTTTATTTTGGTCCTGATTTCATGGTCTCATTTTATGTTGCATGGTTCTTGTATTGTCTGGGTTCCTTATGACATGAAAATGGCCTTCAATTCCATTTTAACTGAGCTTTTTGTTTTGATCTGTCCTTTTCCGTATGCTTTATGACTACATATCAACGCACTTTGTAAACTTCTGTTTTTAAAAGTGCGATACAAATAAAGTTGTTATTATCATTATTGTTAATTTTATTATAAACCCAATAAAAAGGAATAAATTTAGATTAAAAAACTTTTCTTTTCATAATTTTTTTCATTGTGCTGAATATTTTGCTTTATATATTCAGGCAATTTCCTTTTCTTCCCTCATTAAAAATAGTAAAACTCATGTGAATGTAATTTGGCCTCATATAACCCACTCAATGTAATTGAACCACATTTTAAGGGCAGAAAAGTCTCGACAAGCACAAACCAGCCTTGCTCAACCCTAATTCTACATGGCTCTGGGTACATTCTAATATGCCCCGCCTCTTCTCCACTCCTATTGGTCCACTTCTTCTGTTGACAGGAGGTGGGGGCTGAAACGCGACTTCTCATTGGTTCGCCGAATAAAAAAAAAAACAAAGTGAGCGTTGGTGCTGCATTATCCCCAAAGCCAAAACCTGACGCAGTATTTTTTAGATCGTATGATTGAATACAAGGGCACTCAGAGCCATTGTGCTGCAGCAATGATTGAATATTATAAACATGAACCCTGCACGTGCAGAGCTTTGCTGAATATCATTCTGTTGGTGGTAAAAACGGATCTCTGCTGCCATCTGCCGATATGAGCTAAAGTGAGTCAGTGTCTGCAGAGCTGGGGCCGATTAACACAGATTTCTTTTAAATAGCTGCTAACTTTTTTAATCACTTAGATTTTTACATTTTATTAACCTTGAAACAAACAGCAATTTTTAAACGACTTAGTTTGGCTGCTTTGCACCACCCTTTATCATTATTTTATAATTTCTTTTCTCACTTGTTTTTTTCAATATTTTGAGAGTCCAGTGAGGCCCACTCATAGACTATCTACGGGCCCACCGTTTGGGTGCGGGCGCCCTCTGCTGGCTAAGACGCTCACCTGCGGCTGAACAGTGTAGCTTCTACAGGTCAGCAGAAGGCAATAATAAGGAAAAACACAAGAGCTGTGAACTTTCCTACTCTGAGTTTTACTGCTTCTAGGTTACCATTGTTAAGAATCACATTACCACCCTGTATGTATTATAAGAAAAAATCCCACAAATGAATTTAAATAAATTCAACTTGTGAAGCAGATTGAAATAACCTTTTAAAGGGATATTCCAGCGTAAAATTAATTTAGGGTCAAACATACCAAAACACAGAGTTAGACACCCCCTCGAGAGATGAATGTTGCCGACCGCTTGCTTCTCTAGTTAAACCAACTTTAGTAACGACCGCAGGATAGCAATACACAGCGGTCTGAGGAGCCGTTGTGCGATTATTTCAGACATCAAAGTTTTGCATACTGTCCCATACATCACTGGATATGAATGTCAAGCCTGGACAAGAAAATCCTACAAAGAGGTACCTTTGTGTCGTGGTTATCTGCTTTCTAGAAGATTATGAAAAAAAAAAACAAATGCTTGCTCCACCCTCCAATGGCAGGACCTAGATCTCCCCAACTCTACAGGTAAATAGACTTGCTGTGACACATCCATGCTTACCCCCTAATTAACATTAATATTCTGTAGGATGTACTTTTTTTAGATCTGTGTCACAGTTCCTTGCCCTGATAACCAGTACAGATTTATTGACTATGCTCATTCAAAAGTATGCCAATATTTTCTCTCTGTTTACCTTTTCCTCCACTGGGGCTCTGGGTAGTTGGTGCCACTTTCCCCCCACTCCCCTTCAGCCACAGCTCAGCATTAAATGATTGCGTTGGACACTGAACATAATTACAGTAGATCCTCCAATTGTGACAACACACCGATATTACCTGCCAGGTGGTCACCAACAAGGTCCTGGACCTGGAGACACATGAAAGCTTGGTGTCTCTACAGTGTCAGCTCATGGCAGCAGGGGGCGCCAAACAACCATACAGCAGATAATGATTGGTTAATGTAAATGAGGCAATTCTCTCTCTAGGCTGGCTCTTGTCGTTATATTTTCTGTATAAGGGTGATGAAACTTGGGTCTGTTAAAGCCATATTAGAAACAAAATCTAAACTGAGAGGAATAGATGGAGAAATGACAAATACTATTGTTTTGTAGTTGGATAGGAAGACTTCAGTAATACAGGAACATATTTTATTCAAGGCACTTCATGTAAAGTTATTCCAAGTCATCACTCGTGCGTATAGGAAAACTTCTGCTGGGATAATAGAGAGAAAATAGCATCAAATGAGCAGTAAGTGGCTAAAGCCTGGCTTGTTTGTTGGACTTGTATGTTCCTATTATAGAAATTAAAAGATTAAACTTCCTTTCAACCCTCTGTTTAAAAGGTAAATCAGATCTCCACTGTGTTTACCCTTTTAACAACCTCCCTGCTCCTGAATCTTTCCCACCAGCTCCGGATGGCGCTGTTGTTGTGGACAGATGTGATTTGAATGGCAAATCCCCTCCATGCAAACACAGCAATCAATGCGGCTAAATGAGAAGCATCAGCGTTAGCGCAAGGTCACTGCGGGTTCCTTCAGGTCGGGACAGGAGGTCGTGTCCTTGTGACTCTGAAATAATACAAGGAAGCAGGTTTCTTTTCATCAAATACACACTTTTTTTTAAAGGAACAATCCAAATAAATACACAAGCCAGTAAAACCAGAGCAATATGATGCCTACTAACAAACAGCCGTTAAGTGCACATTGAAGAGCAAAAGCGAAAGCCAAGTTGATTGGTGTTAAAGTTAAAGGCGTGTAGGTTGAAACTGGTGTGAAATGAACTCATCCCATTTACGGTGGGGAACTAAAACTCCGCTTCGAAACGCGGCAGCTTGGGTAGACTAGCGTAGCAGAAAGGCTGCAAAGGTGACAGCAGAGCCCGTTGTCAAAAGGTGAAAAAAAAAATCGTTTAACCTATCAAATCGAAATGTTATAACTTCCTTTTCTGCTATCTCTGTCCAAGCTTAATATCAGGCTACGCTAACTAACTTCTGCTTGTTGCCTCATACTCAGCAGGAACAGCATCAAAAAAAAAAAAAAAAAAAGCTCGCCTGCAAAATGTCAATCTACGTCTTAGCAGAAGGCACTGAGTGGGGTCAAAATCAGTCTCTACCGTCACTGCAAACATCGACTGAAAACTATGAAGGGTGTTTATGTCCTCAAAATCATTCCAATCATTAAGTTTTTATTGCTCATCAAGAATCCGTTACATTATGTTTCGATTCAGAAAGCTTCCTCTACTGTCGATTAACGAACTCGCCGTTTCAAATCCGAACATCACATCCAGTGGTTTTAGTAAATATGACACAACGGGAGCAACTTTCCCAATAACTTGACTGTCACTCATACTGTAACACATGCTTTAAAAAACATACCAGTCGAAAAATTCATTAACTATTAAAACACATTATAATGTTATAAATAAGTACACAATAAAATCAAAGTAGATTTAACTCTAGAAGGATAGTAAACATGCACGCTTTTAAGACTAAGCACAGAAATTAAGACTTTAAGAGACTTCCACTGTAACAGCTTAAACGTAAGAACCTGTTTTCAGTTGTCTGACTTGGCTTTGTAATGTGAAGAAGGCACTGTTTAGCTTAAATACGATTGTTCATGGCTGTAAGTGTTCCACAGGGTTTCAGTAAACTGAAATAACGTTACAAAACTACATCAAAGTTAATATTCCTCGCTGTACATTGTGAATAACTCCAACTGAGCGTGAGAAGAACGATGGACGCCATGTTGGCTGCGAGTAGGTTACGAATAAGACGACGCTCTGTGAGATGTGAAGTTTCTTTCCACATAGTCACCAGTTAATGCCAGATTACTGTGGAGAAAACACGGGTACTGATTTACAGAATTGAAGTGAGGAAAAGTTTTGATTTTCATGAGCAAAAACACCCAACTGTGGAAACATGACTGAGTGCACGTCGTCATTTAGCTGGTAACAAGCTTGTACATCCGAGTTAAGATGTACAAGCTCAAACGTGGAGTTAAATATCTCTCCCTGGAAAGAGTGGATATGAATAGTAAGGTGTCATCCATGAGTGGATTTTCCGGTCTATTGTCGTGTGATGACGTGCTTTCCGACGTGAGGACAGATGAAGGAGTCGAGGAGGAAGTCCAAAGTGTTCCCGGGACGACAAGGAAGATTGAATGGAAGTGGTTGTCGTGTTTCTAAAATGTTCACTTTGTTTTAAAGTGAAAGACCCTCCGACTTAAGTGTCAGAGTTCACCATGGAAGAAATGATGTCCAACATGCTATCGAGTCCAATCAGATAACCATCTTCTCTGTTTCCCTCTACCCATGATGCTTGATGCGTCAGCTCCTGTCCGTCAGGAAGAGGCGTGGTTTTCCCAAAGTCGATCATCCAGACTTTAGCCCGCCCCTTACCGTCATGGACGAATAACAAGGAGCTACCGATGACCTGCAGACACACAAAGACAATAGGATGAATAAAAAAAACACAGGAAACAATGACAGTCTTCTTTCTTTTTCTACAAGACACTATATTTGTTTGTGCCCCTCATATCCTGTTTTGCTACACCAACGTCTGAGACTCATATCTCCTTTGTGTGTGTGTGTGAACTGAATGTATACGTGCGGTTAAGCAGGTTCATGAGTGTGTGAATTGTGTCAATGAAGGACAAGGTGTCATGATGCTCCACTTATTTAGAACAAAACACCTCATCGCCGAGGCTTCTGAAGAAAAAGAGAAGATCTGTGGGGGAAATGAAAATCACGACTGTATAATCTGAGACACTGCCAGGAAAAATACACAACCTGGCTTCAATTGATCGCAAGTATTTTAGGGCCCCTGTAAATCACAGTCCATTAAATTCATCATAACTTATCTTCCTCATACATGTACAGAACAGGAACACAAAATCCTAAATTTAAAGAATTTCCTATATAACATCAAATAAGCTTCAAATGCCTCTGTGTAGTCTAGAAGACTCATCCTGAACCTCCTCCTGCTATATAAACATTTGCCATGACTTTCTATTCAACTCTAATTCTAAGGATATCTGGACATGTGGACACCTACGCTCCAAAATTAAATTATATTTGTTTATTCATATGCTTTATCCTAGTTGTAGAAGTCCTACAAACATTGTGTTTGCTGGTAGTCTGTTGGCATCTACAGAAGCACCAATGTTTTTTACTTTCACGTTGACTGGGCCCCATTTGTAATTATCTGAAATATTTATCTGCATTATATCTGAGCGAGCAGGAGCGTCTGTTTGTGGGCGGGGCTTTCTGGAGCAGAGAGGGAGGAGAGAGGAGGAGCTGAGGGGAAAACTGGTCTGGAGGGGTAGAGTTTACCTTCAAGAGTTCTCCCCAAAAACTGGCACTTCCTCAGATCCTGCCTACCCCACCTTTAATTAAGATTCTAAGCGAATGAGATAACTGCTGCTAATGGTGACGTTTTTCCTTTATTCTTCCACCGTGTCATTGGGCTGTTGTTAGACCTAATGCATTTCATGTATAATCTAAATAATGGTATGATTGCCTGATGAAGACGCCTCATCAGCACCTCTCTAACGACTTTAATCCAACTATCTATACTCATGTCAAAGTCAGGAAACAGCAGCAAGCACTACAAAGCAGTAATGGCGGCTTCACGAGATGCAGTGGTCCTCTGAGTTCATCTATACGAAACCTTTAAAATATTTTCTTTAATGTTTGTGCGCTTCACATGTTCGGTCAAGGGTCTTCACAAATACCCGGTGCAGAGAAGAAGACAACAAAGCATAAAAATAACATCGCATCTGCTAAAACCCACACACAAAGACCGAGAGGGTCAGAATGCAGTTTTCACAGTTTCTCAGAGTAGCAATATGTTCATATGAGATACATTATACTCTTCACGTTATTTCAACATGAATAGTGTTTAGTTTGGTGTTTTTTGGCTAAATCTAAAACGGCAAAATCGCTTGGTTTTAATGCTGTCTTTTAGTTGCACCTGGATTTCACATTACCTCATGGGTTTTGAAGAACGGGGAGGTCTCCAGAGTGTCTCTGATTTCCTTCAGCCTGGTTAAATAACAGTTCTGGGAAACAAAACACAAGATTTCATAATTTAGCTTTATCATCTGAATTAAAAATGACACTCCTGTAACAAATAATGTTAAATAAAGGGGGTAGGATAAATGACAATAACACTCTGCTGTCATTTATGTGTATGTGTGTTAGTGTGAGTGTGTCTTTTTGTGCGAGAGGAGCGGCCCAGGGAGTTCCCAAGGACTTCCCTTTTCTTCGCTCTCTTGAGGCTTAAGGTCACATTGTGTGTTTGTGTGTGTATATTTATACGTGTGAGTGTTTCCCATGGGGTTATTAAAGCGGCTCAGAACATTTCTTTTTCCATTCCTCGTCTGTTTTTGGGTCCTGCGCGGGTCAAGGCTGATAACAGTATGTTTAACTCCAGTCACACTCACCAGTATGTCCTTGTTTCCTTTCACAAAGTCCTGAAAGGCTGAAACGACCTGCTCCTTTGTCTTTGTTTTCTTGAAATCTCTGTTCACCGTCCCGTCCTCCTTCTGCAAGAGCAAAGGAGAGATTAAGAGACTTAAAGTGAGCATTAGGGTGTAAATAAATATCCATGTTTGAATGTTAAATACTCCTGAGTCTCTATTCTTAAAAATGGTGTCTTGTAAAGATGGGAAAGCAGAATATGGGGAGAGAGGAAGGAGAAAGAGCAGAGGGGTGGAAAGACGACAAAATAGAACAAACAAAGGGGAGGGATATTTTTAGAGTTCCAGCTTCAAAGACTTGACGGGTCTCTCAGAGTTTCTCAGTCCAGTCCTTATTATAATACACTCTGTTTAATGACTGGAACTGAAATTTCCCCGAGCTTTCTCACATTTCTGTTATGAAAACACGTCTTGGTCATTTTTCATCACCGTGTTAAAAATAATTCGGGGGGAAAAACGCGAAACGATTTTCCGTGAATCGAAGCCATCGAATACTTTTTACCATTACTTGCTTTTCCTGACCAAACACCTTGGAAATCACAACAGCTTCTAAAAATAAAGCCAAAGCTCGGCCTTCCCTGTGAAGACTGGCAGCAGCGTAAGTCATAAAGCCCGCTTCCTCCAAGTTTTAACACATTAATCATAATGTTATAAATAAGAATAAGAATAAGAATAACTTCATTCAGTTGTCATGTGTCAAAAAGTCATCCACTATTTACAGAAGAAGTAAGAGGTAAGCTCATGATAAACATTTTCTTTCTTTTCTCATCATCAATTGACAAACTTCCAATTGACGAGTTAAAAGCCACATGTACTTCCTGTCAAAGTGAATTAAAATATCCCCCAAGTGCCTTGAGTTGACATTCACAGACTAAACAGATGGTTATCAGCGAACAACAGCCTCACAGAAGCCAACAGAGCTCTATTTTAGAGAGTGTGACCTGTGGATGACCCTGAATTAAAGATGTTAGCGACAGTGCTTGCTGATTAAGTGCAAACTGACTCAACATTGTGTAATCAGACTCTGGCCTAAAGGGACGTCCTCAGGCTTGCACGCTGTGATCAGTCATATGCCTTACTGTCGGTGTGGTAGCAGAGCAGCATTTACTGAGTATTACACCTCAAAATCTAACCCCACTGCATTCATTTGATTCCTAAATCAAGACAGTGGTAGGAATCTCTTTACAGTGTTAAAGGGATATTCCGGTGCCAAGTTAGACACCCCCTCGAGAAATGAATGTTGCTGACCGCTTGCTTCTCTAGTTATACCAACTTTAGTAACGACCGCACGATAGCAATACACAGCAGTCGGAGGAGCCTTAAACAAACATCAACCAAAACGCCACTCTACAGCCACAAATAATGCTCAGAACAGCACCTAACTTAATCAAAAGTACAAATAGGGTCCCAGCCATAACACTAATCATCAAACATCTTTTTAGCTCTGCCTTATTTCTTTAGCAAAGAGACTAAACCCAACTCACCCACTCTCTTCCAGCAGCCACTTGTTTGTAGCGAGACCTAGGGCTAGTCCATTACGGACTGCTGAGGAGTTTCGCAGCTCAAGGAAGAACATTTATAATCATTTCTTTATTATTTCCTTGAAGTAATAATCACCATATTAATCATTTTGCACTGCAGACGCGGTAGTTCTTCTGCCTTAGCGTCTTGGCCTGATTGCATTTCCATGAAGAAATGATCATAAATGTTCTTCCTTGAGCTGCGAAACTCCTCAGCAGTCCATAATGGACTAGCCCTAGGTCTCGCTACAAAGAAGCGGCTGCTGGAAGAGAGTAGGTGAGTTATGTTTAGTCTCTTTATTAAAAAAATTAGGAAAAGTTAAAAAGATGTTTGGTGGTTGATGAAATTAGGTGCTGTTCTGAGCATTATTTGTGGCTATAGAGTGGCGTTTTGGTTGAGGTTTGTTTACAGCTCCTCAGACCGCTGTGTATTGCTATCCTGCGGTCGTTACTAAAGTTGGTATAACTAGAGAAGCAAGTAGTTGGCAACATTCATCTCTCGAGGGGGTGTCTAACTTGGTGTTATGGTGTGTTTGACCCTAAATTAATTTTACGCCGGAATATCCCTTTAACATGGACTGTAAAGAAATACACATAAATGTTTTTATAGACCTGTGATTCATTTTATGTCTGTTTGGTGCAAATTTACTCAATGATTAACACCTCTGCACCAGATAAGCAGAGTAAAGGAGGAACAACAAGAGGTACAGCAATAAATACTTACACAGAAGTTACTAAACTTTCAATTATCACAAGTCTGCTTTGAACTGTTACAGCGGTGTATTCACTGAGTCAACCTGCGGGAACTTTGCTTTTTACTGGCAAGTTAAAAGTAAGTTTTGGTGAGTGGAAGAGGCCAGATATAAATACAACCACCACCACTGTTTAGCATATCTCAGCGGCAGTGGTAGCATTGCTTGTACAGTTTAAACAGAAGCACTAAAAGTAATGTACCACCAGAGGAATTAACAGCAGTGATTGCCAACCAGTGTGCTTGTTCACAGTGGAATAAATGAACTATTCTTCTTCTGCAGGCTGCCAGGCAACAAAGTAGGACGAGGAGCCAAAACTATTTTTTCCTTCATGGTTCAGGTTTGAGTTCAGCGGCTGCCCTCTCCCTCTTCAACGCAAACACAACATACCTCAGTATTAAACACTCCTTTCTAATCTATATCCACATCTAATGTCATATGAACTCATTGAACTCTCTCTCACACACACGCACACACACGCAAGCACACTGTTTCTGGGGATAACCCTCAGTGTCATGGCAACAGACCACTGGGAGGTAATGAATGTCCTTATATAGTCACAAGCCCTTAAAATAAAGACAGCAGAGAGTGAGATGTGTGTGTGTGTGTGTGTGTGTGTGTGTGTGTGTGTGTGTGTGTGTGTGTGTGTGTGTGTGTGTGTGTGTAGGCATGTGTGTGTGTGTAATGTCAGTGCCAGATGCTGAGGCATATAGAGCTGCCATGGACAGACCTCATGTTTGACAAAGGAACTCCTGCACAAACGTTTACTTCAGAGGAAGTTTCTGTCCAAAACAGGAAGTACGACCATGCCCCTGAAGGACACACATACACACACCCTTCCTCACAAACAGACACGCACCAAACCCTGGAAGAAAGGAGGGAAGGAAGGCCGCATATATATTTATCTATATATACACACACACATATTGTTCGTCTTACCTTGACTCCCTCTATCCTGAATCCTAGGGTGGCTGTGGAGCTGATGGTCTCTCTCCACTGCATGTATCGGGGTTTGGTCACCACTTTCTGCTCGTTCTCCTCGGGCGTCGGAGCTTCGGGGTCAACCTCAATCATTTTCTGATACATGTCGGGTCTCGGGGAGGGCTTCTTACGAGCTTTGGTGAGCTCTTCTTCAAGGTAGGTTCTGAAACGTGAGAAAAGACAGATAGTTTGCGGTGACGGGATGGGTGAACGACACGAGACTAGGAAGGAAAGTAGAGTCTGACCAAGGTGTGAAGTAGACGCCGCTTACACAAAGACACGTCATAGAAGCTCAAAAAGACACCTGTGTGAACTTGAGGGTTTTTTCACCATTATTACTTGTCAACTACATTTTCTACCATTTTTTTTTATTTTTACCAGGTTTCTCTCCAACTATGAGAAGATAATTTGACAACATTTATAAAGGAATACAAAGGGTGATCCAAAAATTGTTCCTAAACTTTCGGACTGAACTTAGAGAGAAGGGTCTGACTCTAGTCCTCGCAATATCAAAAATAACATTTGGAGACACTAACTTTAGGTTTAAACACTAAATAAAGGTGTGAATCCTTGAGTTTGTTGCTGTGTTGTTGCCCTCTTAGCAATTTCAAAACAAGCGTATTATTGTTGAGGAAAAAGTTAAAACTTCGAAAATCGTGCAAATTTAAAACACCTGAAATCAACTTTCTCTTTGCAGGTTAAAGAGTTGTAGTTTTGGCATAAATATCTGTTAAAAAGCACTTCTGCAATACCCACCATCCTGTTCACCATTTACTTTTGCGATGTGTTTTCTCACCTCACTCCCATCTTACAGTCCATCACGCACGGGAAGTCAAACTCGGCCAACAGATCCTCCATCTGGTTGTATTTCTGCCCATCCTTCTCGACGTCTCCATGGTAACCAGGGACGTAGGGGCGAAGAACATCTTTCATCAGGAGGGACAAACAGCGCTGCTCACAGTCACAGTGTTTCTAAAAGACATCAGCAGTTAGTTATTATCTTTAGTCAGTGTGATTTAAACAAATAACAAATAATTTTTAATAAGAGTGTCTTACTTTTAGTATACGGCCGTTAGCACCCGCCTTGAAGCTCCCTGAAAAAAAAAAAAGACAATCTTAACAGAGAAGCAGCCTGAGAAAGTCTTTACACAGAGGCTTGAGTGAAAAGAAAGTAAGGGTTCATGTGTTGTTGCGCAACAATGATAAACTTTCTCTTATTTTTTTAGCAGAACATTTTTATGCAAGATAAATCAGCTGGTGGGGAAGAGCAGGCCCCTGTTTCAAGTGTTTCCACTTTCCCCGAGGCTCCAGGAAACGGATTCGAAGCAGGGATCATCTGATGTTTCGCAATCACATGTCTAACCATCCCCACAGATTCACTTCCAAACAACTCAGAAATACAAAAACTGAAGAACAAGTGAGATGTGTTAGTTGTTGTTTACTTACCTGCATGTCCAGCCAGTTGTATCCAGGGATATTTCTTCTTGAAAGACATGACAAACGGTGACCAATGGACCATGTTCTTTATTTTCTTCCAAGATTTGTGCTAAAAACATCAAAACACAATGTAAGTTATAATGCATCAGCGTTAACCTGCTACATCATTAATAATACTGGAACAAGGTTAAAAACAGAGTCAGTAGATTTACATGCAGAGTTAAATCACCAACAGACGAATGTTCCCCTCCGCTACAGTAGGGGGCGACATGCACAGAAAACTTAGACCAGTTTCAGTCCAGTTAAAGAGATATTCTGGCATAAAATTAAGTTAGGGTCAAACACACCATAACACCGAGTTAGACACCCTGTCAAGGGTGACTGTTGCCGACCGCTTGCTTCTCTAGTTATACCAACTTTAGTAACGACCGCAGGATAGCAATACAGAGAGCCACATGCTCAACCAAAACGCCACTCTATAACCACAAATAATGCTCAGAACAGCACCTAACTTCATCAACAGGACATATAGGGTCCCTGCTATAGTACTAGCCACCAAACATCTTTTTAACTTTGACTAATTTCTTTAGCAAAGAGACTATACACAGTATACCTACTCTCTTCCAGCAGCCACTTGTTGGTACGGAGACCTCAGGCGAGTCCATCGACTGCAGCGGGGTGACGCAGTTCAAGGAAGAACATTTTTGATCATTTCTTTATCATTTCCTTTAAGTAATAATTACCTTATTAATCATTTTGCACTGCAGACGCGGTAGTTCTTCTGCCTTAGCGTCTCGGTTTGATTGCATTTCTATGAGGAAATGATCGTAAATGTTCTTCCTTGAGCCATGCACTCCGCTGTAGTCCATAAATGACTGGCCTGAGGTCTCTCTACAAACAAGCGGCTGCTGGAAGAGAGTAGGTGAGTTGTGTTTAGTCTCTTTGCTAAAGAAATCAGGCAAAGTTAAAAAGATGTTTGGTGGCTAGTACTATGACTGGGACCCTTTATGTCCTGTTGATGAAGTTAGGTGCTGTTCTGAGCATTATTTGTGGCTATAGAGTGGCGTTTTGGTTGAGTGTGTGTCTCACTGTATTGCTCTTGTGCGATCGTTACTAAAGTTGGTATAACTAGAGAGGCAAGTGGTCAGCAACATTCATCTCTCAACGGGGTGTCTCCAACTCAGTGTGATGTTGTGTTTGGCCCTAAACTTAATTTTACACCAAAATATCCCTTTAAAGCTTGTGCATGACTGAGAAAATCTATCTTCAACCACATTTTAGTCCAACTTTGAGAAGCTCAATTTAGTACAACTTCAGCTAGAATAACGATCTTATATGTGAAACTTCAAGTTTATGTTGATTTTGGCACCCCCTGTGGACAACGTAGTCATTGCTGATTTTATCCTGTGTGTTTTATGAGTGTTTCATGACAAATTATCTCATCTTCTAACCATGGCATGTATTGCTCATCACAAATCTTTAGGGTGGAAAATGAGAAAGAGATTTAATTTATTGAAACTAACTTTGAGGAAACAGTCACTCCTCTTGTTGATGGTCTTTTTTTAATCATGAATTTGTTTAGACTTTTAGACTTCTTCGACTCTTCAGTAGAGAAAACATAAAACCATATGACGCAGAGTTCACTAACCTTTTACACATGAATAGTCGACTACATGCTTAATCCCTAAAACATCAGCGCTAATTCTGCCAAAGATCACCACGGAAACAAGAGTATCGCTAGTTCAATTTATCCTCCTCCGACATTTCCAGCTTACCCAGGGCTTTTTTTGGATGGTGGGGGTACAAAACAAGTCTTTAAACACATACACACAAATGCACACACAAACACACACAGTGGGGCATCCCTGACCCCGAGGGAGCTGTTTTCAATCTCCCTCTGCCAGGTTCTCCCTCTCTCTCCTTTTCCTTCTTTAGCTGCTTTTGACACTTCGACTAAACTCTGGAGGATCACGCTGGGGTTTCCCCTGGTTACACACACACACACACAAACTCAAACTCATGCACACACAGTTTCAACGAGGGCTCTCCCTGTCCCTGGCATGAAATGAACTGCGGGACTGCTGCCATGCATACACCAAAAAACGCACAACACACACACACACAGATCTTTTTTATCAGGGTGACCTCAGACTGATTTAAGTTCTGTTTTTCTCCAGCTCTCTGCGATCTAAAGACTTTCCTTTAAGAGTCGCATCAATATTTAACCACTGAAGACAGACATCTGAACTCTCTCTTTGTCTCTGTCGTAACACCAGACTGTTGGTTTACTGGATGAGCGCATGACAAGTTAGACTATTGTTTAAAGAACAAGAAGTGGGACATTTTGACATTTGAGTAGAGCAAAGACGCAGGTTAAAAATACCTCTTTTTCTTCTGATCGTGTTTTCCCTTATCATGCAAAACTATCCCTAAATTCTGCTGATATTCTTTGTACTGATTTTATTGTGTGTTGCAGCACCTCATGAAAGCTCTTGTTGAAGAAAAACACCAAAACCAATGACACCGTTTTTTTTTGTTGCCTGCAGCATTACATCAGATGGAAAACCTCCAGCTGTCTTGTTCTGTGGGTTTGAACAATGCTTGCCTGTGAAACGCTGTGACAGAAAATTAGACAAAACAAGAGTCTTTACTTGAGGAGTGCTTCCCACATCTATCATAATTGATTTATACGCAAAAGGCTTTGCTCTGAGTGAAATTTAAAGCGCAGTAGCAGTGAAATTAATTCATAATATCAGCATTTCTAGATCCAGAAGCTCTGCTCTCTTCATGATGTCACGCAGATGATTCCCTCTGCCCTGCAAACACCAGGAAACCTAATATTATGTCCACAAATAACCTGAGAGGTGGAGAAGAATAGAAAGAAAAGAAACGAGAGGAGAGGAGAGCGGAGGAGAGGAGAGGAGAGGACGGGTGAGATAAGAGAGGAGACAACCATAGAAGGAGATATATAACCCATGTCGCATAATCTGGACCTGATGAAAATTCATCAGCTGATAGTATGACTATCTATGGTGAAATGCACGCACACACACATTTTCACACACCTTCAAACTGACACACACACACACACACTCTCGTCTCTCACAGGGTCACATGAGGGGTTTTTCTCTGCACCACTGAAGGAAAGAGAGAGAAGAACGCAACCCCTACACAAAGTCAAACACACACACACACACACACACACACACGTGTGCAGGTCACATGGTGGAAACTGACTGTGAGGTGGGTCAGCTGAAATGGGCCACAGGAGTGAGTGAGGAAGGACGGATTTTTCACATTTTCCTTCTGACAATGTTTGAAATTAACGTTTGATTGTACAGTTTAACGTTTACAAAGGTATTGTGTAAAAGTCAATAAAAGTGCTATAGGGGAGAGTGGGGTAAGATGAGACATTTTTCATCAAGTCAATCATAGTTTTGTCTCTAACTAGCGTATCTGCATATATTTTAAGATGTTGTGCACATTTCCATATGGGGTAAGTTGACCATAGGAGCGGGGTAAGTTGAGCCGTATCCCTAATAATGTTAATGCACTGTTTTTGACCTCATGTTGTAGCTCATAGATACCACAATTGATGTATAGAACAAATTGAAAATGATCTTTTTTGGTCCGAATACAATTCTAATAAAACTTATGACAGACTAAATTCACTTTCAAGAGTGAAAAATTTTTTTTTTTTTTTAACATAAATGTCTAACCCCTTCACCCATGTGCCTCTAACCTTCACAGACTCCATGAATTGATGCCCATCTCCTATATATTTGGTCACATGATCAATTTCTTGGGTGGCTCAACTTACCCCACTTTCCCCTAACTGGTTAGCACACTACCATTTGCCCAGTTAACACATTTTTATATCCACATTCCTATATTGGGTAAATGCACATCTCTTTTGTGCATCATACAGGCCTAAACAGGAAAACGAAAGGAAACATCCAGTCGAAGCTAACTCTTTGCATCTTTGTGTGTTTTTGTGCAGGTATAATAAAAAAAAAATAAGCACTAAAAAGACAAACTGAACAGTTTTCCCACCACCTTTCCCTTTAATAATCCAGAGTGGAAAAGTATGATACTGAAGCTTGGTTTGCTGCAGTTTCTCTGTCAACTCAGACTGTCATCCATCCTCCACGCTGCCCACTCACAGCTGGAGAAACAGAAGAAGAAAGTCTGGACTGTCTCAAATGTGTGCATGTAGTCACAGCGTGAAGAGTGAGAAGGAAATGCAATCAGAGGAGACGAGAGGAGACGATTGGTTTGTGTGCAATGTAAATGGAAGATCCTTATTATTATTATTATTAGCCCAATAAAATTATACAGTTGTCCAATCATCCAGGTATGAAAAGCTCTCCATGACAGTAAATACAGCCTTGAAGTAAGAGTACCTGGTGGTGGCTGGTACGGAGGTGGATGATGGTTATGATAAAGATGGCTCCGACTGGCACAACAACACTCCACACTGAGCACAGCCACGCAGACCACATCATGGCTGACGGAGGTGACAAAATAACAAGACGGATTATCTGTCCCGGTTCTCCTGCTATTGCATCCGAAACTCTGCGTCTGTCCCTGTCTGCGCTTTTAAAAACCTCAGACTTCTCTTTCTATGTCCCACAAGATTTACACGTGTGTGCGTGTGTCTGAGAGAGTGTAAACAATTGTGGCTCATTTGATTGGCAAAACAGGGGGGGGGTAAACAATCTGGACATGCAAATCTTCACTCAGGTTACAACATTTGTAAGACAGACAGAGGTGAGAGTGCGTGTGAGTGCGTGTGAGTGCGTTTTACTTAAAACACTGGAAACATGACAAGGCTTAGCAAAGAAAACTGACTAAACCTGCGTGTTCAGACATGTTTTTCTACCTATATATGTTTGTGCAACCCGGCTGCCTGTCATGTTTAAGAGCCAGGAAGAAATACTGCGACAGGGATTACAACATAAGCTATAGTACGCAAAGAGGAACGATATGATGAAAACATTGCGAGCTATGTTCTTAACATGAAATTGGTGAGATGATATTCCGACAAAAACCCCAGAAACTATCGAGGCACAGCTGGCAGGTGACAAGAGTCTGTGAAAGTAAAATTTGCATGGTTGTGTTAAATGTGGAACATGTAGATAAAAAAAAAAAACACCCTTTCATGTATTTGAAAGATTTGCGTTACCAGGAAAATGATCTGTATGGAACATCTGCAACCCTCTTGTGTAAAAAAGAATGATTATGAATGTCTGGGAAATTCGACTTTCACGGTTTTGATCCTGCTTTTACAGCTGAATCCAGTCGGCCAATGAGAGAGCTGCATTTTGAGTGTGCGTATAATCACAGCAGGATAATAGAAAACCCTGACATATCCTTAAAGAGGTTACACACTCTGGTGCCTGTGGGATTAGTGCACCCAACCCTCACCTGTGATTGGCCTCACAGACACACACTCCCCCTCTAGCCGACATGCTGACACAGACCCACCTGTGCATATTCACTCCTATAGATAACAAGCTTCTTTTTCAAGCTGCTGTGAGGTGCTGTTATAAAATAGACTGAAATTGATACTGATGCCTCTATCTGATGTGCAAAAGCAAACCAGATCATCAGCAACAAGGTTAGCAGTTTCTCTATAGTCGTATGTAACGTCTAAAACCTCTGGAAGGGGGTGGGTGTCAGTGGAGTTGACCAACTGCAAACCAAAACTGCTTTTTTTGGACTTTGAATGGCAGAAATTTCACACCGAGTGGGACTTTTTATTGGATATCATCATGTTCATAGCATTTTAAAGCTCCTGTGTGGAACTTTCTTTCACTCTGCTTGCTTTGACAGTCAATAGTACAATTGTAGGAGCCGAAATATATTTGTTTAAGTATGATTTCTACTAGGTTTGTCACTTCCTGGGTGTGGTTTTGGGACGTTTGGCAGGTTATTTAAATCTCACCGGTGTTGTCAGACAATGAGTTGTGGTAAGCTCTGATAATTATCTGTTGACTGTTTCACTCATCCTGTTTTAACCTCATTTCATCTTATCACTTTTTCATTCGAAGGCAAAAGTTTTGGACCTGGATCAGAGTGTTTTCGTTTCTTTTTTGGAACAATAAACCACTTTTTAACACTCAAACTGGACTGATAATTGAACAAGTCACAGACGCAAGCACACCTACCCCTTCACACCAATTTGAGGCATCAGAAAAAAACATTTTAAAGTTGCCCATCTTGTCCCTGATGGTTTTCATTGCTTTTTTATACCAGAAAATGGCATCAATATGATATCTAGTCTATTTCACAAATATCTAAAAAATCCACACAGGAGCTTTAAGTTGTAATTACCTGTATGTCAAACTTGTAGTGTAGCTCCTGCCTTACTTTCTACATGTCCTGTTTAAGACACTAAACTAAAAATATAAGAGTTAAATATGGAGGCAAAGTGTTTCAAATTATCATACATTTATTCGAAATTTTCAGGAAAATTTTGTCCCATGTGAAAATCGACTTTGACAGACCTCAAAATTCTGCCTTTTTATAGGTAATCCATGCAATTGACCACACATTTTACATTTGATTAATAGTGTTTAAAGCTGTGCATGTTATTTTAGCTTCAGCCATTTATGCTCATGAAGTTGAAGTTGTTTAGCAATGAGATGTATGTTTTATTTTAGACACCTAAATAAAAATTAGCGGTAGGAGAAAAAATCAATACGGCATAGTATCGCAATATTTTGTCTGGTGATATATCGTATCGTCTCATTTACCAAGCATCGATTTTTTTCAAATTAATTGTTAATTTGAAGTCAAATCTATGAAAATGGAAAAATTAAATCAACCGTTTGAAATAAAATACAGAGTAAATAAGACAAACAAAAAGGAAAGACACCTGCTAGATTAGCTACACAATTGAAAAAATTATGTAAATCACAATATATCGTATCACAATACTCTAAAAATCGCAATTATATCGTATCGTGGCCCAAGTATCATGATAATATCTTATGATGAGGCCACTAGTGATTCGCACCCCTAATAAAGACAGCTCCTTTCCTTGATTTTCAAAGTTAAAATATTGTTAAAATTATTGAAGCGAATGTGAATAGTTTGAATTGGTAGAAATTGACTGCACATATTTTCTCTTGTCCATCTCTTTTTCGCTTTTTTCAGCTCCGCCTGTCTCTCTGTCTCTGCTATCTCTTTCCCCAGAACAGCTGGAGGACAAGCAGAGAGAGAGAGAGAGAGAGAGTAGGAGAAACTGCGAAGTTTCCATTGAGAGAGAGATAGAGAGAGACAGAGAGAGAGAGGAAATTGTAAGAGAAGGAACTTCTTGCAGACAGGAAGTGGGGGGGGAGTGCCGCTTGCCTCAGCGACAGTATTTTCCACATCCGCCGCTGACTACAAACAAAAGAGAGAAAGAAAAAAGGCCTTGCCCTCTATAAACAACCGACAGAGAATGAACGCTAAAGAAGAAGCGAGGAGGGTCGACTGGCCTCTTGATCATTATTCTCTTCAATCAGTTGTATGTGTAGAAATCTTTACCGCATGCGCTCTTTTGCGTCACATTTGCATAAAAAGTTATTAGAAGTTGGTTTTGTGTCTTAAACCAGAAGACTATGGTTACACAGGTTGACTTTATCACTCATTTGCATGCATGAAGGAATGCAAAGAGGCAGAGAAAAGCAAAAAAAAAGAAAACAAAAACTTGGGTCAAAGGGTAACAAAGTGAAAAAGCAGCGAGGGAAACACTGATGCGCGCTGATGTTTTTTTTTTTTTGAAAGAGAAGCACTGAGGAAACAACACGCCTGTTATCGCTCACCACAAGGTCCTCTTGCAGATACAAATAATGCAACTGTCTGAGACTGCAAAGCTCTTCGACTGAGAGGCACAAACACAAAAACACAGCGACAAAATTAGACTGCATGGAGTGTGATGCAGGCCAAACAACGTGCAGTAGATGCTTGGACAGTGCCTGGTAAATCTCTTAGCAACCAGGGCAGGCTACAGGCAAGAAAACAAGATAACTGAAGGGAAAAAAGAGGTTAGATGCTTGTGATGTGGCTGCTCGGTTCACTTAATACTCAAGTCAGATAAGGAACCAACTTCAGGTCACAATGGAACATTAGAGAGAAGATCTCACTTCAGATCTTGACTTGAAAAAAGCCTTCAATTAAATTTAACAAACAGGTTTCATGTTTAGGTGTTTTCTTTGCACCCTCTCTTCTCTGATGTTATCAGTATGTTGGTTTCTATAACCTGCAAAAGAAACTTACTACGATTGACAGGTTTTTTTTATCCCCGCTGAAAAAATATCACGTATTCATTAAGTTAAAAAATAACAATATCATTTTTCTTTTTTTTTTTAACTGATTTTCTTTTTTCTTGCTTTTATTTATTCAGTTTTATTTTCTCTTATTGATTTTTTTTTTTTTACTATATTCATTTTGTTTTAACAATAATTTGTTTGTCTTTTCTGGTTTTTCTTTGTTTATTTTGGTATTTTTCCATTTTTTCCAAACTTTTGTTGGTCTTTTTACTCTTTGAGTATTTTGCATTTCTTTTTATTTTCTTTTAATTTTGTTTTGTTTTTTTTCATTGCTTTTCTTTGTTTTTATTTCTTCCTATTATTTCTTTTATGTTTTTCTTTCTTGTTTTGCACATTTTTTTCATCTGTTCTGGTTTAATTGTTTTTATTTTTTCCTTTATATTTATTTTGTGTTTCATTTTCTTGTTTTGCACTTTTTTTTATCTGTTTTTGTTTTATTGTTTTTATTTTTTCCTTTATATTTATTTCATAATTTTATTTCTTATTTTGCACATTTTTCATCTGTTTTTGTTTTGTTTGTTTTTATTTCTTCCTTTATATTTCTTTTACGTTTTTCCTTCTTATATTGCACAATTTTCATCCGTTTTTTTTTTTATTTCTTCCTTTATATTTCTTTTAGGTTTTTCTTTCTTATTTTGCACATTTTTTTCCATCCGTTTTTGTTTTATTGTTTTTATTTCTTCCTTTATTTTTCTCTTACATTTTTCTTTCTTATTTTGCACATTTTTGTTTTCATCCCTTTTTGTTTTCTTGCTTTTTTTAGTATCACTGAGAATGTTTGCAACCTTCTGTTGTTGTTCATTTTTAAGAACTAAATTGTTTATGTGCAGAAATTAAAATGAAATATAATAGCGTTGTAACCTTTGTAGACCTCCAGTCAATGAGTCTTACATAAACAACCATTATATAGCATTCTGCAGGGTTTCCCCGTGTGGTGCGTGTCTGTGCGTGCGTGTTTCTGACAGCTCTGAAACCCTGCGAAACCACACTTGACTTCTGCTCTGGACTTGACACCAGGCTCTCTTCAAACTAAAATGTCAGTTTCACCTACAGCAGCAAGGCGACCTGACCTCTCCTTAGCCGGGGCACGCAGTCACTTGCAAACTTTGTACAGGCGCACCAAATTAAGAACTGACCGGTGTTTCCCCTCCTCACAGTGAAGCAAAAAGACACTTTTTCACACACACTTCAACTTACAGACTCTCCGTCTCTCTCAAACGCACACACAGCTGTGAGAGGGAAACTCGGTTTGACGTCACGGGGTTGCTTAGCAGCCGGCCGCCGTGGTAGTGAAGATTTTCCACTGCAGTACAAACACACTGTGTGTGTGTGTATGTGTGAAAGAGTGTGTGAGAGTGTGTGCTGAGTTACGGTTTAGGACATGAAAGTTAGTTTTTGTCCAGTCAAGATTTGCACTAGAAAACTCTCTCTTTCTGTTTAGATGTTGGGCTGGATTCACAACTTCTTTCTCTGATAATCAAAGTTTTGAATTTGATGTTTGAGTCCCTGCATATAAAGGGATGAAAAAATAAATGTAAGTTGAGGTATGGATGTGAGAAAGAGAAGTTTTCTGTGCGGATACGGTAGTGTCCTCTTCTGCAAAGTTCAACTATCAAAAGTTTCACACTGATGTGAGTTGAAAGTGTTCGGCGTCTGTGAATGTCTGTTAAACTGTTGAGCAGACTGGGTCCAGTCTTTAATCCAAAAGACCAACAGCTTTATAAATAGATGCATCTTTTTAAGAAGCCCAGGTGTATTGAAATGCGTCCAAAACTGTAAGGCACCCGAGTCATTACTCACATTGCAGACAGCGTGAGTAACAACTCATCTTCTGCATCATCTCTGACGCTCCTCTTTTGTAGCTTTTGCTCCACAAGCTTAAACTTCTGTTATCAAATTCTATAAATTGTGAAGAAAAAAAGCTTTCAGAAATTTTCAAGCACCCAATTTTCTGATAATAGAGATAAAATATGCAAATCTTTGGTCATTATACTCAATAACAAAGTCAAATATTGAGTTTGTTCTGACACGAGATGGCAAATCATCCTGATCATCCAAATCTGAAGCACACCGATTACATGCAGTGCTTTAGATCTACTTGTATTTCAAATGCTTGAAGGTCGATTTTCCGAAAAGGCAAGCAACACCTTTTCACCTCACCTCAAACATGTTTTTGCACCTTCTTCTGTTTTCCTTCCCCAACATTTAACAGACATTTTGCAGGGGAGGAAACAAAGATGCCTATCTATTGCAGGTGGCCCTCCACTGCCAATTAACGAGACTGGGGAAACAGTGGCACCGCACGTGTGCTGTCTAACCTTGGAGAGATGCCCAACAGTCAAAAGATCAGCCAAATGGTGTCTATAAAAGGCTGTGTTCAGATTCTGAGTGTGTACGCTCTTCAAAAACCAGTTGATATAGTCATAAAACCAATGACCGTAATAAAGAAGATGGGTTTGAGTGTGTTTGTACAAAACGGAATTAAGAAGTCATGCTTACTTGATTGAATACAAAGCAGATTTATTTAATAATAACTGCAGAAACATTTGAATTTAGTCATTAAGATGAATAGAGCTTTTTAAATTACGTATAAATAAACTTTTGTTGATCCTGTTCTAAAAAGAGAACTGGACTTTGAATGACTCAGGCAGCATGGAGGACATTTTCTCTGTTTTAGCTCAGCGTAAATGTACAGTCTCTGAAAAGGAGTACCCCAGGGGTCTATTTTGGGACCTCATTTCATCACATTAGGATGAATAGAGCTTTTTAAATTAAATATAAATTAACTTTTGTTGATCCTGTTCTAAAAAAGAATTGGACTTCTAATGTTTCAGACAGCATGGGGGACATTTTCTCTGTTTTAGATCAGCATAAACTTACAGTCTCTGAAAAGGAGTACCCCAGGGGTCTATATTGGGACGTCATCTGTTCACTTTGTATAGAAATATTATCTTAGCATGGCTCTCAGAGGTTTCCTTCCCATACTGATGGCACAATATAAGACGGCATCTACTGTATTAGGGGTGGGAGAAAAAATCGATACAGCATAGTATCGCGATATTTTGTCTGATGATATATCGTATCATCTCTTTTAACCAAGAATCGATTTTTCAAATTAATTAAAGAAAAATTAAAGAATAATTAAAGAAAGCCAAATACTAAGTTAGCTAAACAGTTAAAAAAAACGGTACCACTTTACTTGATGTCTATCTCTATAACACATTATAAATGTCTGTATAATGCGTTATAATCATGTTATGGCACAGTATAACTATAGTTATAAACACTCATAAATGATCGTAATGCTTTATAGCAATAATCATAACACATCATAAAGCATTTTATCATGACTTACAAGGTCAAGTATTATAAATGTGTTATAACTGTTAACAACTCACTGATAATGCCCACATAGATAATGCATTATACATGTATTTATGATGTGTTATAATATTCTTATAAACTTGTATTACTATCAGCATAACGCATTATAATACCTGACCTTGTAAATCATGATAAAATGCTGTATGTGTTATGATTATTGCTATAAAGCTTTATGATAATTTATGAGTGTTTATAACTGTAAATATACAGTGCTGTAAGGTGATTATAATGCATTATACAGATATTTTTAATGCGTTATAGAGATAGGCGTCAAGTAAAGTGTTACCGAAAAAATTATATAAATACCAATATATTGTATTGCAACACTCACCGTATTGCAAAAGGTTAAAAATCACAATAATATCATGTCGTGGGGCAACTAATGATTCCCTATCCCTATATTGTATTATTTTGACTCAGTCAAGCTGTAACTGGTTGTAAATGGATGCTGAATTCAATACCTGACTAAATGAGGATCTGTTTTTTTAAAGTCTCACATCTAAACTATCATAACATCTTTACAAACTAGTAAAATAAATCTACTCGCAGTTGTTAGTAACTAAGCAAATGGGGGTTTATGTTGTTTAAACTGTGGGAGTCTGTGTTTATTTTATCTTTATTTCCTGTTTTATTGAAGGGCACCCTTTTAAAATGCTGTCGGTCTTCTACCTGCTATAATAAAACATTTTTTTTTATTCAATCATCTTGTGCAATCTTTAGGTGGATGTACAGTAAGTACTGTAAATTTTTGTTTTCCTGCACACATTCTTTACTCTCTTCCTGCAGATTTTACTCGTATAAGCTCACAGTGTTCTCTTCTGCCTTTCTTCCTCTCTCAGTATCACTCCTCTGCACTTTCTCTTCTTTCCTACATACCTCCCACACAAGCAGGCATGCTTTATGTGTATCTGCATGTCTGCTTCTTCTTGCACACACACACATACACATACAGCAGGTTTCCTTAAACTAACAACTGATCAGGATCTGTGACAGGCTGCAGACATGAGCATGAGTAACCTGTGTGTTTGACATCTCAAAACTATGATGGGGAAATCCAGACTTTTACTAGGAGTTGTAAAACCCTTTCCTTCTGTCAACTGCAGCAGGAGCTTCTCTCTCTCTTTCACCGCCAGGATGGAGGGAAAAAACAAATACCGGGAATATGCAAAGAGCAATACAAACACTATTCAAATCCGCCAGCCAGATTCCTTTAAACAAATGGCTTGATGTGCATGTCAAGTAGGATGGGCAGGACATTCAATAGGAAAGGGTCATTAGATTCAATATGCGAGAAAACTGCATCCATCACACTCTGTCAGGAGCCTTAAAACTCTTAAAGCACATTAAGATCATGAGCTATTATACGCTTCTATGCAGATGATGCATTTTCCTGTATAATTCAAGGAGCTGAGTATTCAAAAGCATGCAAAGTTGGTCATCTTTGACACCAGCAGAGCTCAGTTTTTTCCACTCTTGCACCAAATGACAATTCAGTCGAGAAGACTTGAATACAAGCGCTCCACAAACTCGAAATGAAAAGTTTCTTGTGGTGGAAAGTCTTGAAAATTGAGTACTTTTTCAACCGGGACGATGTTTACCAAACAAACAGCGCAAGAGACTAGTTATACAATCTTTTGTGAAGTCGTGTTTCAAAGCAGAAGTGAGATGAACTTGTGAACTTATCTTGGCTACACATAAGAACACATCCACAAACCCACCTACAGAGACACGCATGCACACACACACACACACACACACACAAACACACACACACCCAAACAGGCCTCAGCCTCCTCTTTGAACAGCGTCCAAACACAGGCAAAGCCTAAGTGTGTGTGACTGCGAATTCTCTCTCCTTGCCTTCTTCTATTAGCTGAGCTCTATTCATCAAACACACATACACCCTTAGATTTACCCACATACTAGAAACACACACACTAACACACACACACACACACAGGTCAGGGCACAGAGCTAGCTTTGTTGCTTTGAATGTCAACCATTACTCAGGTGGGGGACTCTGGCCAAATGAACACAGAGGCACCCACCGAAACACACACAGATACACATATTTGTGGCTCATGTTGTCAAACCCACTCAAGGAAGAACCGTCAGGTCTTTCAAGATTAGCCGCAAAAGCTTGAGCTGGGCGAATATAGAGTATATTCAGTGTTCTTGCTAAACAAAGTTGCAGAAGTTACTTTGAGCTAAAAGTCAAATCAGCAATGCCAAGAATCCTGATATCGTCACCCTCTTAAAAGTCATGCTGGTCATCCCTGGTAAAATCGCCTAAATCCTTAGTTTAAACGATCATGCCATGATTCTTTCAACTAAGGTTTTAGGCGATTTGTAAGGATGAAAGGTTGACAGGATCATGGCAGGTTTCTTTCAACTAAAAATTTAGGCAATTGGCCAGCATTATCAAGATATGATTTTGGGCAAAAACTCATTTTCATTCAAAAACGACTTGAGTCATTATTTGAATTGGGGGACAATATCAAAGTTTGCTTGTAAATTTTGAGCCTAGAGGCAGATGGTGACATAGAGCACAAAGTAAAAGTTGGGAAACCATCAATTTTTCACAATTGTCAAGTGACTGTTTCAGATAGGGCGACATGATACCACCTTAAGGCATGCTAATAGCAGTGGTGGTTCACTTGCACGTCAGTTCAGACTGTTCAGCTCATCCCTGCATATCATTCCTGCATCTCTCTCTCATCTCTCTCTCTCTCTCTCCCTTCAGTTTCTTACTTTATCCACGATCCTGTCTCTCAACAAAAGCGCCTAAAATAACCTCAAAAACAGATGAAAATTCCTTCAATCTGTTTAACTTGTCTGATTTTCTCTGTGGGGATCATTTATGGTATTCCCGCCGGATTCATTGTCTAGCCGAAGTCACGGACAATTTTCCAACCAAAGCTGGTACAGGCAGCTCGTACACGCTGACACACACTAGCAAACACACTCTGTTTTCTTACCGCTCTCTGTTTGGAGGTCAGGACGGCAGGGTTGAGAAGCTGCTCCCCTTTCTCCGTATCACTGGAAATATCCTCCTCCGACTCTTCCCATGATGAGGAGAACCCCGCCGAGGAGGCCGAGGAGGAGGACAACTTCCTGAGGGAACGGTTGATGAAGTTCGACCCGGGGATGGGGCTGGAACCCGGGCTGGGTGTTAAGCTCGGTCCTTGGTCTGGGTTGAAGCCCTCTGAAGTTTGAGGTGGGTTTTCCAAGCCGTGGTCAGTTATAATGACAGCAGGGATGGAGGGTGGGACAAAAGGAGAGTGGTTGGAGGTGTGATCAGTGTTGTCAATCAGACACGGGGTAGGGGTTTCTGGGTTAACATCCAGCCTGTTCGACTCTCTCTGGAGACACAACTTGTCCGTTTTCTCGTTTTCTATTTCTCTCTCTGTCCGTTCTGTTTCATCTCTGGGCACTTCCCTCGTCTCTGCCTCCCCTTTGTCCTCCCTCTCGCCCTCTTTTCTCTCTTTATCTGTTTTTCCATCCAGGTTAAGTGTCTCAAAAGAACCTTGAACATCAGACAGTCCATCTAAACAAGGAGTTTGCATCGTAGATCCAAAATGGCTTCCATTTTGATCAATGAGTGTCTTGTCCTGTGTGTTTGTGTCAGTAGCACTACCGTCCTCTTTTTCACCTTCACTCCTCTCTCTCTCTTTCTTTTCTTCCTCCACCGTTTCTGCCTCTCTTTCTCTTCCATTTTGGACGACAGGGGGGACTTTAGTCTGTTGTGGGTGGGTCATGGAGAAGTCAAAGGCCGTGTTTCCTTGACTCGGACTAGTTGGTGTTTGGCCCGTAGAGCGTCTTGGAGACCGTGGGCTACGCTGGAGCTCGCTGTTGAGCACCTGAGCTCGAATTCCAGAAATGTGGGCCTCGAAGATGCCGACTTTACCCCTGACCTGAAATACACAGAGATAATACGAGTGAAATGCAATTCTAAGATCTGGTTTACTACGGTTTCTACATTATGGACCATCAAATCTAAAATCACCTCCACGTTTTGCAGCTCCCTGTGTATCTGCAGCAGCTGCGCTTGGCGTCTCCTCTCCTCTTTCCTTTCTCCTCCTCCCGTCTCTCTCCCCCTTTCTTCCTGCCCCTCTCCGTCCCCTCTCTCCTCACACCCGGGCGAGCTCAGCCGTCGGACCCGCTGGCCCACATTGACACCCAGCAGCTCCGGGCTCCGCGGGGAGGGAGAGCGAGCGCGAGGGGAAGAGCCGCAGGGCGACGACGACGAAGAAGGGAAGATGAAAGCGCGGCCCGGGGACCGAGGGCTTGTCTAGGGAGCAGACACACCGGACCGGATCAGAGGTGCTCAAAGACTGACACATTAACTCATCATAAACAGTTGGACTTTTTAGGAAACAACAAGACTACCGTAGGACTGGTAGGACTGTAGAGACCTCCACCGAGCAGCTGACAGTAGGTACTCCGATCAGGAACTGGCAGCACAGGTCGACCAGCGGGACTGGTTCTTGCCGCTGAGTTTGTGCTAGAGGAGCCGGGCTGGGTGTGAAACTGATTACTGCTGCAGAGGAGAGGAAATGGGACAGGGTTGTAGAGTCTTAACAGAAAACACACAAAAAAAGTGTAGGACTGGATTTATTCATATTTTACACATTTAAAATCAGAACTTTTTGGACTTTTTACCATTTCATAAAACAACAAGAGAAGTCCAAATAGTGGAAGTTTATTGAATAAATAAGTTAGTATGGAGAGAGGTGAGTGTATTCAATCTTATTAAGGGATTTCACAGCAAAGCACAACTGGCTTTTCATACTTTTTAACCCTCACATACTGTTTGGGTCAAATTTGACCCGTTTTGACTTTTAACAGCAGTAAAAAATACCCTAAACATCATTTTTTAAGCCTGAAACTTGATGACTTTTCCTGAAGTTGCCCAAAATACATGAAATTAATTTAAAAATATTCATGTGTATTTTTGTTTATGTGCTACAAATTTTTCCCCTCTAAGGCTGTTACGGGTCAAATTTGACCCGTATCTATATTTAGATGGATTTTAGATCCAGCAGTGTGGGACAAGTGACAAACAGTAACAATAGTGTTCAATATAAGGTTTGTTGTTCAAAAAGATATATTCAAATCATTATGAAACTATCATTACCTTGACAGAAACACACACGCACGCACACAGACATACAGTCACACAGACACACCTAGACAGAGGTCAAAATGACCTAACTAGTCAAGAGAACTTTCTGTGACAGAAAACTGCTCTTTGAACTCTTTGAAGGGGAAATTTTGAGCCGGAACACACTGTGAGGGTACAGGATTTGAACAGTATGTGAGGGTTAAAGGTAATTACTTTATATCACATGTAAAATCACACAACTTTTTGTCTCGGTCCAATATGTGCGACCAAAACAAGTTACATGACAGCTTACGGGAAATCTTCCTCTAAGGAACAACTTGATTAACACTTAAAAAACAACATTAATACATTAAAATGATAGACTTTGAAGCATTGTGATGAAAAATCTGTAATTTAATGTAACATGCATTTTCTCGATAAAAGTCCACAGGGTATCTTCATCTATTTCCCTGTATCTCTTTTCAGATCAAACCAAAAGTTATCTTACTAATCCAGTCTAACAGCTTCACACCTGCACCACACCAAGCCATACTAACCGAACAAGTTCAAAGGTAGTCAGATGTTTTTAAACACACGAAAGGTGACATAATACTGTAAATAGGGCAGACCTGTTCATGACTCCCAGGCCGTTCAAGTTCAGGGCAGACGCTGCCATCCCCGCGGCCGAGCCAGGGGCTGTGAGTGCTGGGTACACATCTGACAATCTCCCCTGAGGCAGCAAGGGAGGTCTGGAGAAGAGCTTTCAGTGTTTCCTCCGCATCCAGGCAGCCGCTGCAGCTCAAAGACCGCAGGGAAGTCTAAAAAAGAGACAAAAGATTGAGTCGGTTTTACCGGATTTAACCTCACTCATGAGAAAAATTAATATAGAGAGGGGCAAAACACTGGGAGTTCAATTTTCCATTCCAGGAAAACCATCACGAACTGCGTCATGGACAGAGATTATTCATGTAGTCCTGTTATTAAGTCGAAATAAAAGATACCATTGTTGGTGCTGGGAGTTAAAAAGACACAAATAACAGAGGAAGGGAAGGAGGGAAGGACGGAAAGATGACGATTAATACCCAAACTGGAAATAATTTGTTTAATAAAAGCTGATTTATAAATATAAACCATATATGAATGAAACTGCTGTTGAAGAAGATAACAATGTTTGTCTTAGGGTTACAATTAATGTGTCCCCTTTCCTGCTCTGTGACCAGTAACTCTACACCTGAATATCACCGGGAACGTCTCAAGAGTTTTACATAAACAAGCGTTTCATTCTCTGTTTCTCCTTTTTGTTCGTAAATAATAGCCGCATGCAGCCGGGGCCGAGCTGTGACAATCTTTCGCTCCACTCCATCCTCTCGCCTGGCACTGTTTGTTTGAAAATTTGCTAAAAATAAAGTTCACGTGAAGGTAACATTCTTTCAGGGAGAAAATGACGGGAGGCACAGGGAAAAGGGCAGAGAGATGGAGATACAGAGAAGGAGAGGGAGAGAGGGAGAAAAGGGCAGGAGGTGGAGGGAGAGAGAGTTTTTGAAGGTGAAGAAAAACAAAAAACACGGATGAAACACAGAAAGAGAAATGAAGCTACAGAGTGGGGACAAAAAAAAGGAAAAGAAAAGATCACAATTTATGAGTTTGATTTATGGGGGTTCAAAGTTGACTTTCTAATCTTGTTTTTAAATCTCTTTTCAGAAATATTAAGCTTTTCACATGCCGCAGGAGACTGTTTCACTCTGACTTTTATCCAGATGCTTTTTCTTTTTATAGGCTGAACTCTTCAAACAAACTTTTTACTCTTTGTGTGACCAGAAAGAAACAAAAACATCAGTGTCCCAGGGTCTGCTGATTTAAAACAACATCTGACTCCGAGTTTAAGAAAACACAATGGACTGAATCACTTGGCTGTAAATTTTCATTATAAAACACGACAATCTTGTCCTTGTCTTCTTATAAAAAACAGATCTCCAAGAACCAAGACTGACCAATTAAGTCATGTATTTGCGTTCCTGTGAGGGTTTTTTAGCTGGTTGTGAATCAGGTTAAAATTAGGGAGTTAATGGGGCGAGTGGGTTAGTGCACCCCATGCATGGGCACCATGGTCCCCGTAGCGGTCGCTGGTTCGGGTCTAGCCCCGACCATGTGCTGCATGGGGTAAAAATTGCCCAAAAAATACTTAAAAAAAATTAAAAAATAAAAAATTAGGGGGTTAAGTGCAACCTGCTCTTCCTTTTCCACTTTTTCTAATTTCTAATCAGTGACAGATTTGGCTCTTAAATTACAGAAGGATGAGGTTTTTTTTACCGGAAACACAGTTCACACATGTGAGGAAAAATTAAAAAAACAGATAAGGGGTGGCACTTTGTCCAGGATGGGCACCAAACTCAACACAAACCCAAAGTTCCTTACAGAGGCTTGAGACTGAAACTAAATTAGAGCAAAGTTATTAACTGTTATTGCTCTAGTTGGCACTAAAATTACTTGTTAGTTAAACAAAAAAATTCTATTTTTGAGCATAAAAAATTTGTAATATGTCATGTCTAGTACGACCACCCACCACTAGGCAGGGCTGTAATTTCAGCTAATGTCTCCTGCAGGTGGTGTCTCATAGTCCAGCACTGTCTGGCAGTAATATCAGCTGGAAAATGGAGATTAAAGGGATATTCTGGCATAAAATTTATTTAGGGTCAAACACACCGTAACACCATAACACTTGTTTCTCTAGTTATACCAACTTTAGGAACGACCGCAGGATAGCGATACAAAGCGGTCTCTTCATGGAAATGCAATCAGACAGAGATACTAAGGCAGAAGAACTACAAAATTATTAGTATGGGGATTATTACTTCAAGGGAAATGATGAAGAAATGATCATAAATGTTCTTCCTTGAGCTGCGTCACCCCGCTGTAATGGACTGGCCTAAGGTCTCACTACAAATAAGCGGCTGCTGGAAGAGAGTAGGTGAGTTGTGTTTAGTCTCTTTGCTTAAGAAATTAGGCAAAGTTAAAACGATGTTTGGTGGCAAGGACTATGGCCCTATATGTACTGTTGATGAAGTTAGGTGCTGTGGCATTTTGGTTGAGGTTTGTGTGTTGCTCCTCAGACCGCTGTGTATTGCTATCGTGTGGTCGTTACTAAAGTTGGTATAACTAGAGAAGCAAGCGGTTGGCAACAGGATATCCCTTTAAGTTGTGTGTAGGCTGTTTCTGGTGTGGACTGGGACAATGTGCCCCCAACCCAGGCATGCTTACATTAACCTATTTGAAGTGGACCGAAAGCTCGTGGTGCTCGCTCTGCCAACGTCAGCCACACTAAACAAGTGAATTTGACAGTCAGTACTTTCACATGCGAAGTGAGTCAACTACGGTTATGTGTTGTGCTAACAAATTTAAGACGCAAATAGAGACACAGAAAACAGGGACATGTAACAGCCCATTAAAAAAATAGTTGCTTTAACAAAGCAATTACAAGTGACGCGGCAGCTCACAACTTCAGAAATGTTTTGAGTGTGGGTGGGGCACAGATTAAAGGAAGTGGAGGTGAAACCCAGGGTGAGGTATGACTCGCCATAATTGCTTATCTAACTTCAGTTGTTGTGGCGTTTAAACAACCAGCAGCCTCACAACATCCCTTGTCATTACAGTACAGCTTATAGAGTCACTGCTGCTTCGTGGGAAACATACAGGAGAAGCATAAACAAGACATCACAGACACTTAGCTTTGTAAACTGTGATTCTGTGAAACAAGCAAGAACTATTTTCTGCGCCATTTGAAAACCAAGATATCTCGTATGGAAACAGATGAGGGATTAGGGTGAGATTTTGCTTTTATAATCAGTGACATATTATAGTTAACTGGCAGTAAAATGAAATGTGTCTTGCAAAGCAGCTGGGCCTCATTCAGACACTCACAAGTTTTCACACCATCTTGCAAAAAGGATTAGCAACTCTTTACTGCAACCAGTGAACAAATTTCACACCAAATTTCTGCAGCCGAGCACATCATGTGCTAAGTCGCCGCAAAGAGCCTCGGGATGTGTTGTGATTACAGATAAGTTAAGACATTAGGTCATGAACACGGGGTAAACATGGGATTTCCTTGTTGGGCAGTGACGCAGTTAGACGGCAGCAGGGAGCAGTCTGAAAGGCTTTTCACTCGAGTAGCTCACAAACTAGCAGACACTGCATAATGATGTCTGGCTGTTCACGTCTATTAAGATTCTGTGGAAACAACAACAAGCCCGGGACAGAGACGGAGAGAGAAAGAAAAAAACAGACAAGCCAAGAGGAGAGGAGAGGAGAGATGTTTACAAGCTGTTTTGGTTTAGTTGTCTATTCTGAAGCTTTCATGCAGAAGCAGTGGATATGCTGTCTGTGAAAGGGTTCAGCTGCTTAATAAGGCAGCACAGGGAGAAAGAACAGTTTTTACAGTGCATGTTGCACATGGTTAGAGGCCCAAAGACTATTTTGTCCTCACTTTTTCGACAAGATTTTAAAATTTTGAATTACTGGCACGCCAAAGCATCTAAATCATCCAAACAGGTCATGAAAAAGCTCTGAATTGAGCATGTAAAGATACTACAAGTAAATGTTTAAAACACGCAGGTTGATTTAACTCTTAGCTGTGACCTTACACCTCAATCTCACTTAACTCTACCTCTACCAAAAAATGCAACTGCAAGATGAAGCTCTTAACACGCAAGATATGATATTAATCCTGCTGCATAACAACATCCACAGCATAGAGTAGTAAAACTAACCCTGACTGTGACTTTGTACTACTCTGATACCTGCAATCAGGATTATGAAGTCCTGCCTTCGGCACACCAATCCCAGTAACCACAAAGACGAGGGAGCCAAATTTAAACAAATATTAGCAGTGGTGGATTCAAGTGTACACAACCCCACATGTAAACGAGCTCGGCGTGTTTGTCTGCGTTTCAACACAACCTAATGTCAAAGTGAGTGGGACTGTGTGTGTGTGTGCGTTCGAACTGTCCATCTGCCTACACGAGTGGGCAATAAAAACCTACAAACAGAAAAATAAAAGACGCTCGGACTCAGAAGATGCTGATGAAGATGAACAGATGGCTGACCAGAACAGTATTATGATATAAAATATTGGAATTTATGCTACTTTTAAAAATTTTTTTATTGCAGCTTTAATTGGCAGGGTATTACTGTGACACTTAGATTTACACGCACATAAATTTCTGTTTGATTTACCCTTTAAAAGCTAATAAAGCATCATTATCATAACTACCATCAATAAAACCATCTTTACTGCAATGGCACGTTGGTCAACCACATCTAGGGAAACCGAACGCAACAATCAAGCATCAAAAATTCAAAGAATGTATAAAAAAAAAGGAGGTTGACACAGACAAAGTTGGAAATTAACTTAATAACCTTGTTTTTTAAGACAAAATCTTTATGGAGGTGTTTTAAGGTGGTCACTTTTTAATCGAAACTATGAGGCAGAAACAAAACATCAATGCAATATTTAAAGTTAAAAGAAATATCCAGTAGCATCTAGATAGAAATAACCTCTAAACTCTGCAATACACAGTCCAGCGGACACTTTCTTAGATCCTGCTGCAAGCTGAAAACATGACCTTGCCAGGCCCTCATCATCGCCTGCAACTAGATAGTGATGCATAAAACACTAAAACACGCTGGTATGTTTCACTGAAGAGCAAATTTGTGCAAAAGCAGGTAAAACTTACTATGAGGTCAATATTTGGGTTTCACTTCATATGTAAGTTTCCTCGCTCCAGGCTGAACATGCCTGTGAATGCTGTTTTGGCTCTGGTAATTGGATTCAAGTCAAGATACAGCAGGTCCTTTAAAACGCTGCAGACCTCCAACAGGTCACCAATTACCAACATTGTTTAAAATGAGTTTATGGTTCAATATAGTGCTGTCAATCACAAAAAGAGGACTGTCTGTGTCTTTCATCATACCATTCCAGACACTTGGAGAGCACCTGAGACGACTAGGCCTACAATCCTCACAACTTTGACTGCACCTCTGCACAAAAGTGTAATAAACTCTATGAAACGATGATATTGTGCCAAAAGGGGTCCTGACATGACAGCAGCGTCTTACCTCGGAGCTGTCCCGTCCCCTCCTGACTCCTCAGACACACTTCTACACAGCCAGATGTCTGCAGCGGTGAAAGAAGGTTTTTTATCACACTCGAAACACCAAAAACATGCAGAGGAGCTCCTCGTATTCTCGACTCTGCTCGGTTTCTGCCACACACACAAGCTTGCTCGACGCTGCCGCCGGGTCCTTGTTGCTTCTTCACCTTTTTTTTCCACCAAAAGTCTCCCTCCAGAGGAAGATAATTTCAAGTGTCTTTCCCCACTCCTCCTCGGTGGGTTTGTTTGTCGGGTGATTCGGGGGAGAAGTCCAAAACCTTTGGTACCGAGCCGCGCAGTGAAAGTCTCAGTTGGCTCTCAGGATAGTTTCTCTGGAGGTTTTTGTTGTCATGTGTGCTGAGTGTGTGTGTGTGAGTGTGTGTGTGCTCGTAGTAAAGCGCTGTTTGTCTGACTGTTAGAAGCCGGAAGCGAACACCACAGTCTCTCTCTCTCTCTCTCTCTCTCTCTCTCTCTCTCTCTCTCTCTCTCTCTCTGTTGACGGGAGAGATAAAAACACTCAAAAGCTGTCCGTGCGCCCCAATGTAGCTCTGCCACTTTCACGCACGCGTGCGGTGTAGTGAGGGAAGCCCTCAGATAAACAGTGAACACAATTACGATAAACAACACAAGAAGGAAGTATAAGATACCAGAGTCAAAAGCTACTCTAATACCCAACTTATAGTGATACTCAGTGCGATTTTAAGATTTTTCAGATTCTTTTAAACCAATTTCACAACAATTGTTGTCTCAATAAGCTGGTACAACAAGAAAAGATAAGTCTGAGCCACAATTTAAGATGTGATTCTGAACCATTAAGCAATTCCCAGAGGAAAACTTCCTTTGTCAGGCAGAAACCTCAAGCAGGACCTGACTCTGCAACTACAACTCTGCATGAGCTGTTGTTGGTGTTGTTGTTGTTGTTGTCCCCCTTACCTATTCTCTTTCTCCTTCCTTCGATCTTGTCCTTCGGCTTGGTGGTTGTCTAACATGAGTCTGGTCCTGCTCAAGGTTTCTGCCTGTTAAAAGGAAGTTTTTCCTTGCTACTGTCACTCATGTTAGATGAGATGGGCCAAATTCCATCTTAGGTTTTTCTTTGGAAAGCGTCTTGGGATGACGACTGTTGTGAATTGGCACTTTATAAATAAAATTTGATTGATTGACTCATGTTGGACAGTCATCTTCCGCTACCACACTGAGGTTAGAGGGGGAGAAAGAATGATAGAGATAAAGAATGATACAAACAGATGGTACATACAGATGTATTGTATAGTCTTCCCACTGAGACTACACACTTGAGTTCCACTAGGTGAAGAGCTAGAACTCGTTCTGATGTGTGATGTGACAATAAAACCCAAGATTCTTTCTTTGAGTACGGTGACCCATTTATTTTCATTCAAACAAAGAGAAAATTCACCTGCTGCCACGTCGACATGGTCAAAAATCTGTATAGCTCCGCCCTCCACACCTGGCTCACTACCTGGGCTTACTTAAATACCTTTTTACGGTGCAAAGAATCAAGGAATAGAAAATAAATAAAGGCTCCAACATGTATGGTTACAAAGCCAGAGATAACCTCCTGTACACTTTGTAGAAAGTAGCTAGTCTGTGGTTTTCAAACAAGTTCATAAATACAAACTCTAAAAAGGAAGTGTTTTTGACTAGTCTGTCCAATCAGACTTTTGGGTTAAAACAGGTGAGGAACAGTATGCTGTGGGTCACTAAAATTATGCCAATGGTGATCACCCAAGTCGACTAACCATAAAGCTGCTGTGAGGAACTTTTAGTTTGCACCACTTTTGGCGCCCCCTGTGGGAAAAGTGTTACTTTCTGTCTTTTATCCCATACACAGGGTCAGACTGGCCATTGGGTAATGTGGGCAAATGCCACTGTATGTACATAAAGGTAAAACATTTATATATCATGTTCTGGTTAAGCCATTACATTATGTTCTGTGGCAGTGTAATGTTTATGTGTAATGTTGTGTTTCTTCATTGTTCACACAAACTGAGAAGACAAAGGTCTCTGTCTGTCTAGTACATGTGAGAGTAGTGCTTTTGAACAAAAAACAAATTTTGCTGTCTTTTAACATACACATATATTTGCATCATCCTTGTTGCTGATGGTCTGGTTTGCTTCTGGGGGTCATAAAGAGGTTTCAGTATCAGTTTCAGTCTGCTTCTCATCCAGTTAAAAATTCAGTAATTTTACCTGACATGTAGGTGAAATCATTGAACTTGTATGTGCCCAGAAATGTGAGTATTTTGGGGCTAAGAGTGAACAAAGTCAGAGCACTACAATGTTTAGTTGATCAAAGGTTTTTCAAACCTGGTACAAGCCAAAGAAAAACAGTGAGGTAACTGGTTAAATATCTTGGACCAAAGATGGACTCTGTTCTCCAGAGGCTTTGATCCGACTGAGTATCTTTTACAAACATTTGGAGATATCTAAGCAGAGAAGTCCATGTAAGAAAAAATGTTTCCTAAATCAGGCTCTGGTAGAGGGCAAAACAAAAAGCCTCTTATGAAGAAGTAGTGAGAAAGACGTCTTTTAGATCTGCTTCGCTTACAAGACACTTTGTTGACCACATGAAATGAAACAAGAGTCCTGGAGAGGGGGTTTGGGAAGGCCACATTTCAGACCCGAGGCCTTTAAAATCCCACGCTTTTAATGCACAACAGCTAAGTACATAAACTGTCATTATTGTGAAATTACAAATTACACTGCAATCCCTCAGAGAGACGGTTTTGAATACTGAAACATCAGAGTCAAGATTCAGTCCTATCAGTGGAAGTTCAACAATGGATCAGCTTGTTACCATGGATACAGGAGGATGAGATTCTTTCCAGTGTTTCTACTTGAGACAGGAAACGCTCACGACAAGTTTGTCTGAGTTATGTGGGGGCAGAGTCTGGACAACAGGAGGCTGCTGGGGAAAAAATCTAGAGAACTCCTCCTCGGCCTCCATGGTCCTTAGAAACAAAAGTGAAATCGAACGGAAGAGTTTCTGGAAATCCCAGCTGATCTGAGGGACAATTACATTTAGGTTACACTTTGAACAATTATGTCTTTGTGTTGAGGCATTCCTGTAGAAGAAATAACCAAAGTCATCATGTGAAACTAAAACAAGGCTGTGGTGAGAGATAAAGTTTATCTGTAACTTTAAAAAGAAAGAAAATGTTACAATAGCCTGAAAGATCTTGACTTTAGTCTAAGAAGTGTCCAGTGATCTTAAAAAACGGCAGTATTACTGTAATCCGGGCAGAGACGTGTTTCCTCTCCAGTCTCTTGGTATGAAATACACAAATTCCTCACATTTTTCCAGGAAGACTTCAGCTTGTCTGTGTGACTTTGTATGAGTTCAAAAGAATGAGTGGGGAAATCAGGGCTTTATCACAGACAGATTAAGTCTAATTTTATAATTATGTGTCATGATCTGGCTGCTTTCTTTCCTGTAGGCCTTTGCCGTCTGATTTAGCTCATTACACTTTGCCTAAACAAAGTGAAGCTGAAAGTCTGCAATGCATGTTTGCCCTTCACTAGAACAGAATCAGATGAGTCTGTTGTTGCAGAGAGGGGCTGCTGCCCTCTAGTGGCCTTTGAGTGTTCTGCACAGACAGTGGGGAACTAAGGCTATGTTCACACTGCAGGTCAACTCTGATTTTTTAACCATATGTGACACATATCTGATAACAGTGCAATTCTGATTTTTTCAAATCCGACCCAGGTCTCTTTTGTATGTGGATATAAATCTGATATGTATCCGATGTGACGCTCAGGTCGTGTTCATCCGACCTATACGTCATAATTATGCGACAAACGTCACCATTATTCGACAACACAAACAGGCGTGGAAAGCAATTTTTGCTTTGTGCGCATGTGGGTCACTTCATGGACGCATTCTGTTCACATAAAATGTTGCATTTGTTGTTGTAATGTGAACGACCGCACAAAAAGATCGGATTTAACAAAAAATCCCAATTGTGCATCATAACCTGCAGTGTGAACGTAGCCTAAGATCACACTATAGCTGATAAGTATGGAAAGCCAAGTGAGTATTTATTCGATATCCTTGATATCACTTCAAAAACACACACTAGTTCACTAGTAAGCTGCAAAAACTCTGACATGTTAACTATTCAATCATGAATTATGGTTTCTAGTGAACAAGTGCATACAACTGTATGTTACTAGTTCACTAGTAAAGGCTGAAATGCTCACTAGTTAACTAGTTCATCCTTTTTCACACCGGGAGCATTTTTTCGTGCGATTATTTCGGACATCAATATTTTTTTTTGGACCCGTATCCTGTTAATACAAGCGTTTACATCAGTGATGTTTTCTCGTCCTGTGATATTGCGACATTTACCTGTAAACTACATGGACCCAACTTGTTTACTAGTGAACTAGTGAGCATTTTGTCCTTCACTAGTGCACTAGTATCGTGCAATTTCAGCACTAGTGAACTAAAAACCTTATTCATGGTTGACTAGTGAACATGTCAGAGTTTTTGCAGCTTACTAGTGAACTAGTTTATATTTTTGACATGTGATATCACTGATATCATGGATATCGAATAAATACTCACTCGGCTCTCCATAGATAAGGTCTGTTTAGGAGTTTGATAGAGTTTCACATTGTGATTGGGACATTAATCTAAAAAAGAAAGATACTTTTTTTAAAATAAATAAAACACGCCAACATGATCCAGTATTTAAAAGGTAAACACAGAGTCACTTTTGTCTGTTTTTGCTGGTTCCACCATATTTTGCATGTTATCTTAAAAAATAAATACATCCACCATGTGTTGTTTTCAGTTTGTTCAATTGATTCAAGGCTCTCTAGTTACTTCACTGTAACTCACACAAAAATGCAGACATACTTGTTTTTGAGTTGCACTACGTCAACTTCCTGAGAACCTTAACCACAACAAATCCTACATCAAATGGAAACCCTTGGAGCGCAGGCACAGAGGTGGAGGAGGAACGAGTTTTTGATCAAACAGAATTTTATGTCCTTGTTTGTTTACAGGCAAGTGCCACCTATGGGTGCAACGCCACTGCTCCTCCCTTCAAATACTATTTTTTTCTTTTACCTTTGCATCTTTGTGTCTATGGGTCCATCAGGTTGTTCCTCACCCCCTTCCTCTCTTCATTAGCCGACACCTGATCCCGCAGTTTAAGGTTACCACACTCACAAAGTAGAGCAAGAGGAAGAAAGAGAGAGAGAAAGAGAAAGAAAGAACCGTTGGATGACATGACATAAAACAAACAGGCGTGAAGTATTTGCTCAGTGTCCGAATATTTGTTCAGCACATTCGAGACAGACAGAGAAGAGTCGCTTGAGGAAATACTCGGTCTAGACCAGCAGCTTGTCCCGTCATCCACTGGTTGTCAGGTAAAAAACAACCTTATGTGTGTGCATGTGTGTATTAGTGTGCATTATGTTGCTTTATGAAGTATTTTGAGCGGGTATTTTAAATATTTTTGGAAGCTGCATTTCTAATTTTGTTTATCAAAGCAACAAGTTAATGTGATTACCATGTTCCTGTTATACATGCACCATCTATGAACATATGGCTATCATTTCTAACATTTACTTCGCAGTCTTGTTGTTTACTATCATAATGGTGGCAGAATAAAAGACAGTGGACATCTCCTCCCCTGCTGACCAGATATGGTGGATGTGGTGGTTTAAATTATAGCAAATCATTGAGGCTTGTGGTGTCGGTTTCACTTTATGACTGTTTAACACGATTAACCACAGTAACGTTTCCTCCAGGTCTTTACTGCGCGGATGTTTAAATATAGTCAACTATATCTAATTAACTAAGTAGATCTAATATTTTCTAGCTTTATCCACCCTCTCTGGACATGACTTTGTGTATTATTCATGTAAAAATAGACTTCAACGTTAACTTTGCTCCATTTTCACTGTCACAAGGCTTTAACTTTGCCTTATCGAATCTATTTCTCTGCAGATTGATTGACTTTAATTTACATTTTACTCGTTTTTTGATTTTGTATACTTTTTGAGTACTTTCAGCCTTTTTTTTGAAAGTGTGCGTAATGATAAAAAAAATGCCTTACATGCATTTTACTTAAAGTAGAAAACTTTATGGGCACCATCAACCTAAAAACATGAAGAATAGTAATAACAAGTCAGACATGAAATGGCAAGATACAAATTCTATAGCATAATATTTACTATAATAATTTTAAAGTATGAAAATTACCAACAGAAGAAAGTCGCAAATATTTATGTCTTTTGAAAATCATGAGAAGTGTATCAGGAAAATGCAAGTGAATATTAAAAGAAAAATAAGAATGTGGCTGAAGAATAATTTAGCAAATGTTTTGTTAAGTAAGCAATAAAAGTAAACCTAAAGAAAAGTAATGACGCAACATTTTTCAATGGTAGTGTTTGAAGTTATGAAGCTCAAAGAAAGCTTTCTCTAACACAGTATTTCACGTATATGTAAAAGTTTGATCAGATCAGAGGGGCCGGAATCAGCCAAAAGCATGACTGGGCGATAGCTGACAGAGGGCACACAGTTGGCTGGACTTTGCCTGGTCCAGTGGGCAGTGATTTTTCTGTCCAGATGGCTGTGTGAGGGTAATTCCCCTCAGAAAGGCTCTCCTCTAATCCTGTAGAGAATCTGCGCTGGCTTGATCTCGTGCATGCATGGGAACCAAGCGGCTCGCCTACTGTAGCTCCCTGACTGTACTGTACAAATGCAGGATTCTGCCAAGCCTGTTGGCTTATTGACACTGGCACAATCTGTGAGGAGACGAGGAAGGACACTGAAAGCGGAGTTGATTCTAGCAAAGTGAGCCTGAAGGCTTTCAGAGAGAGGAAACAAAACAAGAGGAGAGGTCTCCAAAGAGCAGAAAAAGAGGTGAGATAGAGTGTGCTTTCATCAGGTCAGGCTGATTAGAAGTGGAGTCAGGATTTAAGACTGTCTTAATCTTAGTGTGGGAACTATTACTGCAATATGGCACCACTGATGATCAGGTACAATTCATTTTAACTTTATAGCCTTTTTTGTTTTATAAGAGATTTAAAAAGCATAGCTAAACTTATCTGTTTGTCTTGAATGAAATCTGTCAGAGTTGGAATTACTATAATTTTTACAGTATCATATTTTCAGCATGAATTTGATGTTTTTGTCATCCATGCGCCCTGTATTGTTCATTGTATTGTTCCGCTTTAAACATTAGTAAGACAGAATAGGGAAACAAAGCAGAGTTGCTTTAATTCACTTAGTTCTGTCCTAATATTGTTATTCCATGTTGCAGTGTGGGTGTGTTTCCCTTCACTCTCCTACCACGAGGATGTAATGTCAATAAAAAGAGAAGTATGAGTCTGTTTGCCATCACACCAGAGAGGAGTGCTGCTCTGTGTTGTGCAATCTCTTCCCATCAGGAATCAGCTGTGTTACTTTGAGCCTGACTCTGAGTCTTACATTATCGACCATGTATCTGCAAATAACCAGAAAATCTTGATCTTTTTTATGTAAATGCATGAACTACGGTTCTTGGAATTGATTTTCAGCTGAGTCTGAGATATATAGCTGTAGAAAAAGCAGCTCATTAAAGCTCCTGGGAGGAGTTTTTGACTGGTTAGGAAATGAACCGAGTGCAATAGTGATCAACAAAAGCAAACAAGACCAAAAGCATGAAGATTTATTATGCATGTGGGGGTATGTGAAAGGCAAAGTGATCAACTGCATGCTGATGAAACACCCTTTTTTATGTTTTCATGACAAACACTCCTGATGAGTCATACATTTGACTGTGATAATCCAAGTATAGGTCAATAAAAGGTTGCTTTGTCCACAGGGGCATCTATACTTAAACAAACCAAGGAATCCCTACTGAGCAAAAAAACGTATTGTGATATATAACATCTGATTTTCTCTTCTGATTTTCACTCCTCTGTGTGTTTGTGTATGCATACTCCACCGGCTCACTCTGCTGGATCCATGCTCTTCAAATAATGGTGAGTATATCTAAGTAAGCTGATATTATTACTTCTTCACTCCTTAAACTTCCTTTAACGTATCAGCCTGCGAAACTTTGATAAAGTTGTTATGGGGTTGTTTACTCATCTACTTCCTGGGATGTCAAATCTCCACGCCGCTGTGCACAATAAGCCAATTACTTGAGCTTCTCTAATCTGGGTGTGTGTGTGTGTGTGTGTGTGCTCATTTGTATATGTATATGTGTGCTGTGCCAGTATTAATGCTTTTTGTTGTGCACTGACCTCTACAATTAACTGTGAGTTGTAATTTTATCGTAACTCATAATACTGACTTTTGACGCTAAATTTATTGTCACTACGAAGGTGAACACCTGTGATAAAAAATGAAAATAATAATAAATAAATAAAAAACATTGGAACTATTGAAAATGTTCAATTGGCTGGGAAATTATGGTGTACAAAAAAATTGTGATAATACTTCCAAGCATATGCATAACTGTGTATTTAAGTAACAGCAAACTATCAGGGGGGATTTTTGAGGGATTATTCAGAAATTATTGCGAATACTATGCACTTAAGAGCTTTTTTAAAACAAATGTTGATTTGGTATACAGAAAAACACTCTTATTATTGGGCAAATCCTGGTCAAAAATGTGTCTTTTTTGGTTAAAATGTGACTACCTACTAACTCCTTAGTCCAGTGAGTAGAAAAAATTAAAAGACAACAGTCAACCATGTCCTTAATTTCTTGTAGTGATCCCTACTATCCTCTAGAGGGCGCTGCCTCGCCAGCATAGCATTGCCACATCTGCGTCGACCGTCCCTCCAACTCAAACGGATAGTTTAGTCGACCAATCACATCTCAGTATTTTATACTGTATCCCCCTCTGAGCCAATCAGAAGCGGCATAGCGTATGTTTCGCGCTGTGCTGGGCGGGTCTTATGGATGATAGACACGTCTGTTTTGAGCCTCGGCCAGATTTTCGGTGTGTGGACTGTAGTGAAGATTTTTTGGAGGCTGAGGTAGTGGGGCTGTACGGTATTTTTTGGAGGAGAACAGAGTGATAGGCCACGTTTGGAAAAGTTCCCCACACGCATCGTTGGAAATTACAAAAGGTAACGTTGAAATTTGCCACCTATTATCACGTGATGTAGACGTTACCGTCAGCGGTTGATTTAACGCTTTTTGTGCTCTTTTACGTTGTCTTCTGCCGAATTTTAGACACCTAGGTACTCAACCTGCACTTCTAACACAGATAACTGAAAGTACTTGTGTGTAATATCAAAGCAGAGTGCATCTTCTCTTTGAAATCCGTTATGTTGAGTTGAGAGTCATACCTTCGATGTAGGGCGCTTCATGGCGCCTATCTTCCTCCACATTATCCCTGTTATCATCACCTAAACTACTCTCATGTCCCGCCGTGTCTCGCCCTGCTGAGCTTGATGTGGTTTTAACATCAAAGTGTTCGTGGAAAACACTCGGCGTGGGCGAATCTAGACACGTTTCAAACTCGGTTTTGTAAATGAATTGACCAGGGGGAGGTTGGTAGTGGTTGAATTTCCTGGTATGGGTGAATATTAAAGGTGTTTCAACGGTGAGTTAACCGTTACGTTCAAACGCCCGTGTCTGTTTGTCGAGGGACGGTTGGTGTTGCTGCTAAGTTTGTGTATTGGAGAGCAAACTAAGATGTGAAGAGCAGCAATTTGTGTGTTAAAGCAGTCTTATTTACACACTGTGTCGTAGTTTCGCTCCGGTAAAACCACGTACCTTTACGAGCAGGAGAACACGCTGTTTTCCAAAGGATTTGTGTCATGCTGTGAAGTTGTTCCCAAGGATTTTTGGGAAATGTAGTTTGGCCCAAGTTGTAAACATATATCTTTAAACATCCATACTCTACGGTGGCCGAGAGCCGCCACTGCTGCAAATTAAAAAATAATGGGGGAAAAAAAAAGTAGTCACAACAGGAGTTTCAGATGCAAAACAAAAGAAATCATTATTGGTCCCCAACAGCTCATTTCCATTGTGGCTTTCTTTTTTGCATACCTTTACGTTCATAGTAAGTGACTTTTTTTCTTTTTGCATCGCCACTTTTTTTGTGTTGTTAACTTCCATTGTGTTTTTTTTTTTTTGCGTCCTTTTGTGTGTGTAGTGAGTAACTTTTTTTGCGTCACCACTTTTTTTATGCTGTTAATTTCCATTGTGGCTTTTTTTTTCCTGCACTGTTTCTTTTTTTTAATTGCAGTGGGCTTTGGTTTCTTTTTTTTTGCATAGGTAACTTCAGTTGTGACTACTTTTTTTTTTTTTTGCATTCTTTTTTTATTTGCAGCAGTGGCGGTTCTTGGCCACAGCACATACCCACCGAATCAAGTAATACACTGGGCATTTGTAGGAATTGTTTCATGAAATAGCTTTTTTTTTAGACCTATATCAATCTGGAATAGCCTATCATTTAGATGTGTCTTATCTATAGAAAAGAGAAATGGGTTATCTCTTTTAATTTTAAGTTGAAATACACAAACATTTGACCCATTTCACACAACTAGCTTATCACATCATCAATAGAAGTAGAGAACTCAGCTCAGATGATAAAGCCAGATTCAAGAATAGTTTCACTAAACCAATATCTGAAGTAAATTGTATCCACATCTATTATCTTGTATTGTTGTACTGGAAAACAAATTCCACCGACCCTGTTGTGTGGCCATTAATAAAAGATTCTGATTCTGAGATAGGTTGATTAATTGGTTGGTCAAGTAACCAAGTGATTCCTAGCATATTGAAGTAATCGGCTGATTTAGAAACATTAACAAAGAAATGTCTGCAGACACTGCAGGCAGCCCCCTCAGTGTGGCTGTTGTCCGGATATGTTAATGTCTTCTGAAACTATTAAAGATTTTTCCAAAAGGACAGTTTATTAAGTTTAAAACACTTGTGGGAGAGTGTTTAATATGAACTTTGCTATTGTGCTTAGCATAATGCTGTTTTAATTACTCCTGACATAACCCAATGAATGAATCAAATATCTATCTGATGCATGTTACCAAGATAAGATTGCCATACAATATGATTTGGCATTATCAGCCATCTTTGTTATTGACTTAAAGGGATTAGAAACCCTCAAAAGTGAAGTTACTATTTTAGATTTTACCTGCTCCACCGCAGTCTTTGTTTTGAGGTGTTCTGCTGTCTTACTACATTTTGACTGCATACCACACTGTGTACATACAGTACTGAACACGTATGTGTGTTTCCCACAGAGCGCCTTAGAAGTCATACTTTGTGTGACAGATGGCAAGGGTTCAGCTGGTTCACAAACAGATAGGACAGCGTGCTCACAATCTGACCAGACTTAGTATAGATAATGCTGACGTGTAAAAAGTCAGGGGCACTTCGTGAACATTTCTACTTTGCCTGTCATGATCTTTGCATTTCCTTAGTAGATGTATTGTTATGTTTGTATGAATGTGGAGAACATTGGTATAATCTTGCTGTACAAACCTAAACTGCACTAAGTGGAACCCTGTGGAACTGAACAAATTACATAACAGTGTCATCATCATCCCTCCAGCTACACAGCGCGCCCATCGTATTAGCAGGAGTACTAGTTTAAAAGCTGTACACAGTCGTGTCTATGTAGGTTACTGTTTTAAGAGGCATGGATAACCAGCGGTCATGACTTAAAACAACAGACTTTTCAAGATTTGACTCAATTTAAATCACACAAATGCAATCGTAGATCAGTTTGAGTTCTAACCAAGGGCTACAGAGATCCTTAACTTTCTGTAGTTTTCAATTAACGCCTAAAATCACATTGATTCTGCAGTGTTTTCGTGTAATGTTCAGGTTAGACTACTCAAAAATCTGTTTCGCTATAGGCAAGAGCGTCAAGATTGAACAGAATTCAGAGTATTGACTCAAGATAAGATGAATGTAAGCAGGAAGCGCTCTTTGGGTTGTTTAGCTGCAAGGGAAATCAAACAGTGAAGCATGTATGTCACTCTAGTTTGCCTTTCCTGTCAAGCCTTTCTCTCTCTCTCTCTCTGTCTCCCCCCTTTGCTCTTTCTCTCTCTCGTTCTCTATCTGTGCGATGGTTTATCTATAATCATCAGGGCCATGTTCATTCTCAGACTCTCAGGATATGCAGAACAGTGGCAGCTCTGTCAAACCCGCTAATGAGAGAGGCCCTAATTGGTTGTTCTGGTGGGAGAATCTGCTCATTAAAGGTAGCTGGAAACAGCTCTGGAGTTGCTAGAGTGAGTGCATCATCTCTTTTTTTTCTCCTTGTCAATATTTTTGTTGTCAGGCAAAAAACTTGTTTAAAAAAAAAAGATTTTGTTGGAAAAAAACAATGTAATAGCAGAAGTCTACAGATGCCATAATAATTGATCAGTGATGGAAAGACAGATATTTTTAAACTGCAATTTACTGTTATTGATGCGCTAGTGTTAAATTGACAAATGTGAGGTAGAGAGTCAAGTTCAGGAGACAAAAATAGGAGTGCGCAGATTGGATGACAATAGGAGCAAGGAAAGGATACAGAAGCGGACAGGGGAGGAAGAGAGGCTGAGTGAGAGCGACAGAGAGTGTGAGAGATATTGCCTAACCATTCGGAAAGGCTATGGGAACATCCCCGTGTGTGTGCGAGTTTGTGCGGGTATGTGTGTTTTGGTCCTGACCCTGTCGGTTCAACAGGAGCAAAACACGTCACATCGGCTCAGGCACACACGACTGTCCCAGATTGACGAGAACTGGACTGTGTTTTCAGGAATGAAGACGAAGAGGCCGTTCTTCTTTCTTAAATGTTGCTATCCCAGTAGTCATCACCTAACATCAAACCGCTGAGATTCCCTTTTGTTCAGGGTGTGGGTGAGCACATTAGATCATCTCCCTTTAGTCTGTCAAAGCAGTTTAACACTCGAGGTCCGAAACACAATTCAACTCTTCCTTTCATCTCCTCCACTGATTACAGTGACATTGAGAGAGTCACAACAATTACGAAGGTGGACATATTCTACAGTGTCGCACTCAGCCGTGACTGGGGGGGAGTATTAGCCTCTAGCTTTCAGAGCTAGAGGCACCACAGGACTCACATTCATGCACATAGAAAAGATCAGAGGGGGCACGGATGAATGGAAACTGTAATGCAGTGTTCAGCTTATTACGGCTCCAGAGGGACAGAGATGGGGAGGAGGGAGAGGGAAGGATGGATAGAGATGTGGAGGATGTGTGTGTGTGTGTGTGCAGAGAGGGGAAAGTGGGGTTTCACTGGGTGAAAGGGTCAGGTGCCAAAAGGTTTCCAAAATGTAAAAACTAAAATGTAGAATTGTAGGTATTGGTGTGAGTTGGGTACTCAATATCAGCTGAGATTTAAAGGGATATTCTGTCATAAAATTAAGTTAGTGTCAAACACACCGGAACACAGAGTTAGACACCCCGTAGAGAGATGAATATTGCTGACCACTTGCTTCTGTAGTTGTACAAACTTAAGTGACAACCGCACAATAGCAATACACAGCGTCTACGGAGCCATAAACAAACCTCAACCAAAAAGCCGCTCTATAGCCACGAATAATGCTCAGAACAGCAGCTAACTTCATCAACAGTACATAGAGGGTCCCAGCAAATAGTACTCGCCACCAAACATCTTTTTAACTTTGCCTGATTTCTTTAGCAAAGAGACTAAACACAACTCACCTACTCTCTTCCAGCAGCCACTTGTTTGTAGCAAGACCTAGGGCCCGTCCATTACGAACTACAGTGGGGTGCCGCAGCTCAAGGAAGAACATTTATGATCATTTCTTTATCATTTCCTTGGAGTGATAATCATCATATTAATGATTTTCACTGCGGACTCATTTCCATGAAGAAATGATCATAAATGTTCCTCTTCGAGCTGCGTCACCCCGCTGTAGTCCATAATGGACTGGCCTGAGGTCTCGATAAGCGGCTGCTGGAAGAGAGTAGGTGAGTTGTGTTTAGTCTCTTTGCAAAAGAAAAGGCATAGCTAAGCTGAAGTTAGGTGCTGTTCTAAGCATTATTTGTGACTATAGAGTGGCGTTTTGGTTGAGCGCGTGGCTCCTTGCTGTCTGCGGTCGTTACTAAAGTTGGTATGACTAGAGAAGCAAGCGGTAGGCAACATTCATCTCTCTACGGGGTGTCTAACTATTTGTTCTGGTGTGTTTGAACCTAACTTAATTTTACACCAGAATATCCCTTTTAAGTTTGGTCATTTGAATTGGTACTCTGTATTAAAATCACCATGGTAACAAATCAACTTATAAGTAAGATGTTTTCTGTATTCAATTAACCCAAAAGGCCTAACAGAGTCAAGTAGGAGAGACGTCTCGAATTAGAGTGATTAATAGAGTAAGTAAGAGGGTCATATGAGGGTCTTTTACAGGAGAATAAAAACATCCTTGTGTTGAATGTTTCACATCCCAAAGGGAGAAAGAGAGGGCAAACTGCTTCCCCCAGCAAGTGTCCAGCGCTGAAAGAAGCGATAGAATAAAAAACAGAGCGAGAGCGTGGGCCTGTGGCTTTGGCGGGGGGCCAAACATAGTTAAAAACAGATTAATCAGCATAGGGTCACATTCTCACACAGAGAGGCTGAACAGAGCATGGCAGGACGGGGCCCAGGGCTCCGTCTTTTAAAGGCCACGTCTTCGAGGAGCAGCACGAGGAAAGTGTTGGCACTGAAGGAGAGATAAAACAGCCCGAAAGAGCGTGGAGGCAAGTTCTGACACAAGTAGAGGAGTTATAAGCATGAAGCTTTCCATGAATGAAGAGAGCTGCAGATAATTTTCAGGATCTGATGCAAGTCTGAGTCGTTATTTTATTCCTCTAACTCTCATAAACTTTGATTCTATGCATTCACGTCCATCATCACGCTGTATCATAACCCTTAAATTTGATTATTCATCCTTTCACTTGTCGATAGAGCGAACCCTTGATGGATAACCATTCATTCACCGAGTTCATTCATCACGTGTCGGCTTTTCATTCATTCCTGCTGTCAAAAAAAAAAAAAGTCTGGGAAGTGCTCAAAGAGGAGAGAGGAGGTGGGACGCCAGGGCAGAGTGATAAAGAGGGAAGGATGAGGGGAGGAAAAGGAAGTACGAGGAGAGGAGTGTCTGGAAAGAGAGGGGTTTAGAGCGAGTGCAGACCCACTAACTTGGTCTAATTAGTGGCTTTTTGGAAGCTTTGAAGGTTGTTAAATATCTTGGAAAGCCTGTAAAAGAACCCAGTGGAGTGTGTACATGTGTGTGTGTTTGTATGTGTTTGTGTGAGATAGGCCTGCACGATATATCGTTTGACTATCGTCATCGCGATGTACGTGTGTGCGATAGTCACATCGCAGAGCCTGCAATATTGGAGGTGAATGAACTCATTTAATTTCAAGGGTAACCGACTGAGATACACTCCATGTGACTCTGCATGTGCTGTGCAGCGATCCACCAATCACCTTCGTCCTTAACTCAGTTGCCAATCAGACTCACTTCTCAGTTGCCAATCAGACTACCCTGCCAGCTGTCAATCAAAATCAGGGAGGAGGAAACCCACCCCTGCACATGTTCTGCACATGGAGGGAGACGTGTGTCCGCTGAGAATTACTTTCGGAACTTTACTGACTGTTAAGCCCAACAAATAAGAACTGTATGGGTTTTAAATTGTACATTTCCGTGGACCACTCTACTATAAGCAGTGCGCGTTTTGCGAGGTGCATGCAATTCTCGGAGGACATGCGTTTCTCGGCACAACACCGCTAACAACAACAACAACGATCGCAAAATGAACAACGAGCAAGCGAAAACCACCGAAAATGAAGATTTGTTGCCAAAAAGAAAAGGAAAGTCAGTTATCTGGAATTATTTCGGATAAAAGAAGGATAATGTCGACCAAAACACGTCTTCTGTGTTCATCTGTTGCCACAATAACGTCCCAGCACAATAAAAGCTAAAAATATCTCTGAGACAGACAGAAGCCGTTCTACTAACATTCACAAAAAGAGGTAAGATCAGAGCAGATTAACTGTCCTCAAGATTTCAGCAGTGCAGCATAACATTAAGTGTTATTCAGGTCATCTGGTGAAAATTCCTGTATTTTTAATATCGCAATATATATCGCAGGGTTGAAAAAATCGCAATATTATTTTTTTCCAATATCGTGCAGCCTTAGTGTGAGAGGACATTCAGACATGATAAAGAAATACAAAACACGACTGTGCGGATGTTTGTCGCTGTGGTCACTTCCTGTTTTCACATTGACAGTTCCCTAATCAGAGAGATGCAGATATGGCTAAAATAAGAAAAACAGATAAAGAAAGGTGGATGGAGGAGTCAGTGAAAAAGAAGAGAGACTTGACATTGCCCGTTTGACACATTTCCTGTTTCCTGGTTAGGCGAGGAAGGTGGTTAGAGGTCACCGGTGCGGGATTAACAGTCGTCTGATCATGACGTTCACATGTAGAAGTGTGTGTGTGTGTCCTGGCGTCAGAGGCAACATGTCCTCCAGTGATGGTGAAAACAGGATGATGTCCTGAAAACGAGGACATCTCTTGGTGTTCACCAGGGTAATCTCTAATTTTAGAGTTTGGGGTGAAGGTTAGTCGTGAGCGAATTAATGACAGGCAGCTGGAGTCGGTGTGTGCTGTACATACACTAACTTTATGCTTTGCAAATTAATTGGAGTTCTTCAGATTCCTGTTCTGGATACCTTGTTTTTGATAACATAAATGTGTGCGTTATATACATGCAGAAATTCAAAGAAGGATTTTGTTCTCCAATAAGTGACGAATCAAGATTGCCTTCATCGCTCTGTAACACTCCTCAGACGTTTCCCCTTTATTGCCGATGAAAAGAGTGTGTCACAGCCAGCTGTCTCAGGGCTCTACAGGAGACACCAGTGAGGTGAAAGTGTTGGTGACTGATCTATTTCAGCACAGTCTCTGACATTGAAGCCATTATGATCTCAAATCTCACCTTGTTTATAGTTTAATTTTCATAGAGGATTTTAGTTTCGATTAGAAGCTTGATTTTCTAAAGGTGATTGTTTGATAGCTCTGTTGGAAAAATGCAGCATTCTTTGTCCAAAGGTCAGAGTAGAGGAGGAACATTTTACTTCAAATACATGAGTCATCTCTGGTGTTTTATCAGGAAGTAAAATGTGTGTTGTTTTTCGAGGAAGGGGTGTGATGAGAGTCCCACGCCTCCATCAGATGGATTGCCTCTGCACAAGCTTTGGCTCCACCAGGACAGTATATCAGCCAGGGGTGGGAATCTTTTGCTGTCTCAGGATTTGATTCAATTACGACTTGTCATTCACAAGTTTGTGCGAATATCGGATCACTATCGGTATTGGAAAATACTGAAGGCTACAATATCGTTATCAGAGGTAAAAATGTTGTATCGGGACACCCCTAGATCAATGTGTCCACATGTTTTTAAAAGTCTAGTTTCAGTCGAACTTAGGCAATTAATGTATTTCTGTTTCATCCTGTTGTCTGTCTACTCAAGATTGTTTTGTTCCCGCTAGATTGTAAACTATCATCCATGATTCCCAAGTCTCAATTAGGTCCCACAGTAGAAAGACATGCACTCAGACATCTGAAACCTTTCATCCTCTCTAACCAGCACTTGTTGATGCACACATGTCATGTCATCCCCACGCCAAAGGAAAGGCTATATTCTCCTCTTGTGTATCAAATTGCCACAGTCTGCAGTAGCTGTAATAATAATGATGAGCCTTGATGCCCATGAAGTCATTTGTTTTGCCAAACAAACACCTGTTGTTGTCAGCCTCTTTGGGATTTATTATACCCCAGTGACACCACACCCAGCGCCACTCTGAAGAGAGAGCATCAGTTTGGCTGTTTTCTTGCCTTCTGTGCTCTCTCTCTCTCTCTCTTCCTCTCTCTCTTTCACACTCACCCACCAAACTGTATCTCCTCTCATGTGCACTTGTGTGACCCACCCATACTTTCGCTCTTTGTCTCTGCCTCCCTCTCTCTCTCTCTCTCTCTCTCTATCTCTCTCTTACACACACACTCTCTCACACACACACGCCTGACCGCTTTAATCGCTGAATAGGGGAGTTTAGCTGCTAACAATAGTAGTTATGAGCTGACCGGCTATTCTCACACACGGACAAAAGGAGAGACTTGTAACGCTTAAAGACAGGGTTTAAAATATCTCTTTAGATTGCGTTTTATCCGGGTGGTTTCTTCGGTATTGTTTTTGGAATTTGAGCAGTTAACTTTCACTTGTTTCCCCTTTTACTGTCTCCCACAAAATAAGGATTATCTATTTAATCATAAGAATTAAGTAAGTGTCAAAATATGCAACAAAAGATCCATATATTTTGAAGAAGGTAGCGCACCTTAGGGATGGGCGATAGACTGAAAATTTACAGATACTGAAATTTATGTCAATACCAACGTTATTTTGCCCATATCAGTATATTCTGTTTCAAAAAAATAAATCAATACAAGTTGGTTTTGGATGTGTGTACATAGGCTATGGTCTCATATCCTTTTGAGACACTGAGGTGGTCTTTACACGAGTACAAATTTGGAAGACACCGGTAAAATAAACTATCGATCTGGTGATATTGACACACGGAGACGCATATTTGTCCATGACTCCGCATCTTATTTGAAAACAGGTCTGCAGGTATTCGTCTTCATGTCGTAATTGGTATAAATAGATAAGTCCGAAAAGGAGGTGACCTCATAGCACCCTTCCTCCTCCCCGCCCCCCAACCCACGTTGTGACACACACAGCAACAACAACAATGGCGGTAGCTGGGGTGATTTTGTTCTTGTCCCAGCAACTACAAATATTGCTACGACTTTTATACCAACATTTAGAACAGCAACAACACCAGCTACGGCAACAACAGCAACAAGTGCTCATGCAGAGACGCAGCATGTGGAATAGTTATCGTCCGTTTACCGTTACCGAGGTGAACTGCTCAATATATCGTGATATTGATTTGAGGCCATATCGCCCAGCCCTAGTGCACCTCTAGTTTTATCACACTTTGCAGAGTCATGACTATAAGTAACAGTAACATGAATCTATATAGAGGCTCATGTTGTCTCTTGGTAACAGTAGTTATGAGCCGACAGTAATAATACAGTGAGAAAAGTAATGATAGAGTCACACACTCTGAGCTGACCGTTCATTTGCTTAACTTAAACCAAAGACGACAAACTCTCAGCACTGTTTGTCTGGATGCAGCGAAGAGTTTATCAGGTGCAGGAGAGACAGACAGAGACGGAGAGTACGACGAGGGGATGAATGGATAGACAGGCAGGCAGACAGACAGACACACAAACATACACAGGGATTATCCTTTGTGTAATCCTCAGTGTGAGGGTCAGAGTGCAGTGCAAAGAGACAGACATGTTCACCATTTTCACACCACGGGCGTGTGTGCGTGTGCATGCGTGTCTATGCGCCGCCGTCATAGCTGGTGTGTAAATCTGCCATTCTGTAAGCTTGTGTTTACATGCGGTCTGAACTCAGTCCATGTGTGCGTTGAGTGTATATGCGCGTGTGTCATTGCGTGACAGATGGACGGATCGTAGAAGAGAACAGCACAGATTAGGATCCCGCTGCACACGGTGCGGATGTGAGCGGTTCTTTCAAAACCAAACCAGGGCTCAGTGTCCGTCAGCTGTCGATCTGCGCCGCAGAAGCATGAGGAGCTATGAGCACGTTATGTCACAGTTTGGAATTCAGGATGTCCCAGTGTGATCTGCTGGATTGGATTCATAATTCATTAGTTTCAGCTGAATGATGGTCAATTGATTTCTAAATACTGAGTGTATGGAACTCATTGTACTCTGTGTACACCAGCTGTCAGAGACGACCATTGTGTCTCAGCGAGTTTATAATTGCAACAAATGGACACAAACAAACAGCAATGTATATTACCGTCACTGGTGAACAATGCAGGGTTAACCAGGAGGTTTAGATTCAGACTTTGTAGATTTCACCCCTCAAGAGCTCGTCATGTAGCCAACAGGGAACCAGCTTGCCAGTCGGGTAGGGGTGGAAATCAAGAGTGGCTCCATGATACGATATTATCATGATTAGGGATGTGCCGATGTACGATTTAATGCCTAATCACCATACTTGGACCAGGATATGATATTACTGCGATTTTTAAAATTTTGCAATACAGTGAGTATTGCGATACAATATATTGCGATTTATACATATTTTTCAACTGTTTAGCTAATTTGTCTTTCCTTTATGTTTGTTTTATTTACACTGTATTTTATTTACATGTAGCACATCTTGCAAACCTTATATATATATTTGTTGTACTAACTTTCTCCTGCTCTGTGACGTCACCTCTGCCAACCTCACTGGACAACCAGTTGATTTTATTTTCCCATAACTATAGATTTGACTCTATATCAACAATTAATTAGAAAAATCGATACTTGACCACCGATACATCACCAGACAAAATATCATAATACCATGCTGTATCTATTTTTCCTCCCACCCCTACAGTCTAGATGTACCAATGTTTTCCGAATGACTTTTATCCATATAATTGAAGTATATGTTAATATATAAGTCCACATTATTATTTTATGACATATAAAGGCTTTATATAGAAATCTACACATCCATCAGTTGTCTATTATAATGAATTCTGTATTATTTTCTATTGTTATTCATGTTTTTATCATTATCAAAGAGTTAAAAAAAATAGACTGGGACATGCGTGTGTTTGAGTATATTTGACAGATTAGCCTCTTTTCAGTAACAGATATCCTATAGCGTATTAAAGCTGCAGTTCTCATCTATTCTGACGTTGCAGCTGTGACTGTCCTATTGTGTGTATCTGGAAGGATTATAATACAGTAAATCTGCAATATGTGAATTATTGTGTGGGTGTGTGCGCGTGACTGGAGCTAGAAAGCAGCTGGTCCTTTAGGCTACACTGGGTCAACTCTGCACATATGTGTAAACAAATTGAAATCCCAGGATAAGACTGATAATGTTGTGATCTAATAAGAGCTGTTATTACTTTCACAGATGCACTCATGCTGCTCAGCCCTGACCTCTGCATCACTGTCTACATCTCGGGCCTTTTTTAAGCATTTTAGAAGTCTGTGTTGATCGAGTGATGCACATTTAAAAAGCCTTGCACAGTCAGAGCTTATTAGCTGTCAGAGCAGATGGTTACAGGTGTCATAAGTTCAACCAAGCACCCCTTTCCAGTAGGTGGGGTCTGAAGGAGGGGGGTGTCTTTAGCTCCTGCACTTGCTGTAGGTCCAGCACTTTATGTCTTCTGTAAATCTGACAGGGTTTGAAATAGGTTTAGGCACGGTAATAATCTCTATTGTCACTCCTACGCCTGTCCACTAATCTGTATTTTTCCTGCGGTAATCTCTTGTCTCCATGGGGATTTATTGTTGTAGTCCATGAATGTGGTCGTCACAGAAACCAGTTCCTCCCCTCTCTCTACACATTAGCGTGGGGTGGATGGGTGGGTGGGTTTGGATATGTGTTTTTTGTCTGTTTTATCAGACAGTTAAAAAACACTAATGTGAAATCTATTGTGGCCTCTAACTCGACTCGTTTTGTCTTTTTTTCTTGACTTTTGCACCCAAGCCTGTGTCTGTCTCCCATAAAGTTTTATCTCTCAGCCACAGGCCAGGTCAGGAAGTCGTCGTTGCTATGACAACAACCCCTTAAACCCTTTCAGACAGCTGTAAAATTGTAAGTGGGAGCGCTCAGATTTTTAGTGTGACTCGTGCAACAGCTTTACTGTTCTGCGTTGGTGTTTCTTTATGTCTGGAGGGTAAAAAACACAAACGCTGTATGTGAACACGAGTCGAGTCTCCGGGTTTTTTAAAAGTTCATATAAAAGTCACTCACCGCGCAGATTCCTTTCCAAAATAGAAAAAAAATCTGGTGGGAAGTTGTTTCCCTCCAGAAATCGTAAACTGCTTATCTGTTGAGTGATTTTTTTTTCTTCTTTCCTCTAAATTTAATATGTTGTTGCGTAATAGTGGAGGCCAAGCTCGGGCAGTGATGGTTCATTGTTATAGAAAATCTCTGAGGGATTGTCCATGCTACTGTAAAGCAGAAAGCGTACTCTCTCTCCTTACTCCATCCTCTCCTTCTACTCCACTCCCCTCGTTCTCGTTCGCACAGTCCTCTACCACCCCCTCCCTGTTCTCTCTCTCTCTGGTTTTCTGCCCTTGTTTCTCGGAGCGAGAGTCCCGAGGGAAGCAGACGCAGAGCCCCGGTGGAGTGGAGAGGAGAGGAGAGGCGAGGATGGAGGAGAGAAAATGGCAATGACAGTTTGTAGGGCAGGCATTCTGCTGAGAGGTGGGGAAGGAAAGTGAAGGAACGGGAAGATACAGGAAGAGAAGTGGAGAAAGTGAGAATAAACAGAAAGGAGAGAGGAGCTAAGAGGGAGAAAGAGCAAAAGAGGCAACAGTAGGTAAGAGATTAAGAGTTAATTTAACCATAAATACATAAACTAACATGATGACATTAAATCTCGCTCACTCGTGCAAAGATAAGACAGTTCATTCAGTGTCATTGTTACAGTAATTATCCTTATCTGTGCTCAGACAAGTCATGTGCAACAACAGTTCATTGAACCTGTTCGCAGCGATGGAATCCGTTTCAAGAAAACATAAATGTAATCTAATGTGATTGAGCCCGAGCAAATAATAAGATTACAAACCAAAAGTAAAACAAATGCTGATAAGCTGCTTTCTGCTGCAAGAAGCCTGGAGGAAAAATGTAAGCCTGAGAAATAGAGGAGTTTTAGAGAAATATCACGATCCTCCTTGTGTGCATGTTTACAAACGAACAAATCAAATTTAATTGGCTATTTTTTCCGATCGCTCGAATGCCGCAGGCTCTTCTCATGCCGATCTGGACAACTGGGTTAGTTGATCTCGGCTAATTGACTGCGAAAGAGTCGGATTAAAAGAGCCAACAACACACTTTTTGTACACAACTTGCCTCGAGTCAAATTCTGCACAACAGGAAAGCACATAACATCTGACGTTTCGGCCCCCTTCGTGTAAGAGACGAGCTTATGAGGCAGGTCTGCAAATAGTCCATTTCACCCACATTTGACCCCGTTTATATTGCAGCGATTTCAGACTGCCAGCAGTTTAACACTGACTCACATCAGATGCTCTATAGATAATTCTACTGCCATAAACCGTTCAACATGTGTGTATATATATTTGTGTGTGTGTATTTATGAAGAGAGGCTGTAATAATGTCACCACCATTGTTTATATGAACTGTGGGAAGAGGAGAGAAAGAAGAGGAGGGGGTTCGGTGGGGAGATAAAACTAGCAGACGAATGGAGGGGATTGAAAGGGGGCCCGGAAGAAAGGGATTGTGGGAGAGGAGAGGGATGAGTTCAGAGATCTGGTGAGAGAGAGAGAGAGAGAGAGAGAGAGAGAGAGAGAGAGGCACCCTGGGCTGCAGAGAAAAAGAAGCGAGAGAGAGGAGAGGGTGAGATAGTTTTGAGAGGGATAGAACAAGGTTCCCGGTGTTGAGCGGTTGTAAAGAGAGCGAGAGAGGGCCGGTAAAAAGCAGGCTTAAGAGGCCGTGACGAACATTTCGCAAGAAGCTGCACCCCGATGCCAACTCGCACACACACACACTTTCAGATAGTCCATTGAGAAACACAGCATCTGAAAGGAGAGGGGACTGCAGGAAGGAGGCAGTTGCAGTCATGTTTTGATGACTCGACGACTTATAGGCTTGGTCTCTTACAAGTAGGGATGTGCCGATATACGGTTTAATCGCAATATGCGACATTAAACGGCCGCGATAATGAAATCGTAGGGTACTGTAATAATCGTTCCACAGCGTCACTCAGCGGAGGCGATCGAGCCGAGTACTTACCAGCCTAACCCGCTTGTAGTCTTACCCACGGTGTCAAAGCCTTAGTAGCAAAATGTACAAACAAACCACCACAAAAGTAGTCCCAAATCCAAAACAAACTCTCGATATAAGTACATTAATGCCAACCTAAAAAAAACGGGAACATTAAAAGAGAAAATGAAGAAATATATGATGCATTGCGGCCACCCAACATAACCAAAACAAGTTTGGTCTACTCTAACGTTAGTGACGTTTCTGCTAACTTTAGCTCCAAAAAGCTAATGCTCCCAACGTTGCGTTAGCTGCCTGTTGCTCATATGAGTGATTTCGCAGTTTTTTGCCATTTTTAATAACGTTAAAAGCAATGTGATAATATCGTGAATCGTGATATTTTGGGCCAACAATATCGTGATATCCAGTTTTTCATATCGGCACATGCCTACTTACATGTGGGCAAAAATATGCTATAAGTTGGTTTGAAATGAACTTGAATCTCCTGCACAGACGGCAGCATGTGTGCATACTTCAATCATTTCCCAAACTCCTCTTTCTCTCCCCTGCGCATTTCCAAAGCCGTGCAACAGTGTCATCATGGCTGCATGGTTCAAAGCTACACTCCAGTGCCAAAGTGGCTCAGCAGAGATTAATACAGCCGAGACTGGATTTAACTAAAGCTGATTGATTTAAAATGTACATTCAGTTTACCTACCTTAGCTGCTTCTGTTTGCCTGCTAATTATGGGATTTTTTTAAACACTCAGAGGCCGTGTAAATAGAAAAAAGTCCACTTTACATCATAATAATCTTTCAATCTCTTATGCACGTCCTAGTCATAGTGTTTGTGGTGGTGGTTGGGGGTTTGAGGGCGGATGAAGAAGAAAGGCCCGGTTGAAGTGCAGTCAGTGTCATAACATGCCTCAGAAGAGGACAACAAACGTAGTCATTTCCTGCATCAGTGCAGATTTTATCACAGTGCGACCCTTGTTATAGACTTACAGCAGGTCCCGCCTGAAACCAGTATACTGTATATAATGGGAGAAGTTAATATTTTACACAATTTCCACCAGCCATATTGTAAACATCCTGCTACTTAAATAGCTTTTTCCAGACAGATGAAAAAGACAGAGGCTTGCTTTGTTTAAGACATGGTCAAATATCTTGTCTCTGTTGTCTTTCACTTTTTAACATGCATGTAGAACGATGGGTCCAAAGCTAAGATAAAGCTAAAACCTGTTTCTGTAACAATATTTCTACCACTGAGTGAATGATTTGGAAGAGAAAAGGGGAATATGAACAAAAAGTGCACAGTTGTATACTTCTGTTTCTAATGGTGAGCTTTGCTGTGGAACATCTTTATCAGGTGGATGGTGGTGGGTTGTTCTGAGGTGGTTAATTCTAGTTGATAAAACGGAAATTGAATGTACTGTATTTTTCACACTATAAGGCGCTCTTAGAGTCCTTTTGGCTTGTCGGAGCACTGCAGCTACCGTAGCCTCGCAGAGTGAGGGAACGAGTTAAATAAATAAAGTTTGACTTATCTGACTGGCCCGTTATAATCTGGTTCGCCTTATGTATGAAAATAGACATAAACAGACACGTTCATTGATGGTGTGCCATATAATCAGGTGCGCCTTATAGTACAAAAAATACGATATTGCCAACTGATGAGTAAAATTTCAGAAAACACTCAAAACTCAGAGTAAGAACCCCATTTTTAAAAACACAGCTCAGTCCTTCTTTAAAGTTAATGTCCACATATCTTTGCTGATTACACATCGCCCTGGAAAAAAGGTTGAAATGCCCACTTAACTGGTCTGTTGAGTTGTTATTTAACAGCTCCACTATACTAGCTAGTCATGCATATCTGAACTACACCTTCTACATGGCATATGGCCAACATTTTGTTCCCTAAATAATAATAATAATGATGATATTTCATTTGAAGTATACAGACAGTAGATGAATTTTATACATCTTGACAAATACCAATTGATAAATATAACTCATCCTGTAGGCCACATGATATTCTGCATCATACTGTCGTACGAACTCACTGGTTACTTTGTATGCGCCCCCTCAAGAGAAAGCCAAAACTGTGAAACGTCATGGCGATAAAGGAAATGTCAGGGTCTGAGTCAGTGAGACTCACCCTCAGGGACAAAGAATGTCTGTACGAAAGGTCATCCAGCAGTTGATGAAATATCTCCGTCTGGACGGAGAAGGAGCGAGCCGAGTCTCCATCTGAGTGACAATCTGAGATTTCCATTCCCACAGCAACAGCGTTAGCGCAGCTGAAAAATGTATGAGCGACCTGATTTCGAAGATTTACGTCGATTTAAGACGGAGCAAATGGGTCTGGGCCGAGTGCGATTTGTTATGTAATGTCACCGGGATTCCCTTTTTATTAGACAGGAGTTTGTCTTCTTTCTCTTCATCCGCACAAGCACAGTGAAATGTTGTCTCTCTGACATTTGCACTCACCTACATGCACACCTCTCCCCCATCCCTCTCCACCTCCTCCTCCTCCTCCTCTTCCTACCTCATTAGCCGATCATGCGTAAGGAGACCTGTTCTATTTTTACTCCCCCTCCCTGCTCTCCCTGCACACCGCTGCTGCATTGTATGAGTGTGTGCGTGTGTACTCTTATTGAAGGCGGCGGGGCAGAGAGAAGAAAGTCGAAGGAGAGGACAGACAGTCAGAACAAAAAAAAAAAAGAAAAAGGCGTTACAGATGATGAAATCGGAGGAAAAACAGGACCGAATAGCATTCAGGACAAATGAGAGGACATTGAATGACGTGACTTAATAGAATGAATCAGGCTTAAAGCTCCCTCTGTGCAAACACACACACACACACAAACACACACAAAAGACTCAGGCTGCCTGTGGATGCAGGTAAACACAATCTGACCTCAACTTCCCCCTAAAACCAATGTCACGTCCATCTAGTGTTTACAACAAATTAGTGTCATGTTGGATCACTGTGTTTGTGCGGTAATAGAGTGTGTGCGTGTGTGTGTGTGGACATCGTTGCCAAATATATTTTGGGTTGAAGAGTGTATTTATGTGTGTGTATGTTGACCACAGCTGCAGGGACAAACCAATGACTCAGTTATTAGGACTTTCACAATTCCCCTTCCTGCGAGCGACTCCTTGTAACCAGCTGTTGACCCACATGAAACTGGTTGTGCGACATAATGACATCTTAAACTCTGAGGGGTTTGTGTTAAAGGAGAACTGGGCGGCTCCGACTTAAAAGTCTAACGTTACAGACAGCTATGAGATCATGTGTTAACAGCTGTGAGCCAAAGAGACTCAATCAGCTGGCTTATGTAACCCTTAGATGTTTAATTTTTGTGTTTTACCCTTTGCGCGGCGGGGCTCGTATGTTTGACGGTGACATATTTCTGGAGATATTTGCACTCGGTGTCGCTCTGTCTTGATCCTGTAGTAGAAGGAAACAGAACTGCGAGCATGTGGCTCATTTATTAAAGATACTCCAGACAAAAATTCAAGTTGCGTGCCATGAAAAATTCATATTTGTGCCAAATTCGGAGGGGAAGCCTGATTTTCCTCCAGCTCTTTGTGATAATTACCGGCAGCGCCAACAAAAAGAAAGACGAGCGGGTGCTATAACACCCGAGTAAAGTGTGAATGCAATACTTATGTGAAACTTTGAATAGAAACTCAGCGTTCTCCTTTTGTTCATGTGCAGGTTGACGGGTCACCATGACGACAGAAGGGGGCTCTGAGACAGAGGTGAAGGAGAAAGCCGAGGAGTCAGCCACGCAGCCGGACCAATCGGAAAAGGCCACAGAAGACAGCAAGGAAGGAGTGGACGCCGCCGGAGAGGAGAAGGAAAAAGAGAAGGAGAAGGTGAAAGAGGGAAAGGAGGGGAAAGGAATCTCTCGATACCTGCCAACATGGCTTAAGAAGCAGAAGTCTCAGAGCCAGGTAAAACACTTCACACACACACACTTCTCGTGATAAATCCTTGCTTTATTTGGTTATTAATACTTTTATTTACCTCACACGTGTAGACCTCCCCGACCAAGGAGGCCCCGCCCACAGAAGAAGCAGTCGACACGGTAACGCAGGAGGAGCAGGGGTCTGCGCCAGAAGTGAACGGTCACGCAGAGGAAGTGGAAGAGAAGGAGGCAGAAAAGTCCGAGCAAGTGAAGGAAAAAGAAGCTGAATCTCATTCCAACGCCAGCGCAGACACCGAGGTACAGGGTCACATGACGCGTGATTGCTCCCCACACCCTGTCAGTACACATGAGGGAAGATAAAACAGACAGGTGGCCTCTTAAAAGGGAAAAATATACTTTGTAAAATATAACAGTCAATAACTTTGGTCCTTTACCGTCTGAAGCACATGACACTCATTACACTAACAGAGCAGCCTCTTTGTATCAACGATCCTGCAACTCTGCCGTCTTCAAGTCAAGCTGTTACACTTTCTACATTCTTCAACACCAAGCTGTGTAATATTAGCGTCCCAGTAGGTGATTTTTTTATGAAACATGCTGGCATTGCAAAAGTAAAAGCAGTGTGGTGTGTAAACAAGCAGCAGCAGGACATTCAGATTCACACACACAGCAGTTTTCTGTTCTGTCAGTTTTCTGTCAAGTTGCTGCTTTGTCAAAAAAGAAAAAAGTCAATAGAGTAGAAATAGCATTAGTTTGCAATTTTGTACAGTACAAATTGAGTAAAATGTTACAAACGTTTCTTAGTGTCACCAAAAAAAGTATCTTAAAGGTCCCATATTATACTCCTTTTCAGCAGGTTCACAGAGGTCTCAGAGGTCTCAGAACAGTCAATTTGAAGTTAGTTGTCTAAAAACCCAGTTTGATCCTGAACTTCAGCCAGCCTTAACTCTCTTTAGTGACCTCTACCAAGAACTAGGGCCCGACCAATATGGATTTTTTGGGGGCCGGTACCGATTATTATTATTACTAGCAGAGTGCTAGTGCTAGCCGTACCAGTTTGATCCAGATTCCGACCCAGAAGGAGAGGCTTCTGAAGAAATTCCAACTCTGTGGCTGCAGCAGGACTTTTGTGAATGGTTAATTACAAATATTATGTGTATTTTTATTTTTACTTTGTTTGTGCGTTGGTACATTAGCTCCTGCTAACGGGTACATCTCCGCTGAACCAGCGTTTGCAAGGGAGAAAAATAGTATCTGAGTGGAAATTTTCAGGGGTCAGAACAAACATCTTGCGCCCGGTCACCAGCCTGGAGGGGAGGAGTTATCTCCGTCCATGATGTCATGGAAGGGAATAGTTTCAAGCCGCCGGTTCGAATGGACATTTTCTGAAAGGTGGAACAAGCAAGAGAGTGAAAGGACAGAATTTTTAGAAAACCGAGTGAATTTTGTGAATTTTGTGAAAGTTAATTTTGCATAATATGGGAGCTTTTTAACAGATCGGTTTATCCCATTAAGTAATAATAATAATAATAATAATAATAATAATAATTTTATTTATATAGCACCTTTAAAAACAGAAGTTTACAAAGTGCTTAGACAACAGTTGTAAGCACAGAACATCAGCACATTGAAAATAAAAGCACATAAAAACAAAAGCTCAGTTAAAAAACAGGCATCTGAATTGTAGGCCTGTTTCACTTTTCGTAAGAAACCCAGGCAATACAAGAACCCTACAAAATAAATGGGATCTTAAAATCAATTCTAAAGCTGACAGGAAGCCAGTGAAGGGAGGCTAAAATTGGGGTGATGTGATGCCGTCGACTAAAACCAGTTAAAAGTCTAGCTGCTGCATTCTGAACTAGTTGGAGGCGAGAGAGTGATTTCTTGTTTAGACCAGGGAGGAGAGAGTTACAATAGTCCAGTCTTGAGAAAATGAAGGCGTGGATTATCTTTTCGAGATCTGGTGGGGTGAGTATTTGTTTAATCTTTGAAATGGAGCGCAGGTGAAGGAAACAGGACTGGACAATCTTGTTGATATGGGTGGAGAAGGTGAGGTCTGAATCAAAGGTTACTCCCAGATTTCTGGCTGTTGGTTTGATGATTACTGAGTGTGGACCGAGACAAGACTGAATGAGGGGGAGTTTTGTATGTTACAGAGAATTATTTCAGATTTTGAATAATTTAGCTGAAGGAAATTTTGTGCCATCCAACAGTTAATGTCACTTAGACAGTCCATGACAGCAGCTAGGCCTCTTGGGTCCTCAGGTCTCAAAGGAAGGTATATCTGTGTGTCGTCTGCATAGCAGTGAAAGGAGACTTTGTGGCGCTGAATTAATTGGCCAAGGGGCAGCATGTATATAGAAAATAAAATTGGACCTAAAACTGAACCTTGCGGAACACCACAGGCGATAGCAGAAGTAGAGGAGGTGTGATTGCCTATGGTGACCGCAAAGGTTCGTTCTAAAAGATACGACTGAAACCAGCCAAGTGCAGTGCCCCTGACACCCACCCAGTTTTTAAGACGTTCAATTAAAATGGTATGATCAACTGTATCAAAAGCTGCACTGAGATCTAAAAGAATTAAAATCTTAAAGTCAGTAATTGGGGGTTTGGTTTGATACTCAGTTACAAAATCTTATCAACTTATGTTTCATCAAAAAATTCTCCCTGTTTTATTCACCCACTCCTTAACTGTATCAAACATGGATATAGCTTTGGGAGTATCGCCCACTGACTCCTGGAGCAGATTCCTCAAAGCTGTCAGCTCCAGCTTTAGTAAGGCTGACTCAACCATACTTTCAGTTGACCTTGCTACAGGCATAAAGGTGGCTTACAGCCATCTCACTAAATAGCTACAGTGTGCCCAAGCCATCTGTGCCTCTGATAACTCAAGGCTTGTTATTTGAAGTATCTTTACTTCAAATAACCAAAGATGGGCTTTTTTAAATAGGTGTGTATGTGGTTTCTGGAGCTTCTGGAGCCAGCCTCAAGTGGACACTTAAAGAACTGCGTTTTTAATTTTTTATAGCATTTTTAGCAATGGCTTCATTTCCAAATACTACTCGGTGAAAGCCTAAAAATGGCAGTCACTGTACTGGAAATGCTGACTCAAAGTAACGCACTCAGCAGATCTGGCAGGAAACAGGGAAATACCATTCAGAGCACCAGCTCACTAGTCACAGATGACAAGATTTAACAGGGGTGTAACAATCCTGTCTCCAATCAGCTGTGTGAAAGGGGCTGCAGCAAGTGTGCCGGTCCAAATACAACAAAATCCACCCACTGTCGCTTGAAAAACTCACATATTTACACGTGTTTGTACAAGCTATGAAACATCTGCATGTGCCTTTTTTTTTTTTAAAGATCCGCTGATGTTGATATGTAAATGCTGTATGCTGGTGTGTTATGCTTATAACACCCCACTGCAGATGAGTTAGTAATCAGAGATGAAACCACCACCTAACCTGTTCCAACTGTAAGCTGGTGGAAATTACTTTGCCTAAACAAATGTTCTTCCTTTGTTTCGGCCAAGAGAGAAAGACACACACGCACGCCCACATAAAGCCATTCTCTCTCACACACACACATGCACACACTCAAACTGTTCCATCCAGTGATCACATTAAGCCACCCAGGCCCACCCAGTGACATCAACATTTCAGTGATCAGGCCAAGAGAAACGCCTGCAGCAGACTCAGACCAGAGGAGAAATCAACAAAAGGAAGACAGAGAAAGAAAACAGCTTTCTCTCCTCTTGTATTTAGACGATAATGTTCAGGGGATTTCTTAACATCTACATTTTCGAGAAGATCTGAGTTTTCACAGGGCTGCAGGCATTGGGAACCCTTTGTGCAAATGCAGTGATTCATAACTTTTCCCGATCTCCCACCTAACTCCTTTCAGCCGGCCAAAGAGGAGAAGGTGGAAGAGAGCGCAGAGAAAAGTCCCGAGGAGACCAAGGAGGCGACGGAGGGAGAAGACACAGAGGAGCAGAAGAAGGAGCAGGAAGGGACAGCGAACGGCGAGGAGGAGGTGGGAGGAGGAGAAGGAGGAGAAGGCCAGGGAAACACCTCCATTTTCCAGTCTCCTCTACGCCTGGTGAGGAAGAGCAAGATGAAGCTGGTGGTGTGTCACGTGAACCTCCTAGATGGGAGTGACTTCTCCTGCGAGGTGGAGGTGAGACACACTCCTATGTGCATACACACTTAGTTGACAACACATCTCAAACTCACAATGTTGAGTGTGAATCTAGAATAGATGTTACAGGTAAAGTAGACTTATATACTTTAAGGTGCATGTGTAAAAACGTCTTTTTTTTGAGAGGAGGGAAGAGTTAGTCGCAGGTCAAGTAAGCCACACGTGAGTGCCAGTGTGTCAGTGATGTAATCCCTAATAGGATCAGATCTGGTGTGTGAACGTCTATGTATGTGCGTGTGTTGGGGAGTTGGGGAGTTGGGGGTGTGTGGTTAACTTTCTGCCTCAAAGTGCAGTTATGGCAGAAGCTGCAGCCACACACACACAGTTTGGGCGTGGTTAAGGGGATAAATGCCGAGCTCGCTACAGGGGCTTGTCTGGTGACTACGACACACACACACACACACACACACACACACACGAACGGAAACTTGTGAGATTACGGGGGTCCCACCAGATTAGTTTTCTGCATCTGCTGCTCCCTAACAAGCACGTGTCGCAGACCCCCTGCAAACACTCTCATACTTATAGATACTCGCAGCATCATGTGCGTTTCATGCCCTCCATCCTGCATTATTTCTAAGATGTTGCTTGTTGTTCTCCTTTATTTGTGATTTTTCCCATTTTGACCTCATATCACTCATGAAAACTTGTATTCCTTAAGCAACACACACATTTGTAGTAGGGCTGGGCGATATGGCCTCAAATCAATATCACAATATATTGAGCAGTTTGCCTCGATAACAATAAATGGACAATAACTACTCTACAAGCTGCTCACCCCCTCCCAAATTAACTACATCTGCTTTTATTTATTTATTTATTTATTTGACACAGAACAGACCAATATGAGCAAAATGACGTCGGTTATTGACGTAAATTTCGGTATCGGTAAATTTTTGGTTTATCGCCCAGCGCTAAAATGAAGCCCTCCTTATTTTAGTGGGAATCTCCCTAGAAAAGCAAACCCTGGACCGATTTTTTTCATCTTTATTTTCCACTCCAAAATTCCCATTTCATCCTTTGACAAACCCTTTGACAAAACCTTTCCCCCCCTCTTATCTGCGCGATTTCCAACGCCCAGCAGCACGCCTGTGAGTGTCTGCGGCTGTTTGAACAGTGGCTGCTTTGTCTCCAAAGAGAAAACGCCGATACTGCAACTAACTGCTATTGTCCTGAAGTGCACACACAGACACACACACTGACTCACACACTCACTCACATATCCAGCTATCCCTCCCTTCACACACTGGCATAGTTAGGTTGGAAGAGGGAGAGATGCACAATGCATTCCAGAGATTAAATTTTCTGTTTTTGCCCAGCAGGCCTCCAACACACACACACACACGGCACCACAAACACACACACACACTGCTCTCTATACTATCTCTGCTTCTATCTCTTCCACCATCCTCCTCCCGCCCTCTTCGTGAAACATCAGCATCAGTTTTACTCCGGGTAAAGACATTAATGCCGCTTTTATTAGCCGTAGTTTTGAGTGAAAAGTCGCCCCAGACGTTTTCTGACTCCCGCTCTCAAAGCAGAGTCTTAGCGTCACATGGTCTTTAATGCTGTTTCTAAGAATTTCATTAGTATAGGTTTCAGTGGGATTTGAGTGTCACACGCTTTAAGTGGCATTTCATAGCCTTTCATTAGCTCTCAGTCAGACATAAGTCAAGCAGTGTTTGTAGATATTATGCCTGTTGCTTTGCTGTTCACACAGAGAGGAGCGCGTTTATTTCTCCATGTTTACACAGGAAAACTGGTGAGAAAGATGTACCTTAATCAGTGTTTAACTAAAATATAGCTGTGATGGGAGTTCATATTTTGGCTCCAGCGTGTTAACTAACTTTGAATCTTGTCACGGACCAGATCCACAGGTCTGTTACTCTGTATTCACCTTAATCTTGTGATCTCTTTCGCTTTTTCTTGATTCTGGAGGACCAAGGCTGTAAACAGTTCCTATAAAGTCTTTTGAACTTACTGGAGTTTTTCCCACATCTACTGGTAGCTTTTTGGGGTGGTGATTTGCCAGACAAACCCTTATATCACTCACAAACCATGATGTCTAGGTCATGGCAGACTGACAGTGTCTTTGCTCTGGGAACAGAAACCAAAATACTTCCACTTATCAGTTTTAAAAAGATGCCGCATCATCCACAATTACTACATCATCTCTCCCTTACTCACCTTTGGGATCTGTCGTTTTCACTGAAGGGAGTAGAGCACAAAAATGACCGCCTCTGTAGTTCCACAAACCCCCAAATCTGCTGCACTGAAACATTGCTTCACTTCCTGCTGCCCAAAGACAGCATCAAGACCCTCTTGATACTTTGTATGACTTGGTTGACTTGATATATCCGGGCATTTGTTATCACTTTAGCCCGCTCGTTATTACCAGATCAAGTCTGTTTAAATGCCAGAGGCTGCTAAGTTTGAACAACTGTCTTTTTTTCCCTGTGGCAGTAACATTTATGTCCGTGTAATTCCACTTCAAATGTGTTAACAAGTTGGACGCGACGCCGACAGCTGCAGAACTAACTGCTGTGACAGAAACCGTGTTAGAGAAAAGTTTGAACCATGTCTCATCTGTCAATATGAAGAGGACGGGCTTTATGATGCTGCTGGTGATCTTCAGCTTCATGCCATCCATCTTTCCAGTCTATCTATGCTTCAATGTCATTCACAGTACAAGCTGTCTTTGTATGTTGTTGATGAGATTGCATGGGACATACATCCATAGATTTGTAGATGAAAGTAAAGTCCCGGCGGCAATCTCACAATGGTTCTTGGCTAGTGCCTTGCTCCAGGGCACTCTGGCATAGACTCATAAAGTCCCCAAAAGGTCACATTCTCACATTCTGCGGGCATTCACAATACATCTGCGCTGGCCAGTGCGTGCTTTTGGAGCATGCCTTCCTACAAAGTATAGGAAAATGCCTGGGATGCTTTCAGCTGTCCCAGGGTGAGAGGCAAAATGCACTCTTTCATCCTCTTCCCTTCCACTTTCACCACGCTCCCTGCCCCGTCTGCGATTCTGTCTCTGCTATGCAACGCTAACTTTGTGTGTGTTTGCAACCCAGCATCAGACCGAGGGTGCGCCAACTAACAAAAGAGAAATGAATAGTATTTACTTCTTTCATTCTTCCACATTTTTTTTGCTCTATTTCCTCCCTCTCTCTCTGTCTGACCTTCAGTCCATCTAAAGGCCACTGTCGAATGTTTGCGTGCATGCGTGGCTCTGCACGCACGGATGTGTGCTAAATGTCATTGTCATAGCTGTGAGTGGAGGCTTTTATGGCTAAAACTCCCATCGGGCCTATCGGAGGAATGTGCTGCCCAGAGACAGATGGAGAGATTGAGGGAAAAGAGTGAGAGAATAGTGGAGCAGATGGAGATGAAACTGAATAAAAAAAACAGAAATGTATTTAGGGAGAGGATTGAATAGGACACTAAGTCTCACAAGCTTAAAAATGTAGTCCACTGAACACATTTAAGTGGCTTTTAACATCCTTTCCTGGCATCACGCGCGGCATCGTTCAATCTTTGTTTCTCTCTTGTGTTGCAGAAACGTGCCAAAGGACAGTTCTTGTTCTTTAAGGTTTGCGAGCACCTAAACCTCCTGGAAAAAGACTACTTTGGTCTGACATACACGGACAACCATGAACAGAAGGTACGTGTCCATACATCCACACACAAACACAGGATGTACTGTAGACCTAATAAGTCAGTCATGTACACTTACGTAGAAACTCCAGACAGACGCCTGTTCAGCATCTCGTGACTGTTTGATAACCGAGGTTAACTCTCTTCCTGCTCTCTCTCTTTTCTCAGTGCTGGTTGGATCCCACCAAGGAAATCAAGAGACAGATACGCAGTGAGTTTATTCTTCTCAATCATGCTCTCGCCGCCACAGGCCATCTCTCTCCATCTCCCTCAGCCTGTCCTAAAAAAGACGTCACGCAATCCACGCGCCCTCCAGCTTCTCAGCCAAAACGCGATGAATAAAACATCAATATTGAATTAATAAATGAGTTCAAGTGTCTCCATATAAAAGAGAAGACAACGGCACACAATCAAGCCCGACAAAGCCGCAGAGGCATCCGAAACCAAACGACAGCCGTCTTGCCGGAGCTGGCAGCATGCGAGGGGTTACCACAGTGTGATCACTCCGCTTCATTATTTATGGATGTCTTTATCGACTGTTGTTAATATATAGACGCAGGGCCAGGCACGGCATCTCACCTGCTGTCGACAGCTATCAAGCGTCGTGGAGCAGCCAGGCGTAGTATTTAATTTGTGAATGTGTGAACAGCCTGTACAGTAGGAGGGTTTTCCCATGAAAGAGGATGCTAATGATCTGCACATTTGACATCAGGATAAAAACAACAAACAGGATGTCTTAATCACCTCGATGAGTTGCATTTTTCAGGGAATTTTTTAAATCTTGGATTTAACCTGAATCAGGGCTGTCAACGAATATTCTAAATTCAAATATATATTAGAATATTTTAAAAAAAGCAAGATTCGAATATGAATTAAACAGCGGGGAAAAAGCTGAAAACAATGAAAAATTAAGAAAAAAACAGAGGCTGCTTTGCGAATGAGCGCACTGTAACCACGGTTCAGGGACAGGTCACAGGAGCTGCACCTGCAGTGAGACTCGACAAAAACCGTCCGTGGCGCATGCGTGGAGAGATGGCGTGATGTTCGGAGCCAAATTCGTAGAGAGTGGTCTGGACTCCAACAAAACGCTCACTTTGGAAATTCTTCAGATTTTAGGCAGACACAGTCGACGGAAGAAATGCTGAGCGAGATAAAGTTATATGCAAGCTGTGTCATTTTTAGAACGGATATTCGAACATCATTTTGGAGCAATTTTGACAGCCTTACTCTGCTTCAGGAGCCAGTGGGTGACACTACTAGAGCTACATCCAAGTTTGATACAGTCAAAGAGTGGCTGAATAAAACTGGGAGGATTTCTTTGATAACACATATGAGTGGAAAAGATAGGCTTGTCATTTTGGAGCAGTTTTGATAGCCCTAGTCTTCTTCATTTCTTCACTTAGGTTACTGTTATCAGGGATTTTTAAATTCTTATATTCTTCTTGTTGTGAGTGTCTTGAAGAATTTGCAGTTCTCCGCTGAGCTTCCCTCTAAAGAGGCCGCGCTTTTCACTCCTTTTTTACAAAGTGAGTCAAATACAGGCTTTAACACATAACTTCGAACTTTGAAAGAGGAAGGCGGAGTGAAAACATATCATTTTGCCTCATAAAGTGTTATTTTAGAATTAGCATATGTGGAATAGCGATGCTGGCTGGGTGTGTGCAGACTGTGCGAGCGAGTGAGCGTGTGGTGCGCGTGCATGCCTGGGTTTTTGCGGCTCTGTCGCTGGTTGCGCCTGTGGTTCATGGATGAGTGGAATGCAGCCAGCCGCATGTGTGCGTTTGTGTACATTTTTCTGTGTCTGTGTGTGGTTACTATAAGAGGGAGGGTGTATCATATCATGTGTGTTTGTAGACGGATTACAGCACAAATGACAGGTCTGACACCAATCTGCTCTGAAGTACCATCGGTTTACGCCCCGAAGACACAGCTCTGCGTCACAGCACTGCGTCAGCGCATACTGGGTTCAAACAGACGTACACATTCGTCTTTGAAAGTGATGTTCATGGGTCATAGAAATATACTCGAGTGATCAAAGCCTCTGTTGGTCCTTTTAAAGCCTTGCTTCACCAGCAAGAGATCTGAAGGTCCAGTATGGGTGTAAAATGGATCTTAAATTGTATTCATTATGGTCTTAAAAACCCTAAAGAAATTGTGAATTTCAGGCCATGGTTACTTGGTCCAAAATAACTTCTAAGGGGTTATCAGAGGAGCAGCCAGCTGGTTGCACTGAAATGATGAACATTGATCATCTTGTAAAGTTAGAGACTAAGGACCAATAGTAACTGCAGAAGTGTGCACAGACTGCTTATTAGCCTGTACCTCTTCAGAGTGGATTCAGTCTCTTGCACAATCTTTTCATCATCCTGATACTTGTGACAATGTGGTGCAGATGTGCTCGAGATCGAGTATTCAGCTACATATAAACACACTGCTGTTGTATTCAAAGTATCAAAGAGTCAAACAAGAAATAACAAACGCTGTGGCCAAAGCAAACACACAGGTGGTAAAAGTGATCTTCTCAGTAGTGAGGTAGTCAAGGCTAAATTAACCAAGACCAAGATGTGACCAAGAGTGCACCGAGAACAAGGCAGGTGGAGACTGTGACAAGACCAAGACCATGTCGATTCTCATTCAGACTGAATATCCACGGAATCGAAGCACTGAGGCCGGGGACTCTGGCTTGAGTTCAGTCAGTAGAGCTCTTTACAGCGTGTGGCGTCAGTTAATGTTTAACAGCAGCACACATGTTCCCCCCATAATCACACAAACCTTGATAGTTCCGTGTCCCACTGGGCTGATAACGTAAGAGAACTGTCGCAGGACATGTGCAGCCGTGTAGAGAGCCAATAGCTGCCGGCTATGTTTAAATTACAGCTTCATAAGTGTTAGTGTGTTGTATGATTTATGACCTCAGTCCGACATTCCTCCAAGTCATCCATTTACTTCATTTGTTTTTCACATCATATGCAAAATTCTATTACCAAGGAGCCAGCTGGCAGAAAAAGTGGAGGTAGAGAGAGCATCAAGGAGGTAAAGTAAGAAGGTCAATAAACCAAGAGGAGGGAAGCGGACATGTGGAGGAGGAGAGGGATCGAATGTAAATATATATTGGTATGTGAATGTCTGCATCCTGGAGCAGATTTATAGACGGCACGTGGTCGTCTAGGATGTTCAAATGGTCATGAGAGACCCCCCAAAGCACTTAGTGCTGCTGACAAACATACAAACTCAATTTCCCCTCAGACTCAGCAACACTCACCCTTTCATCCATTCATCCTCACACATCCACAGACACGCACAGGCGAGGAAACAGGAGTATAAGCTCTCAGGAGCTTCAGTTTGTGTATGTTAATCAACAACACCTCATGTGTTGCACTTTTCTCTCTCTCTTGTGGCTGCAGTGATCGTGTCCTCGTTTCATGTGTGATTTATAGTGTCCGTCCTTCGTCCTGCTCCTCTGGGATGCAGCTGTGAAAGCTCTGTATCTGCACACGTGTGTGTTCATGTGTGCATACGTGGATGTGCGTATGACCTTGGAGGAGGAAACGGCCTCGATGCAATGTCAGCTCTAGCCTGATGGAATTTTCCAGATGTTATGATGTCCGTCTTATACTGAGGGCGTGTGTCTGTGTGGGTACATGGATGCAGTGAATGTGAAGGTGAAAGAGGTGGCGTGCATGATGATGTGGCTTTACCCTGAATTAAAGAGAACAGGAAGAAGACAGTGATCTGAAATGAGACCTGTGTTGACGATGATATGGTGCTTTTTTTGCTTGTGATGGTGGTCATGATGATAAAGCTCATAGCTCTGTATTTGGTGAAACACGGTTATGTAATAGCAGATCTGGTGCTGTATTTTTTTACATCATGTGTGTGTGTGAGCGAGCGTGCATGCGTGATGCACCAAGCTTAGCACTGCTCAAAAGCTGCTCTGCATTAGACAGATGGGTGAGACAGGCAGACGGACGGGTGGGATAAAAATATATTCAAGAACTGTCATATGATTGAGATTCTAATTTAGATATAGTCTTCATATTCATGCAGTGTGTGATGGTATCAATTTCAATTCACTCTCTGTCTTCTTCAGGTAACAACTGGCAGTTTGCTTTCAACGTCAAGTTCTACCCTCCTGATCCCTCACTGCTCACTGAAGACATCACCAGGTACAAAACACTACCAGAGGAGCTCAGACTTTGGGGGTGGGATGGAGTGGGGGGGCAGAAGCTTGGAGTGGAAATCACCAGTGGCCCCACGATAAGATATTATCACGATACTTGGGCTATGATATGATATTATCACGATACTCAGGCCACGATATGATATTATCATGATACTTGGGCCACGATACGATATTATCATGATACTTGGGCCACGATACGATATTATGATACTTGGGCCACGATACGATATTATCATGATATTTGGGCCACGATACGATATTATGATACTTGGGCCACCATAGGATATTATTACGATACTCGGGCCACGATACAAGACTGTCATGATACTTGGGCCACAATATGATATTATCACGATACTTGGGCTATGATATGATATTATCACGATACTCAGGCCACGATATGATATTATCATGATACTTGGGCCATGATACGTTATTATTGCAATTTTTAACATTTGGCAATACAGTGAGTATTGCCGTACAATATGTTGCGATTTATACATTTTTTAAAAATGTTTAGCTAATTTAGCATCTGTTTTTCCTTTATGTCTGTCTTATTTAAGCAGTATTTTATTTTCATTCAGCATTTCTTGCAAACCTTATATGTCAGATCCATCTCATTTGTGCCCTGCTGTCATTCCTAATGTCCCTCCCCAGGTGCTGCTATATTTGTTGTACCAGCTTTCTCCTGCTCTATGATGTCACCTCCACTAACCTCACTGGAAAAACAGTTGATTCTATTTTAGACAAAATATCGCGATACTATGCCGATTTTTTTTTTGTCCCACCCCTAGTACAAGCCTGTAAATATAGGAAGGCTGGAGTCTTCGATTTGATCTCAAAATCAATCCTAAAACAAATCCAACACCAACTGGCACAAGCCGGCATTGTGCACATTGTTAATTCATTTGAACATATGCATGCACACACACATGGGCATGCTCCAAGCACAGAGCATTTAAATCAGAGTGTAAGTCTAATGGGGCGTATAGCTTCTCTGATGGTTGAGGCAAAAGGCTAACTGAGGACACACGCTCAATTAGAGACATTTTCTTAGACAGTTAGCGACACCTGAGCTGAACTCAGTGGATTCAGTATCGGCTTCAACCTGAATATAAAGGCTTTACATTCCAGTTTGACTTATTTTCATTCCATGTATTCTCATTTTAACAAGCTAAAACACAGAATTATATTTGTCTGGTGAAGAGAGGCCTCCAGACTGGATGAGTGGAGTCCAATCTCCTGTTTCAGAGAGTGTTTGTCTCACTTAAGTGACTTTGAATAACATTTTTTTAAGCAGCCAAATGATGCATTCACCAGAACCCTGAAGTGTCAGTCATTCACATAGAAGCTCCATTCACATGACAAATTCTTATGAAGAGCCTCTACAGTCAGCCAGTAAATCATCTGCACAGAAGCAGACCTTATGCTTCTGAGTTTGTGTATGTCACAGGACAAAAAGCTTTTCTATAAGACACACTGTAGCGCCATGCTAAGAAAATCAAACAACAAACACACCACCAAGGAAGAAATTTAATCTGCACCAGCTGATCTTGGCCTCACCGGAGGAGTGGCTGCTAGGATTGTTATTTATTGTTATCATGAACAAAGAAGCAGCTTCCAGTTCAGGGAAAGGATTAGAAACAGGTTTCTTTTAAAAAACAGTGAGACTTTCCTCTAAATCCTGGCCGGTCTCTCTGTTTCTCTGTCCTGTAGGTACCTGTTGTGTCTGCAGCTGCGTGAGGACGTGGCCACGGGTCGACTGCCTTGCTCATTTGTCACACATGCTCTGCTGGGGTCCTACACACTGCAGGTAACATTTGCTAAGAGTAAATATGAATTTGATGTACAGGTGATGCCAAAATACCTCCCATAAGGTTTTGGTTTCACTGTTTGGGGTACTGTTGTATCGTCCATCTTTATATTAACAGAGCGCATGAGCTTTTGTCAAAAAGAACAAATGAATGTGACTTTGGTCTGACTCCTTGTGGTTCACAGGCTGAATTTGGTGACTACGAACCCGACCAGCCTCGGCCTCTGGACTACATCAGCCAGAGGACCTTTGCGCCCAATCAGAACAAAGAGATGGAGGAGAAGATCCTTGAACTCCACAAGTCTCACAGGTCGGAGATAATGAGTCTTCTGTAGATTTTTAATGTACCGTTACTCTGATACTGTTCATCTAAGGGACTTTGGCTTCCCTGTGGTTGTAGGGGGATGACACCCGCACAGGCTGACACCCAGTTCCTAGAAAACGCCAAGAAGCTGTCCATGTACGGAGTGGACCTGCACCATGCTAAGGTATGATTATGAAATGAATGAACGTTTTGATATCCTCCTGTCTCTTCTCTTTTATTGTCAGCATCTGGAGGATTAGCACAGTTTCTTTGATGTGGGAAGAGTGTGCCCGTGTTTCTGCATGTTTATCTGTGTGTGCGTTTGAGTGTGTGTGTGTGTGTCAGCTGTACAAACACTCAGGGAGGCCATTACCATGGGAACAGTGAGTCTCTCTCAGTGGGATAGCAGGTCATCAGCAGAGTGCGTGCCTGTTTCCACGTTTGTCTGAGTACTTTTGTGTGTCTCTGTGCAAGACGGGCAGAAAATGGGGGGAAATATGCATGAGGGAGAGAGAGAGAGAAGAAGAGTCTGAAAATAGAAAGAGAGGATGCAGATGCAATATTGAGGATATTCAGCAGACAAAGACAGACGGAGAGAGCCACAAGGGTAGAGCAAACAGGAACAGGTCTTTGAGACAGAAAGAGAGGAGAGTCCCCTTTAAGGGCATGCTCCACTTGTTTGCAACAGAGAGGGAAACAAGGGAAGAGGAGAGCTGCAGAGAGGAGGTTTTAGAAATGTTGGAAATCTTTTTTTATAGCATACCAAAGTTGTGGGAATTCAAGGAGCAGATCTATTTCTGTCCTATGTTAATAATTTGTCCTGCAAAGACTTAAACCGCAAGGCCCAATAAGGGAACATGTGGAATACTGCATTTTTCTACATTTATACTCCACGTTGAATGTTTACTGGAGGTTGGACTGATTCCAGTTATTTTTTATCTTGATGCACCTGTTTGAAAACAGCATGTTGCAGTGGTTAGAAAACTTTTTTTTTGTTTGTACAGACGTTTAACTGCACAAAACAGTCAACAAAATAGGGCTGTCCTGTTACGATATTGATATTGTATATCGGTCCGATATCAGCCAAAAATCAAATATCGGATTATATTGGCCTGCATCTAAAATCTCTGATATTAGCACTCCGGTACAAGCAGTCCATTCCAGACTCCACTCTGGTACCTCTATCTAGCAGCGCCCACATCCAGCATGCAGAGCCCACGTGATCACAACAACAGTTTGTACTAAGGTGCAAACAAAGTAGCAAGGAGTAAGAGTGATGTCAGCTGTGTGGCAGTATTTTTCATTAAAGTCAGAAAAAGACATCGCAGCTGAGTGTAAAACTTGTCATGCACAAGTTTGTGCTAAAATTGAATCAATATCGGTATTGGCCGATACTGAAGGCTGACATTGTCCCTGACATTATTGTCCAGTATATCAATAGACATCTGTAGTAAGACGCTGCAGATGTTTTATCAGTCTGTGGTGGCAAGTGTTCTACGCTGCAGGGAATTAATAAAGTTCTTCTTATTCTTATATCGGTATTGTATCAGAAGTAAAAAAGTTGTATCGTGACAATCCTACAACAATACAAACATTATAGTCCATAGTAATAAAATATGAACAATTTGTCAGACCAACTACAAACTCTCTTACTGACTAGCAAAAGTTACCACTTTGAATCATTGAGTCGACTATATTTTTTATTCCTTTTCATATTTATCGTGCGGTTTGAGTTATTTGAGATCTCTAAATTCACTCAACCTCTCATCCTTCCGCCACTAAAGGACTGTTTTCTGGTAAAACCCACAAAGAGCTAATGGAAAACCAGTTCTTTCCCACTCCCTCTCATTGAGTCAGTGTGTCGGAGCCTCGGTGCTAAATGTATCTTAACCAGCAGCGCAGGGATCAATGAGTGGCCAATAACATGGCAAGACCATGTGATGTGTTTGTGCGCCCTAGTAAAACTGTCCAGCCTCAATATATCGCATCCTCCATTAGTCCAACAGATTTTTCCCGTTAATTGACCGCTGTGATCAATAACCCCCCCTCCACCCCCCTTCCATTTAACCAGATGGCCTTGGACTTAAAAGCTTTGCTAGCCAGTTAGCCTGTCAGCTAACCATGTTGTGACAGTGTTTGTTGACCTTTCACACACTACTTAAGAAATCAATTGATGACCCGTGTAATCTCATTTAGACAAACAGGATGCATATGCAGATTCCTCAGAGATTGGCGCTTTGACATTTTTGGTTTAAGTGTGTTTTATTAATATTTCATGTGACTGTTACAGGATTCTGAGGGTGTGGACATCATGCTAGGCGTGTGTGCCAACGGACTCCTGGTTTACAAAGACAGACTCCGGATAAATCGCTTTGCTTGGCCCAAAATCCTCAAGATTTCCTACAAAAGGAACAACTTTTACATCAAGATCAGACCAGGAGAGGTTTGTAAACAGACACACAGAAACAGCTGATTCATTTTCTGATGTATTAAATCTTAAGATTGTCATTACTTTTGTCTAATTGTGCTCCTCCGATAGACGGAGCAGTTTGAGAGCACAGTGGGATTCAAACTCCAGAACCATCGATCTGCCAAAAGGCTTTGGAAAGTCTGTGTGGAGAATCACAGTTTCTTCAGGTAAACACACACCCCAAAATCAAACACGCACCCTCTACGCTCATAGATTTCACAGATTTGCAGTGTGGCGTGCAGGGTAATCAGAATACCTGGTCTGTTAGCGTCCAGTAGAGAGATGTGTGCTTTTTAGGATCAACAAACGACTTGCTTTCTTTCCAGAACACGGGGAAATATTTCGCGGTTGTTTAACCAGTCTGCTACCTGAGGCGATACACACTCCAACACAAACACACATGCTTATGAAGCAGGTGCCTGTCATTGCTGTGTTTGTAATCGCCAGGAGTGTATACTGTTTCTGATTGTTTCTCCGTCTGCCTTTGTTTGCTTGAGAAGAAAGGAATAAGCTTTAATATCCTGTCCAGGGAAAAGGTGCCTCTCCATACAGTACTGACTGTTACATTTTATTACGAAGTAAATCCCCAATATTTTCTCTCCCCCCTCGCTCTTTTTGCAGGTTAAACGCACCAGAACCTCCCACCAAGGCCCGCTTCTTGACTCTGGGCTCCAAGTTCCGTTACAGCGGGCGAACTCAGGCCCAGAGCCGCGTGGCCAGCTCCCTCATAGACCGACCCGCGCCCAACTTTGAGCGCACCTCGTCCAAACGCATCAGCCGCAGTCTGGATGGAGGTAAAGATTCCAGCTTTCAGATGAAAAGAGAAACGGGAGGAATGATGGGCAGAGGGAGCGAGGGGTCACCCCCGCGTGTGTTTGGGTGTACAAAGCGAGTGTGCGACCAGATACAGGAAATAGCTGCAGCATATGTTTCCTGTCACACAGGGAGAGACAGAGGGAGAAAGAGAAGAAAGAAAGAATACTAGTGTTACATGTGTGTTTGAAAAAGAGAAAAAGGATCTGAGAACAACAGTAGATTCTCAACTGGTTTTGTTCTTTCTCTAGAGGAAACACAAAATCCAGGAAAACAGAGCAGTGATTATAATAACATACAGACTCATTTACCATAAACTGTTTGATCATTTTGGGACAGTTAACATTTTGTAATCAAACGTTTGAAATTTTGTCCCTATGACTTTGATTTTTTGAGGGTTTAGCTTTCAGATTGTTCCTTATGCAGCCTTTTAGGTTGTTATGCAAGCTTGCATTGCCCCCTGGTGGATGTTTTGATAAACTGCAAGGCCAGTGTGCACAAAAAAAAAAAGAAACCGCTTATCCTGAATCGAAAAAGACGAGTAAGATATCTGATTTTTCTGAATGAGTTCATATTTCGTGTTTTGCTCCTTTGCAGCACCGGTGATCAGCATAACCGAGGCCGGCACAGCTGAGAACGGACGCGATCCCCACCTGGAACTCCATTCTGACTCTAAGGTGTGTGTATGTGTGTGTTCGCGTGTGTGTTTTGTTTTTGTCGTATGTGTTGTGTATTCGGAAGACGAAAGAAAAAGCAAAGAAGACGGATGAAGATCGATGTCAGAGAGGAAGTCTTTTGTTTCCTTTTTTAATACCATTATATAAACACAGAGGGTCGGTCTGGTCCCACAGGAACTGATAATGTGTTTTGTATTATATTAGTGAGATGTTATGTTCAAGAGAGAGATGGAAAAACAGGCCTGCTGCCAGCTTTGACTGTATTAGTAGTGTGTATTGACGAGTCTCTTAGCTTTATGTTGCGCTCAAATTCGGCTTTTTATTCATTATAACAACGTAACAACCTGCATCTTTCCAGGGTGGATAAACCGCATTAGCACCATTAACTCAGGAGAAGGAGTAACACACTGTCTCATGAGAACATCATGGAGATAAATCTGGTACAAAAGTGAAGGAAGACACAGCAGGATGATGTATACGTGTGTGCAGGGGAAGTTAAATCAGAAGATTGTGGACAGAGGGGAGATAACAGACTAGAAAGATTGTGTATTAGGCAGCATTTTTAACCAATCAAAACAAAGATGAAACAACAGAACCAAAGGTGACAGCAAGAGGACAAATGAAGCAATGACGCATGGCACCGAGGGGGTTTACGATGCTTTAGTTTGGTTATTTCTTACACTTTTGTTAACTTTTCAAAGTAGTGGGGCTGTAATCAAGCAAAGAATTTCTTGGTCGACTAAAACTCTGAAATTTTCAACCAAAAAAATCAACTAATTGGGGTGCGCGGCTCGGCAGGGTCGAAAATATACTGATATCAGAACAAGAAGGCAATTAAACGCAAATATTATATTCAGCAAACCATCAGACGTTGATTAACGTGGACGCTCTTTAATCTTCATGTTTTCAGCTGGTCTCCAGTGGGGTGGGTGAATCCAAAATGGTGAAAACAACGGGGGTGTTCTGAGACAAGCTTTTACCCGCTCTAAAAAAAACACCCCCATTAGCACTTGGTATGTTCCTCCTGATGAAATTAACTGCAGACTGTAAATTGACGCGAAAAAATACAGAGTCGACCAATTCCAACAAGTCGACTTTACAGCCCTACAAAGTAGACAAGCACAGTCATGTTCTTATGTGTTACAGAGATATCTAGATTATTAACTGGACCTCTTGTTTAATCAGTCAGGCTGCCTCTCCTTCATGCATATGCAAAGGCCTGAAGGAAAACCCAACATCAACTCGACCATAACTCTGTTGCGTTGTTCCCCCCACCTCCAAATAATCAAACTCTAGCGTATTCCTGTAGTCTTGCATGCGTCCTGCTCCCCCTGCCTCTCCTCACTTTCTTCTCTCCCCAGCCCACTCTCGCTCACTGTCCCAGCACTGAAAAATGCCCTGGCGTTTGTTTCGTGGTGGCTCCCCTGTTGAAACCGTTTCTGCACACTGTTGTACTCTGCACTGAGCTCAAACCCTGCTGTGTTCACTTTTAACCTGGTTGTTGTGATGTTCACTGACTAATGTTGTGTCTCTTTCCTTCTCTCTTTTTCCCTCACTGGCTTTTTTTTTTTTTTTGATTTGTTCGATCACTCCACTTTTGCATGCGGTCACTTCAATCATCATTTCATACAAACTGACAAATGAAATGATATTTTTAATGCACATTGCGTCTCTTTTTTTGTTAAATCTTGTCTTCACTGCTTGATCCCACACTTTGTGGATGAATGTGCACCGTCTCTCCTCTCTCTCCTCTGTGTTGTCATGTTTGTCTCTCCTTCCTTTTCCTCCCCCTCTCCTCTCGTGTGTGTACTCCCTTTGTCCCGCCACTCCACCGCCATCAGTCAATCTTCATGTTCCCTCTCTCCTTCTCCTCGTCATCCTCACTCTCCTCCATCCCTCCCTCCCTCGACTCGATCTCCGAGCTCGACCACGGCCTGTCCGACATTTCAGAAGACGACGATCACGCCGACGACACAGCCACCACGCTCACTCCGTGGATTCTCCCCTCGAATGCGTCCCCTCTGTTATCCGATCACGCTGATCCCGAAAACGCACCAATCACAAGCACGCAAACGCACATTTCAGAGCTTTCAGGTGTTGAGGAAGGCTGCCTCGCTGAAACCAGGGCAGCATCTGGATTATCAAAGTGTTGGCGCTGGTTCTCTCTGAGGGGTGTGGTTAAATACGTGTCCTTCATGCTGAGTTTTCTCTCTATTTCAGGGGAGAATGTAAACAGGTGTCTGCCCACGAAGCTCTTTTCAGTATCAACAAAGAAACTGGGCAGTTTTGCTCCTCCTGTGTCCAAACTTGTGTCAAAATTAAAGAAAATGACCGTCGTTGTCCCGAAGTTTATCATTTCTAACATGACAACAGCCAGAATACACCAAATTCTTAACAGTCTGATGTCGAAACTGACCACCTTTGAGGCATTTATTGCGAGTTATTTGACCGCTAAATGCACAAGTTTGATTCCCGCTGTTCTGTGGCGCCCAACGCGGCTACGTTTACCCTCCATCTCTTCTTTCACATGCCCTCAAATCCTCTCCCTCCCTTCCTCCTCCTCTCTTCCGACTCTCTCCACGCTCTCTCCGTCCATACATCGCTACCTCCTGAACCCCTCTCCTCTCTTCCTGCCCTTCCTGTTGGTCACCTTTCTTTTACTCGTGATGCTGACTGCGAGCCAGTCTTTAATCTTGGCGCTGATTTTAGCCACGCCCCTCGGATTGACCCTGTGTTACCTGGAGAACGTGGTGTCCAGTCAGAGGAAGGCGGTTTTGCCTATGTTCCTCCGCGAAACTTCACACGATGAGTCCGAGGATCCCGGTTTCGACAAGCAGGCGTCTTCTCTCACACCCACACACACACCTCCACGCAGCAGGCACCCAGCGAGCGCAACCTGGATGCAGGAGATGTGCGACCCTGCTGCGTAAATACACAACATACACAAACCCGACAACCCCGCCCCCTACTCTCTCTCCTTTTGTTCTTCTTTTCCCAACTGTGGCGTTTATCCTCACCACCACCCCTGACTTTACCTCAAATATTCTTTACCATCCCTGAAAACCGACTGTGTTTGTGTAAAGGAATTAAGATCATTAAAATGAATTATGACAAAGAAGAGAAAATATTATGAATAGAGAGCAACTAGAGGGACAAAAAAGAGATGTGTATATACTGTACAGGGATGATAAATGAAGGAAAAGGTGACGGTACAATCATTTCAGAGCTCAAATTCAGAGTTCTTTACAGCTCCTGTGAGGACCTTTTGGTTTGTGATACTCTGTTTATTTACTCTGAAGATCGTATTAGTTTTAGCAGCCCATTAAAAAGGCATCAATACTAATTAACTTACTTTTTAATTACCAGCCAAAAACTCCACACAGGAGCTTTAAAACGAGTCGTTGTCGCTCTCAAAAAGGCATTCCCCACTGCCTATCTGACGCCCAACAGATTGATGTAATGTCATTAAATTAAATTTAAGGACCTAAAGTAAAATTTGTGACATGCGAGGAACTAAAGCACTAGTTTAAAATGCAATAAATTTTGGCACAGTTGCTGCATTTTGCCTTGTTGTTGTAGAGGAAAGGAGACAGGGATAGATTAGATGAAGCTTCGATGTTTTGATTGTACAAATAGATACCCAGGCTTGATAGAGTTAAGCCCCTCCCCCCACTCAAAGCGCTTTGACTTGTGTATTACTACTAATGAATGTTAAGTGTAAACAGTGTTACACACCCTCTCAGACCTTTGGTTCAGGACTCTCCCGCTCTTTGTGTGCTGTATCGAGTCGAACAGTAGTGGTTACCATTTGGCGTTGTCGTGTTTAACCCTGTGAAGAGAATAGATGAGTGAAAGACTCGCATATCCGGTCTTAATATCTGAGAGCAAGTCTGCTAAAGTTAGCAGGTTTGTGCTCCTCTAACTCTGATGGGAGTTGTAGTAGTTGTAGTAGACGTGGTCTGGGACACATTTTTGAACACATCACGTCAAGTAACACCAGCTGTGTCTCGTTAGCCACCGTGTCGGGCTTCTTTCATGTTCCTGCTCCTGTTGGGTTTAAGTGCAAAGGTCACACGACCAGCAGTACCTCTTCCTGACACCTCGGGAAGAAACGAGCTTTTCCCATCATCCATTTCACATTATTCTTTCTCCGTGCCCCCCCCAACCCCCATCCTTCATTTTATCATCGCTGCTGTCGCCATGACTACAAAAAAGAAGGCTAAGGAGGCGGACTTGAGCCCAGGCGATGCAGAAGCCACCGCCACCCAGGTCTGTAGGGCCTGTTTTTGCCCAGAATGCTTTGCAAAATCTTGGGTTTGGGACATTCAGTGGTTTTGACGGTGAAGCAGAGCGTACTTTCACTAACCCTAACCTGTCCTCACTTTCTCCCCGACATTCCCCCTTCAGCAGTCACCTGAAGCCCTTGAGCCGGCCCCCTCCCAGGTTCACACTCTGTTATTGGTTATTTGATGGTGTATTTGGTCTGTCAATCATTTGCTCTGGTTGGTTTTGGTTTTTGGTTTTGGATGGTGAAGTTGCTCCAGCATGATGATACAGTCAGTTTTTGAATTCCAGCCTCTACAGACCCAACCAGAGAAATCCCCCCATGTGGTAACCCCTATGTGTCACGAAAAACTGTTTCCATTCACACTCCCTGTTTTCAGATTGGACCTAAATTCAAAAACTGACCCTGAACGGAGCTCCTTTTTAGTCTCAAACCTTCACTTTTGGTTGCTCTGCTGTGGTTTTCTGGTTTCACATTTTCAGTTTGGTTTTTCTGGGTTTCCGCTGTTGTTGGTACTCACTGAAAACACCCTGGTTTTGTTGGTTTGTTTATGCATGTACTGGCGTTGTGATATTTTTTAATACTCTGAATGTTGTGTGTGTTAGCATGGGTACAAGTGCGAGCTCTGTTACATTCAATGGGAGTAAACAGAAAGTTGAAGAGCTGTGCTTGTACCCATCTTAAAGTCTACAACAAAGTTCTGGGCGTTTGGCTGTGTCACCACATGTTTCCTGTATTCACTCATGATTTATGATGTACTGAATTTATTATTTATTTGAATTGATTTGTTTGTTTTGCACAGCTAAAATTAAGTACACACTTTTTTTTTTTTTTTTTTTAATTTAATTAATTTTCTCTTTTTCATTTTTTTTTGCTGTATGTCTGCCTTACAGAGTCCAATGAGAGTGCATGGGGACAATATTTATGTGAGGCACAGTAATTTAATGTTGGAGGTTGGTACTGGCGTTCGCCTGATGGCTGAAAACGAAAGAACTACATGTCTCTGTGTACTCTGAAGCCATCAGAACTTCAACTTCCTCTGAACTGTTTAAGACTGCTGCCCTCTCGCACTCTCAGACTCTGTGTGCATGCCTGCGTGTGTTTGTTTGGATATTGGATTGTTTTCAGCTTGTATTTTCAGCCTGATTGAAATGGTTTTATCTGAATTTTACTGCTTATTGCCCCTGATCTCATGGCAGTCATTTTGAACATTTGAACTTGTAAACCACATTTTATGCATTTAGTGTATATGAACAAAAAGAAATACAGGGCTTGACACTAACTGCTCCTAAGTTGAAAAAAGTAAGGAGCACTCAAATAACTTTAAGGGCACAATGAAAATGGATCAAATTAAGGTAAAAGCAATTTTAGGTCAATTGGTCACATGACATGAAAGCTATTGAAGGAAAACAGCTTTTTTTGAGAACATCAACCAGTAATTTATTGATGGTCCCTTATTCAACACCCAACGTGGACAGCGAGGGTGCCGAGTAGATTTAACCGTGCTGCTGCTGACATTCCCGGTTATGGAGAGTGAGAAGACTTTGGTAGATCTGCAGTGAATGTCCGTCGAATATCCAACCTAAAACTAACTTCATCATGGTATTTACTGGGGCCTGACCGATATGGAATTTTTCTACCGTTACTGGCACGGCTAACAGTGTAGCAAGGCTAATAGCAGGTGGCTAACTCTAACGCTTGCATATGACATGTTGCTTCACCGTCACTCTGCTGTGCTGTGAGGTAGTTAGTGGATGAAGATTGTCATGAGGTCGCTGCGCCATCTACTGGATAAATCGGGGGATCTTTTCAAATGGTGGAACATTTTCGAAGTGAAACCAAATCTTATTCTCCGCATTTTATTTCTGAAAATATATGTGAAAATAGTCGAGTTTTGGCCGATTACCGATTAGTCTCAAACGGGCTAAAATTGGCCGATTTAATCGGCTTGTCGATAAATTGGTCGGGCCCTAGTATTTACATTTACGTTGTTTTTATACGCGCACATGTGCCCCTTAAATACATTTTACAATTCACACAAATCTATTTTTATTCACAAATGTGAGTGAAACGGCAGCACTACCAAGTCCTGAAGTATAAACTTTAATGTACGGTAGTTCTGCCTCCTCAAAGTCAAAAAACCCAAATAACAAATATGAGACTGTCTTCTGTACTTTGGAAACAACAAGTACAGCAGTTGTTCTAATTGTTTAAGATCAGGAACATCAGGATAATACATTTAACCACTATCCCTTCTACAGATCAGTTTTTTCCACCTGATCCAAATTGAGTTTTTTTTTGCCCAAAGCTAAATGTTCACAATGGCTGTTCTGTGAGTCGGGTCAGTGGTGTGTGAATGTGAGTTTCATGCATGCCCTGTGCATGTGGAATGCTGTTTTATGGACTTCCACACTATGTCACATGCCAAATCCTTGATTGATTGATTGATTGATTGATTGATGATTTTGATTATTGCCAGGCAGTTGTGTCTAACCTGACTAACCCGGCTGCCTCCCTAACCCACAAGAGAAGTTTCCTCCTGTTTCCTGGTGGTTTGCAAAAACAAAAACCCTTGAGTGATGCGTGGTTTGATAACATACTAAAACAACGACTACATGTCTCTTTATGCAACATGGGACTGATAGTGATTCACTGCAATCTCTGAGGTTAGATGGACGGACACGCAGAGATGAGAGAGAGAGAGAAGCGCTGTCAGCTCCATGTTGTGCAGACTGCACTTCTCAGTCCCTGACTCGATTTATGAAGAAATTCCTCCACAAGATGGAGAGGCCTTATTTCACTGCAGCCTGCTAAAAACACACAAAGTCACAGACAACACGGATGTCGAATAAATGATTGAGAATTTGGGAATCTCTAAATTAGGCTCGAGTGAGGCATGGCTCCCATCTTGTCTTCCTCCTGATTGACAGACTAATGTTCCTGTGCCCTTCTGATCCAAATGTTTCCCTTTCTCCCCATCCTGCTCTCCTTTTTCCTCCCGATTTTTCATCCCTTGTCTCTCCTTTTACCCCTGTGATGTTTCTCCATATCCTCATCCTGCCATCTCTTGTTTTAAACCTCTCTCTTACCAAACCATCCCTCTACTTCCCCTCATCTCAACATCTACCTCTCATCCCACATCTTCACCCCAACTCTGTTCCTCCTCCCTCTCATCATCCCATATTTATTCATACTCATCTCATTCACTCTTCCACTTTACATCTCCCTCCCCTTCCTCTCCTCCCCCCCCTCATTAGGACCATGATAAGACCCAAGAGGAGGTCCTGAAACACCAAGCTAGCATTAGCCAGCTTAAACGCTCCTTTATGGAGGCGCCACCTCCCTCTCCTCCTCAGCCCAACCAGTGGGAGAAACGTCTCACCTCCTCCCCCGCTACAACGATACGTATTCAGCCGCAGCAAGTGGTACGTCTGATGGATGTTTCTGTGTGAGGAAAAACACTTGAATGAAACTTGTTCAGGTGGAATGAGGTCTTTCAGATGTTTGCAGTGCTTTAAAAGTGTTTCTCAGAATTTTGCTGCAGAGGAAACGTTGTGGTTCATCTGTTTTGACATGTTTGTTTGGGATTTCCTAACCTGGACAAGAAGGTTTTCTTTTTCAGCTGGACTCCACTTTTTACCTCTTTTACATATTCCTGCAGTAGGAGGGTCTTATTGTTTCGCTGGTTTGCTTTTCATTTTGATATCTTGTCGCTCCGATCTTAGAGGGATGTCTGTTTTTTCTCTCCCCCTTTGAAACACTTGTTGTTTTTGTCTCTCTACTTCTCTGCATCCTGTGTTTGTGTGTGTGTGTGTGTGCGCGCGCCGTAGAGCCTGGAAGAAGAGATAGCTTCTGTACTTTTCAGCAGACACTCCGGCACCGGCTTTTGTCCGGGCGCCGCGTCCTCCTGCAGCATTCCTGAACCAACACTAGATGCTGTTATAACCACATTCTCAGCTCCTCCTACCGTTTCCACCGCTGTCTGCGAAACTGCAACAAAAGACGAGCTTCTTATTCCCACAACTGCTTCAATCTCTGCCTCTGAGGTGCTGCTAATACTGCACAACATTAGGGAGTCAGTTTACTTTAAGTTCAGCCCATACACTATTCTGAGTCGCAGTGATTGATGGACTGGCAGAATACACAGTTGTGCATTCTGTAAAAAAAGTAACTGACTGCCAAGTAACTGAAGTTACTGCCAAGTGTGTTGAAAGCTCTCCATAACGCCTGCTGTGGATGCTGGATGAATGGTTGTTTATGTTTTCCCTTTTTTTTCCTATCAGGGACCATTCATCCTGAGTGATGGGCATGGAAAATCCAGTGTAGAAACAACTAACAGCTGTGACTGCCATGGATGTTTGCTTGTGATGCTAACACTGTGTATGGATTGAATGCATATGTAACAATCTGCTCTTTACCTATTCCTTTAGGTGGAAATAACACTGGAGAAGTAGCTAGATAGTATTGGAGCAGCAGTTTATTAAAACATGTCATCGTAATGTGTTCTGATAGAATGCGGTATCAGATCATATGATGACACATGAAACTGCTGACTTCAATACAGTATTTCCTTTTTCTTCAGTTTCCGCTGATGGGATTTTCTCTGTAATCCGTCTTCTATGGATGATTGTCGTTTCTGATTTTATTTCATCCTTTAACATTTATACTGTGTGATGAATTAGCGTGATTATTGCATGGATGAAGTCCATCAGAAGATCAGAGAACAGGAAGGAAAATACAGCGGATCAGCATTTACCCTCTTTGTTGTGTTGATACATGACATATTATTGAGGAGACTTAAAGTCCCACTCCGATGTTTTTTTTATTTTTACTACTCAAAGTGTTCTCAGTGGTCTTTGAATTGCAGTTAGGAAGTTTTTAGCCAAAATCACATTACCATGGTAATGACATGGTAAAAGCTACCTGTATGTACCAACACAAAAATGCACTGTATATCAGTCAAAGAAGGCAACGTGCCTTTTTTCTTATATAATTTCTTTATTCTGAGCTGTTATTCCTACACATAATCTGACTGATTAAATTACAGTAACACGACAATAAAGGGGTAGGACTAGATAAGTTTTATCAACTTCATCCTACACCCTTTCGAACAAAGTATAATTATCTATGTTACTACAGAGCTGTCTCTTTAATTGTTTTTCTGCTGAAGCACATTGTATATTGTATCCATTTTGTTTTTCTTTTAACCTTTTCGAATAGACAAATAAACCTAAAACCTAATCATAATTAGCTTTCCTATGAGTATTGCAATCTGCTAACGCGCACGCTTGTTCTGTGATTGTTCTCTTATTTCTCTGAGCCTGGCCTGCGTAGCGGGGCTTCGGGGGGCGGAGCTTGGATTTTCTACGTAGGAAATCTCACTGAATCTGACCCTGCCGTTTGGGTCTGCCAGAGATTCACAGCGATGTTGAATGCAGAAATACTTAGTTTTCTTAGCGTAGCGTCAGAAAAATGCCATATGAACATTTAAATAAACCTGATTTTCATCGGAGTGGGTCTTTAAGGTACTAATGATGATGATTTTACTAATGGAGTGTGATTGACAGCTGTCATGGTAACCTCTCTGTCACGCAGGCAAGTGAGCCCGTAACGGATGCAGCCGCTGCAGATAACTCCGCCCCTGACACCAAAGAGCCTCCAAAGGTGGTGCTAACGTTTCTCTATTAATCGATCCAGCCTTTCACTCATGACGCTTCTCATTCCTCATTTCCTCCGTTCCTCCAGCTTGGTATTTCCTCCTGTTATCATCACCACATTTGGACTGATCCTTCGTTTTTTCTCCCTCCATGTTCTGCTCACTTTCTCACAGTGGATCATCTGCATCTTCTTTTTTTCCTTCGTGACGTTACATTTTGATTTATATGGCAGTTTAATTTTTTACGTTATGTTCAATGATCATGTTTTTTTTTTTTATCCCCATGCGTTTGTTGTGTATGTGCGTGCACCTCATTGTGTGTGTCTGTGCACTCCGTGTACATGCGTGCGTGTGTTTGTGCGTGTGTGTATATAGACAACTGAAGTCGAAATTGAAGAAACTGTTGTCGTCCAAGAGGTTTCCAAAGCCCCTAAACCCGGACTTGTCACAGTTACGATCACCTCCCCGTCAGATTACGAAATAAGAGAGCACGAACCCAAATCCGAAGAGGAGGCGGTGGTGGCGGAGGAAGCGAAAGCGATGACGCAGGAGAGCATTTCATCCGAGAGCGAGAGCGAAGAAGAAGCAGAGTACCATCCGAACGTCTCTGTATCCTTTTCCAACACGCAAATACCAGAGGAGAAGGAGGAGGAGGAGGAAGAGCAGGAGAAAAAAGAGGAAGGCAGGTCGACTCCAGATACTGCTCCTCTACCAACTGAAGTCATCGAACCTGTAGAAGCCACCAGTCAAGAAGCGGAGAAAGAAGATGTAGAGAAGAGAGAGAAGAACACAGAGGAGGAGGAGGAGAAGGAGACAGAGACGAGCACTGACGATCCAATGATGACCCCTGAAGAGGCTCCCAACGGTCACGCCCTGCCTGAGGAGAGCGTTACTGTGACCGTCTCGCCCGTGGTGGAAGCAGAAATAGAAGAAGAAGAGCCGAAAATGAACGGAGAATCCTCTCTGGTCGAAGCAGAAGCCCGGCCGCAGGTTATTTGTTGCTCTGAGGTAAAGTCTTGACTGGGCCGACTGCGGAGCTTCCCCCCCGGGCTTCAATCCCTCCTTCCAACTGTAGAAACACCCACATATTTTTTCCTTCCTGCTTACCTCTGTGCCGGTTTCCTTCCTTCTCACTGCTTGAGTGAATATTTAGGCCCCATGTACATCCTCCAAAACCTTGTATAGTTGTAAAAGTAGGGCTAAAAACTCCCTTGAGCCACCAGTGTTTCAGCGTTTTGATGTTGCTGTTAAGTGACCATCCCCTACGTGATTAATTTCCCTCCTCATTTTCGATTTTTATCATATTCACACACTTCATACCATCATCCTCACACCATCGCTCCCTCTCTTCATCGTGTTACTGTATTGTGAAGTAAATGGGGCCTAACTGGGAAGTGCATGATGCTTTTTAGGTGCATGTTTTGTTTTTTTATTTGCTCTGCGTGCGTCCGTTCATCTTCATTGTGTGTGCGCTCATTTGCATGTTTGTTCGCCCTCCATGTGTTTGGCACCGATGCTCCTCGTTTCTGATAAAACTTTAATTGGCTCCTTACCATCACCATAGTAACAGTGTCGTGGAAATCATCTCTGCCAACCACTTTGGAAAATGCCATCCGCTCATCTGAATGTCATCTCTGCATGCTGTTTACATTTCAAAAAGCCGCTCGGACATTTTCAGCGCTGCATGTTTTTCCCGGGTTCATGTTTTATGCATGTTTTGTGGTGTGTCGTACTTTAAGCTGCTCGTTGAAGCCAAAGATTTTGTGTTGCTGTTGTCGTAGAAGAGGCTTGTTGAAAAAAGCTGTGGCTCTTTTCTTTGTTTTTATGCATGTGCATGAATTTGTGGCTCTGTTGTGAGTTTCGCTGCTCTTACTTGCAACTGTTTTATTTACGTATCAACCATGACTCTCACTCTCACGATTTGAAACCTGATAGAAAAGTTTATATTTACAAAAAAACAAAACAAAAGTGAGTAACTAAAACTAGAGATGCACCGATCCATTTTTTTTCTGATCCAATCCGATATCGATACCTGGGCTGAGCGTATCGGCCGATATCCAATACTGATCAAATACTACTGTTGAATGAATGAACTGTATACCTTGCCCTGTGAGTGAAGGTATCAGACTTAAAAAATTAACACAGATATAAATTTACTTAATATAATTTATTAACAAATAACAAAAAGAAAGACCGGATCGGATCGCTGGATCGGCATCATTCATCCGGAGTTGATATCCGATCCAGACATCGGATCAGTGCATCCCTAACTCAAACTAGTTTATAGGAACGTCCGTGTTTCATGAAGTTTCCCCAACTTGTTTCACTTTTAACCTATTAACCCTTTCTCCTCCCCTCCTCACTCTTCTCTCTCCTCCGCCTTCCAGCCGCCCGTGGTAAAGACAGAAATGGTGACTATATCAGACACGTTCGCAGCCCAGAAAACTGAGATAGCTACAAAAGAAGTGCCCATCGTACATACGGAAACCAAGACCATCACATACGAGGCCGCACAGGTGCACACTTGAACAGCGGGATTTTCCCCTCTCAGCTCTTCTCCTCTTTCTTTATGTTTGTGCTGAACTTAAACCAGATGATCAATTCGAGGTTTGTTAATGTTAATGTGTTGTCTGAAAGCTTCTCCCAAAGAGCCTCTTTTCTAGTGCATGCCGCCATGGTTCACTCCTCCTTCCTCGGGGCGAATGTGTCTCTAGAAGATGTTAAATCTTTTTAGGACCCCCGCTGAGGTGATGCCGTAGCCGTGACACGCAGCTTATGGTTATTTCTGTATCTCCTCTGTCATCAGGTGGATGGTAACGGTGACGGAGAGCCCGGCGTGTTGATGACCGCTCAAACAATCACCTCTGAGTCTCTGTGTACAACCACAACCACACACATTACCAAGGTAACAGACGCTGAGGCCCTCCAGAAACGTGTGCTCTCTTCATGGTTGTCCAGACATCAAACAGTTGCCGTTGTACGTTTTGTTGCAGACGTTAAAGGGCGGCCTATCAGAGACGAGGATCGAGAAACGTATCGTCATTACCGGCGACTGTGACATCGACCACGACCAGGTCAGTGACAGTCCGCTCACACAGCTGATCCCTGCTTTGCTCGGATAATGTTTGACTTTATTCAGACAAAGTGTGTGAGTTTTTGAAAAGGCTCTTAAGTTTGATTCTGCCGTCCAAATTTTGTCTGTTTACATTTTGTTTTTCAAAGTTAAGAGGAAACTTCTCAGGGGTATGATGACGGTTACGTCTCAGTTCCCACCTTATTTTAAATCTGATGACATGTCCATCATGTTGCTCAGGGTGAAGCCACTGAATGATTTTTTTTAGTCACTTTAAAAAGAAGCCCACGTCATTTTCCCTTCCATCCAACCCTGCATCCAGGAAAAAAAAAAGATCTGAACCTTTTCGTTTTTGCCACGCTGTCTCTTCTTTGTTGCTCGTCTTGGTTATTTCAGTTTTCTTTGATTTGTCTTTGTCTTGTTTTTGTCCAAAAATACCTATTTGAAATTTCAAAAGTTCAATGAAATAAAACTGCAGGATCAAAGTGAAAACTTTCAGTCAAAGGATCTTAACATTTTAAAGAATTACCCCCAATTTCCACTGCATCCAGAATTGCTACAAAAAGGATGAATCCGCTGATCGCAGCTGATTGTAACCATTCAAGTGAATGTGCCAAATTCCACCGGCTTCTTTCCGTCCCACTGCGGGTCGGAAGAGTTCTAATATTTCTGGAAGCCGGAGAATGCTGCATCAAGTCAACACAGATTAGTCCATGCTGGAAAGGAAGTCGGGCACAGACACAAAATAAAACATCCGGCTTCTTTTCAAAATAAAACACACATCACAACATGCGAATGCGGTGGGAATTCGGGGTTAGTCTCCAAATCCTAAATTCCCAAAGGCAACGAGTCTAATTTGGGATGCAGATACTTTATGAGTTCAACTGAAATTGTGAGAGATGCTACAAAAAGAGATGATGTGCATTAACTTTTAAAACATCACAAGCCTGCTTAAAAGAATCTCTACTTGTCTGTTCAAACTTCCTGCACTGTCTGTTTAAAACTAAAGGATTAGTTTTAAACAGACACATTATCTCGTTAACAAGTTAAAGTTAAAAAAAAAAAAGACATCTTGAGAATATCTCAGATTTATGGATCAGGTCTGGGCTTTTCTGCACGACGCCTCGTTCATCAGTTTATTTGAGTTGCTTGTCTGCTTGGACCAGCTGGATTTATGTGTCTTTGTCACATTAAGGTGGTGATGTGATTTATCTCAAATACATTTCTGTCCACTTAATGCGTCTCACTGCTGCTGTTTTACTTTTCCACTCGAGAAAGCAAAACAGCGCGTTTATTGTAAATCCAGCATTATTGTCTTTTTCTTTATGCTTCTTATTTGATTTTCATTTAACCCCTTCCTCCTCCCCCTCCTCCTCCTCCTCCTCCTCCATCCCCCAATTTTCCCTCCCACTGCCTGCCGTGCTCGGTGCTACCACTGTGTGGTTGCCCCCCGGTACTGCAGGCACTGGCCCAGGCCATTAAGGAGGCCAAAGAGCAACATCCTGACATGTCTGTCACCAGAGTGGTGGTTCATAAAGAAACTGAACTGGCTGAGGAGGAGGATTGACAGAAAGCAGGTAATAATGGTAATAGCAATTCATTCAAATTACTGTAATTCATGGAGAGAGTAATAAAGGAGCTGTTTGATAACGAAGAGAGGTTTGCAAAGGAGAAAGAAAGGATCAGTGAATTAAACAGGCTGAGGACAAAGAAGCTATTTCGACTCCCAGTCGACGTCACCTGACCGCCTCCACCTCTGTTATTTATTTCCAGAGTTGAAGGGTCCATCGTGACTGTTTTCTCTGTTGACGTCAAACGACCTCCATCACTCTACGACGACCAACCTAGACCGACAGGAGAGAGGCAGAAAAAGAAGAAAAAAGAAGAAGAAGAAGAGCTGACGGACAGGAGGAGATGGTGTAAACAAACAGATGGAAGTTGCCAATCTCTTCCCAGTTGGTCTCTCTTACGTGTCTTTGGTGCATCTAAACCCCCCTCCCCCCTTCACTCCAAAAAAAACAAGAAAAAGAAAAATAACCTCCTCGCTCTGTCTGAGGGAACAACATAGAACCACTTTGTTAGTTTAAGATTTGTAGCGTGTTTTTATTTTATTTTTTTTTAATAGTGCTTTTCTTTCTTTAACTGTTTGTTTTACATAAAGAGCAGATAGCGTGTCTGTCATGAAATAAAGAATTAAACGCTGTCGGGGTGCACTGATGACCGATACCTGTACGATACACGGCTGAAATTCGTCATCGTAATATCAATCATTTCACGATTTCCAGAGACTTTTAGGCAAAGTAAATCTGCTTCAAAAGGTGATTCGTTTCAAACTTTTTGTCGTCTGTATCTGCAGTTGAAGTTGGTATCAGTGCATTCCTGGAAGAAAAAAACAAAAACAATCTTAAATTAAATTACAGCTCCCGCTTCAGTCACAGCACAGACGGAGAAATATATAAAATAACAGTAATTTCATTTCTTACCGTAACAAGTGTAGCTATTAAAACACACTCACTGTAAGAGGACCTGTTTCACATTTGAACGCTTACAGGCACAGAAAAGAGGGAGCTGTAACTTAAACTATTGCAGTAAAAAAAAACACATCAAGCAGGTTCATTAATTTTTATCATACTGTCTTTTATTTTCTCTGTGAGTTTAGTTACGATTCATCCACATTCCTCGTGTGTTTACTAGACCTTTTAGTGAGTCCATGTTCAGTTCAATTCACCGTCACTCCACCCTGAGAAGAAAAAGGACGTTTCACCCTGTTTATAGTCCGTGGGAGGAAAAGGAGTTTCATCCGGGTTGGTGACTTAAATTAAATTCATCTTTGTACTCACTTTTAATTGAACTGAAGATGAACTGACTTAAAGCCGGCGTAAACGACATCGTGTAAAAGTACAAATGAAGGATTTTAGACGGGAGCATTACGCAGTTTTTTTCATTAGCTAAACGCTCCTCCCTGGGCCCGCCCCCCACTGTACGACGTTAGCCATTCCCAGTGGGCCGCAGGGAGGGCAAGGGAGCAGACTCTAAGATTGGGAGAGAGGACCAGCTAACCGAAGCTGAATTGGGAGATAGCGGTTGAGCTGTGCAGTTCAAACCTACAAGCAGGGAAGGGAAAGAAGGAAGGACTCTGAATATTGATGCATGTTCCGGTAATGTTATTTGCATCCTGCAGTGAGTTAATGAAGCAGTTTTTTTTATATTCTACGGGCAACACTTTGTCCACATTTTGCTAATTAGATAACTTAGAGTTCAAACAAGCACAGGTACCAAAATGAGGAGAACTTGAAAGCGGTTCTGTCCCACATCATCCATGATTTGCTCATTCTTCATCAGAGCCTGTTTGTCGTCATAGTGCAGCACTTAACTTCACCTCCTCTCTTCTTCTTTTCTTACTAGATTTACCGAGATCTAGGATTACATTCAGCATGTCTTCACACTTTTTTTTTTTTAATCTTGCAAGAGTATCTTGAGTGAGTCTAGATAGAGGGCTACTGTGATGATTGGTTTGAGAGTGTGTAGATAATCAGATAATGGAGAGAAGATCATCTTTGAACCAGCAGCTGCATCTATTTCAATGTTACCAAATGTTCCTGAGCATAAATGTGATTTTATTTTTTATTTCAGTGACATTAAGATGTATTTTACATGATTCTACCCCTGAAAAGAAAAAAAAACACAGATCTGTATGACTCAGTCAGTTTACCGCAAACACATGGAAACCGTTATAGAGGAACCGTAAAACGCAGCTTAAAGGGAAACGTATCCGAGGGTTTGAAGTGCTTTTTTTTAAAACCCACGAATGGATTTTTTTTTTCTTGTTTTATTCATTTTCTGTCGTCACGCACACATGAAATGGAAAGATTCAACACAAACGCAGTAAAGAAGGTGCTCATGAAGGTGTCTTAAGCATTTAGTCGACACAAACAGAAGAAGAAACGACTTTTCCTGAAATTTGATTGTAGCGAAAAAAAAGTGCCACAGATCCGTTTAGAAACATTCCACCCTGACCTGCCTAGATCTGTCTGATCCACCTTTCTGACTGGACAAAACAGTATCTTGAATCGGAGTCGACAGATTAATTTATCTTTTCCTTTTTCAACAAAGAAACGACAGAGCGGTAATGACTCTCTCTCTCTCTCGACTTTCATTGGGAAACACTTGTCTGATCTTTACTATGCAGTTAAATGACATTCCACATGAGGGGGACGCTTTAACCTCTGACCCTCCTGCAAAGAAACGAAGCAGCAGAAAATAAAGTTTGAAAAAACAAAAAAAAATACAATCTTTAGGCAGCTTTGGAAGCTTTCGCTCCTCGAAAAAAATACGATCTGTAGCCGTTATTTGTAGATTTTCTCAGAATTTTGTCGTCTTTTCTCTGTGAAGCTGATCTAGTTGTCAAACGGTGGGAGTTATCGTGCGCTCTCTTGGATGTTTTTAATATTGTCACGTGTTTTTTGACTTTGGAGGAACACCACTACAAATCATTTCCGCCACTGTTTCCTTTTTGTACTCTAAAACCCGGAGTTGAACCTCTCTGTTCGGAGGGTATGAACTCTGGTTTTAACCATCGCTGGAGCTTTGAGGCTGCGAGGTCTGGCTCTCCAAAATGCTGTCGGTGCTTTCTTGTGGATTTTTAAAATATGTTTAAACACCCCAAAAAGAAAAATCTGTGAATTTTTATTGAAAAACAATCAATACCAGCTGATTCTGAAACTATCAGGGACGTCAACATGGAGGACAAAACTGCACAAAAACAAAGTACTGCCATTAAATCAGATTTAACACTACTCTATACGAAGAAACAATAATTGGACTACAGTCTTCACAGTTACATCTCAGGCTTTGTTTGACAGTTTAGACTCACACAAAAGTTAGGTTAGTACGTACCAGCACAATTTTGTATTTTAGCTACGTGAGACTTTGTAAAAAAAATTAAAAAAACACATTTTGGAAAACAGACCAGAGCTGCCTCATCGTTCCCCCCTTTTAGCCAACCAATGATCACTGTAGGCTTTTTCTATCTAGCAGCTTGATTGTCTTGTGTCTCCCCCACACGCAGCCACTCCTCCCCCCCTGTGTAACACTGTTTAAATAAAGGATTGTTATACTCTGAAATCTGTCAGCACTGTATCTTTATTCATTTAATCGGCTAGTTTACTGTTTAAAAAAAAACTGAAGTCCTGTCAACAGTTGGTTTTGACTTACAATTAGCAGGTAAAAAACATGAAAGATGCCCCTTAAGTTCAATACATCCAGGTTTCCCTTTTTCTGTTTTACTTTCTTTAAAAACTCTCAGTTTCAGCACATCTAATCAAACTGTTCTACATCCTGAAGAGAATAGTCCATTTGATGATCATTTGTGGGGCTTTTACCCAACACTCCTCCTCCTCAGGTGTGCACCTCTGTGTAGGTGCCTGTAGATGGCGCTTCTGTCTTGTTGAATACCTGATGGATCGTCTTCAACTGTAAGTAGAGAGGAAAAAACAAAGGTAACAGTTCAGACGAATGTTTTGGTCATTTTTGCCACCGTATTTTAGAGATTTTTTCACCCTCTGCAAGTAAAAGAGGTGAATTTTGTGAGAAATTAACCGACTGCTTCTTGTGTTTTTACAGTTGTATAGTTGCTGCTGTGGTTTGGTGAAGGACTGATGTCTCCAACCTTTAAAAAAGCAGCACAGAGGACCATCACATCTCTGAGTGCAGTCGCTTCTGTGCTGCAATAACCTTCCTAATTCACATGAAGCTTAAAAACTCAGATGCAGCCAGAAACTACTTCTCACCAAAACAGTAACACACTGTTGTTGAGCTGAGTTGTTCTTGACTACAGGTGTAAGTGAAGGTGAGAAGTGTCCTCAAATTAGACAGTAGGTGATGCTCTCGGCGCGCACACACACACACTAGTGGTGCTCTGACTAGTCTTTCACCAGGATTCAGGGACCTTTTGAGAGCTCTGTGAGTTGGACTGAACCAGGGTTTTATAATTTGCTCTTTACAAACTCTCTGCTCTGGGGGGAAAGTACTTTCAAAAGGTCTAGGGACCTCAGAGGGCCTGAAGAAAATCTCTTTCATAACAAAAACAGCTCTCTAATTTACATCCAAAATACCACTAGCTGTGGACATAGTTACAAAGGGGGGAGAAGGAAGAATGATGCTGGAACATATCTAGTTATTTAATCACTAAAACTATATGTACCTATATGAATTATTACTGTTTTGAATACATATCAGCAGCTGTGTTAAAGATGAGTGTTACAGCAGTTTCTGGGGTCTGTCCTTCAAGTGAAAAATCGAGTTTACATTATAAAAAGTGGCTTAACCCATACATAGGTGATAACTGAGCAGATGTACAGGGATGCAATAGAGAGAAATTATGTTTTATTCACTTTACTCTCTAATCAAGAGCTGTGCAGGTACCTTCGCTCGTCACATAACTGTTCCGTTCTAGTTCTCTGAAATGTCAGTGGTCTGATTTGCATAATCCTCACAGGACTTCAGGCAACAATGGGCCACAGGAACCATGAAGAAAAGTTTGGTGACACTTTATTCGACGCCTATCTAAATACATGTCTAATGCGTTATAATCACGTTATTATCACTTACAAGGTCAGGTATTATAATGTGTTTTAAGTGTTAACAACACTTGCATTGCATTATCTATGTGGGCATTGTCAGTGAGTTGTTAACAGTATAGTTTAGTATAGTATAGTGTGTTTGATTATTTGGATAATTATCTTGGATTCCTGTTCACAAAAAACACAAAATTTAGTGATACAAGAGTACAGAGTTTCCTCACTAGATATATCTCTTTACCAGCAAATAAGGTTTTCAGTAACACTTTACTTAATGCTTATTTCCATAACGAATTATAATTACATGTATAATGCGTTATAATCATGTTATAGCACTGTTATAAACACTTATTAATGATCATAATGCTTTATAGCAATAACAAGCTACTATAATGTGTTATGCTTATTGTTATAAAGCCTTATGATAATTAATGAGTGTTTATAATCATAGTTAAACAAGTTTATAAGCAAACTATAACACCTCATAAATACATGTATAATGCATTATCTATGTGGGCATTGTCAGTGAGTTGTTAACAGTTATAACACATTGTAATTCCTGACCTTGCAAGTCATGATAAAATGCTTTATAATGTGTGATGATTATTGATATAACGTGTTGTGATTACTTATGAGTGTTTATAACTATAGTTATACAGCGCTATAACGTGACTATAACACATTATACATATATTTATAATGCGTTATAGAGATAGGTGTCAAATAAAGTGTTACCAAAAGTTCCTTACTATTGAAAATATGGTACTCTTTTGTCAAATAATCCAAACTATAATTAGTCCATTGATAATGGTAGAACTCTGCTCTGAATTCACATGTTTTTTTGGCACTGTTCGTGATTTCTTTACGTTCTTTTTCACCTAATTTATTCCAAGTTTAGATTTCAATGTCTAACTCCTCTACAGCCATTGTCCCCCAAATCAGCATGCTCGTCACTCAGCATGAACACAACTTTTGATCATTTAATATTCTGCACACAAAACACATCAGAGCAAACTGTGCAGTTAAACTTATCAGGCTGCAATTAATGTTCTCCTACAATTTTAGATTAATGTAATGAGAGTTTATGTGAAACTAATCTTCCTCTGTAATTTATCCTCGGAGAGCAGCAGCAACAGCAGCGACGAGCGTGAACCCTCGATCTCTTTCAAATGTGTGTGATTGAGTGTGTTTTGTGTCACAGCACAGGGGGTCAGGATCACCTACCAGAACTATATTTGTTAACAGAGCACAAACAGACAGATGGAGGAAGTTTTCACCATCTGAAGACACAAAAAACCTCAAGTTTCACACTCTAATACACACATACACAAACCCTTTCCAGTTAAATTCATTATGTCAGTGATAATTATCTCCACAGACATTTTAATCAAATCAGTTTTCATCCAATCGTGACCTTGCAAAGTTCTTGTCGGTTGTTTTTTTTTTCTTGTTGCCTGTTTAGAAAGTCTTCCATTATTTAGAGTAGAGTTAGTTTCAGGTCCTGCATTGTTTTTCTGCCCGGGAGCAGCTCACTCACACTGTTAGGTGTTGTTCAAAAACGACAGCGTGAATATGAAGCTTCTACCTGGCACTGCTGGGTGTTTGCATTCGCACAGAAACAACAGTGCAGTCGAGAGTATAAGAATATTTTCTCGAGCAGTGGCAGCTACAGTGATCGTGACATGCAGTGAGACTACAGTGTACGTTTTTTTTTCCTGTATGTATTTATAGCATCTCTTCGACATGTCCATTTATCTTCACAGCAGCACTGTAAATATAATATAGTAAGAGGCTTTGACAGCGCTGCACATGAAAAGTTAATAACCGGCCTACCCTGTCTGAGTTTCCAGCTGAAGTAGACGATCAGCTGCAGCAGCAGTAGGCAAACACAGAGGAAGAGTAGCAGGCCGAACAGCCAGAGGGGAAGAAAGCTGTCTGTCTGTTTGTCTGTTTGCATGAAGGTCTGTCGAAGGAGCAGAGCCAGATCAGCCCAGGGACCGCTCAGGACCTCCATACAGCTCCTGCAGAGTAGAAGTCCAGATTATGACTATAAAGTGATGTGATCAATAAGCAGACACACAGGTGAGACTGTATACATCAGTGATGAGTTTCATACTTAAAGCCTAAGATGTTTTGCACCAACTGTATGTGCATATGTTGTTTTGATTTTGCTCAGTATTCAACAATTTTTTTGTTTGTATGTTTACTTTCATAGATAAGAAACACAATTTAAAGAATTGTGAAAATTTGCATCTTGTAGCTCCTCCCATTAGCGTCTCTTAAACCTTGCTGGGGGTCTTCAGCCTACTACTTAAAGGTCTGAATATCAGGGGGATAAATAAGAAGCAGTATCTTGATAACTTTTTTAAACTTTTGATTTTTTATTTTTTTTTGCACTAGCTGTACATTTACTATAGTGGCCAGGAACTGCCACTGCTGCAAAGCTGTGCTACAACAGAAGTTACCGTTGCAAATAAAAAAAGAAACAGTGCAGATTTAGAAAAAAAAAACACAAAAGAAGTTAACAACGCAAAAAAAGTGGCAATGCTGAATTAAGAAGTAAAAAAAAGTTACTTACTGCAAAAATAAAAGGATGCAAACAAAAAAGCAACATCTGAAGTGACCAATAATGATGATGCACCGATGTTTTATGATCTAGGCACAGAAGATGACGGCGAGAAGATGAGCAAAGAAGTGGAAAGGTTATTGTTGAATTTTGCTTTGTGTATTTCTCAATGTGTCATTTGGCGAGGCCATGTAGCTTTGGCTAACACAGTAAACCCACTACGCTCATTATTCTTTTTTTTATTTGCAGTGAGCTTTCCGTTTTGTTTTGTTTTTTCCATCAGTAACTTCCCTTGCGGCTACTTTTTTTTCTACAGTCTTTTTTATTTGCAGCAGTGGCGGTTCTCGGCCACCATAATTCATAGGCCAAAACCATTAAACACCATAAAATGAAACCATTGTTCTAACGACTGTTGAATAAGAGAAAACGTCATGGTGGCAAACTTGTCTTTTGAGAACTTTAAAAACCAAATTAGCGGCATTAAGATTGTTTAAGGAGAGGAGAAATTCATTTGTTTTACGGGTTTTATATCAGCACACAGTAAAGAGAGAAAAATCATGAATATTTATGTGCTGTATTGATTTTGAAAGAACTTAAACACAAAGCACAGAAGATGAGTCTCTACACTGTGTCAGCGCTAAATTAAATGTCCAATATTATTCAAGGTTGGCAGCACACCTGAGGTCTGTTGACTCTCAGCCAATCAAAACTTAGAGTGAAAACACAAATGAAGAACTTGGAGTCGGCGTGACTCTAAAAGAGCTACTTACAGTTTTCAGGTTTCACAAAAAGCACCGAGTGCTGCCAGCTGCTCTGGATAATTCACTTCAACACTTGTCCGTACTGCTGTAAAGTTGCCAGCGGATAGGTAACGTCTATAAAGTGACAATCACACAACCTGAAAGAACCAATTTTGAGATTCAGTCAGTGTCGGTTTGTCACAGCAGGTCTGCGTCTGAGTATCTCCACAGAGAGAACAACATGATTAATTCAGTCCACGGGTTAAAGAAGTTACTCTCTCAATCTTCCTGTCTGTCATTGTTTTATCTGCTCTCTTTCCCTCTCGCTCAGAAACACCTCCTCTGTTTTTGTTGACCAAGTGAACTTTGTTCGGTTTCAACAGTTGGACCTTGTGATTGCTAAGAAGATTAGCCTGGTCTGTGTGTATGCGGCTGTAATAGCATAGGAGTGTCATTGTACAGTTTTAAAGCGTGGAAACTGAATTGTATGTTAGCATTTAAGAATATTTTAATCATTTAAATTAAACCTTTGTGTTCATTATGCCTCAGCAGCTCCCTCTTTGATTGGAAATAAGTGTCTTATTTGTCTTATCTACCCCCCTCTGCTCCCCTTCCTCTCTCTGTCTGCCTTTTGTCGGCTCGCCTTTTGATTGGCTGCTGTATTGATTACTCAACAAAAAGAAATAGACCTCAACATCATCAGGAGTTAAAAACTACCGGCAAAGTTTGAGTTTAAAGTCTCCAGACGCTGACACACTCCAGGGCCAAACCAGATGTTTTCACCTGCGGTTTTACTCGACCACATCTTAACAAGCTAACAAGCTGCTATTAAATCAAACGCAGGTTGTGTTTGCTTTAAAGTCTCCAGGGGGGACTGTTGTTTTATGTGGCGAGCGTGTCTTTCTTTTGACTTGGTGAAACAGATCTCGGCATCAGTCCTCCTGTCATGTGGAGACTCATTTAAACACACCACCTCTGCGCTCCCATGAGGGAAAAATCAGGCTGTAGGTGATAAAATCAGAGGTGTTATTCGAACCCTGGATGGTGAGAAGTGCCGGCTAATTGAGCTATCCTGTCAGGTTCATCAATAGTATTGATTGGCTTTGTTGTTTCCCTGATTGATCGGCAGATAATGGGGTTATTTTTGGAGTGGATATATAGCTGCTTTTGGTCTTTTTGTGGATGTTTGTGCCTGTTTTCTGATTGAGTTAAACGCTTTGGGGCTTTTTCTGGAAGTTTGAACATGTTTACTTATAATTTAAAATATAAAGTTTTTTCTTACTTCAGTTCAAAGTAGTAATTAGCTGGAGATCAGAGCTTATGTGTTCGTGTGTCTCTGCTCTCTTATTGATTAGTTTGTGCTCTGAGGAAAATCGGGGGCGTCTTTGAAAGTTGTTGTGAGGTTTTTCTGTGTTTTGTTTTTCACTAATTTGATGAGATTTTTTGTTTTGTTTTGTTTTTTAGGTTTAACCTCTGTTCCACAATCTCATATTGAATCAATCAATCAAACTTTATTTTTAAAGCAATTTTCAAACATAGAATGTATCACAAAGTGCTGTCCATTCAAGCAGGATACTAAAAACAATGAAATGAAATAAATAAAAATACAAATGCCAACCTCGACCACCCTCCCAACCCCTATTTAACACATAAAGCACTCACACACTCACACACACACACACACACACACAGATGCATACACAAAAGACCAGGAAAGGACTCTTTAGCTTGCCACAGATGACTGAGGAAACTATCTTGAGTTAAAAAAAGATGAGGAAACACTGGACCTAGGACTATAATGATAAAACCATGATAAAATATAATAAAGGTGATAAAGAGTTAAATATAACAATAACAAAATAAATTTCAAAAAAGAGGTAATAAAACACAAAATAGTTACTCTGGGACTTAAATACGGTAAAATCACATAATGCAGATTAAAAGAATAAAACAACATTTTTCCTTTTTCTAAATTTTTTCTTAATTATAACATTTAATTAAGCTCTTAATATTACTATCTTTATTTTTATAACTGCATTTTTGCACTATCTTTGTCTGTGATGCTACTGTGGCCAAAAAATTCCCCCCATGGGGAATCAATACAGGAATATTCTATTCTATTCCAACTAAAAGCCAGACTAAAAAGGTAAGTCTTGAGTTTACTTTTAAAAATATGAACATTAGGCGTCGCTCTCAGGTCTGCAGGTAGGCTGTTCCACAGATGGGGACTGTCATATTGGAACGATGATTTAGTTTTTACTTTGGGAACAATTAAAAGACACTACCTGAAGACCCGAGGGCTCTACTAGGCTCATACAGTAAAAGCAAATCAGTCAAGACCATGAAGAGCTTTAAAAACTAATAAAAGAACCTTAAAATCTACTCTAAAAGATACAGATAGCCAATGCATGTTTAAGTAAAGCAATATTACAGGATGGTTTAAAAAGACAAAAAGAAACACACAAAGGAGACACAGACTTTGCCACAGTTCATTATTTATTAAAAATGACTGATGATAAAACATTTAAGCAGCTCTTGTGGGAAGGAAGAGTGAAACTCTGACTCAGAGTCTCTTACAAAATCCTCCTCGGAGCAGTCATAACTCAAACTAAATGCCTCCTCTGATCCGATTAGCCCGCTTCCCCAATATTAATGGGAGGAATTTGGGATCTTTTTTTTTTTTGCAAAGACCCAGCCAAAAAAAAAGAATAATTGAAGGAACTTTGCAGCTCCAGTGTTTCTAGCGTGTTAACAAGCCCCTCAGACAGTTTGTCTCTTTATCGCTCATTTCCACATGTGTCTCATCTGTTTCTGCCAACTGCTCATGGATAATAGTTGGAGTAAAAACTGGACGGTGCTTGTGATACTTCCTGCTACCTTTGCAGCAAAGCAAACGGAGAGACGTAGATGAAGTTTTGAGATATAGGAGACAGGTTTTATTGTGTCTTGTTACCCTACTTTGACGTCTGCCTCCTTTTTCTGCTTACACTCAGAATCAGACGTTCACCTCATCTTTCTGTCTGTCTGCTGGTCTGTTTCCGAGGCTGCATCCACTTTGATAGATGTAGGTGTTGCCGGTGTTGTGTTTGTGTGTATCCTGACGTGTGGGTGGATGGTTGTCTGTGTGTGTCATCAGTACTGTGGGAAACAGATCTTGGGTTTCATTGATTGTACAGTGCATTGAAAGGTTGCTGGCAGGACACTAAAAAAAACTATTTTTGTCCACCAAGTAAAGAAAGAAAATCCTTTTGTGTTTATTCTTGTTGTTTTTTTTGTTGCAGACACAAATATGACATAAGAAGGGGAATTTAGGTGTAGCTTTTGTAGCTTTCAAATTAATATATACATATAATATTTGATGGTTGATCATTGTGACCCTTCCTGATTGGCTCCTGGGGTGACAAGGAGGTCTGTAAATTATGTATTATTTTTTTTTTTTTTACTAATATTGGGCTTAAATGGCACCATATACTGTATCTGAGTTGTAACACAGCCACCCACAACTAGCTTGGGCTGTCTCTTCGGCTAACCTGGGATTTCCACCGCATCCGGAACGGTGGTAATTTTTAGCTGTACACCATTCCTATCGGATCCGTTTGTGGGACAGCCGGAATCACAAGAACTTACAAGAAGTAGAAGTGATGTCGGCCATGTGGCAGGATTTTTTTGTTTCAGTCCAAAAAAGACGTTGCAGCTGAGTGCAAAACTTGTCATGCACGATTTTGTGCCAATATCGGTATCAGTCAATACTGTCGGTATTGTATCGGTAGTAAAAAAGTTGTCTCGGTACACCCATAGATTAAACCGGAATCTAACCAGAACAGCCATGTGAACATTTACCTGCAAGAAGGTGGTGCTAGGTCTGCTTACTTTGGCCACATTCACAGTATCATTTTGTGAGGAGCTCGTGGTTTGTGTTGACTTCCACACCCGGATTAAGACATTTCAAGTATTTACTGTTTCAGTCATATGGTCATAAAAAGGTGTTGTCGCCAAATATGATTTATGGTTTTAAAATGAGTCCATTGTTGCCTCTGTGTTTTTGAACCTAAATTTGTCTCTCATCAGTCTTTGGAGATTTCCAGAACTTGCAAGCTCATCTTTCTCATACATGTCACTCTTTTTGACTGGAATCACTGTTTGATTTAAGTGGTTGACAATGCTCTATTGATATATGACTTATTGATTTCAGTTTTTGAGAACAGATGACCTTCATGTTAATAGCTAAAACAATGATTTTCATGCTGCCGTGTTTCCATTTACTATTTCTGTCAAAAATGAAGAATAATGATGACATGGTTGGACAACGTTAAAAAAAAAAAGTTCCAACTCCTTGACTTCGCTGAATCTTCCAGCAATGAAATTCTTACATTTGGGAAAGATATAGATTTTTTTCCTGTTTTTTTTTCCTCCCCCAGCTGGCAGATCAATCAATACTGACTTAAATTAGATTGCTTAGCTCAGTTCTGCCATCAATTTATGGCATCTAATTGTATTACCTTACAAAAGTGGAAAAGCGCCCAGTTGCACTTAGACTGTGGCATGATTTTACCTCAGATGGCCTTTCTCTACTTCATATATCTGTTCTTTAATTTATCATTGAACTGTTTTATTTTTATTCCACCATCTATTCTCTAAACTCACTTATCTTAATTCATTTACATCCCATTACTTTAAATCATCTCTTTTTAAAAAGAGGAGCCGCTTCTTCTGCCTGCCTTGGATTTATGTCTCTTTGTGGCTGAGACGTCACCTTGTTGTCGGGTTAATTGGAAGTGCTGGAATCAGTGCTTTGACCAGTCTAATAACTTGCTTTGTTGCAGTCCATTGTTTAGGAAGAAAGACAAATTTCTCCCACAGCTTTATCTTCTAATTAGCACCCAAGTTGGCAGGAGGCTGTCAGATGTGCGGGCACAGATGGGCCTCAGGGAAGGAATGGTCTGTGATACATCTATACAGGAACAGATTGGTGAAGCACTTATCTCAGGCTATCATCTGAAAACGACGTATGCCTCTGGGAACCAGGGATGCCTTTGGGATGGGCGGCTTCTTTTCCAGTGGTGGAGATGGTCATTCTTCAGGCAGAAGTTTGGGTTAAGTTGAAATGCGAAGTGAAAAGGCACGGGAGATGTTGAAAAAAACACTTGTTCAATCCTGGAGGCTTTTGGCTATTTATAGCTCATGTTGCTGACTTTTTTATGGTGGCCTTTAAGGTGCAAAACACAACGGCAAAACACAGCACATAAAGAGAAAACACAACGGCAAAAGAGAAAAAAACACAAAAAGAAAACACAACGGCAAATCGGAAAACACAACACAAAAGGAGAAAACACAACACTTAAAGAGAAAACACAACGGCAAAAGAGACAAAAACACAAATGGAAAACACACCACCAAATAAGAAAACAACAGCAATTCAGAAAACACAATGACAAAAAAGGCAAAACAATTGTAAATGCTGTGTTTTCTGATTTGCCATTGTGTTTTATCTATTTGTGTTGTGTTCTCTGGATTGCTGTTGTGTTTTGGTTTTTTTATTGTGTATTATAATTTGCCGTTGTGTTTTCTCTTTTTTGTGTTGCGTTTTCCCATTTGCCGTTGTGTTTTGTTGTTGTGTTTTCTCTTTTTGTCACTGGTTTTTCTAATTTGCTGTTGTGATTTGGCTTTTTGTGTTGTTTTTTTCCCATTTGCTGTTGTATTAACTCTTTTTTTTTTTTTTTTTTTATGATTTCCCGTTGTGTTTTGCACCTCAGGGCCACCGTACTTTTTAGTTTTTTCCAGCCCACTCTTGACTGACAGACTTAAACTTGGCTTCTACATTAAAGCCTTGCTCTGACTTATAACACTTAAACTTCACTAGACTCTGTGTAGAAACTTTAGTTAGCCCCAAGAAAGGAAGAAAACTTTTAATCTGGGGTCAAGACATGCGGGCAAGCTAGTTGACCCAAATCTCTCTCTTCCACCAGAACCACTTTCCAGGTCCTTCTTCAGGATTCCCAGGCATCTCCAGGCCAGGTGGGATATTTAATCCCTTCAGCCAGCTCTGGGCCTATACCCTGGGGTCTTGTCCCGGTTTGATGTGCCTGGAACACCTCCAAAGAGTCAAAGATGCATCCTTATCAAATACCCAAACCACCTTTTAATGTGAAGGAGCGTCGGCTCTACTCCTTCTAACCTAATTTCTAAGGCTGAGGCACCCTTCAGAGGAAAGTCAGGGATACTTGAACTCCTTCACTTTAGAGACTCACTCCTCACTCTTTTCCTTGGATTTGGAGGTGCTGACTCTCACCCCAGCCACTTGGCACTCAGCTGCACACCAACCCAAAGCCTGTTGGAGTTCCCAGCCTGAAGACGCCGAGAGAACCACATCGTAAACAAAGAGCAGAGACGGACCTGGAAACCCTCTTTGCAACGTTTCTGATGCATTTTACGAAGTCTGGAAATAAATTTACATGCAGATAGCTTTTTATAGAGATGAATAAATCATCCTCAGATTGGCACAGGGGATACACGCACTACAAATGGGAACTAAAACTCTTTACATGCCATCTAAAATCCAGCCGTTAGACACTGATTGTATATATTCATGTGGAATCTGTAAATAAAAACTAGCGAAGCGCAAATGCCGGGGAAAACACAAATCCCATGTTGATCTGCATTCATGCTCGTTAGGAAACATCATACATAAAGATGACACAAGAGATTTTAACAGCGATATGAAGAGAAGGCGTAGAAATCAAAGGAGAGAGGTTACCGGGGAATTCAAACTCCACTTTCGGAGCTGACAGGAAGGAGACGCTTCTTTCGCAGCAGAACAAAATGTTCAGATATTTTTCCTAATCAGCATTCATGTGAACTCGCTCTAACACGCCGCAGTCAGGCTGTCACCACATTACACTCTCACATTGTGTGTGTATCCACATGCTGTGTGATGGACCTACAACAGAGGCTGATGATGATGATGATAGAGAGAGACTTGGAGTTGAATATCAGCATCTTAACATTTTTTTCTTCTCCGTTTACTAATGCGTTGTTTTTGTTTGCGTGCCCGGAGGTGTTTGCGAATGTATGCAGTTCCAACTTTTTTTTCCCTCCATCTCTCCCCTTCTTGTTTTCCTACTAGTTGTCATGGCAACCACTAGGGCCTTTTAGCATAAGTTACGATGGGGGTCGCTCAGGATGCTCTCCGATGCCTTAGTTACCGCGGCTTTGCTGATAAGATTTGGTGGCCGTGGGATTGTGTAAGATGTGTGACATTTACCCACAATCCCAGGGTGCATCGGCTGAGATATTGATGGGAATTGACGCGCACGCAGAGGAGAGCCAAAGGTGAATAACTGCACCAACATTAGTGACTCCAAAAACCTATAGTGTAGATGCTGTCAGTAAATGGCTTCGGGGTTGGAGGTGGATTTCTTCTCCTGTGCGTGGTGATGTTCTGGTGCTGCATTGATTTATCGCCGAGTGTAGGACTGAACAGGCATATAAGTAATTACTTATACACGTAATTTCATGTAATTTTATCTGTAAGGCAGATTTCTTGCCCCTTTTTTAGTACTTTATTTTATAATGATGTGATTCAGTCATCTTATTTACTGAAGTGCATTTATTACAAGCTCTTTTCTTTCTGCAGTATAAAAAAACTGATAAACGCAGCACATTTGAAGTGCTTAGAAATTGAAAATTGAACAGCACATTTGTTATGATTACTTTTATTTTAAAACCTTTAAATCCATTTCCTGCTTTCAAATCAAATCTCCCTCCTGTCGATGTTGGAAATAATGTTTCATCTGCGCCACAAGCCCCGTGATTCTAATAGTAAACGGTCTGTGATCCTGTTTGTTGACGATTGGAGAAGCAGTTGAAAAAAACTGAGCCGTTGAGGCAGATTTGAAAAAAGCGTCCCAGTCCCCCACAAATCTCCCCCCTCTGTGCTCCATGATAACTCCCCCCTGAACCTGTATCGCCCTCCCCACGACGCACCCCCTCTGACAGAGCAAAAAGCCGGCCGGCAGAAGATCCTACGCTAGCTTCAAATAGGATTCACTATGTTGGATTGCTAGTGACTAGCGGCAGTAAACACTAGCTTTGCTAGCGAGCGCCATCTGCAGCTGCCTGGACAGCTACTGTGTTGACACTGCAGAGACTAATAAGAGTTATTTATGTATCATGAGCCACGATAAAAGGCAAAAACTCTGCTGTCTCGGCGTCTGTTTTCAGGCCCAAATCCTGGCGGAGCTTTCTCCACCACTCGAAGGATGACCTGTTGTCTATTCGATTTAGATTCCTCGCTTGGTCACATTTCTTCTTCGACTCTGCCCTTTCTTCTGCCGGCTTAAGTTTTCGTATTACTTTTGACGTTGGGGCGAGCAGAAGTGTTTTTTTCCGTCCTTCTCCATCACAGCTCCTGTAACTAAGCTGCTACGCTACTTTTAGCTGCTCAGAGCTCCGAAGAGGGCTGGGAGAGTGGGAGGGGACGAGTCGGAAGTAAGGGAGAAGGGTGTGTCGAATTCAGCGAGGTGATTGGATGGAGAGGCGGAGCAGGAGATCGACCAATATGAGCTGTCTGGGACGAATGGCTCCTATTGGTCAATGTTTTTGCAGCCCTGAACGTTTTTTTCCGTTCTTTTTTCTCTTCACTTTGTGGAGTTCGCACTATAGGACCATGATCACCACATAAACGAGGTTCACAATAATTACCAATATCTCCAGTCATCAACCATGCCTTTAATGAGCCGCTGAATAAAAGTGATTTAACCAACAACGAAAAAGAGGCAACACTAAGACATCTTCAGGTCATACGACTGACGCTACACCTCCTGCGTTGTGACTATCACAGATGCACATTTGAGAATTGTGGTGCTCAAAGTAAATACCCTGCAGCCTGAGTTTGTACCTGTGCTTTAGGCTGCCTACAGGTGATCTGATCAACCTGGCTGGATGTGACGTGTCGACAGTGAATGTTTTACAGTTTGAGACTCTTTTCAAGTGGGATTTGGTTTCTTTTTGTCAAGGTAACAAACTAAAAAGTGACTGATCATTTTTCCACCACCTTAAGTCAGTAATACAATTATTTTTTGCACAGTGGCATTGGTCCTCATGTAATTCAAGGCTAAAACAGGCCGATCAACGTCTCTTCTCTTTCGTAAGTGTTGTAAATAGGTGCAGTTTCTTGCTCCACATGTTAAAAATATCTGGAAAGAGTTTTTAACATCATCCAGTAATCTGAAGACGCTCTTCCTACTTTTGATCTTTGTGTATTTGGACTTCTGTAGCTCCTTCAAAAGTCTCTCTCATCCTGCTAAACTTCCAGACGTCAGGGTTTTAAGCCCAGAAAACAGATTGAAGAGTTTTACTCTAACCCTTTTAGCACTTCTCCCCTTGTTTTGATGTTATTACAGGAAGTGTAATGACATACTTCTTTTTTTAAACCTGTCAAAGTCTGTATTTTAAGCGCAGCAACTGCAGATTAGCTGCCTATTTTAGAATAGCACTTATGCTTCTGCCGCAGGCGATCTCGGCTAAACTCTCCCGATGCAAAATTAGGGAGAGCGCAGAGGTGAGAAGGAGCACATCCCAGACCTGAAACGAGCGAAACAGGAAAGAACATTGAGTTGTGAGTCAAAGACAAGCAGAGAGAGCAGAGTGACAAGAAGCAGAAAATCAGTACATGCTGTTCATCGCAGCTCTGTTGCTCTTTCTCTCTCTGACTGTCATCCACATCCTCATGCTTCAAGGTAAAGCCGGCGTGAAGGAGAAGGACAAAAAGACTTAGAGATTAGACAAATTACATTTAACGGCAATTAGCCTACTGTTATATCAACCTGAGATTGACAGGTCTGAGCAAAAGAGAATGAAAAATACAGGATTAAAAAGCAGGAAAATAGAGGAAATTATCCTTTGTATGAAGTCCATCTATTGTCAAGTCCAAAAAGGAGAGAAAAGTGTGACTGGAAGAGCAAAAATGAAAAAGGACAGTGGGTGGATGTGTGAGACAGAGGGCGAGGGAGAAGCAGTGGAAGTGAGGAAAGAAGAATGAAAAATATTATAAATTAATCTCCCGTTAATTAAATGTATCATATTGTCAGTGGGAGAGGTCGAGGGAGGGATTGACGGCGAGAAAATTGTAGAAATAATTAATCCGTTAATTAAGCCGCTGTTTAATGAGTAAAGATGGATTGACAGGTGTAGGGAAACGTGGGCGAATGTGTGAGAGATAGTTGTGATGAAAGAGACACCTGAGGGGAAGGAGACATGGGGGAGGAAGGGTGAGGAAGAGAGAGCAGTACACTGGAGGGGAGAGAGAAAAAAAAAGAGGGAGAGAGTGGGATGTATTTTTCATTTTCAGCTGAGCTCATTTATTATGAACTAAAACTAAGAGAGGGGGAGGACAGGGTGAGGAACAAAGGTGAGGACAGAATAAAACAGCAGAGAGAGAAAGAGAGAGGGGGGGATAAGAGAGGCTAATTCTGTTGCTATGGCGACAGTTTAGCATCAGGGCTGTTACATAAGGGTGGCCAGTAGCATCCTTCATTACCTTTGTACACAACAAGGGTCCTCATCAGCTGTCGATCGCAGTGTGTCACTATGTGTGTATTTGTGTGTGTGTGTGTGTGTGTGTCTGATCAGGATGTTAAACAGCTGTTCTGGGACATTTTCAAGGACAGAGACAAAGTAACTGTTCAGTAATTTCCCTAGAGCTCGAATGAATATTTGTATAGAGATGTTGTGAGATACAGGCTGTGACTATATGGGGGTTAGCGCCATTTAGAGGGGTGTCCGAAACCTGAGTGATCAATTCCAGTGCCCTATATAGGCGACTCAAAATTTCCCATAGAGCCTTGCAAAATGTAGTGACCATCCGACATCCCGTCATGCATTGCATTATGCCATGTAGTGTCCGAAACCTCCGGTGATTGAGTTCACTACATAGTCAGCTATATAGTGAAACCCCATATGGGGGTTAGGGATTGAGTGATTCATTTTGGACACAGCCATAGAGATGTATGTTTGACCTTTCACCTTGAGATATGTTTGACAGGAAACGCTTAATCGTTGCTTTAAATCACCAAGTCGCTCTTTTACCGTCTATGATTGCCTAAAGTTGTGACAATTCACACAGCGCACGCTCAGATGACCTTGAGGTTCCTCCCACAATAACAGCATATCTGGTAAAACAATAACATGTATCAAGCATGTTTATTATTTGCAGCTTCTGTTGTCTTCCCAGCAGAGTAATGGAAGTAAAATCACCCCTAACATACCCCCCAACGCTCTTAAAACTATTTTTGGAGGTCAGAATCGGCACTTTGTTGTTGTGAACACTTTGCTTCAATCCAACTTACTTCCACAGAAGGAGTGAGAAGGACTTTCAGGGGACTAAATGGAGATTCTAAAGCTGAGGAAGAAATAGAAAGTTGGTGAAAGAGGAGAAATCTATGTCACTGAACAGGAATGAGATTAGCTTCTCAAAAAAAACGTATCCATTTCACTTGCTGTTTAAAGGTTTGTACTTTAAAGTGTAGCTTAAAATTCATTCAATAGAAACAGTGATTACATAAAAATACTGAAATAAACTGTCGGATCAGCTGCTGAGATCAGGCTGATAGGTCTTCTCTGAACCAATCACAGCTTTTGAATACATCACCGATTCCAGGGAGATACCAGGGAGTTTGAAACACAGCCAGGTGGTTATTAATAATTCAAGCAACATGAAATAGGAAAATAGATAAATGAATAACAAGATACCGAATGAAACACTCATCAGTCAACAAAAGCGGTAAACACATATCAAATATTCACGTCAAAATACAATCTTTTCTTTTTCACCTTGCTGCCATGCACAGATCTATAAGCACGCTCCCTCATGTTATAGATAAAAAGAAAATATCATCATAACTCAGGTTTTATCCTTTAATCTCCTGTTTCTAGACACAGATGTGCAGCTGTAATCCCTGTGATTAATTACAGCCCCGCAGGAGATAAACAGCAATAACATTTCTGCAGCACATGTAAAACATTTGGGGTGCACAATACGCCGACAACGAGAGATGAGCTAGTGTCTGAAACAGGGGAACATGGTCTAATACACAAATTCAATTAAAAACACCAGTTTGATTCAGGAGTGAAGCACTTTATCACTGCAGAGGACTCACCCTGGAAAGAAAAGTTTCCCTGTCGACACAACATGAATTTCCTGAATCATTTCTTCAGTTTATATGATTTTCAATTACGATATTCCTATATATGATAAAGAACATTTCAGCTGAGACCCATTCATAGATTAAATAACCAGATGGAGATGTTTATTTCTGGGTAATCCAATAGATTTAATACCTGACTTCATCATATTGATGCAACAATCCTTTAAATCCCATAGAGTCACAAAGATATTAAAGAGATGAGTACCTTACTATAAACAGTATGAGCGCAGGGTATACATCAGTCAGAAAGGTTAGCGTGTGATGATGGAAATATTCAGAATTAAATAAGTTGATTTATAAGAGAACAAGAGCAGCAGCAGCAACATTTTTACATGGGCAAAATTTCTCGATCCGATTAAAAATTTGAGGGATTGGATAATCTGAATACACTGTTTAAATGGGCGCAAAATTAAATAATCTGATCATGATGTCAAATACATGCACCAAATTCAGATTAGAAGCATTTGGACATGAGCAGACTTGTCTGATTTCGCTAAAACAACCGCGCAAGAAGAGTAATATTTACGCCTGTGCTGTCAACAAACCAACAAATGCGGTAGTGGCTCATTCCGTCCAATTCAGGAGTTTTCCCCATTGTTAAATGTTGTCACTAGATGGCGCCCTTGCTTACTTAATTGACTGTTCTGTCAAAGGTTGTGCTGTGCGTGCGGATGTGACATCATTACGCTGTATTTACGCCTTGCTGTGTTACCGGAGGAGCAGGCATGGCACCGGCAGTTGTGTCCCAAGGCTAAAGGGAGAAGATCGAGTCAGGTAAGAGAGTCACGATCGGAATAAGTGTTACATGGACGCGTTGGAATAACGATCGGCATACACCACCCCTCTCAATCGGAATGTAATTTCTTTCTGATTGAGCCGAATTGGAGAATCTTCCGATCGACATGTTTACATGATCGCATTTTTATCCAGATCGGGAATTTATTCCGATTATTTGTGCCCATGTAAGCGCAGCTGCAGTTGTGTCGTAGTCATACCAAAACAGATCTAACTACAAGACCACGAAATTCTTATGTAGCTTATAAAGTCTGCACATGTTTTGTCCTGCTCTGAGAGCCACCGCAATTTCACTTTGAGTTGATCAGCTGCTGAGTTGCACGTCAAACAGCACGTAAATTATCATGAAAATGTCCCCTCCTACCAGTTAAACGCAGATGCTTTTTTCCATAACATTGAATTTTCTTTATTTTGTCTTTGGTCCTCACTTTGCCTGCTTTCCATCAAATAGAGCCTGACACACCCATCCAGTCAAGAAAAATAGTGAGGCATGTTTTAAACATTAAGCTCAAAGACCTCACAGCTGAGCCCACACAGCCAAAAGTCAGAAAATTCGTTTTAATGGATAAATACAGAGAGCAAACACTGACAGATTGACACGACGTCCTTAAATGCCAGCTGTACCGTGACCTCTAACACCATCCTCAGGCCAGGATTCGGCATTTTAGCCCCATTAGAGGTGAGGATCTGAAATGTGAAGACATTTATTCATCATTTGTAACTATTCATCTATCAGCTCAGTTTTATGAAGTGGAAAGATATTTACAGCCTCTCAAGGTCACCAGTGCAGCTTCAGGCTCTTTTATAAGATGAATTAATTCAGGAAGCTAAAAATTCATCTGAATCATTTATAGACCAAAACATTTCTGCTAAATGATAGACAGAAAAGTCATTTCTGGGTCGATACGGGCGACGACATACTTTTCCTGTTGGTATTTTTAGCTGTTTAATGACAGCCAAAGTGAGATAACAGTTGTGCTCTGCAGCTCGTTTCTATTAATCTTGGTGTGCTCATTGTATGTCTTTAATTTGTCTTTTTCACATCAAACAGTGCTATCAGTCATCTTTATATCGAGAAGTATAAGCTTACTAAAATTTAAACCAATAAAAAGTCTTTGAAAAACTTTGTTACTGAATCTTAAAGGGAATAGACTGGCCTGAGGTCTCGCTACAAACAAGCGGTTGCTGGAGGAGAGTGGGTAAGTTGTGTTTAGTCTCCTTGCTAAAGAAATTAGGCAAATCTAAAAAGATGTTTGGTGGTTAGTGCTATGGCTGGGACCATAGTCTGTATATAGAATGGACGCTGTCTGCCTCCTCGCTGGGTGAAGCCACTCCGAGAACAGCACCCTCTGTTGGCGGGCTGCAGTATAGGTCATAAATTCCGCCTCTGCCAGCAAAGCTTATGGAGCTGTGGACAAATTTTAGGAATTTATTACACTGAACATAATTTTTTCTCCCTCCTGCTTGCGATGTTGACCTGTAGTTACTGTCAGACTATACTGACTGGAGGCGGAACCAAGTTGTCCATAGTATACACAGTCCATGGCTAGGACCCTGTATGTCCTGTTGATGAAGTTAGGTGCTGTTCTGAGCATTATTTGTGGCTATAGAGTGGCGTTTTGGTCGAGGTTTGTTTATGGCTCCTCAGACCGCTGTGTATTGCTATCGTGCGGTCGTTACTAAAGTTAGTAAAACTAGAGAAGCAAGCGGTCGGCAACATTCATCTCTTGAGGTTGTGT